AGTTTTTGTTTCGGTTTTTGTGATCGAAAATTACACTTCTGCAGACATGCAAATTTTTCGAAATTATATTTCCTCGCCAGTTGGCGTATGCAGTAGAAACGAATTAAAGAAAAGCGAAGTCTTCGCGTCGTATAAGAGCTGCGTCCCATATTTTCGTAAATAAACGATTCCGTTAAGCAACCCGCGTATTTTTCCTTGAATCAAATCTGTTTCTTACGCAACTAAAATAACAGGTATGATGCCGAGATGACCTGTTTAGCTACACGATAATAAAATAAGGTGACGATCATTATATTTGTTTACAACGATATTACCTTAGTTTTGCAATTTAACTTTGCTAAATTGAATTTTTAAAACTGCAAGATGTCAAGGCAGCGATGTCTAAATAATAGAATATTATTCTGATGTAACTTCAACTTTCAAGTTCATTGCAAAATTACCAAGTCGGCTTGGATCGGTAGAGAAGTCTCTGCGTTATGCAATACATAAAAGTTGGGACGTGCCTTTACATAGCGCATAGATCCGGCAATCATTTTGGAGAAAACCACAAAGGTTAAAGATTTTGCATGACTTACGAAGAGACACGGATTCTAGGTTTATAATGCGTAACTGCCGACCTTTTTGAAACGAAGCAGGGCTAAAAGTTCCTGTTATATAATATGTATATACATAATATATAATATATAATGTATAATATATAATATGTAATATATAATATATGATATATAATATATAATATAATATATAATATATAATATATAATATATAATATATAATATATAATATATAATATATAATATATAATATATAATATATAATATATAATATATAATATATAATATATAATATATATACGTAATATATATATATATATTATATATTATATATTATATAATATATGATATATAATAAAAGGCTATGCTGTTTTGTGGTACTATGAATATGGAATTGTTATAGGAAAACTTTTGATGAACAGAATAATGGAAATAAGAATAAATATTTTACTTTTCAGGTTAAAAATTCCAACCAAAAGCTAATAAGGAAGATACGCTGTTTTGTTTTTGCTCTCGTCTTAAAAGATTCCATGTAAAGTAGCACAAAAAATGGCGTCAAGTAGGTTGCCTCTACACAAAATGATTATGTATCAAGTCAGTCAAATTGGACCATACAATAATTAGATATCACCCTCCACTTCTATATTCGTTACGCTTGAAGCAAGTAGGTATTTAAAATGTTTTGCATTACAAAGAAGTGTCCCGTGAATTTTTGTAGTATAATAAACTACAAAATACAAACCCTTGGAGAATCGTTTTTCAGCAAAGACCAAATGAGTCTGACGCCATCCAATTCTTCGATGATCCTCATCGAATCTTCATCTTCGGCACACTCTCTCAATACCATCGGGACGTTTTCTAATAATGGAGGATAGGTGTAATTGAGCAGGTTCACCAAGTGAGGTATACCGTCTGCTCTCCTGAAAAAAAATGACGTCAAGCAGGTTGACTACGAGCCTGCATAGCAAAGAAATCGAACGGATCAAGTCAGTCAAACATGCCCATACAATTAACAGATAGAAAGGTTCTCTTTTCTTCCTACAGTGTGCCGAGCAAGTTCAGGGTTGCCAAATTGCTGGGAATATCAAGTTGAGTAGGGATTCATTGGCGATTGGCAGTAACCAAATTTTTTTCTGAAAATCATCAGGAGCCTCTGAAACATCCAAAAACGAGGTTGAGCGGTTTTTTTTTCGTTTTTCGGCTCAAAGCTCCACCGTCACTGGACGGATTTTCAAAAACTACAAAGCTTGTTCGTCCTTGGCATTGTAGTAACCTTGTATAATTTTTTTATAGGAATCTGAGCATTGCTTTCCAAGTTATATACTGGCCAAGGATTAGCGGAGAAACATACATATAAATAAGTGACATAGTTTTTCGTGATGTACATCTTATATAATATATCCAAAAAACCTCTCATTTTCGTTAATCGCCAGTGGCGTGGGAAGTAAAGATCAGTCTGGAAAGGTGCCTGCAAATTCGATCGGCAGATGTTGCACTGGATAATGGCAAAAAAGTAGAATATTTTATAGTAAAATCGTCAATACCTCAGGGTACTTCTGTTGTGTTCAAATTTCAGACATTCGCAAAGTGCCCCAACAACGTTGCTCAAAACACCTTCGTCTTCTTCGACGTTCTCTAGGAGCTTGACAAGCGTCTATAAATAAAAAAAAGCGTTCAGACAATGTAACGCGATCTTGCAGTACAGGCTATTATGTGAAAAAAAAACGAATTCACAAGTGGACAACAGCTAGTGCTAGGTTGACATCTTGTAGAAAAACCTATAACATGTCAAAATGTCACTTTTCAAGATACGTAATACGCGTGCGGTTCCAACCAATGAATCCGAATAGATTAGGCGCCAAGCCTGTATGTTTGTTTACATTGCATTGTTAGTCGTCAAAATTGCGTAGTATCAGTATACACTTACTTGACCGCCAATACTTACCAAAGTGACAGTCTTGTGTCAACTTATGATAATAATCATACTTACCTCCAATCTGAATTCGTGTACTTTACATTTCTTACCTCGACAGTTTTCAGTTGATCCAACCTTTCAACATTCGCAGGACTGATGGCTGTCTTCCAAATTGCCCCTGTGACAGCAGCAAGCAATGGCTTATCTTCTTTCGTTTTCGGGTTCCTGGCCATATTGACCAGCGGGTCCAACCCACCTGCTTGTCTGACCATATCTCTGGTCAAAGCGTTCTCGCTGCATTTAAATATCGTTTCTGCGCAGTATCTTCTTAGCATAGGATATTCCTGAAAGCATTTTGTTTCTTGAAATCATTTTTGAATCTAGGAAAAAAGAGAGTGAAACGCGGCAACACTGTACTCCAACCGTGTCCCGCTACTATTTCGCTTCATCTCTATCTCGCAGAATGATGGTTATTTTTCCATATGTTCAAAACAGAATCGTATTCAAAGATGCATGCAAATTACTTATTAGATAAATCCATATACCACTGACATCGAAATGACAGAGACAGAAATAGAATCACCACGTTGCCTAGCAACTCGAGTGACGAGACCACGGAACAGCCCTCCTTATACAAGTGCGCCTTCCTGAATCAAATTCAAGTAAAACAGTTAATACAAACGTATGACCTATTAAGTCTGGTTTCTAAGATACAGGTCATCAAAGAAACTGGGAATTGTCAAAAGAAAAATTATAGTGAAACGTTCTCATAACTGGAACCTTCATTGGCGAAAAGATACCCTCTCAAAATTAGGCAACCGGAGTTACACCATCACAGCTTGCGAAGTCATCGGGAGCGTTCGATAAATACCGCGCAAATTTTCTGGGAGATTCTGGATTTGTCGATTTCAAAATATATGGGCACGACGACAATGGAAGGAGCACAGTTAAAGAGTGGCGACCGACGCGTCAACGTGGTCCAGTCGACATTGTTGTAAATCAGAGAAGAGTAATAAATTGAACTTTGGACAGTAAAAACGGTGCTTTCGTTACAATAGCAAACTGTCACGGAAAGTCAGAAATGCTCCCAAAAAACGAAGTTTAAGCGACTTCTGTTCTTTTCTGCTTTTCGCCCCGTAGCTCCGCCGCCACTGGACGGATTTTCAAAATCTACAAAGCTTTTGCACCCTTGGCATAGTCTTAAACTTGTGTGAAAATTTCATCGAAATCCGAGCGGTACATCCCAAGTTATAGGTGGTCAAAGGATAGCCGACAGACAGGAAGACACAGTGTTGCCAAATTATGTGGTTTTTTACATCCCCTGGGGATTTTTTGGGAAATAAAACGATCTGGAAGATTTTTTGGGGGAAAATAAAATCGTTGGGTATTTTTGGGGTATTTTATTCTATCTTTACTTAAAAATGTACTGTAGACAGGTTTCTGTTACCCAGATTCTTTCCAGTTTTTAATTTTTTATATTTCACAATTTTTAATATGTTGCTCATGTTTGTATATTCGTGTTTACCGCAATGTGTGTTATAATTTGGATGTAATTGTCATTTATATGTGTATGAATTGTGTATAAATTTAATCTGTTTTTACACCAAAAATGTCTCTGGCTCAATAAATATCTAAATAACTACGAAAAACTGCTAAATAGCAAGTTTATCTTTCTGTAACTGTTTCTTTCCCCGTGTCGCATCCATCTCCGCAAAACCTTTACGCTGGCCCATCATTAAGCAACACTCTGTATAACAGATATAATTCACTGATTTTATAGATACCTCTGTAGACAAATGCCTGACTATATCCCGAATCATTCCCTCTGTCTGGATAGCTAGCTGGTACCCCGGGTCATCCGCACATTGGGATATTGTACCAACAGCTGGAACGACCACGTCCATGTGTATAGACCTATGAGCATAAGAACATAAATACAGGGAGCTAAAAATAGTTACATTAGGGTCAGGCAGATAGCACCTTCAAAATTAATGCGGGAGGTTCTGATGAACCCAAAAATGTCCCCTTATCGAGGTCCAAGGTGTTGAACTACTGATTGAATGAGTTGATTTTTCAACTTCATGAAGAGAGAAAAGTCACAAGGAACTTAGGCGAATAAGGAGGCTTCTACTGGAGGCGGACCACATGTTGCCCTGTCCCCCCCTCCAGTGTTGTCAGATCGAACGCTACTTTGCCACTCTCTATATACCCATTTTGCGCTTTTAAAGATCGATATATTTCGTTTTCCTAAGCCAAATACTGTAATAAATAACCAAGTAGTGTATTATAATATTTAATTGGAAATATACCATAACGCAATTAGGCAGAAAAATATAAATATACGTCAATAAGCAGTAACCAGTTATACCCACCGCTTAATGGTCCAGTTGGTGTAAATAATTCATATAATTTTCGTCGCCACGACACTTTCATTCTTGCCATTCATTCGGATTTCGAGGTTCGTGAACTCTGCCGAACAGAATTTATTTGATGACCTAGATTTTGTCTCGTAAAAGTTACTTTTCACGGTTTCATCCATGCACAGAATATCGGAAATTAGACAATCGACAATCATCCATTGACGTATTTTAATTAGGTATGTTATTAGTTCAGGTATTTTGAAAAACTGTAAATATTGCTGTGAAAACGATAAGCTTTTCGAGAAAGAAGGACAATCACTTATAAAAAGTTCTTAAGGTCTCAGGAACAGGAAATTGTGATTGCCATAGCTCTATTTACACAACATAATAGTGCAAATTACACACTATAAATGAGTGTAATGTGGACTAATAACAATTACATGTGTGAAAAATCCCAGAGTATTATTGAAACCGTCAGTTAGTTACTTTTTTTAAACTGATAGTAGTAACGTTAGGTTGGCGTGCTTTCCACACATTAATTAACAGATATACAAATGACGAATACGTAAGATGTCACATCGTGAAAAATCTTACTACTTTACAAAATTTTGAGAGAAATCAAAACATTTAACAATCAATCCAAACGTTTTTAATCCGTTGTGATGTTTTTGTGACACATGGCTATGAGTATTTTATAAATTTTAAGTACTACTACCATGGATACAGTTTTCATCAGGTTACTAATGTACATATCCAATATATTAAAAAGAAACTGTTATATAAGTTCAGATATTACAGACAAATTTTCAATGAAATTGAAATATCAACTAGTGTTTGATATGAAATTTTCATATCAAACACTAGTTGAATGTCACATGGCCTTTTTACATATAATATAAACATCATTCATAAATACAATGCATAACAAACCTTTATTATATCCTTCCAAATCGCGGTTTATAGGATCAACACAAAAATATACATAAATTGCTTTGGTATAATGTTATAATTATTAGAATTCCATAAAAACAATCATGAATATGATACTAGAAATAAAAACAAATAAACAGTTATTGCAACACCAAAAAATTAAATAATTATAAAATCTTTTATAATATATATATATATATATATTGAGACGTGGTCATTGTCGTCTATACCAGTTAGGTGAAAATTAAAGCTTCCGCCTTTTGTTGAGTACTTCGACAAAATTTAAGCAAGGAGGACTCTTTATACTTTTTTAATCTGTCTAGATTTCAATGGTCTTTGCCATCATCATCAGGAGCTGCAATTACATTGATAAAAGAAGCAACAATTGTGTAAAATTAATTTAAATTAACTTACAGTAGTATGTGAGGATGTTGCTAAATGTTATTTACGTTAAGGATGAGGGAAACACCCAGTAACATGGTGAGAGCTGGATACATGGTACAAATGTCCCACATTTTCATGAATGACAACTGTATCAATAAGAAGACAGATGTTAAGCAACTCATATTTGCTAAACTGCGAAAAATTGGAGCACTTACATATCACTCCAGATTTTGTCTCTTCACAACCATAAATGGAATCTGTTTTTTGGTATTCCACCAAAAAATTCCATTCCATTCGAATTTTAATAATTGTTTTCTCATAATTAAATAATAACTGTTAATTCAATTGCCCGTCTCATAATAATATAGTTAATTCAACTGCCTCTCTGGTCGGGTTGACAAGTTCTTACCCAACGTATCTTGAAAATCGCACCATCTGAAGTGATTTGGCAACGTAGCACACGCCTTACAAAAGAATTTTCGTTCCGTCATTCTACACGGACATTGCTAACCTTCGGCCATCTGTCAAAAGGTTCATCTTACTCATGATTCTATGCCCACCATTTTGTGCAATCATCAAGTGGCTTCACGATGTAATGCTTAACTTTCGTTTTAAATATTTTTAATCTGTTTTTAATTTGTTCTTGTCATACAGCTGTGTGTAGTTTGTATAATTTTGACCATTGTACTGTACTTGTACTTGTTACTGGGTGTTTCCCTCATCCTTAACGTAACAGGTTTTATTGGTTAGTGGTAATAGTTTTTGTGTATTCGGTGGAAAGAAAATAAAGAAATGTATAGATCTGCCTGAAATGTTAGTATGTTAAAATTTACTGTACTGTATTCATAGTGTTGCGATTGTTAATATCTGAGACTTGTATGGAAAATCGCTTTCCGCGTACAAGAAAGAAATGGACGTACCTCAACAATCTGGCTAACAAAGGAACTGAACCGCTCTTCATCATCACTTGGATATTTTTACTGCTTCTCGAGATAGCCCAAAGTGCTCTTGTAGCTGCTTTTGCCATATTGACCAGCCCCCTTTGATCGGCCGTCAATTGTTCTCTAAAAATTATCAAAAATGCTATCTGTTATCCAGAAACCGCATCGAACTGTTGTGTAAGGAAATCACAGGCAGGCTTTCGCAAGAAAATATTACACAAAAACGGCTTCGCAGTTGGCTACTTAGAATTTGTGTTACAAAAGTTGATAACATTATTTCATTAAAAAATGAAAATGCGTTAGGTGTTCCACAGGGCAGTATCCTGGGACCACTACATTGTACCTTATACATAAACGATTTACCTGTCATAGTAAAAAAATAACAATATTCAAATTCTCACGGATGACACTGGTTTATACAAGTTCTCGAAATATTCAGACTGGTATCTCTTATATAAATGAAGACTTCAAACTTGTTTCAAATTGGTTAGCATTTAAGAAACTCAAATTAAAACGAAGTTATGTTAATTGGAAAAAAACAATTTACAAATGTTCAACTAAATATTGATGATGATGTCGAATTCATAGAAAATTTTAAATAAACTTTGTTGATTCTCAATTAAATTTTGATGTGCATTACGAGAAGAGTATAAACAGGATTATTTGTAAAATGGGACATTTAGGAACAGTTTCTGGATTTCTGACTTCATATAGTAGGGGAATTATCTATAATACTATCATTCTTCATGTTTGATGCGCTATTCGGCTATTCTATATTTTGCAATTAATTACATTTTTGAAGAGCTGCAAATTTAACAAAACAAGTGCATGAGAATAATACTGAATACAGATAAATATATAGTCCAATTAAATAAATATAAAATGTTTCATTGTGGAAATTTTTATCGAATATCTTGTAATGATACTCGTTTATAAAGCAACTAAGTTAACATCATCAAATGGCGACCATCATTTATAGAATGAAGATCAAGACCGGAGAAGACTTTGACAAAATTGAAAGCGAAATTGATTAATCACTTGTTCAATCCACAATTATAGCTTGCCCAGCATTCACAGGACAATACTGGATTTTACTAATTCTAAGTTGTTTATAATTATTCTGTTTATGTAGCCAAACGTTCTAAATTAATCTTTCTACTACTGCTTACGGAGGCGATTTGAGATAGACCTCGTTAACATCCAAAAAGTCCACCAACTTTGAAATGCCATAGCACTTCCTCACAGCCTTCCTAGCTTTCTTTATCTGCGCAACGTTCGCTATAGTTTCGGCGACGAGAATCTGCAAATCTCTGGCAGGTTCCGTGAGGTTTTTCACCAACAGCGGGATCCCGCCCAAATCAGCGATACATCTGCGGATGTCCGGATTGTGGGAGAGCTCCGTCAACACCTCCAAAGCGCCTATTTTGCATTTCAGGTCTTTGGTTTCGAGGAGGTTTATCAGGATTTCTAGACCTCCGATTTCCTAGAAAAAACGAACGGTTGAAGTTGGATGACTTATTCAAGAGTGTGTGGAAGGTAAAGCAGTTTGTAGCATTATTCGGTTGGTCCAAATTCGCGTATTTATGTAACTAGTAAAATACCGCTCACAAAAAATTCGAGCTCCATTAGGGAGCACGGGTATCACGTATCTTGAAAAGTGACATTATGCCGATTTTTTTTGACATTATGTAGGTTTTTCTACAAGATGTTAACTTAGCACTTAGTTGTACGTGTTGCCTAGACGTCATGAGGCTTGTTATCAATCTTAGGCTCTGCTGTGATGTAAAATCTGCTTCTGAGATGGCATTACTGGAGGTCTAAGCTGTAACTTGTATGTGTTGATGATAATTACATTGGGTTCTTGTCTTAAATACACTTAATTGAGATTCAAAGCTAGAAATTAGTTGCGCATCCACTTTTCCTTATCCATTCTGGAAATTACATATACAAATTCGCTGAATTTCAAAAATGAGAGAAATAAGAAATAATTAAATTCACTGTACATTGTCGAATTACAACTCATATACGTGCTAACAGATAACTTTGAACATAACCTCTCTTCAGAAAGCACAACATAAAAATAACCCGCTATTCAACCAACTTTCTTCTCAGAGATAAAAACTACAGACAATAACTATTTAGCCTCACATATGCAACCAATAATGCGTGTACTTTAGTTGAGTGATTCCTCGTTAGATGGACGTTCACAACGATCCTAGTGAGCAAACGTGGAATGACTAATTGTGCCCTAAAAACTACCTAGTTTGCAAGATGACATCTTATAGGTTTTTTAACGTTTTATAAGTTGTTTACATGATACCCATATACCCAAATACAAGCGTTCACACCAAAGTGACGAAAAATGAAAGATGTCATTGTCGGAGGAGTATCCATCGCGTTTTTGCGTTATTTGAGCTGATTCAGTCGTGTATGAAATACTCATTTATTCCATGAAATTAGATTTGGGTCAAGTAGGCTATTGCTTGCAACCGAAATTCAAAATCAAGTCGATGTCTCGGGAAACTAAAGAACATACAAAAATACCTGTATAGCCGTTTGGTTGATCTCAGTAGAAAGATCATGGTCTTTGAGACAACATAAAGCTACGACAGTGGCGGTTTGATTTCCAGTCTTTATATATTTTACCAGTTTCTGGATATGCCAGTATTCTGGAGGAATGTCATGCTTGGGCTTTTCTGTTTTTCGTTCTTCCTCTGATGAACTGAAATTAAAGATTTTTAAGATTACACCATGATGCTCAAACGATTCTTTTCACGTGTCAAATTGCTTTGAAACCACAATTAGAACGATACTCTTATCCATCCGAAACATACCAGAGATCCACAATTTCGCTTATAGCAGAAGTATGGGGTTGTCCAAAACCAGGACGCAGGAAAGTAAACGCATATTAAAACAAGAAAGATTGATATTCAAATCAAGTTGGGTACTTTATTTTGAAGGTTCATTTATACCATTTATGTATGAAAAATAATATCCCTCAAATGTTCACCACGACTGGATTTACAGACGTCCACGCGATGGTCGAAATTTTCAATGACATTTTGCAACATGGTCGGTTCTATGGCATTTATCTCGGCAATGATGTTGTTTTTGAGTTCTTGGACGGTGGCTGGTTTGTTGACGTAGACTTTGCTTTTCAAATATCCCCATAAAAAGAAGTCCAAGGGAGTCAAATCGCACGATCTTGGTGGCCATGGCACATCTCCTCTGCGCGAAATCACGCGATCACCGAAGAAGGACTGCAATCGATGGATATTGACGTTGGTTGTGTGGCATGTTGCACCGTCTTGTTGGAAATAAACATCGTCCATATCCATTCCTTCAAGTTGCGGCAAAAAATAGTCCTCTATCATCACGTGATATCGCTCAGAATTGACGGTAACGGCGTCCCCAGCCGCATTTTCGAAAAAGTAAGGTCCGATGATGCCTTTTGACCACAATGCACACCACACAGTCACTTTTTGAGGATGCATTGGCTGCTCTTGATACTCACGGGGATTTTCGTTCGCCCAGATGCGGCAGTTTTGCTTGTTTACCGTCCCATTCAAAGTGAAATGCGCTTCGTCGCTGAACATGATTTTTGATGAAAAATTGGCATCAATTTGACGGTGTTCAAGGAGCCAATCTGAGAACGTTCGGCGCGAAAAATGGTCGGCTCGACGCAGCTCTTGCGTCAATTGGATCTTGTAGGCGTGTACATTCAAATCCTTGTGGAGAATGCGGAGCAAACTGGTTCTCGAAATGCCCAATTCTTGGGATCGACGCGTTGTTGATTGTTTCGGATCGTATCTCACACTCTCCTTCACAACAGCAATATTTTCCGGTGTGCGAACGCTCCTTGGCCGGCCAGAGCCTGGCAGATTTGCCACAGAACCTGTTGCCTCGAATTTACGCACCAGACGACCGATGGTTGTTTCGTTTGGGCGGTTGTTGCGACCGAAATGTTCACGAAGCGCGCGAAACGTGTTTTTTTATTTTTGCACCATTTTTGTAGTGCTCTTGAATAACTTTAATGCGGTCTTCAATCGAATACGACTCCATAGCGATCAATGGTAAACATTCAACTAACAAAATGACATGTCGGTGACAGAAAACAAAGATGGCGTCCATGTCAAATTGACGTTTACTTTCCTGCGTCCCTATTGGACAACCCTTTATCTGAGTTTTTCGGTTCTGAGGACGTGCCACACTGTAATGTAATAGTCTATTTCTTATAACTGCTGTTGGTCGCTTTTTTGTTTTTGTTATAAAATGAGAGAGCAAAAGTAATGATATGATGCAAATTGCTAAATTGACCGCAACTATCTTGGAATTTGTTTCTCACACAATTTATTATTTGGTGCGAAAGGGTCCCGAGACTGTCTGTTAGAGAAGGGTCACCGATCAGTCGCACAGCCCTCCTCTAGACAGCACCGAGCATGCATAATGCAGTCGGAGCGGCAGCACCCCAAACATGTGAGCAATACTAGAGGCTAGGTCTTGTCTTAGGCCTTGTACAAGTTGAGGAGGTCATGACGAGAAAAGTACTTAAACTATCTTTTTCATCAAGTCATCACGTCCTCAATGGTCTGGATTCCGGATAAGCGCTAGGACGCTTCTTGTCCGTCAAGTCACAATACTGTGTTTTGGAAGCATTAAGGTGTACAAGATTCTCGTCAAAGAGGAAGTCGTCGCTAGCCTGCTTTCCTCCAGCTAACTGGCAGAGATCGGGTTGTCATTCTGGATTCCTGCATGTAGAGTGCTGTCATCATAAAGCTGTGGATCAGCTTGATCTTACAGGAAAGAAGGTCGTCGATATGTGAGAGGAATAACGTCGAACATCTGTGGCAAATGGATAACTTCCAATGCCAAACCGATCGACAAAAAAAAAGAATAACGTCGAAGCCAAGGCTGATCTCTGAGGAAGACCCGCGTTGAAGTTGTGGGATGAAGAGGAGAATCCGTCACCTTACTTATAACAGAAAGCAGAGTTATAGGCCTGTAGTTGTAAGGGTCGGTCTTAGATCCTTTGTTTGAGATGGGTTAGACATGAGCAAGTGGAGCAAACTCTTCAATGCAACGTCAGGAATCAAGTCCAGACCAAAAGCTTTGTTGATGTCGAGAGACAAGAGCACCCATCTTATGATCTTTGTTACTTCCCGTTGCAGATCCCCAGATTTAAACACGCCAGATTACTTGCAAGTCTTGAAATGAAGCATTGAAAAAGGAAATCCCTATTCTGGAATCAGATACTTCGTAAAAAAATAAAAAAATTCCTTACAAACTTTCGATTTTCCTTGTGATAGGTTATAAAGCAAAATTACTTACTAGTCTTCACTGGAATCTTCACTAGCTTCTGGTTCTTCAACGATCACTTCTCTTAGTGCGCATTTTTCTTCCTCCGGTGGAACGTCTTCTTCTGATTTATCGCTTCTCATATCCGATGTCCAATGCAAATGCAATTCTCTTTGTAACTGACGTCATATATGACACCGAGTCGGATGATTGTCACTGTAATGTATGATATACAATCCATTTCACTTTTTGTGTAAGTGTAATCTGAGTCTTTTAAAAATTGTATTGTAGCTGATTTTTTTCTCATGGTCCCGCCCCACAGGAAATTTTTTCAGGGGGGGGGGCGCAGGATTGACCTTTTGTTCATCTTGGGGCGGTAGCTACGCCACTGTTAAATAAATGACTCAAAAGAGTTCTTTTCTAACTAGTGTCATCGTTTTTCAATTGATTCCATTCTTCATCACATTCATAATAATAAATTCACAGAGCTAGACTACACTAGGCCGTTGAGAATTTCTTCACCTAGATATAAGCGAAAAATTGCACCTCGAGAATGAGGTAACGGTGTAAGAGGATAAATATGGACGACGGCGATCGTAAACTGATAAAAACGGAGTCAACGGAACCTGTTACAGCTCAAGCATTAACGTTAATTCAACTTTCTAGATAGATGAAATTTCAAATAAATTGCATCTTACATAATGTTACCTTTCGCTGAAGCCTAGCGGCGTACGACAATATCACATTGTTAATTATAAATATGAGATAGAATATACAATAGTAATAATAAATATATAATAGTAATAATAATGATAATAATATTAGCAACATAGAATTCGGAATAGACAAACGCGCTATGGTTAATCTTAAGAAAGAACGATACAGTAATGGGGAGGGGGAAGAGTAGTTCGTAGATGGGTGCATTTTGCTTCATCTACATGCCGGAGAGACATATACCTACCTCTCTGACTGTTATGGAACCTCAGAGCTACTGGTTTTTCTCCGTTCAAGAGTAATCGATTCCTATTAGACCAACCATTCTTACTATAAATCATGAGGCTACATTTTGCTCAAATATCGACTGCAATTTGTCCGAAATGAGTATCGAAATGTCATCAGTGGCTGGCACTGACAGATTATTCAAGTCGTTGATATATATAGTACATTACGAAAAGGAAGGGACCTAATACTGATCCTTGGGCAACACCGATGCTTATTCCCCTACTATCCGGGGAGATACCATTTATAGTAACAAATTGCCGTCGGTTCCTGAGAAATGATGTTATCCAAGACAAAGCTTTGCCCTAATACCGTATCATGCCAATTTGTCCAACAAAACGTTCTGGTCTACACAATCGAATGACACACAAAATGCCCGCTGGACATTCTCCGTCTTCAATAATGTAGCGTTTTTCTGGGTACTTTTGGGTCCCAAAAGGGAATGCACCAATTCATTTATCTTGACTAGATAGAACATTTATGTCCGACTAATTCTTATGTCTGGTCACTGACTGAACTATACTCCACTCTGCTCTACTACTCCCCTCTTCCAGCCGTCAAGTAATATAGTCCGCTACAGTGTTGCCAGCGGAAAGTAGTGGAGTTGTCCGCATCGTTGGTTCGAGAAGATTCCGGTGAGCCACATAGGGCGAGTCGCTGGCAGGCTCCTCAACAGATGTCGCCAAGCGGCATGTGCGGTCGTGATCCGCGTAAAAACAGAGATCGGACATGAAGCTCTGGCGCGTAGGAGGGTCTCCCAACTGTAGTATTCATTCTTGTTACAATATAATTAATCAGCTGTGTATAGAAGAAGTGTATGGCAATATCGGTAGATCTATTTTTGTGAAAACCATGTTGATTATTGGAAACGATATCATGTTTTTGGGTGTATCCTAAAAATCTATCTAAAAATGAGTATTCAAATACAGCGTCCTTTTATGCGAATACCTAGTTTTATTTTCTGAATGACATCGTTAACACGTGGAAGTATTTTAACCAGGCGGTAATCAAATAAACTAGATAGTCATTTTAAAATTACTATCTAGACAATTATGGTGTAATATTCATTTAATGACAATGCAATGAGTGGTAAATTTGTTTCTTTTTTTTTCAGTTTCGTCGAAGTGTCGCTGACGTCTTGCAACCACATCATGATGATCATTTCCTACTACGTTGGCTACGAGGTAAAATTAGTAACTTATAGAAATAAACTAATGCAACAGCAACTCGCCAAACTTAGCTTGAACAGAGTAGAATTTAATAAATAATAAAAGCTTCTTTAGGACCGTGGATAAAGAAAAACATAAGCAGACACTACAAGTATGTCGTCAACTATACACAGTTTAACCGTCAAGATACATAGTTCCACAATCCGCATACTCGTGTCTTCAACGAATGTTGAAATAGCTTCGAAATCGATTTGTCGAGTTGAAAAGCTGTATAGAATATAAATAAATATTCATTACTTTTGATAGGTCTTTTTAAACTGATATTTCTGTTTCTAATAGCTAGGTCATGGAATCCGGAAGCGGCAGAAAAGATGTTACGACAGGTAAGCTACTTCAGAATACAGAATCGTTGCTAGTCGCACAAATGTGGATAAAAGTCGTTGATGATGGGTTAATGCAGTCTTTCTATTTTCTAACTACTGCTTTCACATCGATAAGCAGTAGTTAGAAGTTACCCAAAAACAAAATAGTTTTAACATTCTACTAGAAGCATTAATGACGTCACTCCTGTTCATGATATTTAAGGTTATGGTGAACTATTTTGACAGATGTGATAGCCATCTGCCACCAGTGACATAAAAAAGAATCGTTTTCCGCTATTTTTATTTGGCCAGTACAGGTTTCTGAATCCGATTATGAATTTTCGTTGGCGTTTCAATTTGAAATGTTCCATACTAGTTCGAGTGGAGTATGAAATAGCTTCACACAATCCAGTCTGACTTATATCACAATATCACAGCCAGTGACGCTTACAGTGGTGACAGATAACAGGACTGACGTCATCATAACTGCTATATGTGCCTAGCCGTTTCATGCTTCTTGGCAATCATCAGCACGGACTAACCTTGGAACTAACCGAAAGTATCCCCTATCGGTCTATCTGCTTACTTTATTTGTCCTACCTTGTGCAATTTTAACTTTTCGTATTCTCTGAACCATTCTGCATGGAATATTTCAAAATGAAAACAAAATCAAAAGTATAACGTCTTCCCTATCGAATATGTTCATAAGCATCATATATAATTTCTGCTTGAGCCTCGGACTTTTTACAAATTATTATCGTAAAAATAACTCAGATAATGCTAATAGTGTAAATAAATATTTTTCTCTCGGTTCACCAGTACATTAAACCTTCACTTATCGTTAATACGCAAAAGCGCATATATTAATATTCCCCAGTTTACTGTCGTTAAAAGACTGACAGCTGATAAAATGCAAATAAAGCGTAATGCACTAAGGTGTGGCGTAGACTAGCGTCTGGGTTATATGGATATTACTTTTATCTGGTCCTTGATATCCAAAGTTTAGCAATAGTTGCAACTTTTCCGGAAACCAGACTATGATCACAACGATGATGATGACGATGACGATGATGATGACAATGATGTTGACGATGATGATGACGATAACGATTATCTCGACGATGACGATGATAATGACGATTATGATGATGATGATGATAATGACGATAACGATGACCACGACGATGATGATGATGACGATGATTGCGACGACGATGATGATAACAATGATCACGACGATGATGATGACGATAACGATGACCACGACGATGATGATGATGACGATGATTGCGACGACGATGATGATAACAATGATCACGACGATGATGATGACGATGGCAATGATGATGATGATGACGATGATAGCTATGATGATGAATATGAGTATCACAAAAAATCCATACATACTTATTACTGATACATTGTTTATAATAATAATAAGAATATTCATTCAACAAAAGACACTTTGTAACAAATTGTATCGGGATGGTCAAGGATAGAAAATCGAATTCATAAAGCCTATAAGAAGGTAAAAATGAAAAATACACATTAAAAGCAATAGTATAAATTATTAAAAATGGAACATACAAACTCATGAAACTACTCAACATGCATTTGAGAAGAACAGTAAGAACTCATCAACGCTATAAAAACATTGATAAACCAAAAATTTCTTGCGGTACTGCACAAACAAATTAAAATTGACAATCGACTTAATCGATCGAGGAAAGCGTTGAACAGCCTTACACCTAGACAGTCAGGGACAGTCATGCCAATTATGTATTACCTCTATGGTGCGTATAAGTAATCACTTTGTCCTGTACACAGATATTGGCAACACTTGGCAGTTTATTAATACATATTTTTAAAAAAATCTCTCTTACAAGACTCTTTGCTAGGTACACCTACCAGTCATCTAACTACCCTCTTCTGGGCTGAAAAAACGTCTAGCGAATCTGTGCTCATACCTCAGAAACACACACCATAACGAAGTTTGCTACTAACGTCTCAGCGCTGACCAGAAATTGTTAACCAAAAATGCTACCGAGTGTATGTTGGAGATTAGTTATTGTCAATGAAATCCCCAACTCAAACACAAGTGCATACCTAGAAATTTTAAGCTTTGACAGCTATTTGTGATTATGGAGGAATTTACCCGTAGCAGTAAATTGCCATAATCTCTCTTTGTTATGAGAAGGATGACGATGACGATAATCACGACGAAGATGATGAGGATGATGCTAAATAACTATGGTGAGGATGAAGATGACGATGACGACGATGATGATGATGACGATGACGATGACGATGACGATACCGATGATGATGATGATGATAACGACGATGGCAATAACGATGGCAATGATTATTCATCAAAAATTCTACTAAGTGTAGCTTGGACATTAATGATTCGCACTGAAATCTGCCACTCAAACACAACGCTAAGTGCATACCTAGGAATTTTATGCTTTAACAGCTATTTGTGATTACGGAGGAAGTTGCCACCTGTAGGAGTAAATTGTCTCAATCTCTGTTTGTTTTGATGATGATGGTGACGATGATCATGATGATGACGCTGACTATGACGATGACGATAGCGATTATCACTACGATGATGATAACGATGACAATATTGATGATAACTATGATAGTGACTATGAGGATAACGAAAAATTCCTTATACTCTGTTCATACTTCACCATTATCTATAAATGTTAGTCATCATGTTTTTTATTTTCTTCAATTATACAACTTTCACAATAATTGCGTTGAAATGATAGCATTCTAATCCACTTATTAATTAGTCGATGAAATGGAGGCAACAGTGGGAAGTTGACGGAGCTCTTAAAGATTGGGTACCACCTGAGGTTCTTCAGAAGTTTCATCCAAGCGGCACCTCAGGGTACGATAAAGACGGAGCGCCGGGTAAGTTCCGCTAAATAAAATTTTAGCAAAAATTGAGATACTACCCATACCAAAAGCGAAGTTTGATCATTCTTTAGTTGTTTATTTTTTCGTGTGAAGTTCGTCAGTACTGGATCAAAATACGGATGATATCTTTCATCAATATTTCAACTAAAGATTCTTAAAAGCTTGTTTCTCGTGCAGTGAAATATATCGATTTTTTCAGTGATCGTAGTACCTTTTGCTGGCCTAGACGTTATAGGAATTCTTCACTCAGCATGTCGACAAGACATGATCAGAATGACCATCAAGGTATTGGAACACAACCTGGCGCTAGCAGCAAAGACCGGGGAAAATCAGGTTGTAGTTATTTTTGACATGGAAGGATTCAACCTACGGCAATATGCTTGGAGACCAGGTAATTTACTATACAATTTGGCCCATTATTAATTTCCTACAGTCATGTGTTAAGATGGAAGCAACTGTTAAGGCGATATGACTTTAAATATTATTTGCACTGCAAAAAAATACATGGCTTAGCTCTTTACAACTGCAATTTTTTTTATTAATCTTTATACTATTGTAGCTGCTGAAGTTGTGATATCGTTGATACAAATGTACGAAGCAAATTATCCAGAAATTTTAAAAGCTTGCTATATAATTAATGGTAAGTGTTGTTCTTCAACGCGTATATGTATAGACTATTTCTTTAAAATCCTAGTATTTAATATCGTAAATCGTGATTTTAAGGAATACGATGCATTTTTGTAAATGGTTGTCGTATTTTCTAGCTCCTCGAGTTTTTGCGATAGCATTCAACGTAATCAAGAAATTTCTCAACGAGTACACCTTAGGAAAAATTCAAATTTTCAAAAGTGATCCGAAAAAATGGAAGCCGGCGTTATTGTCGAACATCACACCGGAAAATCTTCCGAAACATTATGGAGGGTCCTTAACAGACCCTGACGGAAATCCGAGATATGCCACCGTGGTAAGTGTTCAGCAATTAAGGTTGGATAAAAATATAAAAGAATAAAAGTTTGAATTGATTGAACCCCTGGTATTTTATTAAATATGTATTTTTTACGACTAGAGTGTATCTAAAATGTTTTTAAGAAAATAAATTGTTTTAGAAGTAAATAGTTTCGTCATGTTTAGTTTATATAGGCACATTTTGGTACAAATCTTGAAGTGGGCCAACTAAAGTGGGAAGGGGCTCGTAGTACCTAAGGTTTGCGAGATGCTAGTCTTTGTCTCATTCTTTTTTTTTATTTCATATGTTTTGTTTCAGGTGAAAATGGGAGGTAAAGTTCCAAAATCCTACTACACGAAAAATATGGAAACACCCGAAAATGGTCCGAAGAAGGAGTATATAAAGGCTGTAGTGAAAAAGGGACACAAACTAACTTTAGATTATATAGTTGCTGAGGAAGGGTGCTTTCTGAGGTTGGTTTTTTGAGATTGACTTGAATAAATCGATTGTTTTTACTTCCTATGCCACTGGCCGAGGAAGTATTTGTAATAGCAAAAAAATTCCAAAATAAGTACATCGCGAAAATCTGTCACTCATTTCCGTTGGGTCTGCCCGCTTCCCCTTGACTATAACTTGGAAAGTAGCGCTCGGATTTTGCTGAAATTTTCACACATAATAATAATAATAATATTAACAATAATAATAATAATAAATGGGCTTTATTTCGTACCTAAGTAAAAGTACAAAAAAGGCGAAGTGTCGCTAAGATTAGCGTTTTTCAACTTAACCTTACATGGTTACTACTATGCCAAAGACGAAAAAGCTTTATAGTTTTTAAAAATTGAACCAATGATGGTGGAGATAGTGGCAAAAAGGAAAAAAAACAAAATTTGCACAATTTTCGTTTTTTGATGTTTCACAGAATCCTGATCATTTCAAAAAGTGAAAAGTTGGGGGGTATCTCAATTTTTAACAGTAGTATATTCGCACGCCTCTGGCCGTGGTAATCCTCCGGACGGGCCACTTAAGCGACCCTTCACTTGATTCTTACATAAATAAATAATAAAAAAATATTTCTGATCATAGTAACAGCTACAAAAGAGATAAATACAAACAACGTTATGGAAAAAGTGTAAGATTTCAGTATTTTTCACCCTGACTCATTACTAATTAATTTTATTGTATTTGGGAAGAAGTTGAAGTATTTAAGACATGCTTAATTTGGAACATTTTCAGTCAAAGCTATACTATAACTATCTAAAACTGTAATGACTCATCGATGTGCACGTGAACATCACTTAACTACCAGTAGTCGGCTGTTCATAGGCGGGGTATGAATGTTTAACATGGGTGAACTAGATTTGTCACATGCTTAATAAAGAGTGGTTTGAAACATATTGTAAGTCAAAAATTTGGGAATTACCTTTATTCATCGTCGCTTCCACTTACATCTGACACTAATAAACTGTCGCTATCGCTTTCCTCGTTGAAATTGACTATAACTGGCTCTATGATGGTGTCGATGTGGTGGTCAAGCTGCCATATTTTTGTTTCTTCCTTCACAACATGACGGATAGCATTCTGCCAAGCTTCGGGCGTTACTAGCTGTATGGAAGTCTCAAGTAAAACCTTAACGTCTGGTAATTTGAAGGTTGTGTTATGGCGCGCAATATAACCCTTCACTTGAGCCCAGATGAGCTCTATTGGGTTCAGTTCACAGTGGTAGGGCGGTAACCGCAGCACAGTGACACCACATTGACGGGCCATCTCATCAGTCACGTAACTAATGTTCGCAGGTTTGTGCTGTTTAATTTTTTCAGACAATTCCGCTTTCACACATGAATCGTCAAACGGGATTCCTTTTTCGCGCAACCATTGCTGCATGTCACTTTTTCGAGATCCCATAGTCGGTACACGTTCGGCTCGACGACTATGGTAGGAAGCATTATCCATGAGGATCACAGAGTTGGGCTCAACTCGCTGAAGCACCCCTTGAAACCAGCTCTCGAAGCAGCTGGCATTCATTTCGTCATGGTAATCACCTCCTTTCTTAGAGACGAAAATCAAGTCACACTCTTCTAAAAAGCCACTATCGCTACCAATATGAGTTACGATCAATCTTTGACCTTTCCCTGACTGTCCACGAAGACCTGTTGACAAACCTTCAATGCTTGCTTGTCGGTTACTCACTACGTTTTTGTCTATCCAGGTTTTTTTAACTGTGTGACCTGCATTTACCCATGTCTCGTCCAAATAATAGATTTTTCTGCTTTGTCGCCTATATTCAATCATTTCGCGTAGGTATTTTCGACGCCAGGCGACTATTTCAGGTCTTTCTTAATTTCGTGCAGGGATTTCCTCATTACCTCGACGCTCATTTGGGGTATAATTTCATTTTCCTTGATCGCTGCATGTACAGCCTTGAGGGTTGGTATCTCATTTCTAAAGAAGAATGAATGTACGGTCCGCCTTAACGCCATTTTGCTATCGTCATCCAATTTAACGGCCTTTCGACCCTTCAAATTAAACTTTGGATCAGTAGTAGCTCCAGTTTTCTTCTTTTCATGCACCACCCTGCGAATGGTCCACTCTGGAACGCCTGTCATACTTTCACAACGCGCGAGTGCATCTCCCTGCGACATAGTTCTGTTCAGATAATTGAACACGTTGAGCACGATTTCTTTCGCGTCCCTCTTCAGTGCTTTACGAAGCCGTCTACTTGTTCCCTGGCTTTCAGTACTTCCACTCGTGCCATTTGTACTCTCCATGGTTAAGTATAACCAAAACAGTAATCACAGAAACCACAACAATAACAATCACCCAACAATTCTTATAAAAACACACAATATGCGATCGCTCAACGAAACACTTTCCAATGCGTTGCCGACGCCTATGAGTCTGCCGGTCGAGGCGCGTCTTTGATTTCATTGGTTCTACCGGCGGAGAACAATCAACCATTATTTCCATCTCTGTCTGTGCTGTTGACCACCGCAAAGCCACAGAAACGACACATGTCGTACGCTATACGGCTGTACTGGAAGGAAGCCGGGATCGAGCTCTGATCACGTGTTAATCACGCGTATGAGTCATTACAGTTTTAAATAGTTGTAGTATAGTTCATGCCTCGGATAAGTTACATTTATTTTTTCGTAGTGATACACTTGTAGGTCAAACTTTCTTGCGAACATAGCTATACCACAGGTAAAAAGCAGTGTAGAAATAGAATTCTGAAAAAATTCTTGATTTTTTTCTAACTAAATAGCATTATTGGTAATAGTAATAGTTTATTGTTCCTTCCAACACATGGGTCTTTTTTTAGAAGTTTATAACTTTAAATTGCAATGAACCGACGTTGGAGTATTCGATTGACATGAATTTTTTATTATTCGAAAGATCATCTTGTGGCATTACATTTTAAATATAATTTCTGGCATATGACTGCCAAAACTGTTGTTCAGGCGTGAGTCTATTCATGATTTTGCCAAACCAAACTCAGAATAAATCACTTGACAGCTGTCAAATCGGTCGCCATCTTCAACAATAATGTCAACTTAGGGAAAAGAAACACCCGTTACAATGTAAGGAACTCGTCAAAATGAATATGAAATTTAAAATATTATAAACAAACAGACGTAAATAAATAATCTAAAAACAATTGAAACCTTATAAAACACAATATACCGAAACAGCGTAATAACACTTTTCTATAAGGAACTGCTTAAATTTTATTTTAAATAAGATCGTATCTTTGGCATTTCTTATGTCTGCTGGATACATTGTATTCCACAAAAGGTGCATATAACTGGTTACATTGTTTTGTATTCAGTCCATGAACATCTTTATTGTTTAAATAGTTTTCTATATTCACATACGTTAACACAGCCAACTATGTATTCTATACTAAGTGACATATAAATCCGAACACCCAGTTTAAATGGTTTTATTTTAATAAAATTTTGTATCAGTACTTAATGAAGCATAATAAGTAAATGATAAAAATTTCAAAATGATTGCACTGCTTTAAAGCCCTTTGACCTTTAATAATGTGTGGATGCACCCTGATGTGCTACGCATTCTCCAACGCGCCTAGGCATGCTTCTGATCAGGTGGTCAATGTCCTCCTGTGGTATCTCATTCCAGGCAACCACCAACTCCTCTCGAAGTGCTTCTAGAGTCTGAGGAGGACGTTGCAAATTGAGCAATCTCCTACCCATCATATCCCACACGTGCTCAATTGGGGATAAGTCGGGAGATCTTGGCGACCATGGTAACAATGTGACATCATTATGTTGAAAGAAGTCTATTGTGACTCTTGCAGCATGTGGTCGGGCATTATCTTGTTGGAAAGTTGGATCTGCCAGGGTGTCAAGATAGGGTAAAAGATGGGGTTCTAGAACTTCGTGGATATAACGCTGCGCGTTCATGTTACCTCTGATGAAGATTAAAGGTGACCTGGAACCATAAGCTATAGCACCCCAAACCATAACTCCAACAGTGTGATGAACATGTCTTTCAACAAAAAACTGTGGATTCCTCCTTTCACCACGTCGCCTTCTAACCCTGGCACGACCATCGTGCATGCCTAAACAAAATCGAGACTCCACACTAAAGACAATACTGTTCCATTCTTGATCCCAGAGTGACCGTGGTCTGCGCCACTCAAGGCGATTACGTCGGTGTTCTCGAGTTAAAGGGAGGACCCAGTGTGGCCGGTATGAAAACAAGCCAAAACTTCTCATTCGTCGGTAAACACTTCGCATGCCAATAGGTCTTCTGTGTTCTGCAAACCATTCATTTGCAATGGACCTGGTAGTGGAGAAACGGTCCCTTAAGGCCGATAATCTTAGACGGCGATCTTCACGGTCTGTTGTTCTACGGCGGCGTCCAGTGCCCCTTGCTCTTTGCGTACGGCCTTCTCGAAGCCATGCCTGACAACACCTAACCGCAGTGTCTACACTTCTTTGCACTCTAACTGCAATTGCCCGAAAAGAAAGTCCAGGTTCCCGAAGTCCCACTATACGGCCCCTATCAAACTCACTAAGTTGACGAAATCGTACAGTCTCCATACTGTAGGCATCGTAACCGATCGTAAAGGATGTCAAGAACCAAAATCCGCCAACGTTGATTCTTTACTGCGGCTGAAATATTCATTTTTAGAGCGTTAGTGAATTAAAAAAAAGCAGTATAAAAACCGGAATGTCCAACTGATAAGGCTGAACATTGTTTCACTTGTTATTTACAGTAAGATAAATACATTCACCAACTTTTATTAAAATAAAACCATTTAAACTGGGTGTTCGGACTTATATGTCACTTAGTATATTTACCTTAGCAATGCTTCTGATCACTCTTTTCTGGTATGTTCATACATCCATCATTGCACTTGATGTACTCGAGAAGCAAAGGCCGTACTTCAGCCTAGATTCAACCTGTACATGGTATAGTCTGATAAGTTGATCTTCATTTAGAACTGTTCGTAATTTTTTATAAATGTAAAAATAAATATCCATCTAAATACATATACTACCAAAAATTTAGTGTCGTCATGGAACTTGACCTGTTTGTCATTCAACCTGATCATTCATTTTATCTAACTTCTTCTGTACATTGTGAAATCCAACAGCCGTCTTCTCTGTGTTTGAAGATAATTGATTTTGTGTAAACCATTTTTCAAAATGATTCAAAATGTCATTAGATTTAGTGACCAATACATTATCGTGAGAATCTGAAATTATAATTGACGCATCGTCGGCATACAATGTAAAATTTACCTGGCCATTGAACAGTTCACCCAGATCATTTATACACAGTATAAATAAAAGAGGCCCTAGTATAGAGCCTTGGGGAACTGCCATATCAATATCAACGCATGAAGACCGGACTTGCTTTATTTCTGTACCATAATTGTGTAATAAAGAAACATGTTGTGAAAGATGTAGTTTTTTAACAATATTTCGCAGTCAAATGCCCTGCTGATATCACAAAAGATCCCAACACAGCAGAGCAAAAGTGAACGAATATTCAATGAATGAAGTTATATGACTTACTTGTAACTGCTTGTATTTGCTTACCATGTCGCAGTCTACGATCCTTTTTCCAATTTCCAGATGGGATTTTCGTACGGAAGGGCACGACATTCGTTTCGGCGTGACGATGCGCGATGAAAATGGGTTGAACAGCCCCGTAGTTCGGCATCGACGCGTCGCCGCGCACCAGATCGACGAAAGCGGCGTCGTCGCGTGCCAGGCACCGGCTACATGTAAGTTCTTTATAATCAGCATGAACATTAATTTGATCAAGTAGAGTGGCTCAGTATTTCACATGGTCACTGATTTCATTTACTGCGCCACTGGGTTAGGGTAGATTTCCGAAAATGAGATAACGTCTGTCCTGAAGGTATTTATCGGATTTTTTTACGATGAAATTTATTTAAACACTAACTAGTTATCATAAATTACAACTCAATACGGTTGGGATGCACCCCTGTTAGAAATTTCGCACCAGACAAGGATTTTATCTGCAAATTTCGTTTTTATGATGTTGAGTTTTCTTTCTATTTTTTTTCAGATACCATAACATTTGATAATACGTATAGCATGATGCGTAGCAAAACGATTCACTACTGCATATTCGTCACACCGCCCTTAGAAAAACTCAACATCCTGCCCACAGACGAAGAAACGCAGAAAATGAGCACACCCGATAACACCCCTGAAGATATCCAAAGTGAGAAAAGTTCTTCAGCGGGGGAAGTTGAAGTGCATTGAAGTTGTATTTGTGATATTTGTTTTTATGAGTATTTTTTTGTATCAAGAACTGCGGAAAAGGTTGTGGAACAGGCAACATCAACATCACGATGTTAATAAGGCAGTCTGGATATTTTACGCGTTAGTACCACACATTTTTTAAGCATTTTCAATATCCAAGCTTGCCTAAATTTTGTATTTTAGAAATATATTTTTTTTTTAGACTCTAGTGTTTTTTTATACGCAAATATCGTAGTGTAGAACACCGAACAGCTAGCAAAAAATACAATTTCTATTTGAAGCTTACTTCAAGGTTACATCAAGGACATTTTCAAAAGAAGCCGAGTTGTTGAGCCCAACCGTAAAATTTTAAAAATATATTTTGTTAGACAAGCGCCTGTCCTTTTGACCCATGTACTAATGTGCTGTGACGTCATACCATTTGTAATCAACTTCTGACACCAGCAAAACCTCCTAAACTTTTAAACATATTGTGACAAGAATAAATAGTACCGTTAGCGCCATCTGTGGGGACAGTGCCAGACTCTCCTACTCGCCAGCTGCTTCATGGTCGATCTCTGTCGAGGACCGTGCCAGTGACTCGCCTTCTAGATCGACGCGAAGCGACCTCGAGGATTCTGGAAGGCCGCTATGTGGCTCCCGGAATATTCTCGACTCACGATGCGGACTATATAACTCGACGGCCGGGAGAGGGAGACAGGGTACAGTGGAGTAGAGCGGGGTGGAGTAGGTATAGTTCAGTCAATGGCGCGACATAAGAATTAGTCAGACATAAATAGTGGTGTACATAAATGTTCTATCAAGTTAAATAAATTAGTGCTTTTCTTTTTGTGGAATACAGTGTTTTAATCTACATCCAAAAGAACCCAGAAAAACGCTACAATATAAACTCCACTTCTACTAGGTTAAATACAGGGTGTCCCAGAAGTCGACGTCAAGCCGAAACCGGGTGATAGGCAAAGTCATAACAGCTCTCAGAAAAATATTTAAAAAAATTTTATGTATGTGTTTTGAAAATTATAGGTCTTTGAAAAAAATATAGAAATTTCACACCCTACGGCAGTCTGTCAACTCCTGTTACTACAAATATTAACTTTTTTTGGATTTGATTTTTACAATGTAATGATGAATAATGCATCTTCAAACTGGTGTCTCAACCTTACTGCCAACTTTTCTCGTTCAGGAAAAATTGCCACTTATTTCCCAACCAAGTATTCCAAAGTAAAACTTTGCTCAACTTTAACTGGCTGTACTGGAAAAAAATGTATTACGAGAGTTTGGCAAGTAACTTTAAAAGTTGGCGCATTTAATAAGGATTCCAAAATGGTATAACACTTAGAAGATTACTCGTTAACTTATGCACAATTTTTATTTGAAGAAAAACTGATGAAAATTTTTCAAAATTTCCTAATTAAACAGCGATTATGAAAACGCACAAGGACCCTTAAGGATGACTGTTTGCACAACAGTGGGCGTCAAAATGCTGCTGATGATGATTTACCTTTACAGCAAATGCTCAAACTGTTTTCCTTCAGCCGCAATACCCGCTCGACATCTTCTTAAAAAAGATCGGGTTATTAAACGAGCGAATCCACGGTTATTAACAAACTCAGCTGCTTCCAATAGTCTTTGCCGTAGCTCAGCTAGGAAAAAAATCTAACGGATTCAAATCTGGTGACCGGGCTGGCCACGGTATTGTACCAGACCGCCCTATCCATCTGCCTGGAAAGTTTTGATCGAGATACTCTCTCACTGAGAGTGCATAGTGCGCTGGGCAGCCATCATACTGAAACCACATGTCCCTGTAAATACTCAGTGGCACGTCCTCCAATAAATTTTCTAAATGATTTTGCAAAAAACCTAAATAAACCTCAGCAGTCAAGGTCTCTGGGAACTCAAACGGACCGATTATTTTACCATTTAAAATTCCTGTCCAATGGTTTATCTTGAAGCGATATTGAGATTTATCTTCTCTCGTCAAATGTGGGTTTGCTACGTGCCACTCGTGTAAGTTATGCAGGTTCATGTACCCATCTTTCTTAAATGTGGTCTCATCTGACCATAAAATTTTTTCAAAGAACCGTGGATCTTCCCTGTGTCTTTCTAACTTTGTGCGACAAAAAGCAACTCGGGGCTCATAATCCCAGGGCAGAAGAGCTTGAACACGCTGTACGTGGTATGGATGGAGCACGTTTTTTTGCAAGATTCTATCGGCTGTACTTTTGGGCACACCTGTTTTTAGTTCTATTGCACGCACTGAAGTACTCGGGTCTTCTTCGACAAGATCTTCCCTCACCGTGTGATTGGTTTGGTAGTTGGCCCTCTGAGAACAGTAAGTGGTGCACATTTGTGAACACTCGATGATCTGGATGACGAGCTGCATTCGGGTACCTCTCACAGTAAAGTCTCGCTGCAGCACTAGCGTTGCATCTGCATTCCCCATAAATGAGGTGCATGTTAGCATATATTCATGTACGGTGTACACGGACATAGCGGCACTGCACAATCACACTATCAAAGATAGTCTAAGGAAAGCAAATGTTGTTTTGAAGAGCAATTGAACAGTCCATATCCAAATCACAAGCGATCAACAGTCCAGTTCACGAATCCAAAATTAGTAACAGTACGAAATCAACAAGCACGAACATGTAAAGATGCGCAGTAAACGAAGCAGTACTGATCGGCATCAAAGTGTGCAATAGCAAGTAAGTGATGTGCTTCATCCATACCACATACAGCGTGTTCAACCTCTCCTGCCCCCAATGTTAGAAAGACACAGGAAAGATCCACAGTTCTTTGAAAAAATGTTATGCGCCAACTTTTAAGGTTACTTGCCAAACTCTCGTAGTACATTTTTTTCCAGTACAGCCAGTTAAAGTTGAGCAAAGTTTTACTTTGGAATACTTGGTTGAGAAATATGTGGCAATTTTTCCTGAACGAGACAAGTTGGTAGTAAGGTTGAGACACCAGTTTGAAGATGCATTATTCATCATTACATTGTAAAAATAAAATCCAAAAAAGTTAATATTTGTAGTAACAGGAGTTGACAGACTGCCGTAGGGTGTGAAATTTCTATATTTTTTTCAAAGACCTATAATTTTCAAAACACATACATAAAATTTTTTTAAATATTTTTCTGATAGTTGTTATGACTTTGCCTATCACCCGGTTTCGGCTTGACGTCGACTTCTGGGACACCCTGTATATAGTAATTATTGTTACGTTATTGCATCGTCCAAGAATGTAAAATCACATCGATAAAGACCCCAGCAAAGCTGTGAATTAGTGCCTAGGGAAATCAATATAAGCAAGACTGTGTATTGCTTGGAGCATACCTTATGTTCGGGGAAGATGTGTAAAAGTCTTTATATTCCTCTGCTCAGCAGAGCAGAAATCTGGTTTGAAGGCAAAAACATTATCAACCATAAATATGTCATGTTTCTGCAGATTTGAGCATTCTACTTGTTCTATGATTCGATAAAACAAGAAAACGATAACTTTTTACGTTGATTAGGAATTTTTAGAGGTATATAAAGAAAACAACTTTAGTCCTCAAGTGACATACGGATGACGTCTCTTTGTTTACAATGTGTATGACGTCACATCACAGCCAATAGGGCTTTCACCGTTTCATATTAAAAAATTACTTTTTCAAGTTGGACGTATACATCCACCAAGGACTTTTTAAAATTGAAAAAGATATATTCCGTTTTGCGGTATTGGTAATCAGTTCAACTCACGGTGTAGATGGAAATAACAATATTGGCAGGTTTCTATTATATCAAATGAAACTTCGTAAGTACTCTTGTACAAACAAAAAGTTTAATGGCCTGCCATGTTAAAGCTAATGTAGGCACAGTGTTGATCCTATGGCCAATTTATTGTTTAAGGTATTAACCTTAAATTTAGTCATTTTATAATACTTCATTTTTTTCCTACGCCATCGTTGATCATTGGCTCACCCAGTACATCCGAATTCTATAAATGCGATATATGAATGTGATGACCTTTAACAAATCGCTAAGGTTTTTGGCAAATGAACATAAAACACACCGACATCGAACTTGCACCTTCCGTCTACATCCTGGCTATGTCCAAAGTATAGGGAATATTGATAGTAGCGCCACTGACGGTCAAACTATAGTCAATTTGTCGAAGGAAGAAACTAAACCCAAACACATGCACGTGATCGGACCACAACGCCGAGCTAATATTAGCGGCCGGCAAGACTGCATGCACCGCCGTGTCGTCCCCTTCCTGGAGTGTCATTGGTGCTGTATATAGGCTCGACTGATTCTGCTCACTAATCGGTTCGCCAGTAATTACTGGCATTTGTCAGGAAAGAGGGAACTTACCAGTAATATTGACAGAAATGCATACTTGCCAGAAATATGCAAGGAACATCAACAGTTTTTAATTTATCTAAATTTTGGTATCCATAGCAGACGCCATAGTTGCACACTCCGCTATTAGTAAGTAGGAGGATATGCATAGAACATGAAGCTCCGTACAACGCTGATAGTTTGTCCTCCCTTTCTTCTTACTTATTCTGTGATTCGTCTCTTCTCTTGTCGTCTCGTATTTCACGCTTTGTGCTTTTGTGGTCACCGAGCTATTTTTCTACCTTGTTTCCGTATTATTATTAAATAGACTAAAGTTTCTCAATGATTATTTATAACAGTGAGCTTTGTCAAAAAAATCTTATCTCCGACACTGAGTGACATAATTTTATAAAGATGTCTGGAATTTTGATAAATTCAACATATAACTTTTTCATTTCTGGCGCTTGGAAAGAAGGCCAATTATGAAACGTTTTCCCGCCAGTGACCTAACTATACGCATTACGTAACCTTTGGCAATGTCGCATCTATATTGGGTAGCTTGATTATTATTCTTGGACACTAATTAAAATTATTATCATGGTCGGAATGAAGTCGTAGATTTATAGAGCGGCAAGTTCGTAACATAAATATGCCGCAGTTAATTAATTAATGCTTTAAAAGTTGGCATCAGGTCGTACTTCATTCATATAACGTCTACTTTCAAGCTTGAAAATCATAGATACGCAAATGCAATTTTAGTATCAATATTGAACAAATTTCAACCTTCGACAAACAACCTTTGACTTTTCATATTCTTCTTCACATTTACTTATCACTTACTGCTTTTCGCTTATCACTATTTTGCCGTTTTCGATATGTTCGCTGTTTCAGCTATTTTCACTATTCTCGCTATTTACGCTATTTTGCTATTTTTGCTATGTTAGCAATTTTAGCTATTTTTGCTATTTTCGCACTTTTCGCTTTTCGCTCCTTTCGCTCTTTTCACTGTTTTTGCTGTTTTCGCCATTCTCGCTATTTTCACTATTTTTGCTATTTCCGTTATTTTACTTATTTTCGCTATTACCACTCTTTTCGCTCCTTTCACTATTTTCGCTCTTTCCGCTATTTTTGCTATTTTCGCAATTTACGCTCTTATCGTTCTTTTCGTTCCTTTCGTTCCTTTCGTTCTTTTCGTTCTTTTCGTTCTTTTCGTTCTTTTCGTTCTTTTCGTTCTTTTCGTTCTTTTCGTTCTTTTCGTTCTTTTCGTTCTTTTAGTTCTTTTCTTTCTATTCGTTCTTTTCGTTCTTTTCGTTCTTTTCGTTCTTTTCGTTCTTTCCGTTCTTTTCGTTCTTTTCGTTCTTTTCGTTCTTTTCGTTCTTTTCGTTCTTTTCGTTCTTTCGTTCTTTTCGTTCTTTTCGTTCTTTTCGTTCTTTTCGTTCTTTTCGTTCTTTTCGTTCTTTTCGTTCTTTTCGTTCTTTTCGTTCTTTTCGTTCTTTTCGTTCTTTTCGTTCTTTTCGTTCTTTTCGTTCTTTCGTTCTTTTCGTTCTTTTCGTTCTTTTCGTTCTTTTCGTTCTTTTCGTTCTTTTCGTTCTTTTCGTTCTTTTCGTTCTTTTCGTTCTTTTCGTTCTTTTCGTTCTTTTCGTTCTTTTCGTTCTTTCGTTCTTTCGTTCTTTTCGTCCTTTTCGTTCGTGTAATTACCTACGACATCAAAATCAACGTACGAATTCATATCGGTAAAGGAAAAAAACTGCCAATCAGTCATCACTCTCATTTCCGAATTTTCTCTATTCGTCTATGAAATCCGTACACGCTGCGCCACAGAAAAGTGATTCCTAGTTTATGTAGAGCAGCGTATTTTCAGTTTTCAGTGCCACGTCTGAGTCGACAATTCTAAAATTGAAAAATTCTGGCGAGCCTGAGAGCTGTCGTCTACATTAGTCGGCCCAGCGAAGTGAAGCGTCGCTTTAGAATGTAAACTGGTGACAGTACAAGCTTTTCCTTTTTCTCTTCCATGATTTATAGTGTGAACAACATTTTTTCCTTCTATTTTCGAACTGATTCATCGTGAAAATGAGCGTTGTTCATTCAGAGGGTCAGCTCATCATATTCCACAGATACCATACCCGTTTTTGGATGGATTAGCCTTTGGAACAAGGTTCGAGGTAAGTTTTTGTAGACACTAAGCTTTGAATTCAATCTGCTTAATGTAATTACACCGCCTCATCAGTCAACAGTTGTCTTTTCACAGATTGAGGGACCAATATAGGAAGGTGTCCACATTTTGTTATGGATTTCATATTCTTTTATAATAACTATAACTACGCTTTAAAATCCTGTGACTGTTAATGATCATATACTGTAGTTTTTATAAATTTTAGGAGAAAAATTAGTACTAAAAAAGCAAACCGGACCTCTGGTAAAAATGATCAATCATCATAAGGTTTTATTCTCCAGAATATATTGAAACAGATACTTAGTTAGCGGCAAAAATTGCAAACGATCAATAAATCGATTATTAACATTCATTGGCATATTCTACTTAGCAGAATACCTTCAACAATCTTACTACAGAAAACAAACAACAAATTTTTACTCTCTTATTTAAAAAGCGAAACATTTCCTGACCTTTTCGTGTCAAAGTCACTCAAGTCACCCTCGAAGTTTGTCCAAAAACACCCCTGTGATGAAAATTGGGTCTAAATTGTTAAATAACATCTTAAATTCATTGTTAGTCCTTCATTTTTATTTCCATCTCACCTGTTGCCGTAAATCTGAGTTACAAAACAAACTCTCAGGTCAAGAATACATCATTATAAAAATAGAACGAAAAAGGAAACAGTTCAGAAAATAAACATTTTAGAAAGATTGTTATGAACACAACTGACAGTTTCACAATTATTAACTTTCAGAAATAGTGCTACTATTGTTTGCCATAAATTCTCTAGATCAGTCTTTCTCGGAGTGGGCAATAACGTCCCCGTCATGCTGATTTATGTTTTATAAATACTAAAATTACAGTCTGGGTACGAAATTCTTGGCAGTGACTTCCCCCTTGCTCTTCAATGTTTAATCGCCGATAGAAGGTGCAATGGAAACGTACCTTTAAAAGTACGGATTGGTCCTACTCTTGTTATGCTGCTAGTTTGTGTAGTTTGATCAAAACAAAGAAAATTAAAACAACAATGAAAGCAACAATTATGGTTCCCATTCAATTTTTAGACAATAATTGAGTGTTTCTAATCGTAAATTACAGGTTGCATAACAAATTACTTGAATAATTTAGGTATCAGATCATATTAATTTTATGGTCGTTGAGCTTGACTCTTCAAACCATACATGCAGTGATGTCTCTGATTTGACCTTCGATATGTGATGTTTTTATTGTGCATGGTAATTATAAAATTTAACACAACAGATAAATAAATCATCTTCACAGCATGTTTCAAAATGCGTTGCGTGTTATTTTTTCTGGTCTTGGTGAAATTCAGTCTGACGTTGGTGGTTAATTTAAGAAAATTCAGGGTTTCAAACTGCACCCAGTTCAAAATCACACTTAGTAGTCGGAGGGAGGGTACAGTTTGGATTAATTGAAAGGCCACGGGAGGGGGGAGGGTATAAAATAAAACATGGATGCGACATGAGGATATAGAAAGCTACAGAAAGATAAAGTTGTTATTAAGCAGTTGACAGTTTTGCGTAAGTAAATATGGTAAAAAATACTCAAAGACTTTATTTTTCCCTCAAAAAATCTCCCAAAACATTTTATCCCCCAAAAATTCCCCAAGGGGCGTAAAAATCCTCCAATGTGGCAACCCTGACCAATCCAATGAAGAACCGCGCATGCGCGAAAATGAGCATGTGTAGCCACTTATGCATACAATTCCGTAAACGTTGCCACCAATTGACGTAAAAGTGTAGACATGGATCGACGTAAATTTTTTGTAGAGATGGGTCAACTTCGGTAATAGAAAGCTACATAAACATAAAATTGTTATTTAGCAGTTTTTCGTAATTAAAGATGGAATGAAATACCCCAAAAATACTCAACGATTTTATCTTTCTCCCAAAAAATCTCCAAGGGACTTAACAATATTAATATAAACATTCCATTGATTTTTTGCAAAGTAAAACTATATTTTATTTTGTCATTATATTTCAAGAACTGTAAAACCTCGAGGGGGAATGAGAGAGTAGAAAACCAGAGAGAAAGTGGGCGTGGTCCTCTTAGATATAGTAGAGTCGCTCCCCCAGTAATTTTCCAGAGGAAAAGTGTCGACGTAACACTTTGATAAAGAACGATGATATAATGATAAGCGTGAAAACAACAAAGCCGCCTTAGAAGATTTGGAAGCACCAACCTGTCCCAGTTTATTTCATTATAGTTCCTTATGGGCCACAACGCCCGGATACTATAAATTACACTTACTTGGTAACGGAACGACAACGAGTTACCCAAGTTTAGCAAGCGATAACTGCGTGTACTGCACGGTTGAACTCGCAAGCAAAGTGTCCTTGAAATATTTCGTATTCTTACAGTACACAAACGTGTTTGGTAAATGTGAATTCTCCAAGGAGCATTCCCTCTTCTGTTCTACTGTGCTTAAGAATTAACCCCTAACAGCGCTGGAACGCGCCGCCCATGTCCACAAACGTCTCCAAATCTTCGAAAAAATCTCCAAGCTGGCAACGGCGCAGTCAACTGGGAAAATGACGTGACACCGGAGATAACCTAACTTTTACAAGTGCCACTTAAAAAAACTGGAATTTGACCATTCCATAAAATACGATAAATTTCAAGATCATCCGCTGCTCCCATGTTAACAAATTAATTACATTTCACCGACGGTTCGCAACTTAACCACCGGTGTTGCAACGATGATAATCAAATTAGATAACAGCAAGCAAGTGGTTGTATTTGTTTATTTTGTTTGTTTAGTGTGCTTTCGGTTACCGTCTGTTGTGTTTCTCTGATTCATGTCCAGCAAAATGGTAATAAAACTAATTTTATAAGCTTGTATTTATACCAAGGATTTAGTATACGTTTATATGCATAATCTGTTTTGAATTTATGACAATAATACAGAGGAAAAGTCAAAAGTTTTACATTGACCGAATTTTCCGTATATATTCGTGACCACAATCAGGGTCATAAGAACTATTTTCGTACGTAAACATTTTATAATCGCGCATTATCTTGGTAATATTTGTCAATTACTTTGGTATGCAATATGCAAATGTATAAAGAGGAATGCCACTTTCACGCATCTGATACGGCTAGATTTAAGATATTAAGCTAACAGTTTGATATATATGTTTCTTAAAAATGTAATTGATAGGTTTATGCGTGATAAAATAGATTGATTTTAAAAAGGTTAGTGGAACCATATGCTTTCCAAAACAATAACAGCGTATTGATGTTTAAAATGGCTAGCTCTATATATAGATGAGCTTCTAATTGTTTTCATTAGTTACAATGCAAAGAATTTTTTATCGAAGATAAGGCAGTTTCATAACCACCAATAGGTTTAGGTAACAATGCTATGTTGAAATGTGGGCAGTTCCATTAGTCGAATAAATGATTTTACTTTCAGAATTCCCTGAACCAATGTCTGTTTGGAGCACAAACAGTTCAGTTTGCCTAGAACTTGGCAAAAATCATCCTTACAAGGACGGATTTGGGGACAGACCACATAGACTGTATAGTAAATACCTTCATTCCTTAAAGGTAAGATGATTCTATCATTATGATACATTTAGGAAGGATTTTACTGAACCTGGGTCCAAAAGGCATGTGGGTTACAAATTCAACCAATGAGAAGACGTGTTTGAAGCAGTGGGTCTAATGAATATGGTCAATTTCTTGTAAAATGTCCCTCAAATGAGAGAAAAATTATATGGTTTGTGGAAGTTGAGCAGCTTAAAACCAGTTTAGTGCATATCGCAAATATTTCATTTCTTAGTATAAAATAAAAGATTTGGATGTAACTTGACTCGAAATATCTTTTTTTTTTTAAGGAAGACTCAACTTCAAAGTTGCATTTTGGGTGGTAAATCTGTAGTATAAAATACTGTTTTACCGATTTTGACTGAACTATTCTTTAGCGCATATCGCAAATATTACATTTCTTATTTTAAAATGAAAGATTAGGATGCAATTTGCACGAAAATATCATTTTTTCTTTAAGGAACCCTCTGCTTGCTATTTTACAGAACTTCAAAGTTGCATTTTGTGTAGTACTACAGCTTTATAAGCTGTTTTTCTTGTTTATCCAAAAGATTGCTCAGAATTATATTAATATAACATACAATTTAAATTACTGTGACACTGTTCATCGCAATAATGCAATTTTGCATTATTTTAATGATGATAATAGTTCATTGTTAAGTAGTAATTTCTTTTATTTTAGATAAATATTCCCATCACTACACCACCATCACTATCGTATTCTCTCCATCTAGTTGCGATGTTGCCAAATCATGGATAGTTATATACCCTGATTTGGTTTGTCAAATTCTTACTTATATACTAGCGCAAAAATGTGCAATCGGCACAGGATTGTCATTAAAATGCGATTTCTGGTGCCATTTGTATTATCTATGTCACGCGAGCCGCTGGTGCATTTTCCACTGTTTAGATACATACTGTTCAAAATTTCATCTAGTTTTCGGTAAATATTGGTTCAAATTCTCATAAAACAAGCCATTTACAATAAACTGAGACTTTTATTTCGCAAATAACCTCATTTTTTATCACGTATTTCTCCAAAAAAAAGGTACAACTTGACAACAAAGGACATCATTTATCTTATCTGTCAAGAAATGAACGTTATAAAATGGCCATTCAGTATTGTTTGTACTTTTAAATATTACGCAAAAACTTTGATCTCGTATACGAAAAAAAAAATGGTTGAGGAATTTCAAGAAGACTGCAAAATCACAACACAACACCTCTACACAGTGTATTTTGAACCTTTTTTTGCAAAAAACAACGATTTTTCACAGTGTCACATCTATTTTCCTTAGTACTATACAGTGTATGTTATATTCTTATTACTTAAAGCATTTTGTGCAAAAAGCAAAAAAAAACGTATAAAACAGTATTCCATTCTAAAGTATTACCACCAAAAATGCAACTTTGAAGTTCTATAAAATAGCAAGCAGAGGGTTCCTTAAAGAAAAAATGATATTTTCGGGCAAGTTACATCCTAATCTTTCATTTTAAACTAAGAAATGAAGTATTTGCGATATGCGCTAAAGTATAGTCTTACCCTGATTTTTTCTTTTTTACGCAAAATTAGAAGTATTACACCCAAAAAAAAATAATTTCTTCAACGTTCTGTGGTAACATAATGACTATATTTAAAGCATGCTGTGGCAGCAATGTCAACGTTTTATCTTTGTTTTTGTTTACCATTGTTAAAATGTTATCCCTTAGTTTTTGTGAAGAAAGCAGTTTCTGAGAGCGGAGTAGTACAAATATTTGTAGTTATTGCCCTTTCATTTATTGTTGTTAAGCATAACAATATGCCTCGAGTTCGAAGACGTCCAAAATATCACCATTTCAGCGACTTTAACAGAGGTAGAATTATTGCCTATCGAGATGTTGGTTTGTCCTATCGCGAAATTAGCCGCCGTGTTAATTGTACTGCAATGACGGTAATGCGTGCGTGTCGTGTGTGGATAGAAGAAGGTAGAGGAACACGAATAAGGCCAACTGGTCCGCCGAGGCTTACCACATAGCGCAAGATAGGCGCCTCAGACGACTAGCCCTACGAGCTACTACGCGTCAGATCGCTGACCAATGGTTTGGATCTTGCTTAGTTTTCGAGAAAACAAAAGCCACTTAATTGCATATCCCTGAACCACACAAGGAATAAGGGGAAAAGTTTATTTTGAAAATTATAGTTTCTTATTACATATAACAACATCAAATAGAGAGAGACAAAACTAGATTGCCATGCATTGTGACAGTAGTAGTTATTTATTGCTTTTTCATTGTGATTAGATCCTACGTCATTTGTAAATTGATGAAAATTAAGAAAATACATGTGTCCGGCTTGACGTCGTCTCGTGATTGCAGTGTTGCGTAGGAAATTCATAGTCAACCTGCTTGACGCCATTTTTTATTCTTATTACAGCGTTCCAAGATGTCCCACCCCACGGACGAACTTCAAACCCGTCGTTACCTCTCCTGGAGAAAACTCCACCTGTCAAGAGCCAAACTCAAAGCGTCCAGCAAAACGTCAGCATTGCTCTCCGGTTTTGCGATGGTCGCCATGGTCGAGCTCCAAATCCAAAGCACCCAAAAGGTCACCAGCGAAGTGCTCGTCGCTTTCACGGTCATCACGACGCTCTTAGTAGCGGTCCACATGCTCGCGCTTATGATCAGCACTTGCATATTACCGAACATAGAAGCGATATGCAATCTGGACTCGATAAATCTCGTGGAAGAATCGCCGCATGAAAGATTGCATTGGTACATAGAGACAGCTTGGGCCTTTTCTACTCTCCTAGGCCTCATCCTTTTCTTAGCGGAGATCGCGATATTATGTTGGGTGAAGTTTATTGATATTGACAGTTACGCCGCGTGGTCGGCAACGGTGGTGCTGGTGCCTATTTTGTTCGTTTTTTTAGCGTTCGCGGTTCATTTTTACAGGTCTTTGGTTGCGCACAAGTACGAGACGACTCTGTCGGGGATCAGAGAATTGGAGATGCTCAAGGAGCAGATTGAGCAAGGTGATATCGAGGGTAGGAATGGTATCAATGAACTTATACATAACATACATGTTGTTTGAAGGCTGAACTTTTGTTTTTGAATATTTTTACAGCGGTGAGTTGAAGATTCACACCTAGAAAGATCTGAATTATTTCTCAATATTTTCTTTTATAGATCTGATGCGGTGAAGTTGACTTAACAGAAAGTCATGGAATATGCCATTTAGATTGTTGACAAACGGAATTGTTTTGTTTTTAAACTTGTCTGGCAGTTTTAATGCTCTCATTTCTATTCTATGTTATTTTCTAATATTTTTCATTCAAAGGTACCTTTTTGAAAGCATAAAAAATAAAAATAATAGTTCTTTTCACGGTCATTGGCGGTTACGTCATTAACGTCTTACGAAAGTATTTGGTTAATGAAGGCTCCTTGCTTTTATTCACCTTCACAAAATACTCCTGAAAGTCGGGACTTTCCTTTTCAGATAGAAATGCGGTTATAATAACAAAGCTAATATGTGGTGAAACAACAGCACACAAGTAAATTAAAAATTACTCATCGTTCATCGAAGAGAAATTGCAAGTACAGCTCTGTCACTTGTAAGTATCTTTCCAAATAATCGCAACTTATTGCGAAAATCTTACACGTAGATCGTCAACCGTGTCCATCTCAGTTTTATACGCTAAACCTTTCATTTCGCCCCAAACAAAAAGGTAAATCACGAAGGATCTTGAAAAACGATCTACTTACACTCGCGAAGCCTCGGTAGCGTTTTGAAGACACCGTAAATTAAAATAATATTGCTGTATGTGTGTGAAATTTTTGCGTTGTTTGTTTAGAACCGATGTGTAAAGGTTTTGTCTACCAACGCGGCCAGCGCCTGGATTCGAACCCTCATCTCTCCATTCCGTTTAGTCTACAGAACTAGCTTCCAACCAACATTCAGGACAGATTGTTAGGGGCAAACCCGGATTGCTAAGGCATCTAGTTGCACCACGCGGTCTCGTGGGCACACTCCACGGTACTACTGGATCGTAATCCTGAAAGTTCGCTAGCAGCCAGTTTTCCTTATCTCTAATTGTGTACTTAACAACGTATGTCCGAAGCTTGCACGAACAAATGACGGCGCACAGAGTCAGATTGCATATGTATATATACGGGATATGGATGTATAAAAGTGTGACCCGCCAAAAAGCGTGAGATGAACTATATGCCGGATTGTCAATCAAAATAAGCACTCAACATTCGTTTTTTAAAAATTATTGTTTCAAATTACACTACGGATGCTTTCCGTTTTGGAATCCCAGTTTTTTTTTAATGACTGGATTATACATTTCGAGTGGTATCTGACGAATAACGCTGATTGCTAGTTCCTGGATGTAGATGCAGCCCCAAAGAAAATATCTAGAAGTGTGACATCGCAGGCGGCCGATTTATTGAATTTCAAGCAGGAAAATATGTTATGGTAACGTTTGCCAAATACCAATTGGAATTCCAGAATACATTGCATTGTACGTAGTAACATTTGAAAGAAATAACCTACAAAACTGAATGCTCGGAATGCTTTTTCCTTCAATAAAAGTCATTAAACTAGATTTGTAGTGTTTGGTTTGTATAAAAACAATGAACCATTTGTTAGATACTGCTTTATCTAGATCTGTTCGCTAGTATTTTTACAACAGGTTCAAATATATTTTTATATGGCTTCTAGATTTATCCTTAATTCTTCAATTGTTTTGTTTATCGATATCATTGGCAAGAGAAACCAACCTTTGATTTATTTTTTACTATTTTTTTTTGTACGGCTTCTAGATGTATGCTTAATTATCCCATTGCTTTGTTGTACGACGCTTTGTGTCTTGATCTTTTCTTGCAATTTATCGATATTGTATTTTTATACGCCGTGGCAAATAATTTTTTTATAAAATGAGAAGTAGTAAGGGAAGTCATTTGGAACTACTGTGATTTTTATTAGGTTGAAAATAAAAGTATATTTTAATAAATTCTTGCTTTAACGTATCTTTACTGACCTTATCTTCAGAATGGCGACAGTCTGGCCCACAACTTACTTGGTTCACAAATATTGTTGAACTATGTTTTGTGTGTTCTATGACCATGAATGTCATTTCTACCGACCAAAAATCGACATAAATGTGTAGATATCGGTCAGCGTAGATGGGGATGCGTAGGTAACGATAATAAAAAATACCCAACGATTTTATTTTTCCCTCAAAAAATCCCCCAGAACATTTTATCACCCAAATATTCCTCGAGGTGCGTAAAAATCTCCCAATGTGGCAACCATGCCCAATCCAATTAAAAACCGCGCATGCGTGAAAATGAGCAAGTGGCGCCATTTTAGCATACAAATACGTCAACGTTGCCACGTCGCAGGTTATGCGATTTCCTTATTCCTCATTGAGAAATTGCAAATAGACGAAATCTGACGAATAATCATGGGTCGAGTGACGGAATGAAAAAGCTACAGAAAGATTAAATTGTTATTCAGCAGTTGGCAGTTTTGCACAGGTAAAGATGGTAAAAAATACTCAACGATTCTATTTTTCCCCCAAAGAGACGTAAAAATCTCCCAATGAGGCAACCCTGCCCAATCCAATTAAAAACTGCGCCTGCGCGAAAATGGGCAAGTGGCGACTTATGCATGCAAATATGTCAACGTTGCCATCTCTCCTACTGTTCTCGCAGTTAATGCGATTTCCTTGTTCGCCGTTGAGATTCCAAGAATACGAAACCTAAAGAATAATCATGGAGCAGGAGAGGAGGTTATTTAAAAACAAGCGATTTTCTTTTAAAATAATGAATAGTGGGTAAAACAAATCCCATATTGGCATAAGATGACATTTATTTATTGTTGATGAATCAAAATGATGACCCCATTTTGAAGCTTAAAAATGACATCACTTCAGTGTCCTGGTAACATTCAGATGTGCCCTGCAACGCTTTGAATTCCTGCTCTTGACATACAGCGTCAGGGTTCACCAAGCACAACTGAAATTAAAAAATGAGGAAAATATGTGAAGAAACACATCCGAATAAATTCGTGAAGAAATTTTTTATGTAAAACGGATATAATAGTGGCCGCTTGAATCTGGGCTTGATCTTTATGAATGATAAATGATTACAGTAGGGTTGCCTGACAAAGACGACCTTGCTGTAATCTTTTCTACTCTATTATTAATTCATAAAAATTAAGTTTTATAAAAAACAGCTATCTTCAGATTCAAGCATCCGGATATATCGTACTATAACCTCAAATACCCTGCGCATGGGCAGTAGCTGGTACTCTCTTCGATCACTGCACCCTCGCTCAAGCATCAAGTTTTGGGCCTCTATGTTAGATACGATTAAATGGTTGAAACACGCCCCAATAATATGTTAGCAAAATATCTATTTTTTTATCAATCACCTTTGGAAGAGGGAAGACAGTAGGTCTCTTCGCTGTCTGTCGGTACGGCAAATTGTACAGTTGACTGAATATGCAGGTATCATCCGACCAAACACCGTCTTGCAATTGACCAACGCTCAGGAAAAAAAATCTGCCTTTTCCATGCTTCAAATCGTTCAAAAAGTTGCCTTCGTACCTGTTGCCGTTCACGTATATTAACATACCTGTGAAAATAATACAACAATTTGCAAGCAGCTAATTTCTCGTTTTTGGACAGGTAAAATAAGCCACCTATATCGTTAGGCCGAGTTCAAGAATCATCGAGACCCGTCTGGAAGCATCTATATGTTATAAATTAGACAATGGACAGTAAAAACGGTGTTTTCGTTACAATAATTTGCATAAATGCTTGTCTGAGAATAAATCTAAACTGAGACGACTGTAGGTCGAGGGTTGGAGGACGTCAAAAAACCACGGTCACCATGTCCAAAAACGGGTAGATGTTGAAATAAGTTAAAACAAATTCTTATGACGTTTCTCAACAAGAAACATTTTTAAACATGCTGCTTTCGTCCGTCCGACCACAGTCAGCCAACCTAAGAGAGCTATTTCGTGCTTTTTTTGGCAACTCATCAGCATAGTCCAGGCTCGTTGGGACAAGCATAGCAACTATACTCTATCCAGGGTATGAGATCTGTCGAAATAAGGCAGCACAAAGCACCATCTATTACCAAAATCGACCACTGAGAGAGTGAGTAGCAGCTATCGGTTAGAACTGCAAAGATCTCAGTTCGCGTTTGATAGTCCAGTCACCACTGTGGCCGCTGGAGGCAGGCGATTTTGGTGATATAGTAGATACCCACCCATGAACAACTAAACATGCTGGTATAGTAAAGATATAGCAGATATTATAGCCATGACACATGCCACAATATAGTGGACTGTATAGCTGCGATAGTTATAGCCAAATATTTCTACAAAAATATTGCTCGTAAGGCATTGATGAGAGTTTGATTACTACTTATTGGAATCTCTTTAAAAACGATCTTAACCCTACCTAGTCCTTGTCTTTTTCCCTTGATCCACTCTCCTTCATAGTACGCTCCATCATCGTACCACATCTTCCCGTATCCATGTCGTTTTCCTCTATGAAATTCGCCCAGATATAACCCTTTGCCTTTCATCACCCACCTTCCAAATCCTTCCATCATCCCATTGAACCATTCTCCGACGTAATACAACTCGTATACATCGACGCCTGAAATTTTGTCAGCCAAAACGCCGAAGCCATGACGGACGTTGTCCACGAAATCGCCTTCGTACAAACGCTGGTTGGCGAACGTTCTCTTCACGCCTTTCCCTATATCGTAAATCGAAAAAATTATGTGCAACCAGACCTACCAATGATTCGCCAAAACGGATGTTCACCCTCCTGTCATACGACGAAGACGACGTACGTACGTCCTCTGGCTCATAACAGCTCGAAGTTCTCAGCCTTGTACACAGATGTCGTATCGCACCACTATCTCGGTCGACTGTCAGCACGTCATAACGACGTCAAAATTTGGTGATAACTCGTCAACTGACGGGATTGTTCCATATACCGACGTCGTAATGACGTCTACTAAATGTTCAATTGTATACGTGTACTGCAAGACGTTGTTATTACGTGTTTTTGAGGATATCCTTTTGAATCGCATATACTCATATATATTGTTAATTTAGAATCAACCAGCGTTTACGTTTACTCAGCGCAACACAAAATTACAGATTATCATTTCTAGCGTTCCCATAGATATTTAATATGTTTAAGAATGAGTGGAGGTGCGAAACGAATAAAAATATAATCTTATTGGATTCAACATGTAGACAAAAAATACATATCGCATTTTAACTATTCAACGTGTTCTGTATGCACAATTTTTTTACTTTCAATCTGGCAACGCTGTATCCATCGTTTTTCGAAAGTCATGATCACGTCACGCTTTTAAATCACGGACATCAAGAAGTAACGGTATCCGATATCACGGATATTCCAAATATAATGATATAGCCCATCTTTATCTAAGACAGCGCTGTCATAATGACACAGACGGAAAGTCCGCAAAATATAATTTTTATTACGCACCTTACGGTACAGAATGCATGAGCTGCTTTTTAAATACTCATGATATTGAAGAAACAAATCAGTTATACATTGACCGCCTTGTATTATTCGGTTGCCCCTCGTACAGTCTGTGTGACTGTATAATTGGCTGCCTATGTATAAATGTGGTATAAGAAAATCCTTTTTTTAAACCCATGATTGCATTAGGTAATGATATTATAAATTGTCTCGCTGGATATACAGATTCCTGTATTTTTTATAGGACTACTACAAAATATGTACCATTTCAAATCGATTCCAAATAAAAAAGAGTTGTTTCTCACCCGTTCTCTGATCATTTTGCCATTCCCCTACATAAGTATCTCCATTTACGGAAAATATTTTATGCCTCAACCCATTTTTCTTTGTTGTATTCTCCAATCTCCTAGATCTTGATAACTGAGTTGAGTGTTTTTTGAGGAAAGGCATCTTGTGCTGATTATTTTCGTTCTGTATTGATCAAACATTTATCAAATTTATCACTTTCCGAACTCAGATAATCTGCTTCTATACACTTTTTCAGAGTATATTAGTAAAAAAATAGATACAAAAACGGCCTAACATCTCAAAGAAACACTATCAACTCAAATTAGGGTCAAAAATTTGATTGTCATCTGCCGCTAAATTTTTGAATCCCATGAAAAATGACAGCAGTGTTGCCGGACTATAAAGTCCAATATTTGATATTGATTTATAGTGTTCGGGTTTACTAATATTTCATGGATGGCGCTAGATATGCAATCCCTTTTTGATGCCTATTTTAGTCAGGTGTCACCAAGTGAAGCTCGTTATTCAGTGTCTAAAGATGCCCAATTAAAACCAAACACTGGATTTGTAAAATATTTTTTGTGTTCTGATACTGTCTGATAGATACAGCGAGTATATTTCAGATTCCTTTTTAAGCTCCAGAATGCAATGTATGTTTGGCTATATCCAGGTAGAATAGTTAATTATCCCTCATTTTTTTATTACTGCCTAAACCTGACCTTATTTGAAGATGAGGATACTTATTATTTCAAGATTTGGCATCGCTGCATGGCGGTTTGTAAGCAGACGTTGACAGTTGACGTTTGACTGAGAATGCAGTCGGAAGCGTAAACTGTCAGCGTGTCGGAATCAAAAGAAGAAAAACAGGAATAATTTTGGCGGTGGATAACAAAAACATGGATTCGCAAAAGCGAGGCAAGAAGAGGTCACTATGCGACGGCATTTTCGAAATAAGCGACGGAGATATGTCCCCTGAACAAAGTGATGCTGATGAGCCTGAAGCCAAGGTGTCTAGAACGGACATCAGCATTATTGAGATCAGTGAGGAATCCAGCCAGCAAAGTGTACAAGAAAATAGGAATACTGATTCTGGGCCCCTTTTTAAAATAGATTCGGGCATTTCAGTAGAAACAATAGAGATCGTAGACGAAAGTTTCACAGAGGTGACAAGCCTTTCAGAAGCAGATACTTGTTTGACGAATCCGGATGCTTGCGTAGTTGTATCAGACTCAACTGTGACAGTCTCAGACAGCCAAAAACCAGTCTCTGACATAGAAGAGGGAGAGGTAGAGGAGCCCAAAGACAAATCTATGGTCGAAGTCAGTTCAGAAAGGATACCAAGTATCTCTATAACGTTCAGTGATGAAACCATTGCCGATTTGTATAGATTCAAGTTTTTGAAGTTCCTCCAGTCTTTTGTGGAGCTGGAAACTGATCTGGATGAACTAACAATAACAGCATGGCGAGATCCTCAATTGGACCCAAAAGAATGGGTTGTTGTAGATGAAACTTCTAGTATTCCAATTTCCACAGATCCTAGTACGAATGTACCGATATCTGAACTGTCACCATCATCTGATAAAAGCCCCAAAAAAAAGAGAAAGAAAAAAAACAAGAAAGCTGCATCTGCGGAAGCATTTATTTTGGACACAACGCCTGCAGCAGATGATCAAAATTTGCATGTAACGAAATATTGCAGGAAGTTTGAGATTGATGTGTGTGAGAAAAATGATTCCGCTGAGGAAGACGTTAAAGTTTCTGCTCAAATTTGTTTCAATTGTGATGGACACCATTCCATGAGGGACTGCACTGTACCAAAGAACTATGCTAAAATCAACCAGAGCAGGCAGCAGTTCAAAGCTCAAAAGCAGACTGTGTAAGCATTTTATTTCCTTATAATTTTGTTTACAAGCATGTACTGAGTAGGATTCCTTTTAAAGCGCTAGGTAAACAGTATCTAAGGTCAGAGCTTCTTGAAAAATGGTTTTATTAATATTTATTCTAACAGGTTTGTACCTGAACAATAAACAACAATAAAGAATTCAGCAACAGGTTTTCTTACCAACAATAAATATAGTCAACGCCAAACAAAGTGGCGTGCACGTCATCAAGGTGGGTGTGTTGAAAAATTTACATTGTTGCCAAACTTTTTGTAAAATAATAAAATTTATTATTTACATATCTAGGTTTATAAGCAATATTAACCTCAAATGAGAACAAAAGTAATAGTATAATAAAATTATAGATCTGTACTTGCATAATCATTAAGTATGACAATTATTGATCAGATGACACTATGAAACTACCATATTTAATTGATAGCTTAAAGGTACTGAATAAAAATCCAAATGGGGTCCTCCAAATTTTATGCATGGTATTTATTTTACAGAATTCATACAGAAAAATGCATTCTAAAATTAGGTAAGCTACTGGTGTAAGCTTTTTCTGTACAATAAAGTTAGTCTGAGTTTCTTTCTTCAGCGCTGTCTGAATCTGAATCTTCATCACTCTCAAAGTTGATTATTAAAGGTTCGATGTCTGGTCGATCAAAAATTCGTTCTCTTTCATACCATTTAAAAATTTCTTGCTCAGTATGTCGAACACTATTTTTCCACATGTCTGGGGTAACCGTTTGTAGAGCCTCGTTCCACATATCCAAACAGTCTTTTTCACTGTTACCATCTCTACCAATATGTCTGTTATAGTAACCTTTTGCTATGCCCCAAATTAACTCAATAGGGTTAAATATACAATGGTAAGGAGGCAGACGAAGAACTTTGTGCCCATGTTGTTCCGCCAATTCATCAATCACGTATATTTTAGGTGGTTTGTTTCTAAAAAAGCAGTTATTTTAAGAATAGGAATAAACAAAAGAAATATAAACTGTCGACCAAAATATATATAATTAAGAAGCATTATGTACCGAGCAACAATACTCAATAGCTCTGTTTTAAACATTGTGTTTAAAAATGGTATGTTTTGATTTGTCAACCAGTCTTGGATATTTTTTTTTGTCCATGCATTGTTGGGCACTTTGTTCAATATCATGCTGTGATAAGGGGCGTTATCCAGTATAATCATAGATGGACTCTCCAATTTTTCTAATAACTGATGTTGAAACCATTTCAAAAAATTGTCCTGGTTCATCTCTCCAAGGTAATCGCTCAATTTTGTTTTCGAAGAAAATATCGCTTCACTACCCTCAATAAACCCATTTTCATTTCCAGCATGTAATATAATGTATCTAAAATATATTAGTTTTAAATTTTATAGTGCAAATTGTGTAAAAGTACCATACCTTTTACCATCTGTTTTAATAGCTTTCACGCTTTTTTGGTTTCCATTTTGCCAAGAGCGACCTATGGTCCCATTTTGAAATATCCAAGTTTCATCGAGGAAGACAAACTGGTATAAGGCCTCAACCTTGGCTGGATTGTATTGCCTTAGAAATTCCACCCTTTTCAAAGCTATACTTGGTAGTTCCATGAGCCCTCGTCGCGGATTGTCCTTAAGCCACTTAAATCCAAGATCTCTAAGCAACCGCCTTAAAGACGTGGCACTACCATCAAATAATGCCCTATCTCTTAATCGAGACCATAAAGTTTGTATCGTAACTTGTTCTTCTGAAACCATGTGTAATATGACATTATAATTTAGTTAACAAATTAATGCAAATTTCTGATAAGTTATTATAATAAGATCTTACTTTTGTGATACATATTATAGATCACTTCTCGAATGGCACTTGTATCCAATGTCGCTGTGTTGGTTACACGTTTAATATAACTCCGCTTTTTCTTGGGCGATTCTAAATTTGCATCACTTTTCACACCCTCGGAAATACGACTAACTGTCCTTAAACTAATTTTTAAAGCAGCAGCAACACGCTACAAAAAATGGAATAAAATTTCACTATTATTAATATACATTACATATAATTATTAGTAACCTACCTCTTGAACAGCATTTAAAGGCAACAAAGGCCCGTTGTTGTCCCTTTCTTGCTCAAAGTAGTGCATTAACGAGGCCACGAGTTCCTTACACCGACTATTTAACTGTTTGGGCATCTTTATATACCAAAATTGCCTTTATCTACTCGTAAAATGAATAATTTTGTTTTGAAACAAACAGTTGTTGATTTACAGTATGCGGGGCCAAAGGATTTATAAAGATTTGAAATGCCACAAATTGATTCAGTGTCAAAATTAATACAAATGTCAGTTCCCAGTTTAAATAAGTTTCAAGGTGACAATGTGTCAACGCTGCGAAATCGGTTTAGTGCGTTTACATGTCGATAAGTGATTGGAGCGTTAGCAAAACATTTTATTTCGCATAATGCGTCTAAATTTATCAGAAAGCAACTTATGTGATATTTTAATAACAATGTTTATATGACTATTAACCATAATAAGAGAGTAATGACCATTTTACAATTTATATATCACATTAATATGAAACTGCAATAGAGCAATTGTTTGTGATAGAAACCTAGGCATTAGGTCGGGGAATTTTTATCGTGATGACGTGCACGCCACTTTGTTTGGCGTTGACTATAGTTGCAAATATGTCCTAAATCTCTTAACTTTTGAGATACAGGGTGTTGAATTTTAAGAAAAAATTCGTTTTCTTATAACTTTTATATATCTATAATCTATATATATACCAATAGGCACTTTTTGATGTAGAATATGTTTTAATATCTCTACCAGAAGTGTCTGTACAGTATGTATACTGAAGATTTTTGAAAAAAAAATTGTATACTATTGCTTTTTCCGAAAATGAAAATCATTTTTAAAATCCTCATTTATCTTGCAATAAATTTGACCTTTTGACTTTTTTCCGTCCAATGCACCGTTTTCGCGTAGAAAATTAAAACCATTTTGGTTATTTTAATCATTTGACTTTACTTGTATAAACATTGAAAATTAACATATCTTACCTACAAACTACCACATGAGATTTCAGCGATTTTGCAATGCTTGGAAATTAAAAAAACAAGTTCTGTGGATCAAAAAACTACTATTTAATGTATCACAAAAATTGTTGAAAATGTCCTCCTGCTAGAATACAGGCTTTATTGCTCATGGGTAGGCTAACCCTTCCAAAAATGCACGAGTATTTCTGATGGTTTGGCAGGAAAGTAAAATTTTCTGCCTTAGTTCCTCTACAGTTTAAACTGGTGCAGCATAAAATCTTGAGGTGTCCCTACAAAAAATAGTCTATACTATTTAAATTCGGGAACCTGCGAGACCAAGATTTAGTTCCCTCACGTCTTATCGTCAACACTTCATTTAGAAACTCCCTAGCATGAATTTTTCTCCTAATAAAAAAGGTACATCCTCAAGCAAAATTGGCAAATCGTTTTCAAGAAAGTGACGGTAGGATAGTCGATCTAGTCTTCTGGAAGGACGGTCCTATGAGGAAATGTCCAACTATTCCAGCCTACACTTTCACGGAAAACTGCTCCTGATGATGTGTCTCTTTAATTGCGGGAAGAAGTAGCTTCATCAGTAAAGAGTATTTTGATATCAAATAAAGGGCTTTCAGCAAGTTTTTCTAAAAACCATCGGCAGACATTTAAACGCAATGGAAAATCACGCGGCAGTAGTGCTTGAACCCTTTAAATATGATAGGGGTATGGTAAATTATCAACAAGTATTTTCCAAATAAGAAAACGTGAAACATTAAGCATTACCGCAATTTTAGATTGTACTAATGCGAGATTGATGATTTCAATTTTAATTTAAGGCGTTATCACTTGGAAGAAGACCAAAAATTCTCTCATCTAAAACCTGGGACAATCTCCGATAGTTTGCGAGACGCGTTGGGACTAAGGAAAAACCAAATTCCACCGTACATCTATCAGATGCGCCTTATGGGCTACCCGCCTGGTTGGCTAGAAGAAGCAAAGTTTGTATACTCTGATCTAGCTATGTTTGATGCAGATGGTAAACACGTTCTGCAAGGCGTCCAGAAGAAATCGCAAGGTTTGGATCCACAGAAAATTGTTGACTATCCTGGATTCAATATGCCATTGGATGAAAAAAATAAGGATGTAGGTACACATGAGAATGTCTCTTCTGTGAGAAATATTGTGTTCTCGTATTTCAGGAATACAAATATTACGGAGTACCCCCGTACTCTGACAAGTTTAACAAAAAGGTGATGATAGAATATTTTGAAAAAGAGTTTGTTAAAAAGCAAGACGATCTTGAAGCATGTGATATGGACTTAGATAGTACCTTTGTGGATAGTGAAAAAAATGAGGATAGTATACCAGACATACTGAAGACTCCTCTAGTAAGTATACAGACATTCACATTTATAAACAAACTGCTTACTCAACTAGCAAAGATTTCCTTTATTATAATTTGTTACAGCACATCCTCAAGCAGTTAATTTGTCTCTTAAAATTGCATTGCATTTTGGGTATTCATAAATTGATTTTTTAAATTTCATGTTAAACATTTTTAAATTCGAGTTATTACAATTTTGCAGATGAAAATCTGTAATAATGCCTCTAGTTTCATTTTTATGATAATGACTATTAAATTTTGTTTTCTAACTGTGGGGTAATATATGGTTTTTCAATTTGAATATGAAAATGAGAACCAAATAACATATAAAATGTTTTAGACTTAATCTTAGCACATTTATTTTTATTTAAGCTTTATTTACAATTCACTCATTTAAGATCACAAGTTATTTTAGGTACTTTTTGTTCAGTTTTAATTTAGCTCTGTTTTTAAAATGTTTGTATTCTTTAGCAGCATTTCTTTAATTTTTTTTAATTAAAGCAATACTAATATTTTATTTTGTAACTTTCAGAAAGATATAGCAAAGATCGACATAGGAATACCCTCACCCTCATTATCAGATCTAGAGAAGGTAAAAGAAAAACTCTTAGTAGAATTGCAAGATAGCATTTCAAGCCCTGATAAGACCTCTAGTAAAATATGTGACAAAGATGACGAGATTAAACAAAATGAAACTAAAATTAGCGAAAACGATGTCGAAACGAAAGAGATTGTTAAAAGTAAAGATGACACAAACGAAAATTGTGAAGATGAAGAAACAGATAAAGAAGAAAAAGATCAGAATGAAAGTGTTTCAGAAGCATCTGAAGATAAAGGAGTCAAAGTGGATTTGTCAAATTCAGAATCTTCAAATAACGATGATTCAAGGCAAAACGTATCCCCGGTCCCAGGTTGTTCAAATTTGATCAAAACAAGTTCTTTTGGCACCCCTATTTTGAAAAGTACTTCTCCATACGTCCGACTGCCGAATCCCGATAATTTTATGGTGGGGGTCAGTCCGGTGATAAATTTCGAAAATCTGCCGGATTCCACGGGAAAGTACGAGCAGATGACTGACGTGCTGCAAAAAGTGAGAAAGACGATGAAAAATTTACAGAAAAATAGCAAGACGTGACCACGCATAGCGATTCGAAGAGTGTGACTGAAGTACAAATCGTTTTTGTATGAAACGTTCTTTTATTTAGCAAATAAATATTGATTATTTTATTTTTGTTTTATTTATATTCGCGCTAGTTCGCGAGCGACCTTTTTCGCAAAATTCAAGGTGGCTGTGCCCATTTTACATCTTCTGATTTCAGCACAGCGCGGGGTAGCTCGTCTATTTAAGAGGAAAAAGCATAAAAAGGTGATTTATTTATCTACTTTTTTTTGTGGAAGAAAAGGTAATAAAATAATTTTGGAAGAAGTTATTGGGCATATAGTCAAGTGAAAAAAATATTAAAAAAATGGCGCTCAAGGGCGGACCCAGCATTTCTTTAGTATTAGTCAAAGACGTTCTGTCATTATGAAGCTTTTGATCTCGGTAACAGCGGCAAAGTCAAATGATAAAAAGTCCGGTGTATAATTCGGCATGCGCAATATCAAACAGATTATCCCAAGTTCGTAACAAAGTTTTGTCGACCTTGCTCAAACACTTATTGAGTGTCTGTGGTCGGAAATAAATAAGAACATGTTTAGTTACAGCACACGCTTTTCTTGCGTGATATAGGTAGTTTCTAAGTGTCCTTACAATGCAGCACGGTGCACCAAATGTTTTCGTCTCTGGTCAGTCGCAATTTAAAAAAGCCTTATATCGATCCTGCACCTTGTGTTGACCAACCGGTGTCTCACTCACAGCGAATCGCACACGCATGAATTAACGATGAAATTGACAAATATCTCCAGAAAAAAAACCCGGCTAAATAGCACAAAACATAAACGCGTGTCACACATCGACAGATTTGTATAATAGAAATCTTTGCCTATCGAGATAGATAGAGGAGCTATTGTAATCTCTTGGTCGGGGGCGGAGTCAGTTTACTTACTAGTTCACGAAAAAATTATAGTGTCTGTTTACATTTTATTAACGGTTGTTAAAAGACCATAAAACAGAGAAGTCTTGACGCACCATCTTAGCTTGCGGCGGTGTAGGGTGCGGGATTAAGATGTGGTGACGAGTCGGCATTATAACACAGTCAAATTATACTAGGCCTCGCGATTAATAGGAGTTTTCCCGGCTATCCAATGATGACCTTGAACATAACTTTGGCCGTGGCAAGGTCATTTGAAGGTCAACTCTCTTTTTTTAGCGGGACCATAATACTATATTCGTTTACCGCGGAAATTGAGAAAAATGGGTTAGTTTTTTTACCATTATTATTTCACAAATTATCATGGGGTTCCGGAACTTTTCGGATGTCCTATATGAATGTGCTGCTATGCCCGTATCGTAACGATGTGATTTATTTTACATTCAAAGCAATAATGTGGAAGTGGATCTGTTTTTACATTATTACGCTTTGCTCAAGATACTACTTATATATAGCCGTGTCAGCAAAAAAAACATCAAATAGACCCTCGCAAAAGTTTCACTTTATCTATACATCAGCAGCAATTGAAATGACTTAGGGCGGTATCGTCAGTCGTCCGTACAATTATTGCAGGACGACTCTATGGCCTCCTCGATTTTCGTAGTCTTTTCTCTCCTTCAGAAAGGCTGGGGTATTTCTAGATTTCTACTGTTCCATGTCAGCGTCAGCGCTCTCCTATTGTGAGGTTATGTTTTCTTTTTGAATTGTGGGAAATGTCCGACTGATAAAACGGATAATCAAAAGCATCAACAATTCGACGCAAATAGATATTTGTAACATAACCTCAAAAAAGAGCGCTTTTATAGAGGACTGGAAAAACTATGAAAGGCCATATAGTCATCCTACAATTGTAAGTATGACCGATATTTCCGTCTTTGTGTTTACAATATTCGGGTACTGAGGAAGAAAAATCATCACGAATTGTCAAATTACCTTTATTGGCGATAAAGAAGAAGATTATACAAGATAGAACTATCTATCAACATATTTTAAAATATGCACCTCCCAGTATACCTATTTAGAAAATACCCTGAAAATAATACACTCCACACAAGCAAGGTTTTTACATAAGATATTTACATACATATATTTATAAATGTATACAACAATAACCTTGGTAAAATACTGTGTCGCAAGGAAAATTAAAAGTAAAAAAATCGCGTGCAAATTTTTAATCTCAATGTTACAAGAATAAGTAGTATAACAGCCAATTATAAATATTGTGTGAATTTGCTTTTGCAAATTATTTATATTTCTATCGTAATCTAGCAATACAGAAATAACCATTCCCCATAACCATGTGAAATACATACAAATTGCACCATTTTTTATCAAGAGTTAACTTTGCCTTGGAATGATATGAAGGCAGTAATTGTTGTACTGTTTTGACAGTTTGGAAACGTTTACTAATTTCATATTGTAGAAAGACAGAAAATGTATATTAGTGTTTGAAATTATTCCAGATCAAAATAAGTTAATATAGGCAAAAATTAATCTCTTATTCAAAGTTTCAACTAGTTCATTGTTGGAGGTGGAGGAGGGTCAATGTTTGGGTTCTGAAAAAAAATAATTAGTATTATTCTAAAACATAAATAGCATCAAAATAAAAATTCATACTACACTGGGTTAAAGCTACTTTAGACAATGTCTTGTCATTGAACATAATAAATACAAGAGACTTTCAGTAGCTATAAATGACTAAGACTGAGCTTTGGTGAATGGCAATGTGATCAAATGACAATAACTGCAAATTTCCCAATTTTCAATAGTTTACTTTTCTAAATAAATGCGGTAGTACGAATCTGTAGCGTAGACCGCAACAAAATACGACTCTGTCTACACATTTATCACTGTCAGATCCGTCAGAATTGTGTGTCACTTGTCAATATGGATTATTTTGAAATATTACTAGATAATCATCTGTTATTTGCTCTCACATTTGGCGTAATGGATACTCGTGAAAAAAAATCTATCACTTAAAATATTTCACTTACATTTAATGCTGGTTTTGAAGGGCCTTCGGTGGCTTGACGTCTAGGACGGAAGTAATACATGAACAATGCAACAACAAAGAAAATACTCATCAACAAAACATGGTCAGGGTTGCCTTGCCTTGCAGGTGTATCTAAAGAAAGTTTCAATTAATCATAAAGAAAAACACTTTTATTGTTAGCAACATATTTGGATCAGAATCAATATCATTGCGCAAGCAATTGTTGCCAAGAGAATCATTTGGTATGGAGTAATGCAGTTTGAAGTACAGACGAATTTGTGCTTAGTTGCAATTTAATGATTTCAATACTAAATTTTTAAAGAGAAAATATAATCTCGCCCACTACTCATACATTTACGAGTGTTTGGAATATATTTTTTTGGATAGTTAGGGCGTGAACGTCATTAAACCTTGTTCCATTCAGTTTTTATTTTTCAAAAATGGTAGAAATCAGACTATAATTGCCAAATCTGTTGTTTCTTCTGATATAGGCAACATTACACTATATAATACATATTACCCAGAAACACAGATTTAGAGAGACAAAAGCAAATTGCGGTTGGACACTTATTGAAAACAATTAGAATCGAAAAGCATCGGAATCGCGATCGAATGAAGGAATGGATTCCAAGGTCAGAGTCATAATCGTCTACCGATCGATAGAGTCGATTTTAAGGCCAAACTTAGTATCAGGAACGAATCATTTATGGTGTTTATTTTGGTATATGGATCAATGATATGGTCTCCCATTTATATGAATAATTGTCTAGCCTGCTGAAGTGTGCAGAATAAATGTCCACTGACTCATGCTAAATGTTTTTGCACGCGTCCATGATTATTATTTTTTGCCATGCATTCCATTATTATCAGTTGAGTTAGTAGAATGTCATTATAAACACAACGATTGAAGATAGGTATAAACTTTATTATATAAATATTACTAAGATCTTCATGGATATTTTGAAAATTAAAAAAAATGGGGATTTCCATTTAAAAATCTAAAGTGAAACTAGAAACCAAAATTTACGTGTCGAGCGTTTTTCTCAAAATATACCAGGATAATCACAAAAGGGGTGCGACTTTTTCGTTGGGACACCCTGTATACGAATTCCTGGTGAGCATATATATGATGATGCATGCATATTCAATATTACATTGAAGTTGAAGGCGTATTCACAGTGATTTATTGTTTGTGTTTAAAGTATTAAATGGCCAGATGTGTCCTGAGCTCCTAAAAAAAAACTTATATGTTTTATCATTTAATTTGAGAGTGAACCTATTATTTATATTACCTCATCATAACACAAATTATGCTATGCACTCACCTGATCAGAGAACACTGAATCTTATAAATACTAAGGATATTGAAATACATTTGAAATTATTATCAGAGAATTAGCTAGATTTTTTATTTCTTATCTAAAATTATACTTATGTATACTTGTTATTGTTATATTTGTATTTTATATACAGTAATGGACAAAAGTATATAGACAAATACGAATTCATACTTCAATACTCCATAAACAATGGTCAACGTCGAGTCGACATTGCCAAAAATTTGAAGCTGAAGCATAAAGCAGTTTGAGCAATATTAAACAAATATAAACAAAAATGTATCTTGGAAGCCTCTAAGAGAAGTGGTCGGCCTAGAAAGCTAAATGCTAGATCAGTTAGATTATTAAAATAATTTAGTCCAAAGATCTGTTTAAGGCCCGTATCGTCAGTCGTCCCTACAATTGTAGAGGACAAAGATTGAACCCCAAGTACACTTTGCCCACTGTCAAACATGGAGGCGGATCTGTTATGGTTTGGGGGTGCTTTTCAGGGTTTGGGATGGGACCTTTACGCAGAATAGATGGCATTATGGATAAGTTTGTATACACAGACATACTAAAGCATGTCATGTTACCCTATATGGAAGACAAGATGCCCTTAAGATCAATCTTCCAGCAAAATAATGACCCGAAGCACCCTTAAAATTTCGAAAAGAAATTCTTTCTGGATGAAAAAATACCAGTTCTCAAATGGCCTTCAAGTCTCCCGATATAAACCCCATTGAAAATCTATGGCAATACTTAGATAAGCAAATATGAGATAAAAATTATTCAGACAAGGATGCCGCTTTAGAGCAAAAGTGGAGACAGATTGATGAATCTTATATCAAGAAACTTCTACAATCTATGCCGATATGATGCCAGGTGGTGATTGATAATAATGGTTATGCTACAAAATATTAACACAAACATGGTTGGTTTTCTATAATTCAATGAACTTTGCTTCTTTTTCTCTAATTGTTTTGCTTTGTCTATATATTTTTGTCCTTCATAGTTCCAGTTTTTTCAATTAATTTTTTATTGAAGGGAGTCTAATGAATTTATTTATGTATAAGTGAGTATTATGCTATAACGAATTATGTATATAGGTTGGTGTATTAATGAAGCAAGTTAAAAAAGAAATACAGCACAATATTAATTTGTCTATATACTTTTGTCCATTACTGTATATATATATATATATATATATATAGGTGAAAAATTAAAGCTTCCGCCTTTTGTTGGGTACTTCGACAAAATTTAAGCAAAGAGGACTCTTTATACTTTTTTTAATTCTCTCTAGCTTTCAATGGACTTTGCCATCATCATCAGGAGCTGATATATATATTGGTAATGCAGTTGATCCCATATAAATAAATAAAATAAATCTAAGACCAGAATTACACCATGGAATCAAATCATAAATAGAAATGATTTGGCCCAGCTACATCACAAATATTTTTCGCCTTGTCTAATAGGAAATAGTGGGCTGAGCTGATAAACATGCAACCTTGGAAAAAAGCGCTATTATAGATAAAAACTGCATACAGCTTACATACGAACCTACAAAAAATTCAACTATACGAATCCTACCATTAATTGAAAGACATTGCTTGTGTATATCTCGACTATTTTTATAAACTAAACGAGACGAAAGCCACGTCTGAGTGTTCATGCAATAGGATAATTGAGATATAAAGATAATTACTCACCAGTAATAATACATTCAGAATCCGTGCAGTAAGATTGGGAGTTCCTTAACTGCAAATGAAAACTCACAATAAACTGTCGCACAACTCTGTTTTGGTACTTACGATGTTCAAAAGGCGTCTCATAGCAAGTTCGTGGCCCCAAATGCACTCGCAAGGATCCATGCCACCGTTGTCATCGCCCATTTTTGCGGTTTTGCTAAATAGATAAGGAGGTTTCAATATGTTCCTAAAACTTTGCTATCACAGATCGTTACACTGGAAATGATTTTCAGTGTGTTAAACTGTATGGAATCGATGTCGAGTTTTTACAGCATTTTTTCTAGTTTGTTGATTGCATCAACTTTCTATTTTGCGCTAATCAATTTGTTAAACTACCAAGGCAAGTGGAAAACACAAAGCATATGTTGATGTGTCAAGCGAATAACTGACAACCACGTCATCTTATGCAACTAAAGCCGTCCATTCACCATAGACGCAGAGAAATAGGATGTAAAAGCTATAGAAGGCGAATGAACAAGCATGTACGTCTGACATTTTCATCAATGGCAGCCATATATACTAAATGACATAGAAAATGCAACACCGACTAGAAGTGCAGTAATTTTGAGCAAGATATATCATGTCGAATGAACACTACTCGTGACCGTAACACCCAGAGTGCGATGAATATGCCGTTCGATGGAATATATTTCACCACGTCTCCTCCTTACTCTTCCAGCGCCATCATGTGTGCCCAACCAGAATCTGGACTCATCGCTGAGTACGACTGAGTTCCATTCAAGTCTCTCCCTACTGCCGACGATGCTGTGGGGTCAGAGATAGTACAAGATAGGGACGGTATGAAAACGGTCCAAAAGACTTTATTCTGCGATAAACTGTCCTCATTGTTATTATTCCCCAGCACTAACCACTGATTCGCAACGGCCCTTGTTGTGGAAAATCGATCTCTAAGTGATAGTTGCCTCAAATAACGATCCTGTTGCTCTGTAGTCTTCAACAAAATTCAATAAATAATTCTGGCAGTTGCATTTTACGGAATATTTATTTGTTCTCTTTGTTTCGATAGATGTTACTTCTGTCTTAAAAGTAGTGAATGGCCAGTTGATGATACGCGGTAGACTAAAACTTGACTAGCAATGCGACTGTTTTTTCGTTTTGTCAAAATATGTATTCTACTAGAAAAGACCTTCTCTAGTTCTATTTTTTTATAATTACCTAGGGTGGTTTAAAAATTGGATCAACAAAATTAATATTAAGTATTTAGACCCTGTTTTTGCAGCGTGAGCGGAACTACACAAAGTCTGCTGGGCAGAACACTTATTGCAAGCTTCCTAATATGAACAATTAGACCTATTCAAAGAGGGGGAGTGGGGGCGGCTGCAAGCTTAAGCAGCAGTAGCATAGCGATAAGGCACCCTAACTACGCCTATGCTTTGCAGGTGCTTCAGTATAAAAGAGAGTGAAGTTGAAAACATGAGTTCTAAGAGGACTTGAAACTCTTGATTTTTCGAAAACAAGAGTTTCAAGAGAGCAGACCCTCTATCGTTGATCGCTTAACGACATCGATAGAATGTGCGAGGTAAAGGGAACCAACCCGGCGTTTCCAGAGACTGAAACACATGAGGAGACGTTGTAGCAGACCGCAGGTCACGCACAACACATGGCCTACCGAGACGCTGATGAGTCGGTCCACGCGGAGGTTTAGGGTTTAGTGGGTATTAGGTGGTCTCCTCAAGACAACCTGGAGTCCCACACACGTCGTAGCTCGGGCTATGGTATGGTGCGTAAACGCATTCCCCCTCACAAAAAAAAAAAAAAAAACATGAGTTCTTGGCGCTATTTTCCGACCTTCAGTCCAGTTCTATTCATTCAAGTGTCGCGTAAATGCGGGCTTTAGATTTCGTTATCATTAATGACATGTCAGATGAAATGTCATAACATTGTCCTTGTTTTGGTTATGCGTGGTGCATTTTGATTTGATGATTTTGAAAAAATAGATTAATTGATATGTTAATTGATGACCTGATAAACTCCTAATATAAATAGAATGAAGAAGCTGACGGGATCCTTTCGATATACGCAATGGGACCCGTGGTTGGTAATCGCTCAAATAGTGTCAATTCAATGCATTTTGTATACCACTCTAGGTCTGATTTTAGCATTATTATGTACACTTGTAGGCGATACCAGGACCTTAGATCATATATTTGAGTATCACGTAAGTGTCAAAAGTCGTAGTGTTTTGCTATTCTACAATTTGTTTATTTTAGGAAATACAAGTACGAGATGTCGGAGGGAGAATTGTGATATCTAGCTTTGTGTTTAATTCACTAATTGGGTAAGAAACACCTAAAAAACTAAAACTGTAGTAGAATATTTTGTCATAGTAGCCAAGCACTACTTGGTTGTATATTGTGGCTCAAGTTGATGTTTTTTTTCTTGTTAATACTTGTTGAAATAATTCCGTAGTCAAGCGATACTAATCCAGTAAGTACTTATTCACAATATTATAATTGAAGGGAAACAAAACAAATCTAAAAATTATGATCAAACCAAGAAAACGAATGTCAAAATGCAAATGCTGTATTTATATACCCTTACCCATTTCAGTTCAGTACTATTTTTGATCATAACCATATATTTTTTTGTATTTCCCAGAGCTGTAGCGCTATGGTACATTGTGCAACGTACAAAGCAATGTATGGACTTTAGTTGCACCTGGCACCTCATCCACTTGGTGATCTGCTGGTTTTACAACGGCAGCTTCCCAACAACATTCTCATGGTGGGCCTTAAACGTTGCTTGTGCCACTTTGATGTGTGTTTGTGGAGAGTTTTTGTGCTTACGGACAGAACTGGCAGCTATACCTTTGTCTTTAGGACCGAAAACGGATCTCTGATATGTGATACCAAAGTTGTGCTGAATGGATATATTTATTAGATGTAGAGTTAAAGAAAGGTGGTTGTGTATATAAGTGAAGATTTTATTAAGGTTTACCAAAAAAAATCGTAATATTTGCAGTTTAGCCAATGTGTAAATGAGTGTTACATTCTCAAACATGTCAAATTAATATAGAAACTGATGCAAAATTAGTCAAAATGCAACTTATATTTTTGTGAATACTCAAATTGTCCTGCCTTAACATTATTTTTGTGTAATCTTCAATGTATGTAATTATCTCAAATTGTATCACACATAAGATGAAATAAAAATCTGTATAATGTTTCTTCATTATGTGTTTTTACATATTTATTCGCATATCCTCTCTCTTCTTTATGTTTCCAATATTAAGCTTCACAGTGTTTTCAGTATAGGGGAGGCCAAACCTTTTCATAAAAATATTTTTGGATTTTATCTCAAATATTCAAACTTAAGGGCCATATCGTCAGTCATTCCTACAGTTATAGGACGCCTTTATGACCTTGATTTTTTTAGTTTTTCCTGTCCATTTCTAGATTTCTACTGTTTCGTGTAGGCGCTCTATTTTGAGGTTAAATTTTCTTTTTGAATTCTGAAATTTCTAAGGATTCATAAAGGAAACATAACCTTACAATAGGAGTGTGCTGACATTGACACGGAACAGTAGAAATCTAGAAATACCCTAGCCTTTCGAATGAGTAAAAATACTATGAAAATCAAGGCCATAAAGGCGTCCCTACACTTGTAGGTACGACTGACGAGATGGTCCTAAATATCTCCGAAACAAGCTCATTTCTTTCTGTTTAATGATTAGAATAAAATACACTAGCGTGAATAGAAATCTATTTCGTCCATTCAAATATTTCTAATGATTACAACATCTGGAAGAATCGCCTGTTTAAAAAGCGTTAACAATTCAAAAATCATTTCTATGCTTACAGTGAGAGGTTACTGGTGTAATTGACGCGTTTTTAAACCTTCACAAACTAAAGCAAGTTACTTATGGGCACTGGAAGTCTTTTATATCATAACACAACTTATAGATCAAGATCACACATTTTGGCATCGTGTCCGTGAAAGAAATTGTCCAAATCGAAAGGTTGCCGGGCGATTTTCCGGTGTAAAGGACCCAATACAAAACAGGGAAATTGGGTTGTAGTCGATTGATTTAAACATTTAGTAAGGTATCAAAAAGTAATCCTTTGATACGTTTTCGAGAAATAGGAGAATCGAAGGTTGCTTATTTGCAAAATTGGCGAATGTATGCAGAAAATCGGACTGAAATGTTTCAAATTTGATGACGATTGAGATGTTATTTTTCGAACTTCCATTGCCTATAAGGTTTTTTGATTCACGGCCTGATCTTCCAACGTCATGCGGTGAACTGTCGGTTACCATACTTGTTTAATTTCCGAATCCGTTGCTTGTGCGGCGTCGTTGTCACATCCTCAATTTTTCGGGAGCATTTGGATACACCGCGCGATTATTTTTGCGAGCGACTGTACGTCATATCGACCTCGGTTAGGCGTCATATCGATTTTGCATTTCGTCTTTTATATGACATACTATGACGGGTGTGACATTAGACCGTCTTAATAACGTCATTTCTACGTCATTTTTGTTGATCGGAGTACGTCAGAAGTGCCCTAAATTGCCGACAATATGACGTCACTAATTGGGAAATTAGATTACTTTTTCGTCTCAAGATAACTTTTATTCAGGAAAGCGAGAAATAATACAATAAGTTTTACAGAAACCGACTGGGATACATTTTCCGTCATCGTTTTTTTTTTCAAGGAATCGGAACAAAATGATTTTTTTTTCATTCCTGGCAGTTTAAAGTTTTCCTGGAAGAGAGGTTCTTATTACTAAGGCTTGCGCCCTCTATAAAGTTGATCCTTTCCGAGTTATAAGCGAGTTACAGTTGAAATGACCTATTTCAGTGTTAAAAAACTCGGTTAAAACAATTATTTTTGAGAATGCCAAATCTCCTAGAAGGCCTCGAAGAGTATTAAGGACATTTTTTAAAAGCATTGTTATTTAATTGTTGACAACGCACTATGTGCCTCTAGTATTACGTATTATTCCATATCCAAGTATCCATACTATGACTTCCAATGCCCCAGAACAGAATCGCATAAATGTACATAAAACAATTTGCATAATATTGTAAATAAAAGAGTCTAAGAAACATTTAACAAAAAACAATCACATAGATCACAGCTTTGCAATATCAATACGTTCAAAATCATACTTAGTATGCATGTAATGTGTCTAATCCTATACAATTTTAGTGTACAGCTTATAATGGTGCAAATACTGCTTTTAGCTTCGTGAAATATGTACAAAGTTACATTTTTATACGTATCAACGCTGACAAAAGATGTTTCACGTCCAAAGCTTTCAGATTTCTGAAAAGGATCGAAGTGTGTGAGGGGATTTTTCGGTCCCGATAACTCAAATTGGTCGTATGGCAAAATTGCAAAACTTTAGCTTAAAAAAATCGATAAAAAGAAAAATGTTAAAAGTATTGTAATCGTGAAAAACGGGCGTGCCAATTATTTACAATTAAGTGCTCTGTGGAGTGACGCTGTTGGAAGGAGAATTTCGAGGTCCACAACTCATAGAGAGGCCCACAAACTGGGATTTAGCACTTCCAATGTAAGTTTTCTAATAAAAAAAGTGAAGTAAAAACCCTAAAGTTGCACAACTTTAGAAAAGCCACTATTAACTCCACTGCAAAAGAAAAATCGGCTTAGATGGGCTAAAGAACATAGACAATGGACACCTCAACAATGGTGTGCAATACAATGGAGTGATGAGGCCCGATTCGAAGTTTGTGTTGGTGACAGTCGCAGTAGAGTTATTCGCAAAAAGAATGAAGCATTCCATGTTGACTGTCTGAAAAGAAAAGTGAAATTTCCAGCATCCATTATGGTCTGGGACAGTATGTCATCAAAAGGAGTAGGAAAACTTAATTTTATTGATGGAAATGTAGATACAAACAAATATTTGGCAATTTTAGAAGAATCGCTTTTACCGGTGATGGAAGAATGTTTAACATCCGGCCAAGATTTTACGTTTCAGCAAGATGGTGCAGCGTGTCATAACTCAAAAAAGGCTATAAAAAGGATGGAAGGAAATGATGTACCTACCACTTTTCAATTGGGTTTCTAGCAGTCCAGATCTGTCACCTATTGAAACTTTGTGACACGAGATGAAAAAGGTTCTACGACAACATCCTGCTCGTACAATCACCGAACTGAGACAAAAGCTTCAAGAAATATGGGATTGTTTTACACCAAATTTTTGCCAAAACTTGGTTAACACTATGCCCCAAAGAATTTCAGCCGTAATAAAAAATAAAGGTGATGTTACCCAATGGCAATCTTTCAATTGTTGCTTTGTTAACTTAGGTAACTTAGTTATAGGTCTAAGTGATTTTAAAAATTTAAGTATTTTTTACGACTAGAGTGTATCTAAAATGTTTTTAGGAAAATAAATTGTTTTAGAAGTAAATAGTTTCATCATGTTTAGTTTATAAAGGCATATTTTGGTACAAATCTTGAAGTGGGCCAACGGAAGTGGGAAGGGGCTCGTAGACCCAGATATTCCAATGATTCGACTACTTTTTCATCATTAAACATTTTGTTTTCTTCAATGATTTGTTTAAATATTTATATTTCAAGGACAAGTACAGCACTTACTGAGCTATTCACGTAAAATCCAATTGTTGATCAACCATCAGTCAACTTAAAATTCGAGTTATCAAGGCCAAAAACCGCTTAATCTTTCGAAACAAACTTTTATGTGCATTTTTGTTGAAAAAGTCAATACGTCTTGTATCATTTGCTTTTTGATATCATTATGAAAGTATGTGCAGATGCTATTAAAAATATCGTTGAAGACTGAATGTTTCCTTTTACAACTAAATGGCAGTTTGCTATATAAGATTTCATTTCTTACCTTACATAATCTCGCTTTAAACTGGAATTCCACATACATGGGCGCAAATAAAAAATAAATAACGGACAACTTTGCGGAATGGAACTTGGTTCCTGATTGAAATTATTTGGCCCTGTACGATATCTCCAGCATTTTACAAACATCAATAGCATAAAATATCAAGCTTTCAAAAGTAATGCTTAGTATAAAATATCTCACAGTGAAGACTAGGTGCGTGTATATCAGAATAGTGCTCTGTAATCCTATACAGGGTGTTCATTTGAAAACTTAACACCACGGATTTATCGAAAAATATTTGTCAAGGGGGACAACTTTTTCACCTTCTGCCCCCCAGGGTCATCCCCTTAAAAATTTTAAATGTCAATGGGTATTGAGTAATAGCTTGTTTGAAAGGTCTTTTAAAGTCTTCTATTTCGATGTTTGATTTTTTTAAATCGGTCGATTCGTTTTCAAGAAAATTGAAAAAATCTTTATTTATCTTAAATTTGTATATGAATAAATACAGTCCGCCCAGGATATGTGTTGATGAAAAGAATGCGGGAAAAAATTCGGGTTGTTATTCGGTTGTTGCCACGTCTTCCAAATTGCTGTTTATGTTGGTAGTTTCCGTTTTAAATTATAAACGAATTGTAGATTTGGCAAACCCTAACGGGCAACATTTTTTGAACACTTATTGAAATAAAAAGTGATATTTTCGCGTGTTTTTGTTTTCTAAATCAAACTGAATAAAGGACTTCGAAAGACCTTTCAAACAAGCTTTTACTCGATACCCCTTGTCGTTTAAATTTTTTAAGGGAATCATCCCAGGGGGTCGAGGCTGAAAGGGGGTCAAGTAGTTTTTGGTTAAAAAGTTGTCCCCCTTGACAAATCTTTCGACGGCGTTTTTTTCATTTAATCAGCGGTTTTCGATGAATCCGCGGTGGGACGTTTTCAGCCTGTATATCATATAGAAAATACATTTAGCTTTAGAATACTAGTCATACTATGTACATCGGATCATCAACCAAAACACTGACTCAAAGCATACGCGAAAAGGATTTTTTTTTTGAAAAATTTGAAATTAAATTTGACATCTGTACACGATTCTTCCGAGTAATTGGAGGAGATGCGGGTTCGAATCCCGGCTGCGCCCGTTTTCCTCACTCTCAAATTGTTGTTTACGAAAGATAAAAATGACGCATGGACTGTAAAATTCAAGACAATGTTCGATTTTTCCTGAGCTGGACGCAAACACAGCAGAAAGTGTCAATCTTGTTTGCATCTTGTCCAGTTTTTGAATCGATGATCCTGTCAAAGGCAACAACATCAAAATATACAATAGAAATCTTTTGTACTGGTAACATATCAGCGTTCTACATCTAATCGTGTCTACTGCTCAAAATGAATCAACACAGGTTCGTATTGCTGCAAAAAACGAAAACTCAAGGACAAAAAAAATCTTGTTATATGAAGGTTAATACATATGGTCCATCCCTGACCTTTTCGCAGATGCTTATTTGAACGTAAAACAATCTTAACAATTTTTCGGCGATCTTTGGCAGGCTGTATTTCGGCGAAAAACGGTCGGATGGAGACTTAAAAAAAGGCGTTTTGAAGCCCTAAGATTCTAGTTTTCAGATTTTTTGACCAAACATTTTTAGGAGCAACGATTGTGATGAAATTTCAACAGATGGCACAAGAAAAACGTTTTGCAAAATTTTTAGTCCTTGGACTTGAAAAAAATGTTTTCTGTTACATCATCATATGAATCAGATAACCCGTTTGTTCAGCTTTTATTATTTTGTTTTTGAAATCTCGATACGATTATTTTGAGTGAAAAAAGATTCCTTTAACATCGATCACTGACATCTCAGTAACCAGAAAAAGTTGTTTTTTTGCCTTGTTTTGGAAAATCTACTGCCAATAAGAAGACTAATGTTTTTAGGTTTTTTTATACCTGAATGTATCCCTAATAACCCTGCACGACGGTCAACATTTTAAAGAAATTAATAAATCAAAATTTCTGGTTGAAAATGGAAAAAAAATTTCAAAGCAAAAATTTTGCAAAAAATGTTTCTTGAGGTACCTGTTGCTCCTAAAATTTTTCGGTTAAAAAACCTGAAAACTAGATTGTTAAAGCTTCAAAATGCTTTTTTTAAAGTTTAGATACAACCATTTTTCTCCGAAATAAAACCTCTCAAAAATCATCGAAAAATCTGGATCTTTTTTCATGCTCCTTTAATTTTGTTGAGTAGTGTATATAAAAACTGTTTTGGAGTTTCTTGTGCGTTCTGATTCTGGATCTAATGGAAATGGGACCCCCAGAACAAAAAAATATCCGCAAAAAAAATTCGAAATTCGTGCTAAGATTTAAGTGCAGAAAGACACCTTGTGAAAAACAACCTGTAACTGACCAAAATATTAAACAAGTTCATGATAAAGATCAGTATAGCTTCGTTGCAAAGAGGTTTCGAGACGGAGGATAGGAATAAGCCCTAATAATCTAGCAAATGTGATACTGTTAATAAGCAATATGAACTGTGTCCCTGCTATGGTCTTTTGTCGTTACAACGTTTCGTTGTGGAATGCTTGGTGTTCTGCTGAAAAAAAGGCTAGGTTTCGATATCCTTATCAAAAGGAGTTATCAATCCTTGTCAAGGAGTTTTTTTATTTAGTTTTGCGGCGAAGATTCGTCGTCCACTTCTTCGATTATAGAGTCCTGCTCGATTCTCTGGCGTTGTAAGATCAACTCCTGTCGTTTCTGGAAAGACAAAAGGTAGAGAGATACATATACAGGGTGACAGTGAAATATATGCGGAGATAGTACAAGCCAATCTGAGTAGATTTTACTATAGGAACTACTTAGCCGTTTTCGAATTATACTAATTTTTAAGATTCTATAAAATTAACGTCCTTTATACGTTAACCAAGTCATAAAACTTGAAAATTGGGTGTTTCATTTGATTTTTATTTTTGTTTTACAATAAAAATATTCTAAAATACGAAAATTGATACTCAAATGTGCATTATTGACGTTATCTCATGCAGTAAGCTTCAAAATAGTTCAATTTTTGCTAAAAAAAATCTTCATTCATCTCAAAAACTCAATTTACTAGAAACAATCGCCTACAAATTTTTCGCGCAAAACAATTTTAAAATATCTACGTTTCATTATCTTTCAAATGAGGTATCAAAATCACAAACCGGTTTAGAAATGAGTGAAAGAAACAGGTAGAGCCGCGAACATCGGACTTTGCCACCGGAATAGTGTGATAAGTAAGACTAGTCACCCCCCTCCCATCCACGCTTCAATCTGCTCTTGCGATTTGTTGCGTTCGGATGTGTTTGTTTGCACGCTGTTTGATATTTCTAACGACTTGGACTTCCGTGATGAATTCTTTTCCTGACGACCTAGATTGTACCCTGTTTTCTGTGGTTTCTTACGACTTGGCTGCTATGTGACTTGATTGTTCGTTGAATCGATGAACAATGACTGATGAACAAAGGACGCGGCCGTTCAGTTTCGAAGAATATGCCGATATCCTTTTCTACTATGGAGATGCAGAGGCAATGCTGAAGAAGCTCGTCGTGAGTATGGGGAAATGTTTCCTAATCGTCGCCTACCTGACGCCCCCGTATTTAGGCAAACATTCCGACGGGATCGAGAGCGCGGTCGTAAGATATCAAGGTAATTATTAACTTATCATAATCAGTCATTCAGTAAGGCCTATGTAGAGCCTTGGAGGTCTCTGGGCTGAACTGATGATACTGTAACATAGTTGTTTTGATACAGTTGATTAAACTTTATTAAGAGTTTATTCATTTAATTTTAACACGAGCATCTGAAGATGGAAACATCCACACGTTGTGTATCGTTTTTCCAAATAATATTTTGCCAACTCTAGCTCATAGTCTTACCGCTATGTTTATTAGGTAACAATTTCCTCCAAAAAACTGTTGTTACTTGTTTTTTCATTTTATTTCAAGTGATGCAGGTAGACCTCGACATGATGTGGAAGAAGAAGAAGAAATAAAATATTTTCCAAAGAGACCCTACTCTCTTTACTCGCGCTGTGGCTCGACGACTTGGATTATCCCAATGGCAAGTGTGGTATGTTTTGCATGAAAACATATTCCACCCTTACCACTACACACCTGTGCACGTCATAGAGGAAGGAGATCCCATGAGACGCATGCAATTTTGTCGTGTTATTTTTAACGCTGATGTTGAAGATAGCAATTATTTAAGAAAAATTCTATGGACCGACGAATCAAAATTTGATAAAGACGGCATAACAAACTACCATAACGCTGACTATTGGCGTGAACGTGCAGTGGAAAATCTGCATATGAAGAGACCAAAAGGATCTCAAAGGCGATTTTGTCTGAATGTGTGGATGTATAGGACCACATTTCCTACCCGACAACTTAAAGCCTACGAAAATTTCTTATGAAATGTTCTATTTGAATTACGTGCCGCTACACGTAAGACACAGAATGATTTTTCAATATGACGGGTGCCCAGCACATTTCAGACTAAGTGTCAGAAATTGGTTAAATGAGCAGTTTCCGAATCGATGGATCGGTAGAGGCGGACCAATCCCATGGCCAGCACGCAGTCCCGATCTCACACCTATGGACTTTTTTGTGTGGGGTCGCATGGAAACGTCAGTATACTCTGATCAAAATCCTGTACCCACAATAGAAGACCTCAGAAACAGGATAATACACGTAGCACGAGAAATACAAGCCTCTCTTAGGAATTCGGCGGAAGTAAAATCAGCTGTCATAAGAAGAGCAGGTGTGTGCATTAGAAATAGAGGGCGCCATATTGAAAATGTATTATAAAAATGTAGTTTCAAACAAATTATCCTGTATTAAGGTATGATTTTGTAAGTGTAGTATTTTTATTGCTTTTTCCTTCCTCCTCTCATATTTTTGCTAATTCTTAATCGATTTGTGATTTTTATACCTCATTTGAAAGGTAATGAAACGTAGATGTTTTCTAAGTATTTTGTACGAAAAATTTATATGCGACTTTTTCTAGTAATCTGAAGCTTTTGAGATGAACGAAATTTTTATTAACAATAATCGAACTATTTTGAATGTTACTGCATGAGATAACGTCAATAATGTACATCTGAGTATCAATTTTCGTATTTTAGAATATTTTTATTGTAAAACCAAAAAAAAAAATCAAATGAAACACCCAATTTTCAAGTTTAATGACTTGGTTAACGTATAAAGATACTAAAAAAATCATAGAAAATCTAAAAATAAAAAAATGGGTTTTCATTTAAAAAGCTTACGCAACAACTTATTTTTGGACCGCCCTCTATTGAACGGCTATAGATAAAAAGAAATCAAAATTGACGTATCCTAGCATTTTCCCGAAATATACGAGGAGAATCGCATGCAACATTTCCGTCATCTTGGCGTTTCTTTTTTCAAATGATTATACCAAACGAAAAACACTTCAAATACCTCTTCGCTGTTGATAATAACAATCCTCCCTTCTATCCTGGGCGTGAGTTGGCAGGTCTCCTGTTCGAGATCGTCCAAGGAGGCGCGCCTGGTCAACTTCGCATGATGACCTACCGAGGTCGGTGGCGGGCTGCCCGAGGTCGAATCGATCGTGCTCGCCCTCCGTAACGGAGGAGGTCCGTCCAGGTCGCCCGTACTGCCGTCTAGCATCTTCACCAAACTGTGCCTGAAATTGCAAACTTTCAACGCGACAGTCGGCAGTGACATTCAAATTCAAAATACATTTATTTGCCAAAAAACAAAAAAAAAACATTATATTTACCGTATTATAGAAAATACACACAATATTTTTGGCAAAAAGGACAAATCCGGTCCATCGTAAAAAAGTTATTACTAAAACGGCCAAGAGAAAAACCCGGAAAATATTTTCGAGTTTCTGAAATGACCGCTAGAGGGCGTAACAGTTGTTGCTGTATCTCTAAAAATAAAGTGGTGGGGGTATCCGAAGGTTTCCGTAAAAAACACCCTGTATCTTCGAAACGGCCGAGTCGATTTTAACAAACTTGGGCCAGCTGAAAAGAGCTATTCTTGGGCTACAAATCTTATAATATTTGAAGCTTTGTTAGTTTCACATGTGTCCGCTAGATGGCTGTTTTCGACACTCCGACAGAAATGGTTAATTTTCTCGAAATTTTGATGATTTTTTTTTTCATGAAAAAGTAGCTAAATGATGCCTAATCAAGCTCGCGAAAACCGCAAATCGATATCTTGTTCCTAACCTATCATTTATTAGGCCAAAGAAAATTTGATACGTAAAAATTGAAAAAAGAATAAATATCGTGTCTCTCGTAGATGTTCCTGTAAATTTCATATGGATTTAACAGCAGTTTTGGTTAAAACTTCACAGTAACACATGCAGAAATTTCTATAACGCACATCTAAAATTCCTGATATGAGTTTAAAAAACAGTAATTAGTCATCTAATAATATTTATAGTGGTTTACTCACTTCCTTGACAAAGTTACTAATGACTGTCTATGTTTCGAATGTTTCTTCGTCTTTCCTAATCGCATATTTATTGCTTGGAAATGATTCTGTATAGCTAATCCGAGCTCTGGACATTCTCCTTCAGGCACCTGTAAACAAACAAAATTACATAGTTGAATATTTCGTTAAAAGTTGTTGCAAACTTGGAACGCAGTCGGGGCTCAGTTCTCTCATAGTTACCACTTCGGATATTAATAATAATAATAATTTATTCACATTAGTTACAAGTTGTAAATAAAATGCAAATGCCACAACATGCATATAACATAGCAGTTATAATAAACTGATACGACTGAAAAAAATCTATATAATATAAATGTAATGTGCTTATTAATTTTGGATCATAGACTAGTACTGAATAAGAGATATGTGTTAGTTTTTTATAAATTACATTATCAGTTTTCAAAAGCCACCCATATACATCTATTTTTAATAATAATATTCGTTTTTTTATATATATTTTGGTCAGTTATGATATAATTTGGACCTTAGTTTATAGAAGTTCAACATTATTTCTTTTTTTAGTGTTGTAATAATTATTTGTTTATTTTTATTTCTAGAATCATATTCATTATTTTTATAAAAATTTTTTGAGTACCGCCCTGTCTCAATAATAATATCATGTGCTCGTGTTTGGCGACAACGGATATAATCCGCCGTATCGGTTCATCGCATCGGAAACAAAAAAGCGAAATAATTTGGAACGATGTTTTTACAATTATTTCATTCATTTGTATACAGTCAGTGTCAGTGCATAGTGGTATCTGTTGCGTGGCTCAAACTAAATAAAAAATGGCACATGTTTATGCGGATCGGTTTCCCAATCGAGTGCAACCAACCCCTCGTGCCTTTGTTAATGTAGTACAACGGGCTCGTGAATCAGGTGACTTAAGACCTCACAGGGGACCTCACGATCAAATACAGGTCCGCACTGAAATACTTGTCGGGAGGATACTTTATAAAACAAGGTAAAAAAATTTTTTTAATTTTTTTTTATTTTTACACACATATTTTGGTTTATCTTCCTTCTACAATCATTATCTGAAAATTAATGACTCAACTTCAAAGTCACCCTGTATAATAGAAATCTAAGTTTCTTTTTAATGTATCGGATATTTCATCCCAACGAATATGACAGACTAAAACAATTCCGAGATATTTATGATTTAGTTTAGGTGATACATATTCATTTTGAAGATTTGTTTTCTTTATATTCAGTTGATTATATAGCGGTAATTTATTTATGTAAACGGTGAAAGGAATAAAGTAGTTTTTTTATAATTAATAGTTAATAATTGATTATTGAACCAGTCTGTTATCTGCACTAATTGTTTTCAATTTCTTCTTTTAATGTTGTCCAAGTTCTGCCTTTATGGATGATAGTGGTGTCATCTAAAATCCCATTTTTTCACTTTTTGTTGATAAATTATATAAGACGTTGATATATATATATATATATATCCTATACGAAAACAACAATTAGCAACATCCTCACATACTAGTGTAAGTTAATTCAATTTAAATTCATTTTACACTTTTGTTGCTACTGTTATCATTGTAATTGCAGCTCCTGATGATGATGGCAAAGTCCATTGAAAGCTAGAGAGAATTAAAAAAAGTATAAAGAGTCCTCTTTGCTTAAATTTTGTCGAAGTACCCAACAAAAGGCGGAAGCTATAATTTTTCACCTATATATATATATATATAAAGAGGAAATGATCATGCGGAGAAAGGTATATAACAAAAAATAGGAAAATAATGGGCAAAATCCGCAAAAAGAATGAAAGTCGATTCGAGCAGAAAATAGGATAGGTAACCCGAGCGATACGTATGAAGCCAACCAGCAGAAATACGTATCGCTCGGGTTACCTGTCCTATTTTCTGCTCGAATCCGCTTTCCTTCTTTGTGCGAATTTTGCCCATTATTTTCGTATTTTTTGTTATATATATATATATATATATATACTTTTTTTAATTCTCTCTAGCTTTCAATGGACTTTGCCATCATCATCAGGAGCTGCAATTACAATGATAACAGTAGCAACAAAAGTGTAAAATGAATTTAAATTGACTCAACTTACAGTAGTATGTGAGGATGTTGCTAATTGTTGTTTACGTATAGGATGAGGGAAACGTCCAGTAACATGGTGAGAGCTGGATAGGTTGTACAATGGTCAAAATTATATAAAATATGACAAGAACAAGTTAAAAACAGATTAAAAATTATTTAAAAAACATTAGAGCATTACATCGTGAAGCCACTTGATGATTGCACAAATTACTGGTCATGGAATAATGAGTGAGATGAAACCCTTTGACAGAAGGCCGAAGGATGTCAATGTCTGTGTTGAAAGATGGAACGAATTGTAGGCGTGTGCCAAACGTTGCCAAATCACTTCAGATGATGTGATTTTCAGAATTTTATGTAAGAATTTGTTAAACCGACCAGAGGCAGTTGAATAAACTATATTTTAATTAATGGCTATATATATATATATATATATATATATATATATATATAGCACCACATTATTCGGTCGGCCGGCACGTGTTGGATAATGTGGAGGTTATCAGTGGAAAAAAAGATGAAATCTCGAGGGAATTTTCAATAGTTGATAGTTTTAAAATCTCCGAATTTCTTCCAAAATTAATCAACACTTAGTTTTAAAAAAAACCTTTCAAAACGATTTGCCATTTAATAATAAAATAATTCCGTCCTAATCGAACCTCATCAGTTCAGTTCTTTATTCGCCGACTATGTGCTCCCTTCACTGTTTTTTTAAACAATTTCAGCAACAATCTCACCGAGCCGACTTACTCCAGACGATGAAGACACAGATCTTCGAAAGCTTGAGAGTTTAAGTTATAAGGGTGTACTTTTGCAATACTTTGGGGGACAACAAGCAAGACATGAAGCACGCCAAATCATAAAAAGAACATTAATATCCAAGCTAAATACAAAACGGCTTTAAAAAATGACGTCAAGTAGATTGACTCTGCCCTTCCTATGCAATGATGCCATCAGATCATAAAGGATTATGTTCAGCACAAATTTGTCCCTCCGAGAAAAAAGCTACGAGCATGTTTAACAATAAAATTAAGCGGATCAAGTTAGTCAAGTAGACTCATACAATCAAAATTTGCATATTCACAACGTTTTTTGTGTATTGCGGCTTTTTACGATTTGGCTTCCTGAGAAAATATGCTGTTCCTCGCTCTTCATTTTTGTCTCTTGAGATTTTTTCATATCTTTTCGAAAAAAAGACCATTTAAATGCATATCGCTGGACCACACAAGGAATATAGGGAAAAGTTTCTTTGTTATTTTTATTGCCACTTACCACCACTTCTGCATCTTTCAACATAGCGTATCCGTCGCGACCTTCGTGGAGGAAAACTTTAGTCGCCAAGTGATACGAACTGTCCAGTTTCAAGTACTCGTCGCCTATCCTGACGAAATTCTGATCCACTCGTTGTCCAGAAGGTTTGTGGGGATCGAACGCGAAACTAACTCCGGCCACTTGCGGAAATCTGCCTTCAAGATGCGGATATTTCGATACGCCGTTCTCCAGGGCGTCCACAATCGTCTGACCTAAAAAAAAAAACACGCGAAATATCCATCATCCGTTTGGCGGCCAAATCGTATTAGCAAATTTCTCCGAAGTAATTGTAAAGTCTGGTTTTATTGGTGCAAGTGCAAGTTGTTCAAAACGTGGACCCATAAAAAGGGACACCGATTTTTGTGGGAGAACTTTTTATTCGACAACAAAGAATGAGAAAGTGTTTTTTGGGATTCAATCGAAAGGAACGAAAAAACTCTTCATATAAGATTTTCAGGTATTTATGAGACCTACAAAATGAGACTAATAGCAAAAATGTTATGGCCGAAAAACGAGGCAAAATGCAAGTAATATGAATCCGTCTTTATTTACCTGTAACATTGAGAACTACCAATGGGTCCCTCAGCGGAACAACATTCGTCAAATCTCTCATGGTAAACTCGCCAGCAGGATGAACTTGATCCGATCTCAAAGTTCCCGAATTTAAGATCACAAGATCAGCGCCTGTGGCCGCCAGTACTACGTCACATACCTACAATCAAATCGAGAATAATATACATGCAAACTTTACAACGGAAGTACGTTCTTGAAGGTACATGGAAACGTTCCTCATCTAAATTTTGCTACCTATTCCAATTCCTGATTAGCAAAGGAAAAAACGGCGTTAAATAGGTCGATTCTGCACTTTAGAGGCAACGCAGGTCATAATAGTCTAATCACATTAAATTTCCCCGAAATAATTGTAAGGTCTGGTTTTTTTGGTGCAAGTTGTTCAAGGAAGTATTTAAAACATGGACGCATAAAATGGGTACACCAATTTTTGTGGGAAAACTTTTTGTTCGATAACAAAGAATGAGAAACAGTGTTTTTTTGGGATTCAATCGATAGTGTTTTTTATGAAAATGAGATCACACGTAAAAAGATCCGACTAATAGAAAAAATGTAATGGTCGGAAAACGAGACAAAATGCAGGTTTTGGCACTTGTTGGTTCGATAATTTCACGCAACTACTTGAAATTCTTCAAATCAGTAAGATTCATACTTCTAAATAACAACAAAATTGGAGTATATTGGCCAAGTAGTTTTTGAGAGTTTCTAATTATTTATCACAAAACACCTGTTTTCTGGCCATCACTACTAGTTTATTGAGCAATATACAGGGTATATTCAAAGAGCATTTAATAGCAAAAAAACACGTGTTTACCTTGCCGATATGGATCACAAACCATTCCGAAAGGTAAATGTTATTTTTATGCGAAAAACAAAGGTAACTGTTTTTTCTTCTAAATAAATTCAAACATTTCGTATTTGTGTGTAATTGAACAAATGCGCTATAATAATGCTGTACATAAACTCATTATTATTCAGAAATATATTATTGAAATTATGTTTAAGAAAGATAAAAGATTCCCCACTAATAAACTTTTTACAAAGGATGTGTGTAATATTAGATCCTTGTACGTGATGATAGTATCTACTTTTATTTATAGAAATGAAAAATTACAGAAACAAATGCAAATGTGGGCGGGCACATAGAAATTCCCAAGAATAACAATAACCTAAACTTAAGATACATAACGTATATAGGACCAAAGATATATAACATTCTGCCAGAACACTTGAAAAAGATGAAAAATATTAAAACATTTAGCACCAGCTGCAGAGAATATATTTTTGAAAATGCTGCACAATTTGAAAGGTTTTTCTAATGATTTTTTGTATCATTTGATTATTGTTTTTTTATTGTATTTTATAATCCAATAAATAGCATTTTCTTTTCATTTGTAATTCCGGATGACGAAAGCACTTACAGGTGGTTTGAACCATCTAGGTGCATCTTTCTGTCATCAGGATGTCCTTGATGAAGAGGAATTATATTATTGTGTTATATTTTTATATGCATTTATAATTTTTGTATATAATCTTTATTAAATATTATTGTTATTAAATAAAAATATAAAAAATATTCGAAAAACATACGTTACTATTTTAAAACAAAGCGAATGTGTCTATCATCTTTTGTTTCGAATTGCTCACAAAAACGAAATGTTTCGATTTGTTTAGAAGAAAAAACGTAACCCATCCTTTTTGCATAAAAATAAAATTTATCTTCCGGAATGGTTTGCGATTCATATCGGCAACTAGTGAATTTTGCAATAAAATGTCTTTGAACTAACACTGAATATTGCTCAATAAACTAGTAGTGATGGCCGGAAAACAGGTGTTTTTTGGGGTAAACAATTAGAGATTCTCAAAAACTACTCGACCAATCTACTCCAATTTTGTTGTGGTTATTTAGAAGTACGAATCCTACCAACACGTGCCAAAACCTGCAGTTCGCCTCGGTTTTTGGGCCATAAATATTTTGCTATTAGTCGGATCTTTTTACGTGTGATCTCATTTTGTAGGTCTCATGAATACCTAAAAATCGTATATGAAGAGTTATTTTCGTTCCTATCAACACTTTCGATTGAATCCCAAAAAAGACGTTTTCTCATTCTTTGTTGTCGAATGAAGTTTTCCCACATAAATTGGTGTACCCATTTTATGCGTCCATGTCTCAAATACTTCCTTGAACAACTTGCAGCAATAAAACCAGACTTTACAATTATTTTACAAGCCAGGGGTATTTTCGTCTATGATTAAACTACGTATAAAGCACAAGCGAAACACGTCAGTCAAAGAGGCCCGTACACTAAAATGCCGTAGACAATTTTTCGCTGCCTTACCGGTAGTCCGTCTGGCAACGTCCTGTCACCAGCTAGACGCGCACGGTGTTGCCGAACCCACCAATTTTTCCGTGTATCTACCGAAATGTGACCTTAATTACCAAATACCGAAAACATCCTCAATTTTCCTAAATCTGTTGACGTCACAAGATTTCACTAAAGCTTTCGGATATAATACAACGTTACTCACCCAATTGCCTAAGTTTGATTCTGACGTTCTTATCGATGTAAATCTGCCGTCTAAAGGTACGGCAAAGCATCCTAGTACATCGTCCATTTTTGATTCGATCACAGCTACAATATACAGAATAATCTTATAATTCTTGATAATCGGTTTAAAACATATTTAAATGATCGATCCTAAGTTCTCGAAGTATCAAGAGATTATTATATTTCAAACAAACTAAAAATAAACGCAGGTGACCTCACGGATCTGTACCTAGTCCGATTTCTATCCTCAGTGCATACGATTTAATAAATTTAAACATAGCTAGGAAATTCATAGTTTTTACTGACGATATCAGAATATATCAGAATAATTCGGCAAGACACAGATGAAATGACACCAAAATAAAAATGATATCAATCAAAAAAACTATGATACCAATTACTGAGAATAACAAATCATCCACATTTTATACCTCAATTTCGAATACTTATTATGTTGTGACGATCAAATCAATTTTTGAAATAATGTATTCATAGTGATCCTCAAACTTTAGTTTACTACCGATATATATATATACGTGAGCAGTAGTCATTGCCATTGCCAACGACCAGTTGGGCAAAAAAATACAATTAATTGTTAATTGGGAAATTGGCAAACTTTTAGGCTAGCCAAATGGTGTTTCAAAACAAACGCGGAGATGAGAGCACTTGTGAAAAATATAAAACCAATCGGACGAACACATTGAGCTTATTGATAACGACGGATACCATCATTATGTGTTAACACTATAAATCAATACACCCAAACATATTAAATTTTTGTTTAAATTAATGAGAAGCAATTTTTGGGACAAAATCGGAATATAGTTTCTAACCTACATCCGCTTCACCAAATATATATATATATATATATATATATATATATATATATATATTTTGAGACGTGGTCATTGTCGTCTAGACCAGTTAGATGAAAAATTAAAGCCTCCGCCTTTTGTTGGGTACTTCGACAAAATTTAAGCAAAGAGGACTCTTTATACTTTTTTAATTCTCTCTAGCTTTCAATGGACTTTGCCATCATCATCAGGAGCTGCAATTACAATGATAACAGTAGCAACAAAAGTGTAAAATGAATTTAAATTGACTCAACTTACAGTAGTATGTGAGGATGTTGCTATATATATATATATATATATATATATATAGGTGAAAAATTAAAGCTTCCGCCTTTTGTTGGGTACTTCGACAAAATTTAAGCAAAGAGGACTCTTTATACTTTTTTAATTCTCTCTAGCTTTCAATGGACTTTGCCATCATCATCAGGAGAGTAGTATTTGAGGATTTTGCTAATTGTTGTTTACGTATAGGATGAGGGAAACGTCCAGTAACATGGTGAGAGCTGGATAGATGGTACAATCGTCAAAATTATATAAAATATGACAAGAACAAGTTAAAAACAGATTAAAAATTATTGTTCTTGTCATATTTTATATAATTTTGACCATTGTACCATCTATCCAGCTCTCACCATGTTACTGGACGTTTCCCTCATCCTATACGTAAACAACAATTTAGCAACATGCTCACATACTACTGTAAGTTGAGTCAATTTAAATTCATTTTACACTTTTGTTGCTACTGTTATCATTGTAATTGCAGCTCCTGATGATGATGGCAAAGTCCATTGAAAGCTAGAGAGAATTAAAAAAGTATAAAGAGTCCTCTTTGCTTAAATTTTGTCGAAGTACCCAACAAAAGGCGGAAGCTTTAATTTTTCACCTAACTGGTCTAGACGACAATGACCACGTCTCAAGTTATATATATATATATATACCGAAATATTTATTTGTTTAACATTTTGGATTATTCCACTTTGAGAGTATTTTCATTCAGGTATTTCCTTATTAGCATACATTTTGTTGAACCATTCAATTTTAGTTTATTTACATTTGACCAATTTAGGATTTTTAAAGTGAGTATATTTTCATCTGATATGTATATTAATGTATCATCCGCAAATATCTGAATTTTACAATAATCTAAAATGTTACAAATGTCATTAATATAAACAAAAAATAGGATCGGACCTAGTACCGATCCTTGAGGTTCATTTGCTTGTAGCGACGAGAGGCTAAAATAGAAAATATGCCCAGGAAGATGCATTACATCAACGACTCACTTGTATACTTGTCCAAAATCTCCTTCAACTGAACATCCTCGGGGATTTGCGAGGTAACATTCATCTCTTCAACGGTCACCTCAGGCGTCCCGTTACTGCACTTTCCAAAATCCACTGTGACTTTGCTGAACTGCCTGAAGTCCGTGCCACTTTTGATGATGTATTTGCCGTTCACCTGCCTCACGTCGTAAATGTGGTCATGCCCTCCCAAAATCAGGTCTATTTCATCGCAGTTTTCAGCCAGTTTCGTGTCGTTGGGCAATCGCATGTGCGTTAAAGCTATCACGTAGTCACAACCCTACAAGAGAGTTTAACAATATAAACTGGTGGACAGTTTACAGTTTACCCAAAATCAAATCTCGATGTTTCTTTTGACTATAAAATTTGGTATTACGTAAGTACGCCAGTGCCTTCCTTACCTCCTGCTTCAGTTGCGCGGCCAGTTTCTGTCCCGCCTCCACGAAATCCAAGAACGTGGTCTCGTTCGGATTGACGGTGCCCAGCGTATCGAGCCACTCCTTCTCGACCAAACCGACCAATCCGATGCGTCGCCCCGCCCATTCGACGACGTGCGTGATCCGCCCCCCGCCCAACGGCCGACCCGTCTCGTTGTCCAGCACGTTCGACATCAGCCACGGGAACTCGCAACGCGGCACCCATTGCGAAAGGACTTCCAGGCCGTGGTCTACAATGCAAGATATACAGGGTGTCACAGAAATAACACGCCAGGGCGACATGGGAGGTAGATTGGCGTCAGATCAATCAGATAAAATCAACATGGCCTTGGTAAAAGTTTTCGAGATATTGCGACTATCAAGTTTTTTCAAAAAATCCCTGCTTTTTGCTCCTGTTTTGCCTGTTGTGACTATAAAAAACTTTTAACTTATGATTTTTTTCCTGGACTACCTTTAATAGTTGGTTGAGACAACCGAGTATTCATTTCATTGCTAGCACAGGATGGTAGAAAAAAAACTAAATGATTACATTTGGTTTCAATGCGAAAACTTTGACTAATTACTATTAAAAAAATTTACCAGACTACATCAGCAAATGACCTTAAAGAATAGCTATTTAATGTTCTTTCAACACGTTGACTGCCAACTACGAGATAACGTGTAGATTGCGTTCTTTTCTATGAGGTTCTTTTTACTAAAAACTTATATATTTACGAAATACAACAAATAAAAAATAATGTTTTTAAAGAGCATTAAGTAGGCTACTTTTCAAGAGCTTATGCAGTCTCATACATTTTTTTTTCATAGTAATTAGTCAAACTTTAGTAAAGGAAGCCAATCTACCTCTAGTGTCACTCTGTCGTGTTATTTCTGGAACACCCTGTATATTCAAAAATATTAATAACAATACATTGCATTTATTCCATGTAAGTACAGAAAAATATTTACATCATAATTGCGATGCAGTGAGCAAGTGGCGAGGTTCGCTTGATTGACAACCATTATTATCAGAATTAAGTTAGTCGTATTTTATTATGAACTCAAATAGCTTCACAACCGTTGAGGATAGGTATAAACCTTACTATACAAAACTCACTAAAAAAACTGGAAAATCTAAAAATTAATAAAAAAAAATGGGGGATTCCAATACGCAATATCCTATTTTTTGATCACCCTGTATTGTATGGCTTTAGATGTAAAGACGTCCACCTAGAAATCAAAATTGACGTAACCGAGAGTTTTACTCAACATATATCAGGAGCGTCACAAATGGGGGTGCGACCTTTTCCTTGGGACACCCTGTATAAAATGTTTATCTTCAAAACACCTGAGCAATCGACCTGCGAAATATTGTGCTCTTTTTACAACATTTTTCCATATACTTACCAAATTCGTGATTTCCAAAAACAGCACAATGCGTTCCTGCTTCATTTAATACTGGTATCATTTGTTCTCCTTTGGTAAAAGTACTCACTAGAAAACAAAAAAAACAAATCAAGTCAGTTGTTTCACCTGGTATGATTTGTTTTGCATAAAGTAATTAGGAATATACAAACTAAACAGGACTGGGCCTAATACGGTTCCTTGTGGAACTTCTTATCTGTCATGTTTCTCTTAGTGTAACTAAAACAGACGTCAGAATGTTCTGAAGTATCATGGGACTTTAAAATGCATTCACTCCAGCCGATTCCGATGTAATGTGAGGTTATGGGCCCAGGCGATATCCTACTTACGCATACTGGGCGAAAAGGCGTCGCCGCTGAACAGCACCAACGGGTGCAGGTGCGCCAACTGTTTGACAGCATGACAGAAACGCGCCGCTCCTCCCACAGGCTCCTCGGACGGTCTCGGCTCCACGTTGTAGACGTCGTTGAAATGGACGATGACCAGCTGATCGCTGGGGCCATCCCCGGGCCCCGTGCCGCCGCCTTCCGGGATTCCCGTCATCGCAGCGGTGCCAGACAATGTGTTGACAGCACGCCGGCCTGCGGCGCGCACTTCCAAAGACGCCTATAATACGGGGCGGGCCATAAATTTATATTTTTAATAAAGTAGAATTTTAATAATAAAATATCATTGAGATGTGAGCCATCGAGACGTACGCACATCGTTCACACTTTCAGTAGGACATTGATTTGACGCCGCGCAATAGTGCACGAATTTCGATTTTTGTAAAACAACAGAACGCACCGGTCGAACGCTCCATGGCGACTAACTTTCCGAGCACTAAGCTACTTATCCGCAGTGCGGTTTTGGAATTCGTACGTCTTTCTCGTCCACCCAGTGGAAAATGGCGTGAAGTAGGTGGACTCTATACTTCTAAAGCAATTCTATCACCAATTATATATGGCGTCCCAAAAGTATGGACACTATGGGGTCCCAAAAAAATGACTAACTAACTTTTGTCCATTTGACTCTTAACAAATCAATAAATTAATAATTATTTACAATATTATATAAAATTATTCAGAGGTTATGACGAATGTTCTTAGTTTTGAATGGCTTATGTACGTTTTTTCCTCATTCTTTCTTTTTATGTATGCCAATATATCAGATGCACTGTACTTACGTAGAAGTTTTGATGTTCCTCGGCTCAGCAAAGCCGAAATCTGGGTTGACGGCAAAAAATTACCAGCGACGTGTCAGTCACACCATAAATCGTGCCACAAACGTTACAATGATTAATTGGTTCATTATGGCGCAAACAATTATAATCAGTTATGAATAATTTATGGCTGATAATAAATCTAAACAAGACACAACTTGCATAATTAAAAACTTGCATGTACACTTTCAAAACAGTCGTACGCACTTTGAATATCTTATATGTACAGAATGTCCCAAAATATAAATACTTATTGACGTGATCAGCATAAGCTGATATTATTAATCAAAAGGTGTGGATGTTTGTCACTCAATGACGTCAAAATGCCTGAACGGATGAAATTGACTGTTAAGTGTTATGAATTTTTGTAATTTTGGCTCAAATCACTAATTAGAGTAGATTTATGTATGTGCATTTCCATGCACAAGGTTATGCTTTCTATGGGTTTTTTATTTGGTAATTTTATTTTCCGTTATGTTTTAAGGGTAATAAACGAAATTTTGAATTTGAATTATAGCACATAACTTGTTATCGCGGGAAATATCTATTTTACATTTTTATGAACCCCTGTATATTAGTTTATAAGAAAGAACGAACTTTTGCGGCAGGGTCGTATTACGGATAATAAAGGGTACTCGCAAGATTATTTGAAAATTCTGTTTGTAACCTAAAATTGGTAATACTCTAAATATAGGTCTGTCATGCCGGTAGCGGTTTTTAATTTTGTTTATACTGACGATAGGGTCTTATCTAGTATCTACTGATAATTCATACATAAGAGCATTGAACATCAAATAGAATCCTTGTGACATTTTCTCCTCTTTTAAACGGCTTTCCGTGCATCTATAAATAGAATCACACTGACTTTGACCTGAATAAGTTCGTATGATTGTAACTACTATATTATATTTTTATCTAGGCACTTTGAGAGTGTTTTAGAAGAGTTCGGGCACGTGCGCTCAGGTCAAATAGGTCAAAGCTTTGACTAGTAATTACACGAATCAGTATACGAGGGAGGTCCGATGTAAAATGAATTATACAATGATTTCCTCGTATCCATTGAGAAAGCGTTCTATTAGTTTACCGATTGAATTTTGCAAAATAAATGACGATTTTTATTTTCGGAAAAAGTAATAGCGTACCATATTTTTTTAAAAATCTCCTGTATAGGAACGCCACTGGTAGTAATATTAAAAAATGTCTATTGGTGCTTAGTAGGTCCATGTCAAATTTCATAAAAATGTCTATAAAGGTATTAAAGTTATGATAAGAAAACGAATTTCTTCTTAAAATTGTAACACCCTGTACCTCAAAAGTTAAAAGGTTCAGGACATATGTTCATATGAACTTTTATCCCTAAAATGAGCTAAAGAATCATATCATGTATTTTTAGCCATCAATTAAATTACACCCTGTAGACGCCATTTTTGCTCAGATGAATAGGATTTTTAATTCCGACTCCAAAACTGTTAATACATCATCCATTGGTATTGCCAAACATTAGCTATTTCAAAAAGGCAGAATTTCCTAGGTAGGCCTTGAGATAATCAGATAGTCATTTGTTTCTCCTACCAGATTACGAGGATAAATATTTTTTTGGTAACCAAATAAAGTAAACAAACGATGTACCATGAGAATGACAAGTGACAACACTCTTATTCCCAAGATTTTGAGCACGGAAACAAAAGTGCACCTTTAACGTTTCTGAAAGATGACTTGTTCAATTTCCGAACGCACTGAACAGGCACGTCAAACAATTACGAACGAAAAACACTCTGTAACAATTTACGTAAGTCTGATGTATTCGCAGATCTCTTTTCTGATTGGTAGACCAATAGCAATAAAGGAATTTCCATACGTTTACGCAAAAACCTGAAAGATACGACTCGTTTCCCATCAGATCCTTTTTTGTCCACATCCTCTGCGCGAACAACTAGCCAGTCGTACTGCTTAGATTTTGATTGGCCAACCAGGCAACCAATACAATTGTGAGATAAAACGTATAGGTCGTGCTGGATAGTTTTTTTGTATTAAAAGGATTCATTGGTCGGTGGAAATAGTTTTTGTGTATTCGCTGGAAAGAAATTAAATGCTTGCGTGCGGACCCAATTTATAGATTACCTGAAATATTTCCTTGTTCAAATTTATTTGTAGTGTACCTATTCGTGGTGTTGTGATTGTAAAATTCTGCGAGTTGCTTTTCGCGTACAAGGAAGACATGGCGTCAAGTAGGTGGACTCCGCATTGCCAGATGTAAAAAATCAACATGTAACAATCGATCTTCAAGTTTTTAATTTGTTGTGCTGTTTTTCTGACTCATAGCTATGTGAGTTTTATAAAAAAAATTGACTACAGATACCTATCTCACCTGCTGTTCTCCTGATGATGATGACAAAATTTATCAAAAGCTAGAGAAATAAAGTAATAAGTGTACACTCTGCTCTAATTTGTCGAAGAAATTCGATCCTCAGCATTGGGATCCGGGAAACGGTAAGAGATACGAAGTCGGTCAAATTGAGACAAAGCTGCTAACGAAATGCCGCTTATAACGTTTCGAAATTCAAATTAGTGTCGGAGAGAGACGGAAAAACCAGAATTTTCCCAAAATAGTTTTAATTATTTCCTGACTTTAGTTGTAGTGGGATGTTAAAATAAATTGCACAACAACGTTGCCACTTTTTCTCATCTACGAGGTGACATAATATTTCATTCGTTGATGTCGCCAAACCTTAATTCTTCCAGAAAAACAGGATTACCTCGGTAGACCTTGAAAATATCATAGTCATTTGTTTTATATCCCAGACCAGACCTCAAACTGAACATAGTAACAGAGTTTAGAAAACTGAGAAAAAGAGAAATGAATCAAACAGCGAACAATGTACAGAGACGAATGAGGCTTTGGCTTCAAAGTTGGTAATGAAAGTCGAAAGAAGAAACCTCGAATTGCATAGGAGACAACATGCAATTCATTTTGAAATCCTACCTCAAATATAGTCAGGAAAAAATAAAAAGGATTTTGGAACCAATCTAGTAGGTGAAACAAATGACATAATTCCAAGGCCTACCTGGAAAATTTGGTTCTTTGAGTAAACCCATTTATATCTTATATATTTTAAATAGCTTAAGTGTTAAAACATTTTTGAATCAAGTAATGTTATTCACAGTTATCAGGATTTAGTGTTATTTCAAATTTGAATTGCTGTCAACATCAAAAATAAGAATAGTCTAACCTGTTTGAGCCAACCTACAACACTGGTAACCTTGCTGGTAACTTCAGGAGGCACTTCGATGGTATGCTCTTCCACCAAAGAGCTCCACTTAGCCCTTAGGGCAGCCTGGGCGGTGAAACTTGCCATTGTCCTAAGGGTTTATGTTTTGTTAGAGCACACCACCACCCAAAATACATCCATGAACAAAGTGTTAAATTTGATGTACTGTAAAGGTGCTAATAGTGAGTGATGATTATGCGAGGTGCAGATATTACATGTTAGCGATAAAAAAGAATGCTGGACATACCTTTGAACTTGTTGAAATCTAGAAATAGCTTTCCTCTGGAGGGATCAATCTCGCAGCGATTTTTTTTATTTTCAGATATTCTCAAATGCGGGTTACTCAATCTTACGCTATTTTTAATTTAGCGTCAATTTTTGATAAAATAAACGTATATTTCGCTGAGTGCTTATTTGAGTAATTTCAAATACAAATCTTTCTCCAATATTTCCACCACTCCAATTTTTTCAAAGGATACAAACGTCAAATTTTCAGCGCAGAATTCATCGGACGCCATCTATGGGATGGTAACTTCACTTACATACTTCAGATGATAAGATAATATCATTTATTGCATAAGAGATGTCACTGCACCGTAAAAAATACAGAAAAAAGCATGCAGTGCTATCTACTGGACACTTACTTGATTAGTATAGAGCGACATCTGTTGAGCACTAACCTAATTAGTATGTGTTGTAATTTTTTTTTATATCGAAGCAGCCGCGCAGACAGAGGCCTAAATGCCGGAACACCGCGACTGCTATGACGATTCCAAAGAAATTTTATTGATACAGATAAATTTGGGTGATGTTTTGGAGTTGAGACGAAGCCACAGAATGTCCTTCCGGCCTGATTCCAAAGAAACATCTCTGGAGCAGGAAAGACTGCTGCGGACAAAAGCCACAACTCCTCCGTTCTTTCTCAGATTGGAGAGAGCGGAGAGTAGTATCAGTATGATTCAGATTACCATGGGATACACTGTTTCCGTACCTTTATTTGCTCATATATATATATATATATATATATACAGGGTGACTTTGAAGTTGAGTCATTAATTTTCAGATAATGATTGTAGAAGGAAGATAAACCAAAATATGTGTGTAAAAATAAAAAAAAATAAAAAAAAAATTTTACCTTGTTTTATAAAGTATCCTCCCGACAAGTATTCCAGTGCGGACCTGTATTTGATCGTGAGGTCCCCTGTGAGGTCTTAAGTCACCTGATTCACGAGCCCGTTGTACTACATTAACAAAGGCACGAGGGGTTGGTTGCACTCGATTGGGAAACCGATCCGCATAAACATGTGCCATTTTTTATTTCGTTTGAGCCACGCAACAGACACTATTCACACGCGACTGACACTGACTGTATGTATAACTGAACTGAATAAACTAATTGTAAAAACATCGTTCCAAATTCTTTCGCTTTTTTGTTTCCGATGCGATGAACCGATAAGGTGGACTATATCCGTTGTTGCCAAACACGATCACATGATATTATTATTGAGACAGGGCGGTACTCAAACTTCCAAAGGGCTATAACTTTGTTACTTTAATTTTACCAGAAAAATGGTAAAGGAAAAAACATTTCTTTTGATCAGATCTACTCACTGTTAAAATAAATGACTCAACTTCGACAGGGTGACTTTGAAGTTGAGTCATTAATTTTCAGATAATGATTGTAGAAGGAAGATAAACCAGAATATGTGTGTAAAAATAAAAAAAAAAATTTACCTTGTTTTATAAAGTATCCTCCCGACAAGTATTTCAGTGCGGACCTGTATTTGATCGTGAGGTCCCCTGTGAGGTCTTAAGTCACCTGATTCACGAGCCCGTTGTACTACATTAACAAAGGCACGAGGGGTTGATTGCACTCGATTGGGAAACCGATCCGCATAAACATGTGCCATTTTTTATTTCGTTTGAGCCACGCAACAGACACTATTCACACGCTAACCGACAGACACTGAGTGTATGTATAACTGAACTGAATAAAATACTTAATTGCAAAAACGTTCCAAATTCTTTCGCTTTTTTGTTTCCGATGCGATGAACTGGTAAGGCGGATTATATCCGTTGTTGCCAAACACGAGTACATGATATTATTATTGAGACAGGGCGGTACTCAAACTTCCAAAGGGCTATAACTTTGTTACTTTAATTTTACCAGAAAAATGGTAAAGGAAAAAAACATTTCTTTTGATCAGATCTACTCACTGTTAAAATAAATGACTCAACTTCGAAGTCACCCTGTATATATATAAATAGAATCTGTGTTTTGGCCGATTCCACCAGTAAATTTCATTCCATTCAAAATCTAATAATTCTCTTCTCACGATTTATTAATAATTATTAATTTAAATTCCCATTAATTAAAATATAGTTTATTCAACTGCCTCTGGTCGGTTTAACAATTTCTTACATAACATTCTGAAAATCACATCATCTGAAGTGATTGTTTTGGCACACGCCCACAATTCGTTCCATCTTTTAACACAGACATTGACAACCTTCGACCTTCTGTCAAAAGGTTCATCTCACTCATTATTCCATGACCACCATTTTGTGCAATCATCAAGTGGCTTCACGATGTAATGCTCTAATGTTTTTAAATAATTTTTAATCTGTCTTTAACTTGTTCTTGTCATATTTTATATAATTTTGACCATTGTACCATGTATCCAGCTCTCACCATGTTACTGGACGTTTCCCTCATCCTATACGTAAACAACAATTAGCAACATCCTCACATACTACTGTAAGTTGAGTCAATTTAAATTCATTTTATACTTTTGTTGCTACTGTTATCATTGTAATTGCAGCTCCTGATGATGATGGCAAAGTCGATTGAAAGCTAGAGAGAATTAAAAAAGTATAAAGAGTCCTCTTTGCTTAAATTTTGTCGAAGTACCCAACAAAAGGCGGAAGCTTTAATTTTTCACCTATATATATATATATAGGTCTGAGCACTGTACAGGAGTTGCTTCCATAAATCCATTTCTAGTAGAAATGGTAGATCAGATACTCATCGCGTCAGACGTTAGGCGGGTACCCGTACCACGTGATTTTTTGACATTCGGACGACGTCACATCCGTCTTTCCCTATTCCCGTTCTTCGCGAAAATTTGAGTATCGGTTCCCGGTAGTGCACTGTGCTACACCGTGGACTCGCGAAAAAACCCTTATTGAAAATGTTGACATTTACACTAAAAACATGACACATGACAGCCGCATTTGCGTACCGCGTAACACAATGGGATGTGTTCGGATCATCGGTCGAAGTGCATAAAGCACGTTCAAACAACAAATCGAGCCTATTTGATTTGATCATTGACATATCATGGAAGTACTGATAAGATAAAGGAACATGAAAAAAAAACGATATATTGAATGAAAATATCGATATATACCGATGTATTGAAACAAATATATTGATTATAATATATCGATATATTTTTAAAAAATATCGATATATAAAAATAATCGATATATCGTTGCCATCCCTATTAGTAACCTAACCTCACTTTACTAGTTTCCGATGTTGTAGTGTTTGTGTTTATTGTTTTCGTTATAACTTTTTTGCACCAAGCTATAGCCGCATCAAATTAAATAGAATGTCTACATCTAAACTCCCATCTGTTGAGACGTTACTTTCACCTGTTGAAACGCTTAACCTGCGTTCAAATTCAGACTCTGCCGAACATCAAGAAAACCCCAAAGCTCTGATAGTTAAAGATGCGGGGCTGCTATACTCAAAACTACAATGTGTGCTTTGTGGAAGATGTCTATCTGTTAGCCCAGTTAGTGAAAACCGGGGTAAGGTCAAACATTTCTGCCTAGCCTTTTTTATTTTACCGAAAAAGTAGTATCAGAGAACTGTTTCTTGTCTATGAAATATTTTTATTTATAATGTAACTTTTTTAAATTTCTTAGAATAAGGAATCTATGATACTCCGTTTGTGTTGTTCATCTTTTTTCCTCTGTACCCTTGATCATTATTATTATAATTTTCTTTTGGTTCAGGCGAGTATACATGCGGCCGGTGCTGTCCAACTGCAATGCCGTGTTCACTCTATGAAACTGTGGCAGAACACTTTACGTTTCCCTGTATTTTTGAAGGATGTGAAGCAGCATTGATCTGGGGTGAAGTAGAGGCACATGAAAAGGTCTGTAAATTTCGTCCAGTTTCATGTCCTTTCCCCAAGTGTTCATATAGATACCAATGCAATGATTATCAAAAACACTTTGAAACTGCTCATAGTTTACATAATGGGGCATATTATAGCGATCCTGTAGACATAAAATCGTTAGGCGATAGCTTTCCATATGTTGATCTGCATTGTATACATTGCGTTGATCTCACTTTTTTGGTAATCATACGCATTTACAAGCTGCGTGAGGCTAATGGATCAGCGTGCCACATCAGTGTTCTTTGTATGTCTATTGAACAGGATCTTTCCGAATTAGAATCCGAACTTACGATTAATTTAGCCAGCGATACTGTCTTGACAAAGACTCTAAATTGTAGCAATTTTATCCAGTACATCGATACTCAACATTGCATTAATTGTATATACGAATCGTGCGACAAGCCAGATCACATGAATATCGGCAACGACGCTTTGTCTTCGGAAGTGTTAAAATTTCTGACCGATAAACCGTTTTCATATGTCGTTAAAATATCCAAGATCGGAGGATCCGCAGAGAAACCATCGAATTTCGAATGTCCGATTTGTTTTAATGTTTTCGGTGAACGAATATACTTATGTCCGGGTGGCCATTCGTTATGCAACAATTGCACGCGTACGTTGACGCATTGTCCGTTTTGTAGACTGAGAATTACGAAACCGGTCAGAAATTATTCTTTGGAAAAAATCGTTGCAGAACATGCATTACAACTGAGGATGTAATTTTTGTTCCTTTCGAGTAAGTATGTACGAGGCACGTCCAGAAAGTAAGTGTACTCAATTTATGTAGGGTTCAAAAAAAATTTATTAAAACCATAATATACTTGGTTACACTTGTACATATGTAAGTTATTTTTCGACATAGTCACCATCCCTCTCGATGCAAGTGGTGAGCCGCGGGATCAATTTTTTGATGCCGGCCTCGAAGAAGTCTTCCGCCAGCTCTTTCGCCCACTTCTCCACCTCCCCCTTCACCTCCTTGTCCGTTGAAAACTTGTTTCCACCCATGTGCCCCTTTAGGGAAGTGAAGAGATGGAAATCTGAAGGAGCCAGGTCAGGGGAATACGGGGGGTGATTCAGAACGTCCCATCCAAAAGAGTCCAGGAGTTGCTTCGTGGCGTTGGCCGTGTGGGGTCTGGCATTGTCGTGCAACAGGCAGACTCCCTTCGTCAGCATGCCCCTCCTTTTATTCTGAATCGCCCTTTTCAATTTTTTTAGCGTCTCATCGGAGCTTTTCCCTTCACAACGAGGTAGCGAATGACGGCGCGAATTTCGCACTTGGCGGGAGATACGATCGACATTTTTCGCGAGAGATGTTACTGCGTCGAGAGTTTTCAACACACTAACCTCAGATTGGTCTCTTTTTGAAGGGGAGGGGTTAGGCTACGCGGCAGTGTTGCCAACATGTCGAAAAAGTATTCTCTACAGCTGTGAGAATACCAGTACACTTACTTTCTGGACGTGCCTCGTATATACTGTTGTACCTAGCAGGTGACTCACCAATATCATTTATTTGTTTTTAAAGATACTAGAATGAAATTTGGTATGTAGGTAGGGGAAAGTCGCCTAAGTCGTACCATTTTTCGGAAAAATGTATAATAAGCTAACATTTTCAATATTAAGGGGCTCCTTTTATTTTAAATACCATTTTATCATATTCATGGCAGATTGGATTGAAAATTAAAAATGACAAATATTTGTAAGTTAGATGTGAAAGGTAGCAAATGCAGCGCCATTGTACCGGGTGTCTCATGTAAACTAAAAAAGACATTTCCGGCTAAACCAGAAGTGAAAGTAAACAATTGAATAGACACAGTGCATATTATTTATGTGATATATCTACATACTTTTCATTTCATTTTTGTATCTTTAAAACTAAAAAACTTATAGGAGTGAGCCACCTGCTAGGGACATACATGTTTTAAAAAAAAATTTATAATATTGTATCATTTCGAGCTCTAAAATATCACTAGGATTAAATTATTAGATTTGTATAATAGTTTGAACTTTATTTTTAAATCCTTATACGGAGTATTTCAGATAGACGTGCCAATATTTCTATGTATGTAATCAAGTTAAGGCTAAATTAGCTCCTTAATGTTATGAATACCACCGCCAAATTCCAACAAAATTTGGTAAAGGATATTTTAGATATTTACGAAAAACCGTTTTTTTCAAATTTTAACACCCTGTATTTTGAGAACGAAGAATTAGCGGACCTACGTTTGTATGAACTTTTTGTCTCAAAATTACCCAAAGAATCGGCTGTTAAATTTGTGGTACATACCTAACACCCTGTTTATATGAACTATTTCTATTTCACATGTACGTTTCTGGTCCAGGAATGTGCCTTGTAATTTCAGCCTATCATTAATTAACACCATGTATACGTATACAGGGTGAACCTGAAATAGGCAATTTCAAAAAAATACCAGCAAATTTAGTAGCTGAATTACATGACAAAACCTTGATCCTTTGATTTCTCCTGTATAGCTTAGTAGGGAAATTTCGTTATTTCTAGATAATGTACTGATTCAGATGTATTTAGAAAAGGTTTTTATACAAAACATGCTTTATTTTGTCTGACTGCAAATATGGTACCTGCATGCATTTTCTGTTCATTATTTACTTTAATGTGTATTTTTTTAATAAATATTTAAAAGTGCAATGCCATTGACGTTGATTTAAACCAAAAAACACAGAGACCAGTAGAAGAGTCAATCCGTCGAAAAAACAGAGTCTGTCGCGTTGGCTGAGATGATACCTCTTGTTGCTGAAATGCTAGTCTAAATTAATCACCCTATATATGGGGATGAATTCGCTATATTGTGTTTATTTAAACATTATTATATTACAAATATAATAGAAGAACAAAAATACTATAAAATACAATACAAATTATGTTTTACCAACAGTTTTGAATACACCATCACTTAAAATTTTCAACAACATTGGCAAAGAGACATTTACCGAGAGAGCATTTATTTTAGTTCTTTAACACCGACACACATACAGGTTTTAGGTATTCGTATCCTGTATCAACATCAACAACTTGCAATCAATGACTCAATAATCGTTTTGCAATGTTTATAAGTCTGTTGTTTGTAGTTTGAATACAATGTGGGTGATTAGGATGTTGTGTATCAGTGTATCGGACTTTTTGATTCACGACGTCATCAGGTGAACTGGCGAATATGCATTTATGCGGTGTTGCCGTTTTGTCAGTAATTACTGGCATTTGCCAGGAATGAGGCGACAGGGAAATCTGGATTGGAAATGATGGATCGAAATTAATTTGTTTATTTAAATATTTAAATCATACGATCTAACGCCGCTTGATTTTTATTTTTGGGAAACAATCAAAAACGAGGTTATAATACACCGTCCGCTACACGAAACGAGTTGGGGGTTACACCAATGCATCTTCAAAATGTAATACGCAAAACAACTGAGAGAAATGAACTTTGCCAACAACAAGGTGCTCATTTCGTACATTTAATAAATTAAAAAATATTTATTGAGTAGAATAATTAAAACATATTTCATCAATTCCAATTTAGTTATTTTGCCTTGGCCACTAAATTGGCTTCATATGAATACGTGTATGTTCTATCTCTAGCTTTCACGCTGAACTTGAACGCTGGATTGGATAACCCAACAATTTCAGATTTGTTCAGTCGCATGTTCGTTTTCTCGAAGATTGGCTTCTGCATCCTCATCCTTTATGGTAGCAACGACAAAGCAAATGCAGAATAAAAAGCACAGAACTCCAGCGATTGCTGCCAGTAATAAAGCGTAACTGATTGAGATGTAGATGAAAGCAAAGAGATACGCTGTCCGCTGGCAGTACTTGGCACCATCGTTTGGGTCGTAGCTTGGCGGATATGCATTGTAAACCCAGAAACTACCTGCAAGTAAAACAACCACTTACATACATTGCTGCAGGGTTGCCAGGTAGATCAAGCAAATCCCCCAGAACAAGCACAAAAATCTCCCAGGTTTAAACTTGAAGAAAAACGAATGAAAAATATATTTTTCTAACGAATTGAGACTATTTTTCAAACTTGTTTCTTGTGTGTAAAGTCGAGCAAGCAAATCTGTGTAAAATCTCAGAGAAGAAACAGAAACAGGCGTGGGAGATGAAGATCGCTAAATAAACTGGCCAATGCACAACTTGTCACTCTGTTTTTCTGTGTTCTATGACTATGGTTGCATGTTTACCAACCTACAATTCACATAAAGGTGTAGAGATGGGTCAGCGTAGGTGGAGATGGGTGCGACATAAAATTGTTATTTAGCAGCCGGCAGTTCTTTAATGATGGAATAAAATATTCAACAATTTTATTTTCCCCCAAAAGAGTCCGCCAGAACATTTATCCCAAAAATTATCCAATGGACGTCAAAATCCCCCTTAATTAGGGGACAATCCCCCAATATGACAACCCTGCATTGCTACTTAATATCGGCAATAGTGAATCGGGTGTAAATCTAGTGACACACAAAACACTAAAACAAGATACGGCTCTGTCTACCTGGCGTTGACGGTACGTCAGAATTATGTGTCCTTCGTCGAAATGGGGAATTTTGAAATATTACTAGATAATCAGCAGTCATTCTATCGTAATGGATGCTCGTGAAAAAGATAATAGTATAAGTTGATTCACAAGTAAGTCATAATTTTATTGAGGGGATTGAGAGGGAATGATAACAGCTGTAACTTTTGAAGATTCTCCTCATTTTTAAAGGCAGTTGATTTTTACGTTGACTTACCAAGTACAAAAAACATTGCCTCGACCGAAAACAGCACAGCCTCTATCTTGGTAGATTCGGCGTACTGGACGTTACTCATTTTCCTGGCAGCGGTAGTGCATTTTGCTAAGAAACCTACAGCTCCTGCAAAGAAGTCAATTGTTATAACTTGCTTAAAAAAATGGCGCCAAGTAGGTTGACTCTGCACTTTCCACGGAATTTTGTCATCCCCAACCAGCATTTTGTTAAAGAAAAGTTTGTCAAATTTTAGTAATTATATCCTTGAACGCTGTCGTCAAAAGTTGAATTGTCTCTATAGTTCAATCCTTTGTTAAAAATTGGTAACTAAGTATCAATTTAGGACCCTAATAATCCTTTGACCAAGAGGTTAAATTTGTTGGTTCAATACAACAAAAAACACCTCTGAAGGGCACTAAAAGAATTCTTGACCTCACAGAAAAATCAAAGAAGCTGACCTAATATTAACCTAAAACATGTTCTCAATAATGTGTTCGTTCTTGGACATATTGGCAAGTAAAAATCTTCTTATTAATTAATAAGGCTTATACTTATTCCTTAATTATTTAAGATTATTTCTCTCCACAATGCCTGACTTTCGAAAAAATATTTTTTTTAACAAAAACACTTTTAGCAATTCACTTTTTATTATGTATTTTTAATGCCGCACTAAAGACCTTATGAACATATTGTAAAGACGTCTTTAACACGCTCAGATTTTGTATCAAACGTAGTCTTTACAACGTCTTTAAGATGTCGTACAGCGTTCACAAGATGTATCGAGTATCTCAGAATGACGTTTTTAAAACGTCTTTAAGATTTGTGAATATATTTAATGAAGTTTCTGATATGTTAGACAGAGACAAACAGAATTTTATTGTCTAAACAAACTGTATTGCTAATTTGTATGCATCCGACAAAGATAGACGATGTTTTCATGTTGTCTGATCGATCATATTTGAAAGATGAACAGATAGATTATGTTAAAGGAGGTTATGTTGTTTTCGAGTAATACTTTGGTCTTTAGTGTTCCTGTCTTAAGGTATTCTACTCATAACTGATTTTTTTCACAACAAAAACTCCCCACTAAAATTATTATTAAGGTATCACTCAAAACCATGAAATAAAATGAAAACAAAAATAATCAGTGAAATAAACTTCTCAAAATCATAATATAAATTTTGTTGTCATTATGTTTCTGACTCGTGATCTTATCATCGACGTACGTCCATTGATTATTTAAGTACAATTTATGATATGACGTAACAGTCATCTTATAGTTGTTCTATTTGGTCAACAAACTCTATTTCACGAGTATCCATCACGTTTTGACGTTTACTGAGTAAACAGCTGATCAGCAAGTGACTTCTTTGTGTCTAATGATTCGGGTGTAAATCCAGTAAAACGTGCTTGTAGCGTTTTTTCTGTATGCAAATGTACTTTTCTAAATAAAACAGCTGTTAGCGAGTACAAAATGAAACTGTAGCGTACAAGAAACAAAAACAAAATGCGGTTCTGTCTATACGTCAGAATTATGTCATTCGTCGATATGGGGAATTTTGAAATATTACTAAGAAATCAGCTGTTGTTCTGTCGTAACGGATACTCCTGATAAAGACAGTACAAATAATGCTTATTAGTGGTATGATTAGTGATCCTATTTCAGCATTAGTGGAAATATGAACACTGATTCTTGTCAAGCAAGGGTTTGGGTATGTTACAATTTTTTAAATTGAAGTATTACATTGTTCTGTTATAAAAATTCCTAAGTTAACTTATCTTTTACTTACCTACTGCTACCAAGTATAAAGGGATATAAGGTTCCACTGGGCATTTTCCAAAGGCAAAACTTCCAACGATAATCATCGCAAAATTGATGAATATGGCTAATATCAGTGACACATTTAGTCCAGCTGAAAAAGATATTTGGTCTCATTGAAGCATTTTTGGTTAGAGAACGGTAAACTATTATTGTTACATTTCATTATCACTGACTGCCTCTACACTATACATTTTGGTCATTTTATACACGGTGGCCCAACGAAGAGGTTGCACCCCCATTTGTGACTCACCTGGTATATTTTGGGAAAAGCGCTCAGACAAGTCAATTTTGATTTCTAAGGGGGCGTCTTTTCATGTATTGCTGTACATACAGGGTGATCCAAAAATACGATATTGCATTACACTTTGGAAACCCCCGACTTTTTCAATTTTTAGATTCTGCGTGAAGTTTTTAGTAGCTTTTGTATAATAAAGTTTATACCTATCTTCAATCGTTGTGAAGCTGTTTGAGTTCATAATAAAATTCAAGAAATTGTGATAATAAGGGATTATATCGTGAAAATAATAATATACTTAGTTCGTTTAGTGACAAGACCTTGAAATTAAAAACAAGTCTCTGAGTGTTAAAAAAACAAAAAAACATCTCACAGTTTACACGCACATTAAAGTTAACGCAAAAATTAATTTGCCATAACGAAGTACACAGTGTACCACCCTTTATATATATATACAGGGTGTCCGCAAAGTTGGGGTTTTCCTCTTCAGAAACAACTACCCTTGAAATAACAAGGTAATGTGTAGTGAAACGAGGGCGACCAAGTAAAAAAAAAATAAAGGAAAAAGTACTCGCTCTCCAGTTGACGAGAAGGGCTAAGTACGTCTCTGCCCGAAATCATACCGCTCCAACAGAAAATGAAATCAGCTGATGCGCTACCGAGCAGGTGCAGGCAAACAAGGAAGGCAAAATGTTGCGTAAAAAGCCTAGGTATTGCATCCCGTCCAATCGATTTGGGACAATAAATGGTCCAATGAGCATACCGTTCACCATGCCAGCCCAAACATTCACCGAAAATGTTTGTTGAAAATGTGCCCGACGGACAGCGTGCGGATTTTCTACTGACCAAACATGAGTGTTGCGAAAGTTATTCACCCCTTTACGCGTGAACGTAGATTCGTCTGTCACCAATATGCACTTCAAAAAGTCCGGATTATTGTCATGTTGATGCAACAACCACTCACAAAACCGCACTCTTGCTGGAAAATCGTCAGGTTGAAGGGCTTGTACACGTTGGACGTGAAACGGATACAGCCCCTCTTCACGCAGCGTTTGCCACACTTTAGTTTTTGATACTTGCACTTCTCTAGCCACGTCTCTTGTGCTTGTTGAGGGATTCTCGTCTACGCGATTACCTCTACACGCGTGACCGTAACCGTCGGTTGAAGGTTGCATACTGACCTACACACTGACCCCGACCCAGTTCTGTCGTCGGGTTGAGCTAGTGTCCTGGTACCACTCGGGGATGTCGCGGGTCGCGGCTACAGGACGGTATTAAGATATTTTTGATGTTGCAGAGCCCTTTATCTCGGTTCCCTTAAGACATTGGTGTTATATGGTACTAAGAAAAATTGCTTATGTTTTCAAGATCTACACGTCGTGTAAAGGAAAACCCCAACTTTGCGGACACCCTGTATATGCTTAATACTTACGTTCGACTTTTTCCTTAACCCTTACAACCCTAGCCTGGGCTATCCTAGTGCGAGTACTTCCCGCCTCTTCAGCGGAAGCATTACCTGCCGGCTCCTGTTGCGAACTTGCCCGTTGACCTTCCATGTTTTCACAGCTAAGCGCGCACAAATAAGTCTATGCACATAGCAATATTATTCAAACAGACACGCCTTACGGGTTTATATCAGATCAAGATTCTTTTTGCTGAACGACGTCAGTTTTGTATACACAATGTTTTTCTAAGCGGCGATACAGTGCAGTTGGGTACCGGTATAGTCTAATTGTAGCCTCCTATCTTTCTGGATATGAGTCCAAGTGACCGTATACTGTCGCGACAAAATATTCCAGCGTTGCCGGATGGCAGATCTCAATCCATGCGTAACGTAAACAATGCGATACGATGCAGATTACTCAGGTAGTAGAGTAAAAGCCATCCTAGTTTGGTACACCTGCGTCACACGCAACAAAGAGAAAATATAGTGCGATGTCTGTTTAGTTGTTCTAAGATCGATGCGGAATAACTTCACAGGCGTGCACTGCTGTTTTGTATTAATATTGTCACGCAAATGAATGTCGAAATGAGCTGGCAACCCCGAGGTTCAAATATCATAATATTCAACGCTCTCGCAGTACTGCCTGAGCAATCGTTCGGTCAACATCCATAAGGATATTGATTTCGTCATTGAAAGCGTTGCCAGTTGTTTTGTTCCCGAAAGATCGCCGGCGTTTTATCTGTTTGTTTGTTTTTTGGTATTAATTTGAAATTATTTGTGACTATTTATTTAAGATATTACTACGTGTGTGTGTGTGTGTTTATATTGATAATATTGATATGGCACCTAAAAAACTTTTACGGGGTCGTGTTTTACACAGCCAAAGCTGTGAAATTGTGAACAATATTATTAAGTTCATGAAAAAAGAGGCTGAAGAAGGGATTAGCATTCCTTTGACAAATTACAGGTATGTTAATCAATAAGAATACACAATTCCAGTATTTTGAAAGCTTTCACAAAGTTTATTTTCATGATATGTACAGCGTGTCCCAAATCTATGTAATTATTATTTTCAACTTTTCTACCGAAAGTAAAGGTAGATGGTTAAAATTTTATTAATTTTTTTTGTAAATAATAATTAAGTAAAATTCCGTGTCGAGAATTAAATTAAAAATGATTTGTCTACGAAATAATCATATTAGATTTTTTAAATTTAATATAATATTTAGAAGGAAATTAATTTTAGGGATAGAGTATTGGCTGCTACTGGGGTATCAAAGAATACCTACCAGAGAATTTGCAAAGAATCTAAGAAAAAGGATTTGCAAGGACCAAGTACCTCTTTTCAAAACCCCAAAAAAAGGAAAAATATGAAGAAATGGAAATTGGATTCTTTCACACCTCACCAGATTAAAAGTATTAGAGAAATAATCTACAATTTTTACATGATGGAAAAAAAATTTCCGACATTAAAGGGTAAGCATCAAAATTGAAAGATTGTCTCTGGTACCTTTTTCTCCATGTCAGGAGTTTCTGAACTATACAGGGTTATCCAAATTAAGTGTCCACAATTAGTAACTTTGTTATTAGTGAAAATACAAAGTTGTTTGAATTAGCAAACTAGTAGCATTTTTAACGCTGGTAAAAATGAGAAATAAAAAAACAATTGAGAGTCGTTATTTTGATTTTTTTCAGTAAAATAACATTTTTTTAAATGGAAACCCCTGTATATTATATTTTTTTCTGTTAAAGCATCAAATTTTAAACAAAAAAGCTTACAATAACTTTTCTCCTAGGTTACAAATTGTTGAAGTTATGGCCTCCAATCTGAAACAATTAAATTGTATCGACAAACTTTATTTTCAACATCAACTTATAATCTTACAAAATACAATAACAATTTTTTTTAAAGAAGATGCTCGAAAACACCACCTTGTTCTTCAATACATTTTTGGGCACGTTTTTCAACTGCTCGAACTGTCTTAAGTATGGTCCTACCATCTATCTGGGTTATCTTTTCCCTAACTGCAGTCTTTAACGCGTCAAGGTTATCGTACCTTCGCTTGTAAATTTGGTTCTTTAAGTAACCCCACAAGAAGTAATCAAGTGGGTTTAGATCTGGTGATCTAGGAGGCCACTGTATAGGGCCATTTGTTCCTATCCACTGATTATTAAAAGTAGTACTTAGAAAATGATAAGTACCTCTGGAGTTGTGGGCAGGTGCGCCATCTTGCTGAAAATGCAGATGATGTCTACTTATAAGATCCAATTCGTCTAAGAAATTAGTCAGAATTTCTGACATAAATTCCACATATCTTTCACCAGTTAGGGTTCCCTCATAAAAGAACGGGCCAACAATTTTTGAACCAATTATACCGCACCAAACGTTGAAACTGAAACGGACTTGTGGGCCTCTTGGATGTACTAACAAAAGATTTTCTCTTGACCAATAATGGTGGTTTTTTCTATTAAACATTCCAGAATTTGAAAAATTTGATTCATCTGTCCATAAAAGGTAACGAAAGTTATTTACATTTTGGCGACAGAAGCTAAGATACCAATGGCAAAAAACAAGTCTTCTCTCTGGATCCCCTGCCAAAAGCGTTTGAACTGGTCGGTACTTATACGGAATAAATTTGTATTTTTTTAAAATCCTTTGAACAGTACCATAACTGAAATTAGAGTCCTTGAGAATATCTGCTATTGAATTCTCACGATAAGCTTCAAAATATCCAATAACTGCAATTTCCGTGGCCTCGCTTATTATGAATTCTTTTTTTGCCCTTGTTTTAGCAAAAACATTTTCGTTGCCCCTAAATTTTCGATAAAGTCTCAGAAAATATCGTTCATACGGTTGAATGCGAGCGGGATATAATTCACTGTAGTATTCTCTTGCTCTCAAGGAGGATTTTCTGCACACTAAATAGCATTCTAACATATCACACTTTTCTTCATGGGAGAACATTTTTCTTTAAATTAATGACACAATAAAGCTTATAAACAAGTATTTACACTAATGTTTGACATTATTTGATTTTATCATTGTTTTCCAAAGCCTTCTAGTTGCGAGTATGTCCAGTTTAACAATTTGTCGCTTATCTTAATGCTGTCAAATCGCGAACGCCATGTTGTTTTCATAGCCATCTTAATATTATAATACTGCAAATAATTAAAAATATTTATCGTTATTTTGACTTTATTTTTGACTTTAGCGGAAAAGTCATTATGAACTTTTTTGTTTAAAATTTGATGCTTTAACAGAAAAAAATATAATATACAGGGGTTTCCATTTAAAAAAATGTTATTTTACTGAAAAAAATCAAAATAACGACTCTCAATTGTTTTTCTTATTTCTCATTTTTACCAGCGTTAAAAATGCTACTAGTTTGCTAATTCAAACAACTTTGTATTTTCACTAATAACAAAGTTACTAATGGTGAACACTTAATTTGGATAACCCTGTATTCTCTAAAATATACTCACCCGGTAGATTGCATAGTATCTTTGTCTATTAGAATGTCTGAAATAAGCTCTAATTTTATTTTAGGTATTAGACAAAAGATCCTCGATCGAGGTGTATTATCAGAAGACGTCGCTGAATTAAGCATAAGCACCCTGAGCCGACTTTTGAAAAAAATTGGATTTAAGTGGCAAAAAATGCAAGATAAACGAAAAGTTTTATGCGAATCCTATGACATACGCGCTAAGCGTATAAAATTCTTAAAAAAATTATTGAGTATCGTAAAGAAGTCCACACATCGTCTACACTGACGAAACCTATATTCATAGCAGCCATGTAAAGGATAAAGGGTGGTATGATGGTAGCGACAAAAATCTGAAAAAAAACAATTTCCAAAGGACAACGCCTGATAATCGTTCACGGTGAAGGCGAAAAAGGTTTTGTCCAAAATGGATTACTTATCTTTAAATCAGGTAATTTAGTTTACTTAATCTATTTAGGAATATATTTTTAGAGTACATATATTTTTATTTTAGGAACGAAAACTGGTGACTATCACAACGAAATGAATTCAAAAAATTTTATGACATGGGTCGAGAGACAACTATTACCAAACTTACCCGAGAGGTCTGTTTTCGTTGTAGATAATGCATCGTACCATAACGTGCCTATAAAAAAAATATTACGACGGCTACTAGGAAAGCGGAAATGATTAATTGGTTGGAAACAAACGGAATTCCAGCAGACCCAAAATTAACCAAACCAGAGTTATATAAAATTATTTCTGAAAATAAATTTCGTTTTCCCATAAAATATAGGTTAGATGAGCTTTTAGAAAAAGATGGTCATTGTGTGCTCCGTTTACCTCCGTATCATCCCCATTGAAAAAATATGGGCTTTGGGTTGCAGCGCGGAATACCACGTTTAGATTGCCTGATACTGAGGCGCTGGCCAGACAAAAATTTGAGGAGGTGACAGAACAAGAGTGGTTCAATATTTGCCAACATGTAAGAAAGTATGAGAATGAACTCATAGAAAAAGAACACCTTTTAGATGAAGCAGTAAAAAATTTAGTGTTCACTGTTAATACAGGCTCATCTGAGGAGAGTGAAGAGGGTTGGGATGACGATGAGGCGGCATCAGAGGATGAACTAGGGTGTTCAATCCTTGAATCGGACAGCTCTGAACAAAATGACGATGTGATGTAAATATGTAATTAACAAAAAAAAAACAATTTAAATCTGGTGTGCAACAAGGTATGTAATTATACAACAGTAAACAGATTTTTCTTATTATAACGATTTTATACTTGAATTCATCTGAAGATTTGTTTTTTTTCTCCTAAATTTTATCGAAAAATTCTCGAAAAATATTGCAATACGGTGTTTTTATAAAATTTCTATTCATTTTTTGTGATTTCTTTTACTCCACGGTCCCGTATGTTTGTCGGGGTAAGAAAAACTTAAAAACACATCTTTTCATTACACCGCTGGCAATTTTGTAATGCTTATAGACCTACAGTTTTTCATAAATTGTTACCTACCTAATAAAAACTATAATAAGAAAAATCCACATACCTACTGCATATTTACCAACTACAAATTCATATAAATAATACTAATAACAAATGCCATGCAAAATTTAAGAAATTATTGGAATCTGCCTGAATGTTATAAAAATATAACAATTAAATCTCACCAGCATGTATTTATAAAAACAACTACACCACTGGAATACCCCGAATAAACCCCGTTCTCTCGGTTGATGTGCGACATACGTCTCGCTGCAGCGCTGACGTAGGCTGTGACGTAGGTGTACCAAACTAAACTGTAGGCGCTGAAGAAAGAAACTAAACCCAAACAAATACACGCATATTGAGTGTTTAGGCGCAGGAGACATTACAGGACCGCATCAAGATATTATGGGTAGTCATCAAAAATTTCATACAAGATAATTATTATCTTTTACAGTAAATTTCAGTTAGAGATTCACAAATGAGTTAACTACACTTTTTAGTTATTAGTAAGTAAGCTGCGCGCACTTACTCAGAAGAGGAACTTGAATCTTCTGAATCGTTTAAATGAATTATTAGAGGTTCAATTTGGGTATCGATGACATTGTCCAAATCCCACATTTTGACCTCAACCTTCTCCCGAACGTGGCGGATACAGTTTTTCCATTCCTCTGCCGTAACTCTATTGACTGCGATGTGAAAGAGATTTTTAACATCAGAAAATTTATAAGTATTATTATTCGACGCCACGTATTGCTTTATGTTGGCCCAAATCAGCTCAATAGGGTTCAGCTCACAATGGTAGGGTGGCAGTCTCAAGACAGTTTTATTTTGTTTTTTAGCCATTTCGTCGATCATTTTAAAATCGTATTTGTATTTATGTCTATTGACTATACTTATCAATTCACCCTTGACCATTGTTTCATCAAAATCGATCTGTTTTGAGGCCAGCCATTGTTGTATGTTTGCTTTTTTAGTTGCCATTGTGGAAATTTTTTCTATTTTTCTAGAATGGTACGGGGCATTAACCAGTACAATAACAGCGTTATTCTCCAGCTTTAGTAACATTTTGGAGAACCAATTTTCAAAGGAATTGCCGTCCATCTCCTCATGATAGTCCCCTGTCTTTTTTGATTCAAAGGCCCACAGTGCTTCGGGAACAAAGCCGTCTTCACTACCTACGTGACAAATGATCAGCCGTTTGCCTTTTCCTGGAAATAAATTATTCCTTACACTATGGATTGATTAAATTTGAAGGAATGAGGCAATTGAGTTCATTTAGCTGAATTTAAGAGTCACGGAATGCTGATCAAAAACTGAAAAACGTAGAAAATTGAAGTTTGCAACTTCTCAAAACCCATTCAAAGCAAATTGACTGCACCCAAAAATGATAATAAATTTCAAAATAACGCTTAAAAGAGGGTCGAAGTTTTTTTCTTAATGACTACACTGCGAATGCACCATTTTTGGAGAATATCACACATTATCTGCTATCACAGCATATTATTTGCCCGAATTTATCAAAATTAAATTGCCGGATAGATGAACGAGCTTACCTGCAGGATTTTTCAATCCAGCCGAAAGACCGTCTAGAAAAGCCTGCCTTGATGATGTTACTGATTTGTCGACCCAAACTTTCGCTTGAGTATGTCCAGCATTCACCCACGTTTCGTCCAAATAGTAATTTTTTCTTTTTTCATCGCGAAACTTCCGAATCTTCCTAAGGTATTCCCTTCTCCACACAACAATTTCTTCTTTCTCTATTAACATACTGTTTCTTCCCCGTTTCAAGAATCGAAAATTAAGTTCCTTCAAAAGTTTTCGGAATGTGGTTCTTTTAAATGATGGAAGATCCTCATCAGCATCAACTAATCTTAATATCTTATCTATTGTAGGTATCTCATTTCGGAAGAAAAAATTATGCACTTTCCTCCTGATGGCAGTTCTGTCAAAGTCATCTACTCCGTCCGTTATCCTTTTTCTTGCAGGATACGGTTTTGGCTCAGAAAGTGAGTGAGTGCTCCTATATTCCTTAATGATCCTATAAACACTGGACCGACATACTCCAGAAATATGTGCTACCTTACATATAACTTCGTCCACGACCAAATCGGGTTTTTCTTGAATTTGGTTTTTGTATATATTTAATATTATTTGTTTTTCATTTGCACTTAAATGTAGCTTCTTAGCCCTTTTTTTGGGTGGAGTTGCGCTGATGTCAACCACTTCGTCGGCTGTATCTGTGTCAGACATCGTATCTTAGGCAATATATAAACAAAACGTTCCACTCGCGAAAAACGAGTATACGCTACTGAATGCGTAATGCGTATGCAATGCAATCCTGTGCGTGAATTAACTGTTAGATGCCTGTCGTGTCATCTACAATCACGTTTACAAGTCCAAACCTGTGCTGATTCGTAGAGCGCCGACGACTGCTAGTGACCTTGAATTTGTCTGTAGATCGATGTTACTCCAGTCAATTTAGGTTCAAAGTGGATGTTTTCTAAACCAATTTGTTGTTCCTACATCAAAAATATATCGATGATGTTTTGTACTGTGAGCTCATGAAAGATCAAGGTAACTTATTTTAACAGTCATCCTTTTTCTAGTCTCAAGATAACACGAAAAAGGGTCTGTGGATTCACTAGAAATACACTGCCGAGGATATTTAGACCTAAAGTGACTGGAGTATATCCGTGGATGCTTTCGAGGGATCTGTTCACGTGCTGATCACTGTTTACGTTTAATGTCTTTCTTCAGCGCCCAGAGTATAGGTTGATTCTTACTCTACCCACTGGCTATCATGCAGAGGTGTCATTTCTCGTGGTTTGTTCGGAAATTTTATGATTTTTCGTTCGCTTGATTTTTTTGTAACTACGATTTTATTGCTGTGTATCTTTGAAATAGTACAGACATTCAGTAATACCAAATAATACAGAGTTACCATCTTCAAAAATGGCGGAGCTACAAGGCGTTAAAGTTGGACATTTTTATCAGACATTTCAATAGATATCCAAACAATTGACAATTGAAACCGTATGTTATATATATATATACAGGGTGACTTTGAAGTTGAGTCATTAATTTTCAGATAATGATTGTAGAAGGAAGATAAACCAAAATATGTGTGTAAAAATCAAAAAAAAATTAAAAAAATTTTTTTACTTTGTTTTATAAAGTATCCTCCCGACAAGTATTTCAGTGCGTACCTGTATTTGATCGTGAGGTCCCCTGTGAGGTCTTAAGTCACCTGATTCACGAGCCCGTTGTACTACATTAACAAAGGCACGAGGGGTTGGTTGCACTCGATTGGGAAACCGATCCGCATAAACATGTGCCATTTTTTATTTCGTTTGAGCCACGCAACAGACACTATTCACACGCGTTACCGACTGACACTAACTGTATGTAACCGATAAGGCGGATTATATCCGTTGTTGCCAAACACGAGTACATGATATTATTATTGAGACAGGGCGGTACTCAAACTTCCAAAGGGCCATAACTTTGTTACTTTAATTTTACCAGAAAAATGGTAAAGGAAAAAAACATTTCTTTTGATCAGATCTACTCACTGTTAAAATAAATGACTCAACTTCGAAGTCACCCTGTATATATATATATCAACCTTTTTGTTTTTAGAAGCTGTATTCAAATATGCACATCACAACGGATTAAAAATTATTTGGAGTGAATGTTAAATTTTTTTTACAACATTACATCGTTGAGAACCACCTGTTGCTGCATAAGATGATGCTCTGAAAACAGATTTTTGATATGTTTTATAGTATGCTCATAAAGCTATTTTCGATTTTTGTTGGGACACGCTGTAATAGTATGTACATTGAACTGGTCTTGTCTGTCAAAGCAAGAATGTCCAAAATGCCCAACCTGTATAAAAACTTCACTGATTCTACATCATGTATGTACCGTTATTTTAGTAGTATCGGCAACGTTGATTTCTATTTTCGTTTGGAACGTAGAAACTTATCTCTGCAATTCATAGTATTTCTACCCACACCTCGCTTTCGCTTGATCTTCAGTAATGAGGAGCAATGCAGCAACTTAAATAATTAAATGTTCATTCAATGAAACGGAAATTCGTTACGTTCGATGAATTTATCTGTTTATATCAATTGGTCAACAGGGATTTTGTTTGTTTGTTGAAGATTTATTTGGCATTATCCCTACAATTTCAATTATTCCTTTAATCATTTTTTGAAGAATTTTACATTCCTGACTACTAAAATTACATCACTATGCATTTTGGTTATTTATAAATGCGATTTTTTAATTTCACCTTTCACATTTTTTAAATTCGAACACTTTAAAGTTATTATTCAATTTGTTGAATCCAAATACTCCCTTTTGAAATACAGATTTGCTAGCTATGCTACTATTACAACTTTGTAGATGAAAATCTACTACGCACGTATTGTTACAAAAAAGGCAAAAAATGGGTCAGTCAGGAACGTAAGCCCAACCATTCTTATGATACGATTTTTGGGCTGCTGAAACCGAATCTGGGGCCCATTCGGTCCGGAATTACTCCGTTCTCGAGATACTGGAAATAGTCCTACTTACGAGGGATGTCTTTTAAGTTTTGCATATGAAAATAAAACAACACGGTAGGTAGCTTTAAATGACTTTATTGTGTTTTGAAGTATTCTCCACGAAGAGTAATACGCATCTGCATGCGCTCGAACCAATTTTCGGAGCACAATTCTCCATACCAACAGGAAATTGTCGACTGATGTGGCGCTTCGTTGCCGAAAACAGACAGTAACCCAGCAAGGCATTCTTGTTGCGATAATTGTCTCTGAAAGTTGTAATAAATTACGGCGCGAAAATGTTCTCGGTTGAGTTCCATTTTTCTAATGACTTGGTCACACTTAAAAATTCACTGTAGTGAGAACACTGCACGTATTGTTGTTAAACTTTGAATTTAAGTTAACTAAAGAGTGAGGTTAAGATTCAGTACTGACGTTCGACCCGCGCGGCCTACTATGTTCTATATGCAAAACTTAAAAGACATCCCTCGTATCAAAAAAACGACAAAAAATAGCAAAAAAAAATTTTGCGCGTATGCGAAACGTATTGAAGCTTGTTTTCCTAGGCAAATCGGGGGCGTAGATTCCGAATTCAATGTCAGTTTAGTGCTATCATTATCGGGCGACCACCAAGTGACTAGTGTTTTACCAATTTTTTGGCACCATGATCCTTTAAGGTTTTCTGCATCAGTTTACTGATTTTTTAAATGTTCTTATTTTGTACTTATAACATTGAGGGAGCACAAAATGTCATTTATGTTCTAAATATTATTTTTTTTCATCCATACGTGCTCATGAGACTAGTCCATTCAAAATTATTCATATACATGTGCTTATCGACTTTGAAGCTTTTGAAATAAATAAAGCAAAAATGTTTTGTTTCATCACAGCTTTATATAAAATGATAAATTAAAAAGCTGACAAAAGATCAACTAATGCTATGATACATTTATGAATCGAACAGAGGAACATCAAGTTTAAAAAAATTGATATAAAATATATATCTACATTGACAGTTATTTATCAAATTTTTCATGTTGGCTCTCTAACTTGATCACTAACACCGGCGTTAACCATAACTGCTAAATCATCTGATCTACTCCTTTCTTTTAATCTATCTCTAATCAATTCTGCTATCGCTCTTTGAGTCTGCCTTTCCAGCTTCAATAACTTTTTAGCCACGTCTCTTTTCAAGTCCCAGTCAGGTTTTCTGGGTGCCAAAGCTGCTACATCTAGCTGATCTATCACCACACCCGATTTAGCAGCTTCAAGGTGGTCTTTAACCTGAAAAATAACCATTATTCAGATGTCACTCGTTACCGATTTAAATTGTAACAAAATTTAATCTCGAATAAACTTACCTGGGCAGTAACGTCTCCAGGCGCACTAGATTCTTTCACGAAGTCATTCAGCTCTTCATTAGCAGGTCTGTAACTCCTGAAAACTGGCTTCGGCAACTCCACCGCAGACTTGTCTCCAGGATTTTCGTTTTCACAACTTTTGTCTCCTTCACGTTTCCGTTTTAGAGCTTTCAACCGCTCTCTGCGTTTTAGAGCTTCGTCTTCTAAGTGACCTATATTTTTTTCGCCTGCCATGAAAAATTATAATTTTCTTTGCAATATTTGTTTTGATTTTTATTTATGACATTAGTAAAGTAAGGTTAGGTTAATCAGTAGCGTTTCTGCACAGTGTTGCCACAACGTTGGGGTTAAATCACTGGGCACTGCACTTATTCCTGCCAAATGCTAGCAATTACTGGTAAAACGGCAACGTTGTTCTGCCATCTATTGTACAGTAGATGCATAATGCATATAGAGATGGTATAACCTAATCGCCTATGACGTTAATAGAGATGGCTCAATCGGAATGTAGTTAAGACTAACCTTGGCTCCAGTTTTGATCTGTAGTTGTATAAAAGTAGATAAATAAAACTACCGTGTGTGAATCTTTTAAATAACTTCTGATAGTTACGTTCAATGTGAGCAGTAAGATTGCAAATCAATGAGACCATACTGATGCGATATACAGCGCCATCTATGAAATAATAGTCTTATTGAACAAAGATAGTTTGCTAGCAAGTATGTCTGACAGCTCATTGACAGCCAATGTCACTAACATTTTAAATATGATGTAAATTAGTAAATAAACATTTTGCATTGATATTTTGTAATAGTTTTTTCGTAAAACGTTAATTTTCGCTTTGATTTGTCTTCACTTATTGCGAAGATGTCTTCTTGCCAGGTGAAAGGTTGTACAAACAACAGAAAGTTTTCAAAGGAAGGAATTTCATTCCATTTGTAAGCAAAACATTGCATCCTAGATGATACACACTAATAATTTTGTTCATAGATTCCCCAAGAAAGGCCCAATGGTCGGAAAATGGCTTGAGGTCCTTGGGAAGAAACCAGATGGATGGAAATGGACCAAAAACATGGTTGTATGCTCCAGACATTTCACTAAAGATGATTTCCGAAGAGGAGCTAGCAGAATTGTGATTAAACCCACTGCAGTACCGTCAGTGAATTTGGATTTGAATACTGACGCTCGTATCGCAGAATACATCAAGAACGAAAAATTACTGTTTTCAGATGAGGAGGATGATGTGGCATCAAAGTAAGATCTAGTAATAGATGCATTACAATTAAGAAATAGAGCATTGATATATAAATGGTCTGAAAGACACTCGCGCCACCTGTAGGACAGTAGCGGAGTTAGAGTGTGTGGTTCTGCGACTGTCTCATAGATGGCGCTCCTGTAATGCTTATTTTAATTTATTCAGTTGGAATATGCGAAAAAATGACTGCTTTGATTATGTGGTTTTTCAGTTCCGAAGTTTCTGAAGAAGAACCTGATAATAATGGAACAGAAGATAACAAACCAAAACTGGTAGAATCGATGCACAGTTATGCTCTTACCCCAGAAGAGCTAGATAAACAAAATGAGCAGCTTAAACATGAACTATCTTATTACAAGCGTGCTTTGAGTCAAGCCAAAAAACAGATAAAAGACTTGAAAGATGAAGTAAGCTCCCTGAAAAGTGCAATTGGTTATGTGGAGACAGCAGAGCCTGAAGCCGAATCTCAAGAAATTTGTCAGCAAGATGCTGAGGCACACAAGCCAGAAAATTTGAAGTGGTGGAATGTTTCATCTCTATGATTCAAAAATAAATAGATGTATTTAACATAGTTTTTGTGTTACCAATCTTATTAATGCTTTTTTACTAGGTGCTGAGAGAAATGACTTGAGGTGTTATAGCCAAACTGAAAGGAGGGTTCAACATATTCTGGTTGATGTAATTTCTGCACAAACTTAAAAAATAGCAATTTAACCACCAAAAATACATATTTGCAATTAGGTTGGTGACGGTTCAAAATAGTCAAAACCATAGAACTGATGATGCCATGGTCCATTGTGACAAATTATCACAGTTTCTGTAAAATATCTAATAAAATTTTCAAAGAATAAGGATGACATAGTAATAGCAATCCACTTCATATTTTTCCCCTTGCGAGTGCAAATAAAAGTGACCCAGTAGGTTCAGGTGGGGCAGCTGTTAAGGGAAAAAACTCCATAAAGGAAACATTTTTTATTCAAAGCATTCACACTCCATGTTTAGAAGAATAATATTTGACGCCATCTATCTTAGAAGCTCTCGCATACTTTGCTAATAAAGCGCTAACGTCCAACTTGTCTGTTGTCAATGGTCTGCAAAAAAGAAAAAGGCTTTCAGGGTCATATTACACTTTTACATGTCATACTTTACTAACGTCAGCCTATTTTCAAAGTATAACGCGTTGAAGTATATTATTTATAATTTTCTTCCCTGATCTATAGATATGTGCATACCTTCTGCAGTGGCATTCATACCATATCCTTTGTAGTTTATAGAAGTCTCATTTCATTACTTTCGCGTTATTTCTTATTCTTTGTTAAAGTGTTTCCTCTAACTACATATAAGAAAATTTGTCACCTTGAGAATATTGACATTCAACATATACAACCTGATTTTTGAATATTTGCGACTACCCTCTCAATGAACAATTTCCGTAGCTTTATTTTAACGAGCACTTGCCTTATATAAGGTGCAATTTCTGCGACAGACCACTTTTCTTTCACCTCAAACAGTACCTTGAACCTCTCCGTCAGATTTTCAGGCAATTCGCTCTCGTCAAAAGCACGAATAATGTCCTGATTTTGACCTTCGCGTCTCTCTATCACGGCGATACCTGAATGGAAGTTCCAAGTTATACAGGGCGATTCAGATAATACAATACTTTATTATTATTGTGCATACAGTACTCAAACACGTCACCCTGTAACAAAATTTTATAGCATGCATAGAAAATCGAAATGAATATTTCCCGGGTATTTTTGGAAAAGATCAAGGTCCGGTCCTCAGTATCTTTCAGCAACGGTGACCTTGAATTTCACCTTTACCTTAATTTACGGTCAACTTTATTTTCCCAAATCGAGACCTATATTTTTGATGCCAACAATCGAAAGAACAGAAAATTTTACGTCCAAACACAATTAAAGTCCAAGCTCAGGATGACTACTTAGGTCAAATGAAGATCAAATGTGTGCTGCTAGAAAAACCTGTATAAATCTCACAAGATGAGGGGTGAAAATAAATATCAAGGTCGGGTCTTTAATAAATCATAACGAGGAAATGAACGCTGACCTTAGATGTGACATTGACCTTCACCTTCAAGGTTATTTCAAGGTCAACTTTATTTTTTTAAAACGATCATTCATATTTTTGATACCGGCAATCGGAGGAACAGAAAATTTTACGTCCAAACACAATTAAAGTCCAAGGTGAGGATGACTACTTAGGTCAAATGAAGGTCAAATGTGTGCTGCTAGAAAAACTTGTATAAATCTCACAAGATGAGGGGTGAAAATAAATATCAAGATCGGGTCTTTAATAGATTATAACGAGGAAATGAACGCTGACCTTAGATGTGACATTGACCTTCACCTTCAAGGTTATTTCAAGGTCAACTTTATTTTTTAAAACGATCATCCATATTTTTGATACCGGCAATCGGAGGAACAGAAAATTTTACGTTCAAACACAATTAAAGTCCAACGTCAGGATGACTACTAAAGGTCACATGAAAAACAAATGTGCGCTTCTGGGAGAACCTCTATAAATCTTACAGGATTGGTGATGAAAATAACTATACAGGGTGACTTTGAAGTTGAGTCATTAATTTTCAGACAATGATTGTAGAAGGAAGATAAACCAAAATATGTGTGTAAAAATAAAAAAAAATTTTACCTTGTTTTATAAAGTATCATCCCGACAAGTATTTCAGTGCGGACCTGTATTTGATCTCGTGAGGTCTTGGAGCACCGGCATGCCGTCCATATGTGAGGTCTTAAGTCAAATGATTCACGAACTCGTTGTACTACATTAACAAAGGCACGAGGGGTTGGTTGCACTCGATTGGGAAACCGATCCGCATAAACATGTGCCATTTTTTATTTCGTTTGAGCCACGCAACAGACACTATCCACTACCGACTGACACTGACTGTATACAACTGAATCTAATAATTGTAAAAACGCCGTTCCAAATTCTTTCGCTTTTTTGTTTCCGATGCGATGAACCGATAAGGCGAATTATATCCGTTGTCGCCAAACACGAGCACATAATATTATTATTGAGACAGGGCGGTACTCAAACTTCCAAAGGGCTATAACTTTGTTACTTTAATTTTACCAGAAAAATGGTAAAGGAAAAAACATTTCTTTTGATCAGATCTACTCACTGTTAAAATAAATGACTCAACTTCGAAGTCACCCTGTATATCAAGGTCAGTTCTGTAGTAAATTTTGACGAGTGATCCTGGATTTGACCTTAAACTTCACCTTCAGAGTCATTACAAGGTCAATTTTTTTCAAATAGAAACCCGCGGGAACAGTATCGGTTAAAAGTCATTCGTAATGAACACTCGTTAAAAATTATCCAAAGATCTGACCTTGTCAGTATTCGTGTGAGATCTCTAGAAGCTGTCGTACAACCACACATTTGGCCTTTATGTGACGTGTAGTGGTTACCTTGATCTTGAATTCACATTTGAACAAAATTTCCGGAGCCGTGGATTTTCGGCAACAAATAGGCGTTTCTATTTGTAAAATTAGTTGATCTTGAAATGACCTTGAAGGTGCGGTTCAAGGTCAAAAACCTGACCTCACCCGTTATTTTCGTCACGATCTCTGCGAGATTTCTAGAGGTTATTCTAGTAGCACACATTTGACCTTTATTGGCCTCTCTAATGTAAAATTCCCCGCTCTTCTGATTGTCGGTATTAAATAAAATGGATTTTCATTAAAAAATGAAGATGACCTTGAAGGTGAGGATCAAGATCTCATCTAAGATCACCTTTCAGTCCCTCGTAATGACACGCTGACCTTGAACTTCAATTCGTATTTGGACGTAAACATTTCCGCTGTTTCGATTGACGGCATCACAAATAAGGATTTTCAATAATAAAGTTGACTTTTAAATAACCTTGAACGTGAAGGTCGAATCTAAGGTCAGCGTTCACTTCCTCGTTAAAATTCATCATAGACCTGATCTTGATAGTTATTTTGAGATTTATAGGGGTTTTCCTAGCAGCACACATTTGACCTTTTATAGTCATCCTAACCTTGGACTTGAATTGTGTTTGAACGTAAAATTTTCTGTTCTTTCATTTGCCTGCATCAAAAATAGGGGTTTCTATTTGAAAAAATGACGTTGACCTTGAATTAACATTGAAGGTGCTGAAAGTTATTAAAGACCTGACCTTGATCTTTTCCAAAGCCAGAGCCATTCTGGGACTTTGTGTTATGCTATATATAAGAATTACGTAAAACGCCACAATCTAATAATAAAAAGCTACAGTAAAATAAAAACAATTTAGAAAGAAATAAGTGATAAAGCACATATTTTTAAAATCCAAGAACTCTTGGTATAAATAATACGCATTTTCAGCAAAATAAACTGACTTCAACGTATCACTTTTCAACTGATTTCATAGCTTTCTAAGTAAATACATGTTTTTTCTCAGCTTTTTTGCTCTTTGATCAATGTGCACGTCCCATTGCAATTATTTCGTATCTATGTGTATAGTATACCCAAAATTTTGTACGTTCTGTATGTTGTGATTTTAGATCTCTCATTGAAAATGTCATATTTACTGTCTTACCGTAAACCATATCTTCAGCTGGTGTCATCCCGTCGGGAACAGATTCCTTCCAGGCTTGCATGAAATCACTGAGATTGAATTTTCCAGCACCGTATAGCAAAACTTTGGCGAAAAACGTGCAAACTTTGTCTTCCTTGTACCTGGAAAAACGTAAAATTAATATTCGTCGAGGCGAATTTGAAGTGGAATATGGCAAATAAGTTTTTAATATCAATGATTTGAGTTACAATAACCATATGCTTCATTTACCTGTACAGCTGCATGCTGTCTACAACCTGAGACTCCTCAGTGTATTTTTCGAACAAGCCAGTAACTATTTCCTTTGGCGCCAAGTCTTCCAGGCTCTCCACTGTCTCCTGGTAGTCTATTTCGTCTAATTGCCACGAGTTTTCATCGATCAATTTCAACATGTACGAAAGCACCTTGAAGTGATATTCAAAATCCAACAGTCTTATCTGCAAATATGAAAGCGCAAAGTGTGTTGTCGCTCATAAAATACGTTTTATCGCTTTTAAAAATACCAAATTACAAGGTGATCCAGAAATACTGTTGAAATATCTCTAAGGTAGAAAGTACATTGAAAAATAGCAATAAAAGAGCCTATGAACTAACATAAGTCCTAAAAGTTTTGGCACAATTCATTCTTAGGAATAACGAGGAAGGTTGAGGGAAATTGCAAGTGAACATCTAAGTCCAGCATAGAGTTGAGCATCTTCTTGAAGAACATGGTAGAATATATGTTGTTGTATAGCTAATAAATCATCTAACACAATTATTCACCTTGCCATTCAATGTAACAACATCCATTTCATCCAAGGCTTCCTTAAGCTCTTTAGTACTAGCTTGCACCTTTTTATCCAGCTCTTCGAAAGTATAACATTTGCTGGGATCAACTTCGAATTCATACTCTCGTCCTTTATATACGGATCCATTTAAAAGTTGTCTCAGTTTTTTCAAATGTGGCTTTATAGGCACGGCTTCCAAATAATCGTAAAATATACTGCGAACTGACACTTTGTTCAAAATATGTTCATCTTGCTCACCTACAAAAATTCAGAGGTGCATTGTGAATTTTTTAAATGGGATGTCAGAACATATCAGTCTGTTTGTCAAAAGAATATTCCATATTCACAAGAAAAGCAAGCAACAACAACAATCTAACTAAAAATAATCTAAAATGTTGATTAATTTAAAATTTATGAAGAACAAAGAGCTGCGAATTTTTTAGATTTTTTTGTTAAATGAACATTTTTTTAACACCAAATAAATGTTATTAGTATTTAGCCCTGTATCCTATAATGAGCATCCTATGTCAGAGGAAGCAGAAAAATATAAATACAAACTATAGATCTATCGAGAACTATAAAACTGTTTAGAAAATGCTTACTCGTATATACTTACTGTTATTCTGATCTGAATCGGCAAATTTGAGTTTATCTACTAACAGCAGACTGTTAGACGTTTCCGCTTCTGTAACTTGGTACGTTTGAGTTTCTGAACAAAGTACTACATCTTCATCATCATCTCCTTTGATATAAAGGGTTTTCCCTATAAAACTATTACCTAAGTCCTAAATACTTTTATAATGTGTATTCCAAAACACATCATTTACAAATACATGACGTTACAGAATGCTATCAAGTACATTAAACTTTAAAATATGACAAAAAAAATATTTTTATTAAAATACATACACACTAGGTAAAAATAAACAAGAAATTAATGTTTTCTTTTAATCCGGTCCTGTGCTGTCGACTTTGATCTAACATACTGATATTTCAAGCAGTTTCCCAACATTTCTCACAGCTTCAATAAGTGTAAATGTGAAATTTCATTTAAAATGTTAAAATAACTTATCAATATTAATTAATTTTGTGAATCTGGAATGTCTTCTGCATATATAACAAGTACAGTATTTATTTATTGGCAGAGGACGATTCTACGTGTGTTTAACACGCATGACAAAAATTGAAAAATCGAACGCACGCACACAAAGATATTTACCCTGAGATACTTCACCAAGCAAAGTGGCATCAAGTTGTAGCAATTTCAAATTGTTTTCATACAAATTATTCTCAGTGAAGTATATAGTTTGTGATGTCGTTTTGAGATCATCCAGCTGTAACTTTGCATGTTTCAAAATCTCTTTAATTTCGTCTAGTGTTCTTCTGCAAAAATAAAAAAAGATTGCATATAGAGCATGCCAGAATTTTATTACTTACTTATTTTCCATTGGTATGAAAATAAAAAAATGGTCCACTTAAAGTTGGTTAACCATAAAACTTTCTTTCAGATATGTATTCTTTTTATTTTTCTTATGTTAAAATGAGAATAAAAAGGAAACCAACATTTACAAAATTAAGGGAAGAATGAGATTTAAAAATAAAAACAAAGTAACATAACCTCTCATAAAGGCGCCAACATCAAATATCGAACCCCCTCTCAAGGCTGTTTGGATCTTTCTATTGGCTCCTGATTTGAATTTGTGGCGAATGTATCCAAAGATGCTAGTAAGGAAATTTAAAAAATCTGATCCAACAAGTGTTTTTCTATAAATTGGTTTTATTTTTAAGACTGCGACTATCTCTTTATTGATAAGTACGATAAAAAATAGACACAATCCAAATCAAAGAAAATTATTGCAATTTATGCTATGCATGCAACCAGCATTGCAGGGCAGGTGCATCCCGTTAGGTGTGTTTAATGTATCATACGAGGGTTGTCCCAGAAGTACCCGGCCCAACGAAGAAATCAAGAACTTTGTAAAAAAATGTATTTATTTTTTAACATAATCTCCTTTGAGCTCTATACACTTTCCCCAGCAATGTTCAATAAGTTCGATAGCCTTTGTATAATAAGAACTGTCTTGCTCCTCAAAATAGTCATTAACTGCCGACATCACTTCTTCATCGTTGGAAAATCTTTGACCACTGAGCCATTTTTTCCAGTTTGGAAACAGAAAATAATCCGAGGGGGCTAAATCTGGTGAATAGGGTGCATGAGGTAGCAATTCAAACTTTGATTCGTTAATTTTGGCCATTGCGATAACGGATTTATGAGCTGATGCATTGTCTTGATGGAACAACACTTTCTTCTTAACCAAATGCGGCCGTTTTTGCTTGATTTCATCGCTCAAACGTTGCAATAAGTTCGCATAATACTCGCCGTTGATAGTGTTACCTTTTTCAAGATAGTCAATGAAAATTATCCCACGCGCATCTCAAAAAACCGACGCCATAACCTTGCCCGCAGATAAAACGGTCTTCGCCTTCTTTGGAGCCGGTTGTCCATTTTGAGTCCATTGGTTTGATTGTTCTTTTGTCTCGGGTGTGACGTAATGGACCCATGTTTCATCCATGGTAATGAAACGACGCAAAAATTCTGCTTTGTTGCTGTGAAACTTCGCTAAACACTCAATTGAAAAATCTTCACGACACTGTTTTTGCTCGACGGCACCCATGTTGCACACAGCTTTCTCATGTCCAAATTTTCAGATAATATGCGATGAACCGCACTTTTTGAAATGCCTACTATGTCTGCTAGCTCGCGCACCTTCAGTCGACGATCATTCAGTACCGCTTTGTGAATTTTCTTCACCATTTCTGGAGTCGTCACCTCATTTGGTCGACCACTGCGATGCTTATACGGCCTCGCTTAAACTCTGCTTCCCAATATTTTACAGTTGTAAACGAAGGAGCAGACTCACCCAGAGTAGAATCCAGTTCAGCTTTCATATTGGATGGGCTGAGGCCTTTGAAATAAAAGTATTGTACCACATAACGATGACTTTCCCCATTTTCACTGAAAACGTTCAGTATTGATGGCTGCGAAACAAATACTAAACAACGTGGCGTCTTCAAATTTGACACAGGTGCTTTATAGGTTGCATACTTCCTAATACAATGATATTTTTCAAACAACTATCGCCATCTCTAGGTCAGGCCGGTACTTCTGGGACCACCCTCGTATAGTAGCACCACCTATTGGGCATAACTGTAAGTTGTGTTAAGCTTTACATTATACACTACTAGTCAATGTAAAGCTTGACTTAAGTTTTTTTCGTTAGATGGCGACACGCTTAACTTGTAGCGTCATCTGTTGTTTACAATATTATACAGGTTATTTGAGTTTGGTGGTTTTCAAAGGTTATGTTTTACCTTATTTATAAGTGCATCCAAGTAAAAAGTGAGATAAATAAATAATATAATAATAAAATTCACAATGAACCCTCTAACGTAAGTATAATAAAAACTACATGCCATAACTTTACTTCATCATATCTTCAAAAATATATTTTTTGTGTTCTTTGTTAATATTTTAATTCCCTCAGGAATATGAAAAATGTCAAAAAGCTGAGTGAGCAGGAGTTGTACACTGGTAACAAGACATCATGGCATGATCAGTATAAAGACAGCGCCTGGATTTTCGTTGGGGGTCTACCATACGATCTCAGTGAAGGCGATATTATTTGTGTCTTTTCACAGTAAGCGATACCCTTTTTTTCATAGTTTAATCTGTGTATGAGCCTTTTCATCATTTTCTGGTGGTAGCTAATCGATGTCATATCTAATAAGTAAACAGATCATGTGCGGAGGATAACTTTCATATTAGAAATTGTGCTCTTAAACGCATGAATTTTGTAGTAAAAGTTATAAAAAAACTGATATCTTACGTCATAATGAAATCACCTTTTAGACTTTTCTTCTACTCCTAACATGTATTATTTTTTAGGTATGGTGAAGTAGTAAATATAAACTTGATACGAGCCAAGGATACAGGCAAATCAAAAGGTTTTTGTTTTTTGTGTTACGAAGATCAAAGATCAACAATTCTTGCAGTTGATAACTTGAATGGGATCAAGATACTGAAAAGGACTATCAGGGTCGATCATGTAGCTGAGTATAAAGTACCTAAAGAAGGTAAATATAAAAATATAAAACACAGGTGTCCATTAGAGGAGGGCATATGTCCCCCCTGCTTTTTTAACAAATAGACATAGAAGTTATTTTTCCTCCTGTAGTTCTAAACAGCTGGAAACTCTGCTTCAAACTGTAAATTATAGTTTATAGATATTCTGGTAAGACTACACTTTATCACATAAAAACACAACTTTTTGTCTTTTTTTGAAAAAAATCACAGAAATCATTTTATAAAGAAAATAGATGTAAAACTCAAAACACGTTGTTTTTTTTTGCAAGAAAAAGGTCAAAAACTAGCTGAGTAATAAGTTAAAGTAATAGTTCTAAATACTTTACTTGTTAAACTGTGTAGAGGTGTTGTAATTTTTCAATATCTTCCTGAAATACCTTAACAATTTTTTTTCGCATATTTTCAATGTTTTTGCGTTAATAAGAAAGTAGAAGTAGAAAGGATTCTCACGGGCATTTTATAACCATCATTTTTTTGACATGTAAGACAAATGATGTTTATTGTTGCCAAATTATACTTTTCTTAGGAGAAATATGTAGTAAAAAAAATGGTTATTTGGTAAATAAAATTATTTAATGTAAATAGCTTTTTTGTAAGAAGTTGTTCAAATTTTCACTGTAGATTAGATGAAACTTTGAACAGTATGCACCTAAACAGTGGAAAATGTTCTAGCAGCTTGTTTATAAGAATATTCAAATTGATAATAACTCCCCATTCTTTCCAGTAAATCCTCATTAGGAATTCGCCTTGGAAAAGGTGATTTTTGCTTGTTTATTAGAAGCAACTGTAACCGATATTCAGCTCTAATAGATTCAAATAAAAACTCACTTAGCTATCCATGATTTGGCAACATTGCAACTCAATAGAGAAACTATGGTAGTGATGGGAATGTTGTTCTGAAATAAAAGAAATTACTACTTAACCATAACCTATTTTCATCATTAAAATTATGCAAATTTGATTTATTGCAATAAATATTGTCACAATACTCTACAGTGTATGTTATATTCAAATAATTTAGAGGATCCTTTTTAGCAAAAAGCAAAAAAAAACTGTTATAAAACAGTATTCTATTCCAGAGTGCTACCACCCAAAATGCAACTTTGAAGTTCTATAAAATAGCTTCCTTGAAGAAAAAATTATATTCTCGTACAAGTTACATCCCAATCTTTCATTTTAAAAGATATAATATTTGCAATATGGGCTAAAGTGTAGTTCAGCCTTTCTTATTTTTTTTTTAAATTCTACATTGGTATTTACTCTATTTTTTTCTGAGTGGACAATAAAGTGATAAGTAACTGGTTGGTAAGCCTAACCTGCCTCCTGTTAGATTTTTGTATATGGGCGCCTATGTACACAACAGTATTATTTTTCCAGGCAAAAAGACAGATGAAGATACCAAAAAATTGTACTCTGAAGGATGTGCGCCTAAAGCTACGCCTATAGTGCCAAAAGGCCGAACTCCACCAAGAGATATTAGAGAAACCATTGGTGATATTATTGAATCGGATATAAAGCTACCACAAAGGCTGCCTATTTATGATATCAAACAAGAAGAAACAGACCCGGAGGTAATTATAATCGTTCATGAAATGTATTCTAGCCAACATATAGTTTATTCCAGCATCCAAAAAGATCTTCAGTCCCTTTTAGGCCTATTGTAATTAGATATGATCAGAACTATTGAATATTTTGATGTTTGTTAGGAATCCTAAGAACCACATTGTTTAAAAAAGTTCTTATTGTACATACCATCAATTTAACAAACGATTATTTGAGTAATTTTAAGACAAAAAGTTCATATAAACATGGTTTGCAAATTCTTTGTTCTCAAGATACAGGGTGTTAAAATTAAAAACAAAAATGTTTCTTGTAAATATCTTAAATTATTTTTTTATAATTTTTCAATACTGATTATGTTTTATTGCATAGTGAATAACGTTTTAGCTTCCTAGGCAAATAAAACAAGAACCTACAGAGAAAAATGGGGATTCTACATCTTCAAAGAAAAAACATAAAAAGACGAAAAAGTCAAAAAAGAAGAGATATAACAGTAGTTCATCTGATGAATCGGAATCTAGGAAACGTAAAAAGAGCAAAAGGAAAGATACACATGAAGGAAGAAATAAGAAGTATTCACATAGCAGCTCTGAGTCTGATTGAAAGTTATTAAATAAAATATTATTTTACAGAGCTTTAAGATATTTGTATAACTTCCCAGGATTTGGAATTTTTAATAAAAAGAACTTTTAAATTTATTCAGCTAATTGTATTTATTTCACGTTTAGAATATCTTTTTTATAGTTTAAGACCATGTTGCCGATTCTAACTACAAAACACCAAATTTATGAAATTCATATTTTTTTCATTTATTGTCCATCTAAATTTTAACTTAAGTTTTATTACATTTTTTACCTTTTATTGCCACTTAGTGTTTTACGTTTTTACTTACTGTTTTACATTCTACTCTGATACACATTTTTGTGTAATAGCACCAATAAATGATTATTGTCAATATAATACAATTTATAACACGATGCAAAATTCCTACTATTTACAATGTATCTAAATTAGCATCTAGCAAAACAGTTTTATTGATTAAGTTTTCATTTTCACTCGAGATCCAATCGAAACATTCTTCAAAATTTTCATGGAATAACTTTGTCAATGCAAAGTCTGAAGAAATGGTGAGGTCCTCATAGTTTGCTAGAAATGCATTATTTGTGAGATTCATAGACCCTGTTAAAGTATACCCTGTTTCGGTCTCCTCGCAATAATCTTTCACAATATATTTATAATGCATTATGCTTGTGAGACTTGCTCTTTGAGATATGTAAGGAGCCACCTTCACACCTAAAACAAAAACCAGAGATAACCTATTTTTGAAATCTGTAAAACAAAAAATGTTGACGCAAAACGTAGATTTGTTAAGAAAGATTCTCCAAAAAGTAACAAAAGGACAGAATATCCCAAATAACATGTCATAAAGAAAATAGTAGAACAAAGTTGTAAGGTTTGAAAATGGTGATCTAATAATGACCTTGACTGCATCCTTCTAGGTCATTTTAAGGTCAAGATGGAAATATATTTTTCAAGATATTTTGATGTATGCATACTTTTTGAACATCCTGTATAACTTTGTCCCTTACCCTCCTTCATCAACTCTCTGATTTCTGGTAATGTTGAATCCATATGATCATAATTCAGAATAAGCCTAACTTTAACGCCCCTTCTATGTGCACCCAGAATCTCAGCAAAAAAAATCTTGCCAATTATCAGCATCAATGCTATATCCAAACTTTTCTCTGCTGTTGCAAAAAAGTATGAAACAGGTTCGATTAGGATCTTGAGCATATTTGGATCTCTCAGTTCTAAAAAGGAACATCAAAATTAAAAACCTTCATTCAGTGTAACCTGTAACAATTAGCAAAATAATAATAAATAATTTAATTTTGAAAACCATCCACCCTGTACCTCGAAAGTTAAGACGTTTAGAACATACGTTCATATGAAGTTTTCGCTCAAAAATCACTGCTTTACTTATTGCAATTCAATTGGGAAACACCCTGTATAGAAGACATAAACACTGTTCTGTATTCCTATACAAAATGTTGAAATGACACACCTGGTATAAGCCTTTCTGTATGAGGGGGCCATCCAGTCATGCCTCTGTTCGAGCTATACATTACAGTACAATTGTGCCTTTCTTGAAACAGCTTTTCACGTTCATAATTCGATTTCAGTTTATTGTAACTAGAATACAAATATTTCCAAGCATATAGCGGTATTAAAGCCGCTATGGAAGCTGAAACAAGAGCTGCTTTGTTCTCAAAAATGTTTGGCAGCATCTTTTCATAAGTTAAAATTTAGATTCCAATAAGAAAACAAATAATCAGCTGCTTAAAAGTAGGGTTAAGTATGAAGGTATCTGTCAAGCCGGCCATACACGTCGTAACAGTCTTGCCCGACGTGCGAACTATGGCCGCGATTCTATAATTCTAATCATGGTAGTTCCCGGTTTTAGAATATTAGAATGTGATCAGCCAACTTTTTGTTAGTTCCCATTTGACCAAAACATGTTAGACCTCAGTTTGAAGTTAGAGATTTGGTTTCGAGTGATTAAAAATGCCATTTGTCGAGGTAGTATTATAATATAAGTTTTTTGGAAGTTATGAATACGTATCATAGGCAAAATGAAAAAAAAATCATTTCCTTCCATATGTTATTTGATCGATTATAACCCTAAAAGTACTGTCTGATTTTTTTTGATATTTTGAGAAACATTACAATTTTCTATCATACTAAGGGCAAAAAAGCCAAAAGCATTATCGTTTTTGATAAGCGCTTCGATTGTAGCAAAGTTATGAGAGAAGAATCTGCAATTTCAAGACTATAGCAAACCACAATTTCCGTTTTTGACTCAAGGCGGGAATATTTTTTGAAAACGTCGTATTTATAAAATCAAAACTTTTCTTGGTTTTTCAACCTTTGGGTATTTTAGAGCTTGATTTAAAGTTCCTTTAGGTACCTCAACATTTTGGAAGTATGGCATATCTCACATTTTACTTATGTCAATGCGAGGGGAACTGGACAAGAAATCTACTTGATACAGGACTCCAAACTGTGAGCATCTTCTGAAGATGACAACCACTTCTGTTGACGAGTCGTCGAGTAAAAATGTCTTACGACTGCCTAACAACCCAAAAAACAACCAAATAATATTGGATGATGGCCGCGAAAGCTTTTCCCATTCCACTACTTGAATCCGTTTTTAAAAGTTTTTGGCATAGCAGGTTAACCATAACTAAAAGCTGCCACACACTTTCACTTGCGTAAATTTAAACGATAAATTGTAACAGATTTTAACTTACAGAATCGCAGCGATACCAGGACGTCGGGTAAGCCTATGAAGGGTCTTAGTCACGTTGTCACCTGATTTGACATTTTTAGAAAGTTTTTGTTTTTGTTTTGATTAAGAGTTTTCGAAAACTCTCTGGAGTTGGTTGCAATATATTGAATAAGTATAACTTTGGAATATGGATGACTTCGATATAGAATGTTCCGATGAAGAATTTAAAGATTGCAAAGGTCCATGGGAGCCAGAACCTGAAGAAGTAGACCGATTGTACACAGCATTACAAAATGGGGAGTTTCAGGAGCTAAAATGGACTTGTCCCGGGTACAGGTCACCCTCTCCAGAAAAAGTAGAAGAACTGGAGGAAGAATCTGATTCTAAAGAGTAAGAGTATTTATGATAGTAGGGGAATTTGGGGCGGCATAATATCTGGTTCATGCAAGAGTTTAATCGAGTTTAATATAAGGATCAGCTGTTTCTAAATCGGTATCCTCCACGTTATGCCGCCAGAAGGTTACTCGATGGTAATCACAAACCATTTATACACAGAGAGCAGTTCTCTGCAACTGGTTGCCTATATGCAATTTTTTACTTCTCTGTGATTGCGCTGTAAATCGAGGAAGCAAGCACATTATTTTTTGCATTGTTTATTGATCATATCATCCCAATTTTATTGACATCGATGGCAGTTTGCATCCTACTGTGAAATGAAAATTTAAATCCTCCCTTGAACCTTCCTCAAGGTCATTGTTTAACTGTTCCTAAGGAGAGATCGATTGTTCCAAGTTAGCCTCAGGCCTTAAGGAAGGTTTATAAATGTGACTAAACATGTTGGGCTATGAGAATCACAAAAAACATGCATTCTCTTTTTTTTAGGCCTGAAGAGCAGTCTGACTTTGACTTCATGGAAGAAAACACAAATACACCTAAATTGAAGATTAGGAATAAAGGTGAAGATTCATTGAAAGGTAGTGCTAAGAAAAAGACTACTTCCCTGGATGGTGTTATCAACAACATGATCAGACATAATTTGTTGTCTTCAAAGAGTTCCAAATAGTCATTATATTATTATATTTTTTTGAGAACAATAAATGTCTAATATATAAGATTAAAATAAATAAGAAATTTATATTTTTTGTCTGATTTATTTGATTTTTTTAAGCAATGATTTACTATCATAAAATTGGTATTGAGATCTCATTTTATGCTTATATTGATTTTATAAGATTAAATTGTATAGACCACCTATGTTAATCTATGACAAGTCCTTGAACTGAATAAAATTTTTCTCCTGAGTGTATAACTTCTTAATTGGCTTCTGGGATCTCCAGTCCCAAGTCACCAATATTCTTCCTGAAAATTGGCCTCAAGGCTCATGATTTTGTGACTTGTGTATTCTAATCAATCTATTTAAGAAATTCAAACACCAGGCCTCTTTATTTCTATTTAACATCATTAACGTTCAAAAATAACCCAAACAAAGCAATTAATGATGATGGATCCCTCGAGTACTAAGTATTCCCGACTTAAAGTCGCTCCACCTTCAGAATGTTCGGGTGAGAGTGGTCTCGATGATAAAATTTGTTTGACGAACATCTGCGGCATTAACAGCAAACGTTTCGCCATGCTTTTCTTATCTGACACAAAAATCTGAAGATCTGCACCGATGAATCGTCTTAGCTTCCAAAATTACGGAGTACACGATCTGAGAAAGAACGGGAGAGTTGTGGCTTTCGTCCGCAGCAGTCTTTCAGGCTCCAGAAACGTTTCTTTGATATCGGACCGAAAGGACATTCTGTGGCTTCGCCTCAGCTCCAAAACATCCGCCAAATTTATTTGCTGCCTTTATCGCTCTCCGTCGGACCATAACTAGGATGACCTAATTGAATACGTTACTGTTAAGATCGACTTCTTGATCATCAAACATCCCCTCAGAGTTCTCGGTAATTTCAATGTCCATAATGAGCTTTGGTTTTGGGCTCAAACAAGACCGATGCATCCAAGTCAAATCATCGACGGTTGTTAGAGCGGTTCGTGGGACCTTAGCTCTTGAGTCACAGTGTCAGTTTGTAAGTGTGTCAGGTCTGGTAACCCAGAAACCAGACTATTATAAGGAAAAAAGGGAAGGAAGGATAGAAGGAAGAACGACAGCAAAGGGGAATTTTAATTAATTTAATTAATTTTAATTAGCCACCGATCCGCCCCACCTAATAATTCCTCCATCGTACTTTGCCGCCTGACATGGACTAGGTCACCAGATCACGACTGAGCCACCAATGCAGTATCGTCAGCATAGAGATAGACTCACAGTTGCTGGTGCTAGGGACGTCATGGATGTACAGTGAGTGAAGGATAGGTCCAAGGACCGAACTCTGAGGCACGCCGGCTGTAATCAGCCGTGTTGTCGACAGGACATTGTCAATTTTGATCCGAAATTTCCTACCTTCAAGGAAGGACTTCAGTAGTTTTAGAAGCCAAAAAGGGCGGAAGCCCTTTATTTGGATTAGTTTGTACAGGAGGCCCGCGTACTACATCTTGTCAAATGCTTTTGAGACATCCAAAAGCAAGATGCCAGTACTTTCGTTAAGGGTGAATCCTCTGGTTACTCGTTCCACCAGCCTAACAGCTTGTAGCTCCGTACTATGTTCAGACCGAAAACCGAATTGCACGTCAGGAATCATCTGACGAGAAATTCTCAAGGTGACGTAGAATCATCTTTTCAGCGAGCTTAGACGGCGCTGACAGCAGGTTAATGGGACGAGAATCCTGGGGAAATATCGAGCCCACCTTAAGTATTGGGTCCTTAGCGCATGGCATTGACTATTGCCACGAGATAAGTTAAGGACTTCCGCGAAAGCAGCTTCAGCGCCTTATTAGTGATTTGATCCTCCCCAGGTCTTTAATATGACCTTGAAACTCTGCTGGTGTGCAATGCGGGATCTCGGGAGATTCCGCTGATGTGCTAAGCAGATCTTCGGTTGAAGAAGCTTCTGAAAAACCTTAGGTAGTTTAAAAATCGGATTTACTAAGTTTCTTGGGATCCTCATAGCATCCGCGGTGTCCGGGATTCTTTTTTGAAACTATGGATGAATGTTTAGTCCGCGAAATTTTGGGTGAGCATAGGTGCAGTGTAATATCAGGTAGTTCGGAAAGTTCTTGCGGTTTTTGTCTCCGGATTTCTACATAAGCGGCATAAATAAACTTGTTTCAAGGTGATCCTGATGGTTTTTATTTTGATTAATAAAGTTTCCTTAAAGCTGAGATATGCTCCTTTAAATTTGAAGGCAAGAACTTTCCGAACAACCTAATAGATACATTTTTAAAATTTTTGAAGTATGGATTCTTGATGCGTAACCTTGAAGCATCCGAAAAAAAGTAGTAGTCAGTTTGACCCACATTCTTACACAACGGGGTTATCCTGGACATGATGTTCGCCGAATCCAGGTCGGCGCTTGATAATAACACGACGTTTCTTTTGAAAAATTAATGAGTGACCTTCAAGACGGGCAACGAGCTTCCTTTGCCGACCGCATTACCCATTACGATAGAAACCCGCAACGGGGCACAGCTGCACAAGTGCTATACGATAATCCCCCATTCAATTTTTTATTCGTTTTATTAGTTTATAAATTAGCTGTTTTTCCGTGGAACCTCGTCGGGTATATAAAAGAAAAAGATAGTGAAAATGAGTTTCGTGCAACACGATGCGACTGGAGGTATTCTGGTGGATAGTCTTGGTGAAAATCGTCAAGTGTGACAATTTTCCTTCGTTGTTGACTGCTAACGCATCCATAGGTAAGAAGTTTTGAGACTATAAAAAAATCGCAGATGGTCTTTCTTTTCCGAGACACAAGGTATAGAAGTTACAAAGAAAGTTATATCTCCAGAGTGGATCAAATTATTGTGTTAAAATTTTGGACATATAATACTAACAGTATAACCGTGGGCTCCTGCACAGAACGTCAAAATGACAGCCTTTTAAAGGACGTCTTGCCTTAAAAATGCCATAAAGAAGTCATTTTCAGCAAGCGGAATCGCACAGCAACCCTTTGTTGCGTGAAGCAGTGGAATACACAGTCGATGAGATACGCACACATTCCAGGCCGCGACTCGCACTGTGAACAAAATTAAATTCATGTTTAGACATTTGAAAAATATAGTTTTTAAAAACCAAAGACCCAAAATTCAGTTCAGGACATTTATATAGTACAATGTAAAAGTTCTTAGATCTATCACACCTCAAATATTTACATAAAACAATTCCTTTTCTTTCTCTCCTCGCTCCTACTTCCTTCCTTTCTTTCTCCCTCTCCCCATTCCCCTTCAACTTGTCTGGTTTCTGGGCCACCAGACCTGACAGACTGACGACAGACACTGACCTTTCAGCGACTATTACCTAGTTTTTGTAATTTTCATCCCTAAAAAAATGTCTACCCTCCTCTATTCAAAAAGCTTTTGGGGTATAGCTACTAACACATACACAAACTTTCGTGGTTGAGACTGCACCAGCGGCGTAGAAACTAGGAACTTTTGACTCCTACGGAAGAAAAAGAAAATTATTTTTTCCACCACTGACTTTTTTTAAACAACAACCCTGTGCCTCAAAACGAAATTCTTGTGGACCCATGATTGCATAGAAACTATTTGTCTTAAAACCAGCTGTCCTGTGAAATACCACTTGTTAAGAAACATCCTTTATACTTAGAAGACTATATGAATTTCATAAAAAAAATTCCGATTGAGTAAATTTAGTAACGTCATTTTTTGAAGCGAAAGTTGATGCAGATTCCTGAGCACCGTACGCATAATTTTTAAGATGAAAACCACAGGATACGTTTCAGGTACTACATAATTGTTTTTAATTGTTTTTATTAAATAAAAATTTTGGAATTCGAGATATAATGAAGTATGAAAAATTTGCCTAAGTGAACCTACCAATTCACGATTCGATTTTTGAAACGATCCTTTTTCTTCGAAACCTCCAACGAAGTCGTAGGAAGTACATATTTTTTCTAAATGTGCTGCAAATATCTCATATAGACAATTGTGATATACGAGTATCTTGTTTGACTAATTCGGCTATCGAAAGCTAAATTTTTTTTGTTAAGGGATGGAGAAGAAATTTAAAAAATAATCAGAAATCAAACTAACGATAATCGTATTGCCAATTCCGTGTACTTTTTTACAGCGATTGTGATAGATCGTCAATTTGTTGGAGATGAACACGACACTATCAAATTTGAAATAGAAAAATTCGTCGATTATGTGAAAAGAGAAGTTTTGAAAAGCGGTGGAGTAAATGCCTTTTATTTTTCCTGGGCAGCTATCAATGTTAAAAGAGGTATTTTTTTCAATAAAGTGAAACTTATCGTGTAATCTTTTAGTACCGTTAAGTTGTGAGATTATGAAACTTGATCATTTGTCAGAAGAATTCGCTATAATGGTTCTATATTTTAGATTTTTCTGCTATTCTAAGTATAACATCATGTGAGGACACATGGAGATTATTTCGAGCTGCAGATCCCGAAAATATACTTCATATGGCTGTTACTGGTAGGTCGTTAAACCCACATTGAATCTTGGTAGAGTTTGGTTTTATATTAATAACCCCATTTTCCTACTCTAAGAAGATGCCCAAGAGTTCGAGATATAATTATAGAACGCCTAGTTATAGTATACGACCTTGAAGTTTCAGCGACTTTGACTGCAACCTCAAACCATCCAGGTGACCTTGATCGCATTCGACCTTGTATCCTGGTCGGTGACCCTTGAACGTATGACCTTAGCCTTGAGTACATTATACGATACCTTGACCATGAACATGTGTAACCTTAAATATATAATATATAATAACCGTAAATTGTCTTTGAATTTGTATACACGACCTTGAAATTGTAAATGGCCTTGGGATAGTGAGGGGATGACTTCGGAAATATACATTTATATTGGTCCTGACCATGTAAGCGTACCGCATGTAACCTTCGCTTTAAATGTTTATGACGATAGCTGTGTCCGTATTTGACCTTGACCCTAAACATGTGTGTCTTTCAATTTGTAAGTTACCATGAACACAAGTTATTTCGGATATATGCAACCTTGAATTTGTAAACGACCCTGGGACATGGATGGGATGGCCTTGGAAATATGCATTACCTTAATAGCCCTGACCGCGTTTTACCATAATCCTAAACATATGTAATTTGTAGATGATATTGGGTGCGTGTGTCCTTTAATCTATTTATGACCTTGAATATATGCGACCTTGAAACTGTATACGACCTTGGAATATAGATGATATGACCTTGTAAACATACCTTTAATTTGGTCTTGATCGGGTAGTTTTCCGTAGCGCATGTGACCTCATCTTAGAATATATTATATGACCTTGAAGGTTCGATACCTTTGATCGCATTTGACCTTGATCCTGAACATATTTAACCTTGAATTTGTAAATGATATTGAATACGCGTGACCTTTAATCAATAAATAACTGTGAATCTGTAAACGACCTTGGGATATGGATAAAATGACCTTAAAATTGATTTCGATCGGGTAGGTGTCCGTAGCACATATGATCTTAGTTTAGAATATATTATATGATCTGAACATATGTAACCTTGAATTTGCAAATGAAATTGAAAACGCGTGATCTTTAATCAATAAGTGACCTTGAATATATGCGACCGTCAATCTGTAAACGACCTTGGGATATGGAGAAAATGACCTTGGAAATATGCCTTAAAATTGATTTTGATCGGGTAGGTGGCCGTAGAACATGTTACCTTAGCTTGGAATATATTATATGACCTTGAATGTTTAGTAGCCTTGATCGCATTTGACCTTGATCCTAAACATGAATAACCTTGGATATATGAGATGATCTTCTAAGTATAGCTTTCAATTGATTTTGATCCGGTAGCTTTGAATATATCATATGACCTTGAAGGCTCGATTTGACCTTAACTCTAAAGACTCATAACCTTTAATTTGTGAATGCGTGGGATGTTTAATCTATAAATGACCTTTAATATATCATACTTCCAAATTGTGAACGATCCTATAAACCCACGGCACCCACGAATGTTTAGGCTGAAAGTCACCCCTCTACCTCGCCTACAAGTTTTACAATTATTAACAGAATACCTGAATTTTTAGAATCGGAATGTCCCCGTTTACCAACAGACAGAGCTATTACGGTTCCTCTAATCACAAAGGGCAAGGAGTTAGCTCAATTGATGTTAGATTTCAAGACTGAGGATATCTATGATTGGAAATCAGCTGTAGTTATATACGACGAAATGCTAGGTGAATTATAGCAGCACTAATAATAGCATTATTTAGAGTCAGATCTATACACCTTCCTTGAGGCTTGGAAACGTTGGATATCTCATTAGAAACAGTGAAACAATGGCACCTTCATTTCACAGTAGGCTGTAACAGTTGCTGAATAGATACGGTAAGCAAAGAAAAATCTTTTTGACAACGATGGTAATTTTCAAGGAGAGATCCATTGTTTCCAAGGAACCCTCAAGCCTTAAGGAAGGCCCTTAGACTTATAACACCAACAGATTATCACAAAGCTTATTCAAATGTTTCAGACAGAGACATGGCAGGGGGTCTAGTGAAAGCTATCTCTCAAAGATCTAACAACGAAGCGAAAGCAACAGGCGTATCTTTGATAAAACTTAAAAGACACCTCTCTAAAGAAGACTTACGAGCAGTGCTATCCACAATCCATACAGATACGGTAGGGACCAACTTTTTAGCCGTTGTAGGCTACAACTTGGTGCACGGTATGATGGAAATTGCCAAAACATTGAATCTGGTCAATACAGAAACCCAGTGGCTCTACGTTATTTCCGATACCGATGCCAAGTTCCATGACATAGGCACATTTAGGAAGATTCTCAGGGAAGGAGATAATACCGCTTTTGTTTATAATATTAGCCATGCTGGCGATGAATGTGTGGTAAGTATCTCACTAGAGGAGTCTCCATAAAAGCTGAAGGCTGACTTCCTGGCTGATTGGCAAATGCACGCAAAATATGACGCTCATCAGTGGAAGCGGCATAAAAAACTAAAAAAAGATCAAATTTCGTTTGCTAACGCTTAGGAATCTCCTGATCATTTTCAGATTTTTTTGTGTAGAAGATATTATACATGGAATATACTTGAGATCCACGATTCACTTTGCACTGTACAAACATTCTCTTAGATATTTATGTTGCGTTGCATATTCAAATTTCATAGGTCCACAACTGCGTGGTAAATATAGAGTCAATCTACTAGACGCTATTTTTTACATTACAGGGTGGAAGGAAATGTCATGTAGAAGAACTGATCCTCAGTTTTAGTGAAGCTTTATCGGAAGCAATAAAAGATGAATACGAAATAGCCAGTCAAGTATCGGAGGAAGAATGGGAAGCAATAAGACCAACAAAAGATGAAAGAAGAAACTTTCTTCATGCGAATATCAAGGTAGAATTTCAAGATATCCATTTTTTCTCCTTGACCTTCAACCTTTAGCAACCTCAATTGCACTTGACCTTAGACTACTAGGCGACAGTGATTGCATTTGACCTTGACCTGATAGGTATCCTTCGAGCATGTGACCTTGACCTCGAATATATTGTACGACCTTGACGCTAAACTTGTGTAACCCTGAATTTGTAAGTGATTTTTGACCCGACCTCTCTATCGACAGTACCATTTGTCCTTGACCTACAAGGTTTAGCGACCTTAATTGCACTTGACCTTAGACTTCCATGCTCCATTGACTGCATCTTGACCGTGTAGGTACCCTTTGAGCATGTGACCTTGAACTCGAGTATATTATATGACCGTGTCCTTAAACTTGTGTACCCTATAATTTGAGTTGCGACTTCGAAATTGTGAACAAGCTTGAGGTAAGGTTGGGATGACAAAACATACCATTAAATCGATAGCTAACCTTGGCGCGTGTAATCTTGACATTGACCTTGACCCTAGACATACGCAACCTCGAATTTGTAAATACTCTTCAACGCGTATGACCTTGATAAACGATATAGCCTTGACCTTGGCGCATGTAACCTTGAACTCGAGTATATTATATGACCTTGAACCTCGATATTGACCCTAAACATGTGTAACCTTGAATTTGTAAATGATCTTGATCTTGATATGAGGCCTTGAAATTGTAAACAACCTTGGGATAGAGAAGGGATGGCCTTGCAAATATATCTTGACCTTGACACATGTGACCTTAGATATGAGACCTTGACCATTAAAAAGCCTTAAGCCTGAACATGTGTAACCTTAAACGCAGCTGAACTTGAATAATCTACGAATGACCTTAGCTATATGTGACCTTGAACTTGCAAACGACTTTTGGTAAGTAGTGGATGACCTTGGAAATATACGTTTAAATTAGCGAAGTGTCCCGTATACCGAGAGAACGTGACTACATGTCAAATTGTCAGTGTCAGCGAAAAAAGATAAAATTTTCCTTATATTTCATACTAGGGAAATGACATGACTCATCTCTTTGAAACCTCACAAGAAGGAGTAGGGAGTATAATCAATCTACCTGATGCCATTTTTTGTTCATAAATAAAGCGAAAACTGGGATTACACTTTCTTGAGTCAAAATATTGATATTATGTCGAAATTTTCGAGATAAATGGTTGTTGTTTATTTCAGAAAGACTTGACCAAGAATGGAGTCTGTGGCAATTGTACCTTCTGGAAGGTATCTACTGGTGATACGTGGGGTGGGGAATTTCAAGGAAAAACGAACACAATAAACCTACATGACGTCGGTACTTGGAGACCAAATGATGGCACTTCTTTCACTGATGTGCTCTTCTTACACGTCGCGCATGGCTTTAGAAGTAAATTGCTACCTTTGGTTTCATACCACGTAAGTTTCAATTTTTGACGAAAGTCAAAATTTGCCAAAGTCTAAATACCAGAGCGCTGTGATTTTTGTAACAGTGTTAGATTGTTGAGCTAGTTCAAATTGATAAAATAGAAAGCATCTTTTATTCCGAAGACTCGTATGAGATATTTTCTAATGCAATTCTTGTGCCCGATTCTAGAATCCGCCATGGCAGATATTGAAGCTGAACACCTCCGGGGAGATAATTGAATACAGCGGACTTGTATTTGACATAATCAGAGAGTTAGCGAGAAACCTAAACTTCACGTTCACCGTAGAATTGATCAATAAAACCACGATAAAAAGTTTCAACGACAGCAACCTTGGAGCTCAGGATTATGCTCTCACCAACGACATACCCAGAGATTTGTTGACTTTGGTACAGAATAAGTCGGTAGCTATGGGCGCATGCGCGTTGACGGTATTGGAAGCCGTGAAAAACTCAGTCAACTATACGATACCTATCAGTACTCAGACCTATTCTTTTCTAGCAGCTAGACCGAGGGAGTTAAGCAGGGCCTTATTGTTTATTTCTCCATTCACTGGTGACGTAAGTAAATTTCTCGGTACCGTTCCAAGCTCCTAGAAGCTTGAAGCTCAAGCCTGAAGCTGAAGCTTGAAGTCTAAACTTGAAGCTGAGGTTTAAAGTTGAAGCTGATGATAAATAGTGAGCTTTGAAATTGAAGTTGGGGCTGACGTTTGGAGTTTGAAACTGAAGCTTGACGCTAAAGCTTTAAGCTGGAGGTTGAATCTAAGGCTTGAAGCTGAAGCTTGAGCTTGACGTATGCAATTGATGCTTGGAGCAAAGCTCGAAGCTTGAATCTTGAAGCTCAGACTGAAGCGCAAAACTTGAAGTTGAAACTGGAGCTAAAGCTTGGAGTTTAAAACCAGCGCTTGACGCTGAAGCTTGATACTGAGGATTGAAGTTGAGGTTTGAAGCTGAGGCATGAAGTTGAAGCTTGCAGCTAAGGCTGAAGCGTAAAGGTGAAGTTTGAATCTATAGCTTGAAGCTGAAACGAAGCTACATATTGATGCTAAAATGAAGCTAAAGCCTGAAGCTAAAGATTGAAGATACACCTTGATCATAAAGCTTGGAGTCTGAAACTGAAGCCTGAAGCTAAAACTTGAAGCAAAAGCTTGCAGCTGAGGCATGAAGTTGAAACTGGAGCTAAAGCTTGGAGTTTGAAACTGAAGCCTGACGCTGAGGCATGAAGTTGAAACTGGAACTTAAGCTTGCAGTTTGAAACTGAACCTTGAAGCTAAAGCTTGAATCTTTGTTGAAGCTGAGCCGAGCTGATGCAAAATGAGGCTGAGCTGAAGCTGAGCTGTAACTGAGTTAAAGCTGAGCAGAGCCTGACCTTAAACGTGACTGAAGCTGAGCTAAGGCTGAGCTGAAGTTAAGCTGAAGCTAGACCGAGAGAATTAAGTAATACGTTTCTGTTTTCACCTTTCACTGGTGATATTCGTTCACTTAAGATATTTCGAAGCTTTTGCAGGCTAAAGAGCCTGAATGATCTGAATAAAAAAATTGAAACAACGAATTCTTGTTTTCTAAATCTATTCAGAAAGGTTTGTTTGATATTTTGTTACTTTCCTGGGAAACTTTGAGGCCAAAAGCGGTTCTTACTGGTTGAAGTAAACATTGATCTTTTTCAGACATGGCTTTGCCTATTCGCAGCTATTATATCCATGGGACCATTTTTGTACTTTATAAACAGATTTAGCCCAGTGTGTGATTATAAGGGAATACCAAGAAAAGGTGGTTTATCTTCAATACAAAACTGTATTTGGTATATGTATGGAGCGTTGCTTCAACAAGGTAAGACTGCTGATGACTCACACACCATGTACTTTCATAACGAAAAATTTCGAAAATGAGGTCTTATGGACGTGACATCTATATGGAGTGTCCCACTATATATTGACCTTATCCACCGATAAGAGAAACGTTTTTTACAAAAGTTGTAGGGTCTAATATAAAGTTTTTCGTTCGATGTCTTTTTTATACAGGGTGTCCCAGAAGAAGAATGGGAACTGGAACACCCTGTATAGTTTTAACGAAAATGATGTTACTTTTTACTTTCAATTTCCACGAATAACTTTGGAAGCACCTCTGGAGTTCTGACGAAATTTTAATAAAATGACGAAGAAGCTCTATTGATTTTGAAAATCTAAGCAGTGGCAGCGGAGCTACGAGCATAGAGCGAAAAAAGATCTTAATCCAATCTTCAAGTATATCTCAAAATCACCTATTGGGCTCCCCTTTTATCATCAATCAAAAGGGCCCCAACTAACAGTATATCGTAGACAAAATTTATGTCGTCAAAAGCATGACAAAACTAGACATCCTAAATGCGGCACTGGGCATCTCATATTTCGCTTATCGTTATTTACACCCACAGGGTAGGAGGAAGTGGTGAGCAGTGTTGCCGAACCTACCGATTTTTCGGTATTCTTACAGAAATGAGACCTTATCTACGGAAATACGCAATCGTCCTCATTTTCCACGATTTTTAAAAATTATTAAATAAATCTAAAAAAAGAATTCTATGTAGTCTACGTAGTTTTATGCCACATAAGCGTACACTTAAGCAGTGGGGCACTGGAGTAATTTGGAATCTACCGGCTTTCACTAACAATGTCACCGATTTCGTCTTTTTCGGTTGCTGAGTCGATCTACATGACTCCATTTTTATCGTTTCAGGTGGAATGCATCTGCCATACCCAGATAGTGCAAGAATAGTTGTAGGAGCATGGTGGTTGGTCGTTTTGGTGATATCGACGACGTATTGTGGCAATTTGGTGGCTTTCCTGACTTTCCCAAAAATCGATATTCCCATCACTACAGTCAATGATCTCATCAATCACCAAGATGTGGTATCTTGGAGCTTCAGGGAGGGGAACTATTTAGAGAGTCAGCTGAAAGTACGTAAAGGCACAGATTATATCGGTTCTAAAATTGAAATCGTAAGAAACCTACTAGGAATGTTTAAAAGTCTCAAACTGCTTTTGAAGTTCCCAGATGGTTTCGACAACTGTATAGATGTAAATAATGCCCTAACTTTCTTTTAGACGGGCATTAAACCCGAAAAGTTACGAGGGTAATGTCAAAAGTAGAGTCACCTATTTTTTTGTGCAACAGTCTTAATCTTTCCCTGAATACGCTAGCATAGTGTAACGAAAACACCGTTTTTATATTTAATGTCCAATTTATTAATTACTCTCACACTAATTTACTACAACTTGCAATTAATTTATCTCAAATTTATGACTATATCGACTGGACTATGGCTTCTCGCGCCGTTACTGACTTAGAGTCAACTCTAACCAGTGTTGCCACGCCTACCGATTTTTCGGCATTTCTACCGAAATGGAATTTTACCGAAAATTTGAGACTTTAGGCTGTTAAAAATCAATTTTCCTTACCGCTGGCTATATTCGAACGATGCTCCGTAGAGGTAGTTTCTAGCGCTGAATTTGAATATGATCGTGAAAAAATCTTAAAGGGTCATGCTGCCGAATTAGGGGTGAAAAATTGGTAAAAAACTAGTTATCTGGGATCACGCTTGAATCCTAGCACTAAGCTGACAATGAATTTGGAATCCACGCACCCGATTTATCTAAAAAACAAACTTCAATACACATCATAGACGCGCACCGTTTTTTGGAGACTGACTCATTGCCCGCTCTCAGCAGGACATCATAATCCCAAAATCTTAGGTATTGGTCAAGGAAAACAAATATTTGAGGACTCAATATCCCCAAAAAGTTAATGTTTGGGGGGGGGGGGGGTATTTTAAGAGACAACATTTTTGGATGTTTCTTCATTAATGGAACCTTAAATTCCTCACGATATTTGGAACTGCTTCAAAATGAAATTATCCCGACTATACGAAGCCTGAACATCAATCTTGATGATATTTGGTTTCAACAAGATGGCTGTCTTACTCACAACGGGAGGAAGGTTCGGGAATTTTTGGAAACAATTTTACCGGTCGCCTGATCTGTACAACAGTCGTTTCGCTAAATGATCCATCATCCCGTACATACACAATAGGAGACCTTACTTTTGGCATTACCATCGTAATAATATTGCCAATTTTTAAGATTTTGATTTTTTTAGGATGCTAGGGAAGCACGATATAGAACAATATACAACTTGAGAGTGAAAAAAAGCACGAACTATACGAAATTCATAAAAGAGATCGAAGAAGGAAAGCATGTGTATTTGGATTGGAAAATGAGACTACAATATATTATGAAGGAGCAGTTTTTAGAGAAAGGCAGATGTGATTTTGCTTTAGGTATCGCAGAAGATGTTTGTTTTAGTAGTAGAATACTATACAGAAAAACTTCATTTCATCTAAAATATTGCGAATCTTCCAGTTATTTGTCCATACAAGCAGAAATAACCGTATTCAGCTCTAGCTCAGCTTCGGTTCTGTTCTGCCTCATCTCAGCTTAGACCCGACTAAGCTTCAACTTCAGCTCAGATACAGCTCATCTTCATCTTCATTTCAGCTTTGGCCCAGCTTCATCTCGGCTGCGGACCATCTGCGGCTCAGCTTCAGCTCCAATTCAGCTGCAGCGCAGCTCCGATTCAACCCAGCTTCAGCTTCGTCTTAGCGTCGGTTCAACTCAGCTCAGATACAGCTCAGCTTCATTTCAGCTTTGGCCCAGCTTTACCTCAGCTCCGGAACAGCTGAGGATCAACTTCATCTTCCATTCAGCTTCAGTTCAGTTTCAGCTCAGCCCCAGCTTTAGCTCCAGCTCAGCTTCAGCGTGTAGTGCAGCTCGGCTCAACTCAAGGTGTAGCTGAGCTAAAGTTAAGCTCAAAAGGCATCTTATACATGGAATGTGCATAGAATATTGCGTAGATTGTGTTCCATTTAAAATAAGCAAGTTGATATCTACTTTCAACTTCCAGAATGATGGCCACCTAATGAGTAACTTCATAATCTAAACACACTTTTTGAAATCCTGGTTTCAATTCTATTATTATTTTTTTGCAGGTATCGACGAATTTGTAGACGAAAATCTTGCATTTATTGTTTCTCCAAACTTACCATATTTAACTAAAATAAATCGAGAGTAAGTCAAATTCGGCGTTAGACTGCTGGATATTAATTTAATAATATACGATTTGTAGGATAAAAAAGTTGCATCAAGTTGGACTTATCCAGAAATGGTTGAAAGATTATCTGCCGAAAAAAGACAGATGCTGGAAAAATAGACATTTGGTTGAGGTTAATAATCATACGGTGAACATGGACGATATGCAGGGAAGCTTTTTTATACTGTTTTTAGGTAGATATGCAATAGAAATGAAAATATTTATTTTTGGTCATTAATTTGTAAGATCAGCTTTGCTTTGAAATTGGCGTTAATCGAGAATGTGTGTGTGTTTTTTTTTTCAGGGTTCACTTTGGCCGTAATATGGTTGACTGGAGAAAAACTATGGTTTAGACACAAATCGAAAAACCAAAGAAAAGTTATCCAGCCATTCGCATCCTAATTATTGTATGTGTTTATTTACATAAATATAGTAATAAATGAATAAAAAATGTTTGTCATAAAAGTGCTTCGAATTCTACAAATTCTTTAATACAAGTATTGTTAAGAAATAAAAAATCAAGCCACATATCCGAAAAATCTAACGTTATAATTAATTTCGATTGAAGTGCTACAATTCGTTTACATTTAGAGGAAAATGAATCGGTGACAACAGAATCAGAATAATATAATTTCTTTTTGTTTAAAATAAATTCATATTTAAATTCACTGTGTATCTTGGTGCTATGTTACACTGATTCCGATATTACGCGTCTGTTCAAACTCGTTATACGAGGGTGGTCCCAGAAGTACCCGACCCAACGAAGAAAACACAAAATTTTTGTAAAAAAATGTATTTATTTTTCAACATAATCTCCTTTGAGTTCTATACACTTTTCCCAGCGATGTTCAATAAGTTCGATACCCTTTTCATAATAAGAACTATCTTGCTCCTCAAAATAGTCATTAACTGCCGACATCACTTCTTCATCGTTGGAAAATCTTTGACCACTGAGCCATTTTATCAAGTTTGGAAACAGAAAATAATCCGAGGGGGCTAGATCTGGTGAATAGGGTGCATGAGGTAGCAATTCAAACTTTGATTCGTTAATTTTGGCCATTGCGATAACGGATTTGTGAGCTGGTGCATTGTCTTGATGAAACAACACTTTCTTCTTAACCAAATGCGGTCGTTTTTGCTTGATTTAATCGCTCAAAAGTTGCAATAAGTTCGCATAGTACTCGCCGTTGATAGTTTTACCTTTTTCAAGATAGTCAATGAAAATTATCCTACGCGCATCTCAAAAAACCGACGCCATAACCTTGCCTGCAGATAAAGCGGTCTTCGCCTTGGCAGCTCATCGTTTAAACTCTGCTACCCAATATTTTACTGCTGTAAACGAAGGAGCAGACTCACCCAGAGTAGAATCCAGTTCAGCTTTTATATTGGTTGGGCTGAGGTCTTTGAAATAGAAGTATTGTACCACATACCGATGACCAATAATTTTCTCCATTTTCACAAATTCACCGAAAACGTTCAGTATTGATGGCTGCCAAACAAATACTAAACAACGTGGCGTCTACAAACTTGACACATATGCTTTATAGGTTGCATACTTTCTAATACAATGATATTTTTCCAACAACTATCGCCATCACTAGGTCAGGCCGGGTACTTCTGGGACCACCCTCGTACAATAATTGCTCACCGATATATCAGTTGCCTAATAAACATTCACAGATCATTATGCAAACATTGTTAAAATTCAAGAGCTAAACACATAAAGATTGCCAATGCGTTACGGTCAAGATTTGCAAACTATTTTCAATATTGTCTCATACCCTGTCAGTCATCATCAAAAATGAGATGAGAATATTTAACTTTCAAATACAGGAGTGACTAGAAATCCTAATTCGACACATAAATGGTTTCTGGGAAGGTAATTGCAGAACAAGTGTCTTGTAGAAAAACCTACATAATTAAAAAAAAACAACATAATGTCACTTTTCAAGTTACGTAATACCCCTGTCGTCTAACTATCTCAGATTGAAGTTTGCAGTTCCGGAATATTGTCGACGCAACCTGGTATAAAATTGGGTGACATTGAATGGATAGGAAGGAAAACCGGTAGGAACGATTTAACGATTCGTTCACAAAACAAACGAAGAAATGCCGGCAACCGCCGCCTGCTGAGATGCCTGACGTAATACACTCCTTTTAGAAATTTTGTCATCAACGTCGAACCAGCCATACTAAACGGACACAGGCGTAATAGTACAGGGAGCTTAGAACCACAAGTTTTATCGAAAACCGCAATGCTCTAAAAACTTTACCGTTTGTCGAGATAATAACAAATAAAAGGACTTGTGACCTTCTAAAGTACTAAGATTGTGCGGGGATTGGATTTCGAAGATCGGAGATCAGAGATTAGAAATAGAGATCAGAGATTAGATAGTGGAGATTGAAGATTCGAGATTCGCAATTCGAGATTAGAAATTAGAAATTAGAGATTAGAGATTAAATATAGAGATTAGATATTCGAGGTTAGAGATTAGAGGTTAGAAATTAGAGGTTAGAGATAAGAGGTTATAGATTAGAGGTTAGAGATTAGAGGTTAGGGCTTAGAGATTGGAGATTATAGATTATAAATTGAAGGCCATCGATTAGAGATTGGAAAAGATACTGATTAAAACGAGTAACATGCGCCCCTCCCCCGTAGAACTTCGTTCTGCATACGCCAGAGTTGTTATTAGATACAAATGTTGGATAATAGGAATCCACTATTCCTGGTCTATTTCTGAATTTATCAACAGAAATAGCATGTGTTGCCTCGATAATTCTCAATTCAAATGTGTGCGAGGTAGTAGCATATAAAGCGTGCCCCTCGGATTAGACCTTCTTACTATTCAAACTCGTCAAGTTATAACTTCGAGACCTTTGGAAATAACACTGTATAGTTCGTTCGGTGATATTTGTTGTGTGTCGTCATGTCTGAATCGAAACCTGACACCGTTCCCGGTCTTGGATTTAAGGATAAGGAAAAAGCGTTGGAAACGTTGAAGAATCTGGAGGGCAGAGATCCGGATTACCAGAAGTTGGCGGTCAAAGGACTGGTCGGAAGGGCTAAGAGGACTCTGACGTGTAAGTGATTGGTTTATTTCACATCTCTAACAGCATACCAGATTAAAATATTGTAAAAAACGCCGAAGAAGTTTATGAATTTTATTTTAAAAATCCTCAGGGATTTTCTCTTTACTTTGCAAATAACATAGGTAGGTACCTAATATCTTGTGAGTCTAAATTATATCTAATTAAACAAGTTTATTGCAATCGGAAACCGCCGCCATACCTTCGTTGCTATAGCAACGCTTTTCAGACATAACACGCTTTTTATAGTCATGAATAAATTATAATAATCCAAAGCATAGTGTTTTTTTTAATCTAATACAATCCAGTAATCCTGTATAAAGGTGAAAAACATGTTCTTCTTGACGTTATTCTCATGTTTAAACGAAATAACTAGACATAATCTAGAAAATTAATTGTCATAATACGTACATTTCAAGTATATTCTAGGTTTACATTTTTATTTAATCCACTACGATTAAGATATGATACCTAAACGTCTTATAAGTTAGATAAAAAAGCAATGATACGACGAAACATTTTTATTACAATGTCATAACAAAAGCGTTTATTATTTGAATATGAGATCACGAAATTACATACACATACATATCAAACCAGTAATATTCTATTAATAAAGGCCATGTTATTGAAAACAGCTGCGTACAGGGCACTCACATGTGAGTCTGGGGATCTTAAAAATACCAGGTGGCGCATCGAAAACGAAACAGACGCAAACTATGTACTAAATTCCTATTTAAAATAAGCACGAGATATTAGCTTATCTTTCTTCAAGAAATAACTTTTTTGCCACAAAAAAAACGCGCCAATAGCTATTTTCAACAACAAAATGATAAACAAACCATGAGCGTTTTTTCAAAAAAAAACTAAGCTGCCAGTAAATGCGTCTGTCTCGTTTTCGATGCGCCACCCTGTATATTATATACACATTGATATTACATTATATACATGAATACTTGAAAGAAAATGGGTAGAGATTTTTATTTTTTTATATTATAACTCTTCTCGAAGAGCAAATTCAACATGTAATTACAAACATAATAGTTCGTTTTCTATACCTTGTAGTTTGTAATATACGGCATATCTAAAAATAAACTGTTTTGGCCTTAGGCTCATAGCAGCATATTTTTTTAATAAATTATGTGTATCTATAATTACAGTTTACCTAGTCGCATTGGTTCATAACCCGGCGATTATTTTTATCAAGTCCTTGGTCCAGTCACGTGTGTCGTTAACAATTTTCCATTATGGTAAATTTATAATATTATAGTGAAGCATCATCGGCGTTCCAGATATCGATAAAATATCCGAAATACGTTTAACGTAAGGGGCCCTATAGAAAATTTGAAGGTTGATCTAGTATGTTAGAATATTGATGCAGAAGTTGCCTCTTTCCATAATATACGGGGTGCTGTTCAAGAAAACATTTTATGCTACTGGTTTTTCTTTCTTCTTGAGAAGTGTTTCTTGGAGCATTTCCTTGTGTTCCTTACGGGAATAAGTACTAGCTCAGGTGCGGATCTAGAAAATATTTTCGGAGCCATCTGATAAAATTTTTTGGGGGGTGGGGGCTCAGGATTTATGACCAGGTATGTCGCCAGTAAATTGAAAAGTTTTTTTACTCGTATATTTCTTGGATCCGGACCCCCAGGACACTCCTCTGTATCCGCCACTGCATTTTTGAATAAGGATAAAGAGCATGTGCGCCCGCAAGAGGCGCTAGGGAGCCCCTCTAAGCATCTGGTTATACTATTAAATTTATATCAGAGAAAATTTGCTACAACCTCTCTTCAAAAAGTTAGTGTTGCCCATTATTGCCAATAAGAGGCTACTTTTAAATTAAGTTTTAAAGGAATATTATTTTTCCCGTTAAAAACCGGCAACTAGATGTTTCTTGCTTCTTTTGAGGAAATTCACACAGATTTTCAATTTGCACAGTGATAACAATATGATTTTAATGTATATTTTCTGTCCACTCGGATTTACGAGGTATAAAAAGTTGTTAAAAAAACGTGGTTCAACTCTTAAGAGCTTGCAAATAGCAGCCATGTGGTTTTCAGAAAAGCTTTTCCCAGTTCTACTAAGCTTAGGCGGTTAAAAAATCGGATTAACAAAACGTCTTTAGGATCCTCAAGCAGCCGCTGCATTTATGCCTGCATTTTTTTCATAAACTTTCATTGAAAAACACAGCTGATAATCTCTCTTATTTGCAGTGACAAAGGACAAAGAAAAGCTACAAAACATCAACGATGCCATGGCAGTTTTCGAAGATTTCCTCAAAAAGTACGAACTGAAAAATATGAGCAAAGAAAACAGATCATACTTGCCAATCGCCCATATAGACGCCCTGATACCACTCAAGGAAAAGTTCAAGATTGTAAGCAAAGAAATCGACAATTTTCTCGAAGCTTACAGAAACAAAGCAAAGGGTGACTACAAAAATCTCAGAACGGTTGCGAGTGGAGATGATAAGCCCACATGGGATATAGTAAGGAACACAGAACTGAAGAAACTGCTGAAAGTTATGGAGGAAGAGAGCCCAGATCTTTGGAAGGACGATTTACCTACCAAAGAACACATGGAGCTCATACTATGGGCGTATAGTCCAGATGCTACCAAAATCAAAAAGAACGTTTCAGCTTACGAAAGTAAACTGGGTACGGGTAAAAAAGACGAAGATGAAGATATGGAAGAAGAAGATGAGAAGGAAGACAAGAAGAAATCGAAGAAGGACAAAGGCAGCAAAAGAAAATCATCTACTAGCGATAGTGGATCGGAAGATGAAGGCTCGCCTAAGAAGAAGAGTAAAGAATGAAGTTTACCTTATTTTTTCATTTCCTATAACTAAAGTACCTATAATATTTCAGTGAGTGTTCCATTCATAACGAGACATATAATAAAGACATTGGTGTAAATTTTCAAGTAACTACGTACAATTTCTATTTTGCCTTTATTTTGGCCTGTTCTATATTTGGATATGTAATCATTCTCTGGCAAAATGTATTGGCCAACATACATACTTTTAATATAACTGCATTTTAATTGATCAGTTTGTTTCCTATTCTTTGTATATATTTTTGTATTTTCTAATTGTTGAAAAGTATTATTTGTTAAACAAGAAGTGTTTATAAATAAAAAATAATAATAAAGAAGCGTCTTATTATACTATTCTCCCCTAAGAGCATTCATTGCTGTAAGAAAATGAGATCATCATGTTTTTTTCGGCTGTAAGGGGCTGTGCACCTTTTATAGGCCCCTTTCGTACCGCTATTGATCTGTATTCTTCATGTTAGGCGCGCCATCTAACGCCGACTAGTTTAACTTAAAGAGAATGGGCGCTATCTATCGCCGATTAGGTTAACTTAAAGAAAATGGGCGCCATCTATCTGCAGTAGATTTATCGTACACTTCCTTCTGTGTACAAGTTCCGTGCCTGCCACGCAACTGTCAAAAGTGTCAAATCATCGAGCGCGTGAACTGTCAAAAATAAATGTGGTCACATTTTGGACTTTTGAGTGGGTCCTGTTTTTGATATTTTTAATATCGTAATTTGAAAAAATGGCAGCGGTAAAGACCGAAATGAAAGAAGAAACCACTGAAGACCAAGAAAATGAACTGGACGAGGTTGAAAACGATCACACCGAGGAGGCCAAGAAAAAGAAGAAGAAGAAAAAGAAAAATAAGTCCGGTATGAGTTTTCATGTTTTTTCTCGGATAATTTCTAGATTTTCGAAGATGCGTTCGCTTTTATATGAATATAGGTAGTTTATGATGTTGTAAATTTAATTTTGATGATTAAATTATCGCACTCAACCTTGACTATATCGTAGACAATACCGCAGATGCTACTTTTTTGGGTAGGTAGGTTTATCAGTAGATTAATCATTTAATTTTTGAATTAATTTGATTACCGTTTATATTTATTATTTAGTTATTCAAACTTTATATTTGTTAGCAGCTATGGTGATATTTGAGCCACAGATGTAAATTAATGTATAGGGTAATGTGCATCTGATATTTTCAAAAAGCAAGGTTCAAAATATTGAAAACTGTCTCCAAAGGTCTGTTTGATTAATTTAAAGGACAAGTACAAAATTCAACTTGGGGTAATAGGTTGGCCCCTCTCTGTCTCAATCTCAAATTATCAGATTGCAATTTGGAGGTAATTTTTAGACTTTTTGGATAATTGTATGGGTTGGTACAAAAAACCTTGTAAGTCCCATAAATTGAATTTTTCTGTTGGTAATAAAAACTGTGTCACTTAAGGTCTACAAGTTTGAAATTTTGAATAACCTTTGCAGTTTATTAATGATAATATTGGTAAATGCCTGAAAAATTGTAATTTGTAATAGAGTTATTTTATTTTAGCAGGATATATAACTTAGGCAAAATAATATTTTTTATATTTTTAATTGTTCATTATTGAAAATTATACCCAAATATTGATTTTTTTAACTGGGAAAGTAGAATTTTCTATTTTACATCCAAACCATCATGAAAAAATACTTAGAAACCCTAAAATTCAAATGTTTTTTCTGCACCTTTAAACTTTGAGCACATCTGCAGGCTAAATTTTACTTAGAACTCATGTGTCCGAAAGTACTCTCAAGCAAAAAAAATTCAGATCGATCAATGTTATGTCTCACCAACGCAGGTCTTGGAAGTTTTGATCACACCTTATAGGTTCTGTTATAAATTGATGCAACTTTAGAATAATTATTCATGAATTTTCCGTTAGTGTACTAATGTCCGTAGATGAAAAACAAATTGTTTTTGTATGTTTTTTTATAAAGCTGGAGACAGTGCTATAGGCAAAATAGAAGGCGAAGAAAAAGCTTCAACAACTGCAGCTGACATTCCAGCAGAAAATGGTGCTGCTGAAGCAGCTGAAGGTGGAGATGCGGAGAAGAAGAAGAAAAAACGTAATAGGAAGAAGGGAGGAAAGCCTCAGCAGGTAAACATATAATCCAAAATATATACATTGGCATTTATGAAATTTTTTGACTCCCTGTGCATTACACTGGATACATCTAGGGTTAATTCAGAATGATGCATTTAAATGTGTATCAGAATACCATAGAAACAAGTTCTTGTCCAGATAACAGGTACACAGGAATTTTTGAGAATTCTGACTTTGAACTTTGCCCTGCAGAACTTTCATTTTTGTCTCTCATTTATTACACGAGCACGAAACTTGTAACCCTAAGGTAATTCGGGATGCAGAAGAAATTTCTTTATTGGCATTTGACTTAAAAAAAGTATTGGCTAATTGTCAAGCAACATAAAACAAAAAAAATACTGAAAAAGTTGCGGTTCAGACGACACTAATGTCAAAGCTGTAGTATTTTTTTTATATATATATACAGGGTGACTTCGAAGTTGAGTCATTTATTTTAACAGTGAGTAGATCTGATTAAAAGAAATGTTTTTTTCCTTTACCATTTTTCTGGTAAAATTAAAGTAACAAAGTTATAGCCCTTTGGAACTTTGAGTACCGCCCTGTCTCAATAATAATATCATGTGCTCGTGTTTGGCAACAACGGATATAATCCGCCTTATCGGTTCATCGCATCGGAAACAAAAAAGCGAAAGAATTTGGAACGATGTTTTTACAATTATTTTATTCAGTTGTATACAGTCAGTGCCAGTCGGTAACGCGTGAGTGAATAGTGGTGTCTGTTGCGTGGCTCAAACGAAATAAAAAATGGCACATGTTGATGCGGATCGGTTTGCCAATCGAGTGCAACCAACCCCTCGTGCCTTTGTTAATGTAGTACAACGGGCTCGTGAATCAGGTGACTTAAGACCTCACAGGGGACGGCATGCCGGTGCTCGAAGACCTCACGATCAAATACAGGTCCGCACTGAAATACTTGTCGGGAGGATACTTTATAAAACAAGGTAATTTTTTTTTTATTTTTACACACATATTTTGGTTTATCTTCCTTCTACAATCATTATCTGAAAATTAATGACTCAACTTCAAAGTCACCCTGTATATACGCAGCCGCGCAGGCAGAAGCCCCCCCCGCTCAAAAATGCAAAAAAATGAAGTGTGTTTACACATTGTGCTTTCATGCTATGATTGTAAACAAAAATAGCAAAATGTGTGCCTTTTGTGGTAGGTACAAGACCCCAATATAGAAGTGAAAAACATAGTAAATACCTTCTTGAAAAAATGTTTACAAGGTTTACAAAATATTTTATATGGAGATCAATCAATGCAAAATAAAATTTTCTTGACATTCTCAATAGGAAAAGTGTCAACAACAAATATACCTAACAAATGTAAATATGGGATATCACACCAGCACACTTTATGTTAACAATAAGCAGTTGGCCATGAACATTGCACGGATTTGACAATGTGCAAAATATGAAAATGTTTAAGCTGATAACATTGCAATTATATATGAACTAGTCAAAACCCGCGGCTTCGCTCGCGTTGAAGTAGTGTAAAGTACAATAATGAAATAGTTACTTTGGTGCTGGACCTTTTCTTTCAACATATCAATTCAATAATAAATTAATTTCAAATGTGTAATCACAATAAATAATTCCTAGGTGGCCTATCTAACATTACTATACGTCCCGAATTGAGTGGCGCAGCGGGTATCATGTAAAAAACCTATAAAACGTCAAAAAAAACCTATAAGATGTCAACTTGCAGACTAGGTAGTTTTTAGAGCGCAAACAGTCATTCCACGTTTGCTCACTAGGATCGTTGTGAACGTCCATCTATGGAGAAATCACTCAACTAAACTACGCATTATTGGTTGCATAGTTTTGTGAGGTATCACGTATCTTGAAAAGTGACATTATGCCGATTTATGTAGGTTATTGTACAAGATGTTAACTTAGCACTTAGTTGTACGTGTTGCCTGAACGTCATGAGGCTTGTTATCAATCTTTGGCTTTGATGTGATGTAAAATCTGCTTCTGAGATGGCGCTACTGGAGGTCTACGCTGTAAGTTGTGTGTGTTGATGTTAATTACATTGGGTTCTTGTCTCAAATACACTTAATTGAGATTCAAAGCTAGAAATTAGTTGCGCATCCACTTTTTATTATCCATTCTGGAAATTACATATACAAATTTGCTGAATTTAAAAAATGAGAGAGATAAGAAATAATTATATTCACTGTACACTGTCGAATTGATTGATTGAATGATTTCCCGTAATTCTCCCCAGTTTTTCGTAATTTACCGCCACCCGGCAATCGGTACTGAGGTATCCCTTAACGCGTGTACAATCACTTGAACGGGAAGAAGTTGTATACTGGAACAAGCATTTGCCACGGCCCCGCTCAGTAGGGGTAGTAAATTAAAAAATACAATATAATAGAAGCATAATGTACAAAAAAGAATAATGCTTGGCCCATCTATAACTTGGATTTGGATGAAATCTCTACTATGCCAAGGATGAAAAGGTTTTAGTAAATACATCCAGTATCGGCTAGGAAAAATGGCAAAAACGAAAAAAAATTAAGGTTGATAATTCGGTGTTTGGGATCTCCAAGTGGGAGCAGCAGAGTTTTTTATTTGATATTTTGTTATACATGCTTGTAGCAAATTTTGACAGCTTTGCACAGGAAGTACAAAGTCAACTTATTTTTGTTTGTTTCAGACTGATCCTCCTACTGTACCCATAGTGGATCTCTATCCAGACGGGGTGTTTCCAATTGGGGAGATTGAAGAGTATGCTCCTGGGAAGGATGACAGGACTGCTGTCAATAGAATGACATCGGAAGAAAAGCGTGCCATGGATAGGATGCATAATGACATTTACAATGAAGTCAGGTTAGCTGCTGAAGCTCACAGACAGGTAACGACCGAACAACAAGTTTGCATCTTTGTCATATTCGTTTGCTTAAGATTTATTCAGCATGATTACATTCTTTTAAATCACATAACATACAAATATTTACAAACAAATGCATCTCTAAGAATTTTCACTGTCCATGGAATGTTCCTTCAATTTTCTTTCAGCCAACATCCTTAAATTACTAGCAAACTTTTTATCATTATTTAGTTTATTAAATTTGCGCAATTCTTTCTGAAATATTGATTTGCTAGTCATATTGCAATTTTGTAAATAAAATCTATATCTCTTATTGTATGATGATTGTGGCAATGATTATTCATTCAGTTCTATGTAATGTTCTAAATGTTGTGGCAAAAGATGATTCTTTTTATTCTAAATATAAAAATAACCACTGCGATTCTTGTAACATAGATTTTATTTTGGTTTATTTATTTTTGAGGTGAACAAGATAGTTGAACAATATAGTAAATTCGGTAGAATAATTGTATGTTAAACTATTTATTTGGAATATAATTCCCTATAAAAGTTATTTGTTTTTTTTGTCAATTTTTGAAATAATAACGATCTTCAAATTTTAGTTTACTATTAATATATATATATACAGGGTGTCCGAAAAGTTGGGGTTTTCCTTTTCAGAAACAACTACCCTTGAAATAACAAAGGTAATGTGTAGTGAAACGAGGGCGACCAAGTAAAAAAAAAATAAAGGAAAAAGTACTCACTCTCCAGTTGACGAGAAGGGCTAAGTACGTCTCTGCCCGAAACATACCGCTCCAACAGAAAATGAAATCAGCTGATGCGCTACCGAGCAGACGCAGAAACCACATTGATTGTCTTACACTTAATGGCACATCTTCTAACAAGGAAGGCAAAATGTTGCGTAAAAAGTCTAGGTATTGCATTCCGTCCAATCGATTTGGGAGAATAAATGGTCCAATGAGCATACCGTTCACCATGCCAGCCCAAACATTCACCGAAAATGTGCCCGACGGACAGCGTGCGGATTTTCTACTGACCAAACATGGGTGTTGCGAAAGTTATTCACCCCATTACGCGTGAACGTAGATTCGTCTGTCACCAATATGCACGTCAAAAAGTCCGGATTATTGTCATGTTGATGCAACAACCACTCACAAAACCGCACTCTTGCTGGAAAATCGTCAGGTTGAAGGGGAACGAACTCCAAAGAAGGCAAAAACAATTTCATCGGCAAACAAGATGTTTTGGGGATGCGAGAGGAATTATATACATTGATTACCTTGAAAAGGGTAAGACTATCACTGGTCAATACTACGCAGAGTTATTGTAACGTTTGAAGCTCGAGGTGAAAATTAAACGACCTCATTTGGCGAAGAAAAAATTTTTGTTTCAACACGATAACGCACCAGCGCATTCGTCGATTATTGCCATGTCCAAAATCCACGAATTGATGCCGCATCCTCCCTACTCTTCCGACTTAGCCCCCAGCGACTATTACCTGTTTCCTAACCTCAAAAAATGGCTTGCCGCTGAAAGATTTAAGAGCAACGAAGAAGTAAATCACTCGAGGAGCTTGACGAATCCACGTTTAAAACTGGTATAACTAAATTGGAACACCGTTATGAGAAATGTATCAGTGTTGATGTAGATTATGTTTAAATAAAGCAAAAAAAAATTTAAAACGTCGTTTTTCTTGGTCAGGCTGGAAACTTTTCACCCCACCCTCGTATTTTCAACTGATATGTATATTAATGTATTATCTGCAGATATCTTGCAATCTAAAACATCACAAATGTCATTAATGTATAAAATAAATAGTAGTGGGCCTAGTTTACAACCACATGTTCTTTTATCTATTAATTGAACAAAAAAAAAATATTTTTTTGTTTTAGACAAGAAAGCACATTCAAAAATTTATCAAACCAGGTATGACCATGATAGAGATTTGTGAGGAATTGGAGAATACAGCAAGAAAATTGATTGGTGAAAATGGGTTGAAGGCAGGTTTAGCTTTCCCTACAGGCTGTTCACGGTGAGATATAAAAAATACAATTTTTTTTTTCGATTTAAAATAAATTTGCCAGGATATAATAAATGAGAGTAGTAGTTATTTTGAAAGAGCTAGTACAGATAGACGCTATTTGTTGAGTAGACCAAGGTATCTTGAGTTTGAGCAAAAAAATTTTAATAAGCTGTTTTATAACGGAATTATATTTTTGAGAGTATACAGAAAGTACGGAAATTTTGTTGGCTAACTTTTTTTATTAAACGTCAAAATTGGGAAAACTACTTTCCCGCGTATGTAGTTATAAATTATTATATAAAATACCTTACATTGTTAATTTGCCCTAATGCTTAATTTGTTATTGCAAAGAATCCTCATAAATCGTCGATTTCTACATTTATTTTTCATTGGAAACTACATAACCAAACATCAATAATAGCCAAAAGCTAAGGCTAATTCTAATTGTTATTTACCAACCATGTGAAACATTGTTGCTAAAGGTACATCTATTTTTGCCTTATAAACAATTGTAATAACTATTTCATGATATCTGAAAACACCATCCATAATTTCAGCGATATCAAAGTAATTATTTACTATAAAATAAAAATAAATAATGATTTCTGTATTTTGTTCATTAGGAATCATTGCGCCGCTCATTATACGCCAAACGCCGGCGATCCGACAGTTTTTGAATACGACGATGTGGTGAAGATTGATTTCGGGACACATATCAACGGTCGGATCATTGATTGCGCGTTCACGCATACTTTCAATCCGAAATATGATAAATTGGTGGAAGCCGTCAGGGACGCTACTAATACTGGGATCAAAGCAGCAGGTAAAAAAAACAAGAAAAATCAAGTTTTAGGGTATCTATAAGACACAAAAAAAGAAGAAACAGGATATAAAAAGTGTTCGTTTTAGATCACAGCATTTTCCAAGTTTCTATTTGAAATTATTCGCTTGGCCTTAAAATGCTGAATTTCCAAGGTCACCACCATTTTGTCCCCTTGAAACCCTACAACTTTTGTTTGAAACTTGAATTATCGAAATATTTACGTTGGGAGATTGAAATGTATATTTGAATTTGTTTCACGTGTAACTTAATTCATTTTTTTATTTATCACTACTTTTGTGGTTACACACAAGAAAAATCAAGTTTTAGGATATCTATAAGACACAAAAAAAGAAGAAACAGGATATAAAAAGTGTCCCTTTTAGATCACAGCATTTTCCAAGTTTCTATTTGAAAATATTCGCTTGACCTTGAAACGCTCGTCGTGGAGGTCATTTCCAAGGTCACCACCATTTTGTCCCCTTGAAACCCTACAACTTTTGTTTGAAACTTGAATTATCGAAATATTTACGTTTTGAGATTGAAATGCATATTTGATTTTGTTTCACGTGTAACTTATTCATTTTTTTCTATATCACTACTTTTGTGGTTACAAACAAGAAAAATCAAGTTTTAGGATATCTATAAGACACAAAAAAAGAAGAAATAGGATATAAAAGTGTTCCTTTTAGATCACAGCATTTTCCAAGCTTCTATTTGAAAATATTCGCTTGACCTTGAAACGCTCGTCGTGGAGGTCATTTTCAAGGTCACCACCATTTTGTCCCCTTGAAACCCTACAACTTTTGTTTGAAACTTGAATTATCGAAATATTTACATTGGGAGATTGAAATGTATATTTGAATTTGTTTCACGTGTAACTTAATTCATTTTTTTATTTATCACTACTTTTGTGGTTACAAACAAGAAAAATCAAGTTTTAGGATATCTATAAGACACAAAAAAAAAAGAAGAAACAGGATATAAAAAGTGTTCCTTTTAGATCACAGCATTTTCCAAGTTTCTATTTGAAAATATTCGCTTGACCTTGAAACGCTCGTCGTGGGGGTCATTTTCAAGGTCACCACCATTTTGTCCCCTTGAAACCGTACAACTTTTGTTTGAAACTTGAATTATCGAAATATTTACGTTGGGAGATTGAAATGTATATTTGAATTTGTTTCACGTGTAACTTAATTCATTTTTTTATTTATCACTACTTTTGTGGTTACAAACAAGAAAAATCAAGTTTTAGGATATCTACAAGACACAAAAAAAAGAAGAAACAGGATATAAAAAGTGTTCGTTTTAGATCACAGCATTTTCCAAGTTTCTATTTGAAAATATTCGCTTGACCTTGAAACGCTCGTCGTGGAGGTCATTTTCAAGGTCACCACCATTTTGTCCCCTTGAAACCCTACAACTTTTGTTTGAAACTTGAATTATCGAAATATTTACGTTGGGAGATTGAAATGTATATTTGAATTTGTTTCACGTGTAACTTAATTCATTTTTTTATTTATCACTACTTTTGTGGTTACAAACAAGAAAAATCAAGTTTTAGGGTATCCATAAGACACAAAAAAAAGAAGAAACAGGATATAAAAAGTGTTCGTTTTAGATCACAGCATTTTCCAAGTTTCTATTTGAAAATATTCGCTTGACCTTGAAACGCTCGTCGTGGAGGTCATTTTCAAGGTCACCACCATTTTGTCCCCTTGAAACCGTACAACTTTTGTTTGAAACTTGAATTATCGAAATATTTACGTTGGGAGATTGAAATGTATATTTGAATTTGTTTCACGTGTAACTTAATTCATTTTTTTATTTATCACTACTTTTGTGGTTACAAACAAGAAAAATCAAGTTTTAGGATATCTATAAGACACAAAAAAAAAGAAGAAACAGGATATAAAAAGTGTTCCTTTTAGATCACAGCATTTTCCAAGTTTCTATTTGAAAATATTCGCTTGACCTTGAAACGCTCGTCGTGGAGGTCATTTTCAAGGTCACCACCATTTTGTCCCCTTGAAACCGTACAACTTTTGTTTGAAACTTGAATTATCGAAATATTTACGTTGGGAGATTGAAATGTATATTTGAATTTGTTTCACGTGTAACTTATTAATTTTTTTTCTTTATCACTACTTTTGTGGTTACAAACAAGAAAAATCAAGTTTTAGGATATCTATAAGACACAAAAAAGAAGAAGAAACAGGATATAAACAGTGTTCCTTTTAGATCACAGCATTTTCCAAGTTTCTATTTGAAAATATTCGCTTGACCTTGAAACGCTCGTCGTGGAGGTCATTTTCAAGGTCACCACCATTTTGTCCCCTTGAAACCCTACAACTTTTGTTCGAAACTTGAATTATCGAAATATTTACGTTGGGAGATTGAAATGCATATTTGAATTTGTTTCACGTGTAACTTATTCATTTTTTTCTGTATCACTACTTTTGTGGTTACAAACAAGAAAAATCAAGTTTTAGGATATCTGTAAGACACAAAAAAAGAAGAAACAGGATTTAAAAAGTGTTCCTTTTAGATCGCAGCATTTTCCAAGTTTCTATTTGAAAATATTCGTTTGACCTTGAAACGCTCGTCGTGGAGGTCATTTTCAAGGTCACCACCATTTTGTCCCCTTGAAACCCTACAACTTTTGTTTGAAGGTTTTTCCTAAAATGCACAAGTATCGAAATATTTACGTTGGGAGATTAAAATGTATCTTAGGATTTGTTTCACCTGCAAAATTTTACGTCCGAATACCACCTTCACCCTCAAGGACATTTGAAGGTCAAGCGAATATTTTCAAATGAAACCCTTTTTCACATCTGAATTGAAAAGAGGAGGAAATTTTAGGTCCGAATATGACGATCACCAGCACCTTATTTCCTTCGAGGCCATTTCAAGGTCAAATCAAAACGTTGAAGGCAATTTGTTTTAGTAAAAATGTTCGACAGCACGGTTGTGATGTTTGTAGGGATCACCGTGACCATGACCTTGAAGATCATGTCAAAATTTCTACGTAAACTTTCGTGTTTTTTTTTCATTTCCGGTATAAAAGTGAGATGTTTCCTTTGGAAAACTTGGTTTGACCATGAGTGTCAAGGTGATATTCGGACGTAAAATTTTCTCCTCTTTTCAATTCCGATGTGAAAAAGGGTGGATCTATTTGAATGTCAAATGTCCTTGAGGGTGAAGGTGGTATTCGGACGTAAAATTTTCTCCTTTTTTATCCCGTTTGAAAAAGGGAGGTTCCATTTGAACATATTCGCTTGACCTTGAAGGTGAAGGTCATATTCGGACCTAAAATGTTCTCTTCAATTCCGATATGAAAAAGAGAGGATCCATTTGAAATTATTCGCTTGACTTTGAAGGTCAAGGTCAAATTCGGGCGTAAAACTGTCTACTCTTTTGATTTACGATTTAAAAAAGGGAGGTTCCATTTGAAAATATTTGCTAGGCTTTGAAGGTCAAGGTCAAATTCGGGCGTAAAACTGTCTCCTATTTTGATTTCCGACGTGGAAAAGGGGGGTTCCATTTGGAAACATTCTCTTGACCTTGAAGGTCAAGGTGATCTTCGGTCGTAAAATTGTCCCCTCTTTTATATTCCGATGTGATAAAGCGAGGTTCTATTTGAAAATATTCGCTTGACCTTGAAGGTCAAGGTGATACTCGGGCGTAAAATTTTCTCCTTTTACCTATTCAGATGTGAAAAAGGGAGGATTCATTTGAAAATATTCGCTTGGCTTTCAAATGACCTTGAGGGTGAAGGTGATATTCGGACGTAAACTTTTCTCCTCTTTTCTATTCCGATGTGAAAAAGGGAGGATCCGTTTGAACATATTCGCTTGACCTTGAAGGTTAAGGTCATATTAGGACCTAAAATGTTCTCTTCAATTCCGATGTGAAAAACCGAGGAACCATTTGAACATATTCGCTTGACTTGGAAGGTCAAGGTCAAATTCGAGCGTAAAACTGTCTCCTCTTTTGATTTCCGAAGTGAAGAAGGGAGGTTCCATTTGAAAATATTCGCTTGACTTTGAAGGTCAAGGTCAAATTCGGGCGTAAAACTATCTCCTCTTTTGATTTCCGATGTGAAAAAGGGAGGTTCCATTTGAAAATATTCGCTTGACTTTGAAGGTCAAGGTCAAATTCGGGCGTAAAACTGTCTCCTCTATTGATTTCCGATGTGAAAAAGGGAGGTTCCATTTGAAAATATTCGTATGACTTTGAAGGTCAAGGTCAAATTCGGGCGTAAAACTGTCTCCTATTTTGATTTCCGACGTGGAAAAGGGAGGTTTCATTTGGAAACATTCTCTTGACCTTGAAGGTCAAGGTGATATTCTGTCGTAAAATTGTCTCCTCTTTTATATTCCGATGTGAAAAAGTGAGGTTCCATTTGAAAATATTCGCTTGACCTTGAAGGTCAAGGTGATACTCGGGCGTAAAATTTTGTCCTTATTTCTATTCCGATCTGAAAAACGGAGGTTTCATTTGAAAATATTCGCTTGACCTCGGGGTCAAGGTCATATTGCACGTAAAACTGTCTGCTTTTTTCATTTCCGATATGAAAAATGGAGGTTCTATTTGAATATATTCGCTTACCTCCAAATGACCTTGAAAGTGATACTCAGGCGTAAAATATTCTCCTCTTTTCTATTCCGATGTGAAAATAATCGATCGACCTTGAGGGTCAAGGTCATATTCGGACGTAAAACGTGTCTCCTCTTTTCAATTCCGATGTGAAAAAGGGTGGATCCATTTGAATATATTCGCTTGACCTTGACATGGACTTGAAGGTCAATTCGTTATTTTCTTTATTACCACTTTTGTGGTTACTTGAGCATTGTTCTTAAATTTTGCAGGTATCGACGTTCAGCTGTGCGATATTGGCGCTCAGATTCAGGAAGTGATGGAGTCGTATGAAGTGGAACTCGATGGCAAAACCTACCAAGTTAAATCAATCCGGAACCTGAACGGTCATTCTATTTCGCCATACAGTAAGTAATGGTTTATTTAGGCCCACATTTGCAGTCGACCCTCGAGGGTTGGTCAGCCCTCGAGTGATCCCCAAGTGGAGATTTAATATCTGCATTTCACAATAGGCTGTCACAGTTCTTATCAGAGGTTTTCAGATTTTTCAGTCAAATTTTGAATAGCTTGAAAACTGTGAATTTTGTTCATGCTTTTAATTTTTATCTGTTTCACCAGCATTAAATTTCCTACGATTAAAAAAAAACACATAACCTCACAATAGGAGAGCGCTGACGCAGAATCGGAACAGTAGAAATCTAGAAATACCTCAGCCTTTCTGAAGGAGAAAAAATACAAGGAGGCCATAGAGGCGTCCTACAATTGCAGGAACAAGTGATGATATCGGTAAACGTTATTGCGATGTTGTTTCAAGGAGGTTTTGACGGCAGTGTTTTTTGTTTCAACAGGAATTCACGCTGGGAAAACGGTACCGATCGTGAAAGGTGGTGAAGCGACGGTAATGGAAGAGAACGAGTTTTATGCTATAGAAACTTTCGGTTCTACTGGTAAAGGTGTTGTCCACGACGATATGGAGTGCTCTCATTATATGCAGAATTTCGATGCGCAATATGTACCTTTGAGGTGAGATTTTAATGATTACTTACCTTCTATTCTTACGTCGAATATTCCAATATTTTACCCTAATTTCAGTGATCGTATTAATAGGAATTGAAATTTGAATAGTTTGTGTGTGATAAACTCATGATTGTACATCTCATAATTTTTTTTTACATTATTTAAAACGTATTTATTTTGTTATTTTTTTCAGGCTCCAATCTTCCAAAAACCTCTTGAACATCATAAAGAAGAACTTCGGTACGTTGGCGTTTTGCAAACGTTGGCTGGACAGAGCTGGCGCTACGAGATATCAGATGGCCTTGAAGGATCTTTGTGATAAGGGGATCGTGGACGATTATCCGCCTTTGTGCGATATCAAGGTGAGAGTTATCGAAATAAGACAGCGGAAAGTGCGATCTATTTTTAAAAATAAGTTAATCAGACCTCGTCAAACTGGCTTAGGTTCAAAATTTTTTTAAATTTCGAAATCTGCAAAATTACTTTCAAGATTTATATTTTATTTACAAAATTTCAAAATATCTGAATTTCTCAAGTATTTTCCACATTTTCGAATTCGATTTTTTTTTTCCAAAATTGACCCTTGACCTCTGTGCACGACAGCGGAAAGTGCCGTCAATTACCAGAATCGATCATTGCGAGAATGATCGCATTCGATGACCGGGTACCCACTGTGACCGCTCGAAGCCGCCGCCGATTCTTGTGCGATCAATCACAAATTTATTCGATAAACGTCAAAACACCCGTCAAAACGGATAGGGTTAAAATTTCTAATACGGATTTTTTTGCGTAATTGTATTTTTTACAATTAATTTAAACAAATTACAAAATTTGTTTTTTTGCACCAGTATTAGATTTTTTGGGAAATTCTGAATAAAAAAGGTGCTGTCGAACTTTTCTCTATAGTTGATAGTTTTCGAGATATAAGCGAGGCAATATTTGGAAAAGTGGGAAATACAGTAGCGGACAAAAGTTTGGAAACAAATTTTTTGTAACGAGAAAAGTATGGAAACATTTCAGTTTTGCCGTATTTATTCGTTCTGTGATATTGCGTGCGGTAAATATTAACATCAGTGAGAATGGCAAAAGTAAGACGATTTTCAAAAGATTTAAGAGACAAGTAATTGATTATTTAGAAGTGGTGTCAGAAAAAACCGATTATGTTAATTTTGTAATAAAAAATATGTTTCCATACTTTGGTCGTCTCATTTGCGGCCATAAAATAATAGGAAGGTATTTTAATGCTACTTAGTAGTACCACAATAGGCCTTAATAATAAAGAATAAAAAATTAGCGCACTTTTTAAAAATTACTAAGAGTCTTGCCAAACTGGCGACAAGTAGGTTGGCTCTGTGCTTTTTTCAAATTTCGGCATTTACAAATTTTCTTACAAATTTACTTTTTTACAAAATTTGCAAATCTTCAAATTATTTTCTCGAATTTCTCAATTATTGTATATTAACAAAATCCCAAGGAGGTATTGTTCAATTGCACACCATAATGTTGCGCCCAAATTTTCCAATTATTCTCCAAATTTTCAAATCCATTTTTTCACAAATTTCAAAATTAAAATCATTTAAAAATAAGTTAATCAGACCACTTGAAATTGGTGAAAATTGGGTTGGGTTCCAAATTGTTTCAAATTTCGGAAACTATAAAATTTCTTCAAAATTTACATTTTTTACAAAATTTTCAAATCACATTATTTTTTCGAATTTCTCAATTATTTTCCATTAACAAAATTCCAAGAAGGTATTGTTCAATTGCACACCATAATGTTGCACCCAAATTTTCCAATTATTCTCCAAATTTTCAAATCCATTTTTTCCTAAATTTCAAAATTAAAATTATTTAAAAATAAGTTAATCAGACCTCTTGAAATTGGTGAAAATTGGGTTGAGTTTCAACTTTTGGAATGTGCAAAATTTCTTCAAAATTTAAATTTTTAAAAATTTTCAAATCTTAAAATTATTTTCTCGAATTCCCAAATTTTCAAATTCATCTTTTCCAAATTTCAAAATTATAATTATCAAAAAATAAGTTAATTAGACCTCTGAAATTGGTGAAAATTGGGTTGGGTTCCAAATTTTTTCAAATTTCGGCATTTGCAAATTTTCTTCCAAATTTACTTTTTTACAAAATTTGCAAATCCAAATTATTTTCTCGAATTTCTCAATTATTGTTCAATAACAAAATCCCAAGGAGGTATTGTTCAATTGCACCCCAAAATGTTGCGCCCAAATTTTCCAAATTTTCAAATCCATTTATTCCAAATTTCAAAATTAAAATTATTTAAAAAGAAGTTAATCAGCCCTCTTGAAATTGGTGAACATTGGGTTGGGTTTCAAATTTTGGAATTTGCAATTTTTTTTCAAAATTTACATTTTTTACAAAATTTTCAAATCTTCAAATTATTTTCTCGAATTTCTCAATTATTTCCCAAATTTTCAAATCCATTTATTAGAAATTTGAAAATTAAAATTATTTACAAATAAGTTAATCAGACCTCTTGAAATTGGATTGGGTTCCAAATTTTTTCATTATTTCGGAATTTGCAAAATTTCTTCAAAATTGACATTTTTTTACAAAATTTGTAAACCTTCAAATTATTTTCTCGAATTTCCGAATTATTTTCCATTCCATTTTGGCTTCATTTTCTGTTTATTTATAGGGTTGTTACACTGCGCAATTCGAACACACCATAATGTTGCGCCCAACTTGCAAGGAAATTGTTTCGAGAGGGGAGGATTACTAGTCATCGCCAAGAAAGCAGAAGATTCCGGAGGCAGGAAAAACGAATATATTGTTTTCATCTTGTAATTGAATTACTAATGTTTGTTGCTTTATTATATTACGCTACGATGGTTGTATTGGTTCAATAAATTTTCGTTTTCATTGATTTTGAGTCTGCCTTTTTTTTAAAATGATTTTCACTTACCAGCACGAGTATTACGTCACTTGAAAAGCGACATTATGCCAGTCAATTCGTCTAAGAAAAATTTGTAGTAACGGGAACTAAAAGATCATTACATGATGGAAATTTTTCCGATTTTTTTTAAAGCTGAAAAGTACACAACGATTTTTCTGATCGGCCTATCCCCCGGTTCCGGCTTGACGTGACTTCTAGATAAGAAATTAAAGGTAAATGTATAAAGTATTTAATTTAAAACACATTACAAATTACATCATAATGGCACTCATAAATATTGTAATATTAAAGTGAACATAAAAAATGGTAACCATAAAATGCTTATACCTACGATTTTGTACATACAGCTGGATTAGAAAGGGTTCTACAGGATATTTTTGCTTCTACACTCATGGGCAGGAGCAGTTGGCGCTTAAATTTGCACATTCAGTATGGTTTTGAGTAGAACATTGGAATCCTGAAAAAATTATTAGCGCTCGTTTTTCAAAAAGTTTTGGGGACTAATACACTATCTCACGATCTTGCCGATGATCGACACCTGGAAAAAGTTAAAACAACAAGAAAAGTACATACTTCTAACAAAGACTTCAATTTTTGGTATATTTTATATATTTCGAATTTCCAAATTTTAAAATGAATTTTTTCTAAAAATAGGTAATCAAACCTCTTCAAATTGGTGAAAATTGGGTGGGATTTCAATTTTTTTCAAAATTCGAAATTTGGATTTGTTTTTAAAATTTACATTTTTTTACAAAATGTCCAAATCTTCAGACTATTTCTGAAATTAAATCATTTTTTGGCAATATTAATACATTTTGATATCAACATTAAAAACGCCACTTTTACGAAATTGCAATGTGACGTTTGTTTTCTGAATTTTTAGCCTCAAAATGAGTACTTCTAATGAAGATATTCGATTTTTGGTATATTTGATTCCAAATTTAGAAATTTTCAAATCCAATTTTACCCTAAATTTCAAAATTAAATTTTTTTAAAAATAGGTAATCAAGCCTCTTGAAACTGATGAAAATTGGGATGGGTTCAAAAATTTTTGAAAATTCGAAATTTGGATTTTTTCAAAATTTGGTTTAATCATGGTTTGGCAATATTAATGCGTAAGATGCATTTTTGATATCAACATTAAAAACGCCACTTTTCCGAAATTACGTTTGTTTTATGAATTTTTAGTCTCAAAACGACAAAAAAGTACATACTTCCAATCAAGATACTCGATTTTTGGTATATCTGATAACAAATTTTAGCAAATGTCGAAATTTGCAAGGTTTTTCAAAATTTACATTTTTTCCAAAATTCCGAATTTTCCATATTTTCAAAAATAAGTAATCAAACCTTTTGAAATTTGTGAAAATTGGGTTGGGTTCCAAATTTTTTCAAATTCCGAAATTTGGATTTTTTTTTCAAAATTTACATTTTTCACGAGACGTTCAAATCTACGAATTATATTCAAAATTAATCATGGTTTGGCAATATTAATGTATAAGATGCATTTTTGACAGCAACATTAAAAACGCCACTTATTTTACGAAGTTGCAATGTGACGTGTTTTCTGAATTTTTAGTCTCAAAAAGACAATAAAGTACTTCTAGTCAAGATATTCGATTTTTGGTATATCTGATTCCAATTTTTTCCAAATTTCTAAATTTGTAAGGTCTTTCAATATATACGTTTTTTTGCAAAATTTACAAATTATTTTCCAAATTCTGAATTTTCCATATTTTCAAAAATACCTTTTGAAATTGGTGAAAATTGGGTTGGGTTACAAATTTTTTCAAATTTCGAAATTTGGATTTTTTTTTAAATTTACATTTTTCACGAAACGTTCAAATCTACAAATTATATTCAAAATTAAACATGGTTTGGCAATATTAATGCATAAGATACATTTTTGACATTGACATTAAATTTTTGTCTCAAAACGACAAAAAACTACTTCTAAGCAAGATATTCGATTTTTGGTATATCTGATTCCAAATTTTTCCAAATTTCGAAATTTGCAAGGTTTTTCAATATTTACATTTTTTTTTACAAAATTACAAATTATTTTCCAAATTCCGAATTTTCCATATTTCAAAAATAAGTAATCAAACCTTTTGAAATTGGTGAAAATTGGGTTGGGTTCCAAATTTTTTCAAATTTCGAAATTTGGATTTTTTTTCAAAATTTACATTTTTCACGAAACGTTTTGACAGCAACATTAAAAACGCCACTTGTTTTACGAAGTTGCAATGTGACGTTTGTTTTCTGAATTTTTAGTCTCAAAACGACAAAAAAGTACTTCTCATCAACTTAAAAATTGTCGACAATTTCTTCAAGACATGAATAAATTACCAAATTAGAGCTTGTTCTAATTTTGCGTCAACTTTTTTGGGGATTCTAGTTGCATTTCATTGTTTTCTCTAGGTACCATTATTTTATATGTCTGCGTTTTGTGATTGAGGTTACAATCGTTACATTTTGGTTTGGGAACAATATTTTATATATACTTTGTTCCTCATCAATAGGATCTAGTACGAGTATTTCAAGTAATTTTCTGATTTTTTGAGGTTAGGTTCAGTATAGATGGGTTATGCTTTGGATATTTTTTTCCTGAAGTTGGTATCATAGGAAATTACTATATGTGTAAATTGTACACAAAACCATGCTAAATATGCAAATTTTAAGCTCCTACCTACATTCTCAGGGGCGCTCATGAGGATCAAATTTAAAACACCTGGTACATAGGGTGATCCGAATAACAGTCGTCACATTTTCGGGCAACAACATACCTCCTTAAACAACATACAGGAAGATTAAGTTATATTTATGAATTCTAAAAACAATATGGGATATTTTGCCTCTTAATAAAGGAAGTTATTGTTAATCATTATAGATTACTGAATTATTGGCAATGCGCGTCGTTCGAGCAACTATCGACGCGTGCGGAAAAGTATCACTTTCTACACTTGTTAGGTAAGTCATCATTCGACGCTACCAATTATTAAAATTTTAACAAACTTTACTTCACACGCATGTTTTTTGTATCACCCTGTATATCACTGTGGTTACACACAAGACAATGAGAAAATCACATTTAACGAAATGACATCAGATAGAAAACAATCAATGTTATATTCGACTAGATAAAACTCATATGTATCAAATATAATCTGTCAGAAAAGTTGGCTAAATTCAATGATATTTTCGCGTAGCCTCATATCACTAACAAGGAAATCTATCGTTATGTTAAATAAATAGTGAAATTAATTGCTGTCACTAGCACTCAGCAGCTGGATATGATAGGCAAAAAATCCAATAAGACTATGACGAATATGATAAATAAACAGAAACTCGGAAACCAAAGACCAAAGCCCTTGGATTTAACACCAGATAACTTCAACGAATTTTTTACTAGTATAGCATGTAATCTACTTGAGGATCTACCATCCCATTAGACAACCTCCTGAGCAATAGTCGTTGAAATGTAAAGAAGTATCGTGAAAAAAACCTAAACGCATGCTCTAGACAACGTTTAAATTCAACTGTGAAGTGCTAGTCAATGCAGCAATGGAATCAGGATAATAAATAATATTTAAAATACGTGTAGGTACATGAAAACATATAAATTAGTCTACCTAATATTGACCTAATTGTTGGCAGTACAAATCAACTACTTCTAAAATTGTAGGATTCACAGTTATGTCAAATACTGCTGACACATTTAGACAATATCTACCCATATTCAGAGTGGATGGAGAGACTCAAGTATCCAGGATTCACAGTTGTAGCATGATACCAAACCCGGGTGTCTACGAGAACTGGAATTACAAAAACATTTGTTATTTGGTCATGCGCTTTTTACGTTGAAGGTTATTTTTTAAACAAATAGGCCACTTTTCTATTTTTTTATAAAGTACAAAAATGTAATGCCACAAATCACTGTAAAAAATAACTTCCTGTGGGGAGGTACAGGCCCCAAAGTATGCTGATAGGTATAGGATTTTTTCTAAATAATTCATTTGGATCGACAGATATGTGCAAGTCCCAACGGAAGGTGCTGTTGCGTCTTGTGGAACCGATATCACTGTTTTTTCTCTTAACACTTTTAGGGGGTAGTCTGATAGATTATTTAGAAACAAAAAAAGTGCGGATGAAGCACGCTTTTCATGAAAAATGTTTCCCGAAACATTGTATTTTTAGCTGTTCTTTCCATCATTATTTCCACCGCCATGAATCTACCATATGACGTAGACGTCTATGCATATGTCATATATGAGAGGCGCTTACCGGCGGTGTTGCCGGATTGGGCTCGGCATTTAAGAAAAAATATGAAAAGTTGAAAATTCATGTATACATATGTATATTAATTAATGAATCACAAAAACGAAAAACTGAAACAAACAACAGTAGCAAAATAAAAGGCGATTCCTAATCAGTATAAATAAAAAATAACAGTAGTAATCTAAAAAATGATAAATTATAGATAATTATAAAAAACAAAAAGTAAAAACAGTAGTAAAACGAATAACAATTTCATTCCATCCAAATTGCTTTTTTTCTTACTGTTTGTTATTTTTTTTTCATAATTAAATGGAATTGTTTTTTGTTTTACTGTTTTAATTTTTTATAATCACTTAGAATTGCTTTTGTTTCAGTTTTTGTTTTTGTGTTTCATGATTATAAATGTATATAAATTTTCCACTTTTCATATTTTTCCCTAAATACGGAGCCCAATCCGGCAACACCGCAGGCAAGCGCCTCTCATATATGACATATCCACAGACGTCAGCGTCACATGGTAGATGGCGGTGGAAATAATGGGGGAAATAGCTGCTAAAAAATACAATGTTTTGGGAAGAAAATCATTAAAAGCGTGCTTCACCCACACTTTTTATGATGTAGAAAAAACTGAAATCCGATGTACTACAAGTCGCAACAGTACCGTTTTCTGTGCATACAAATTGTAAACAAAGAAACGACATCCGTATGTCAATCGTGAACTAATGTTGTCTTCTAAGGTATTCCTAAAAAACTCCTAATCAACGTTTTATTGAAAACAAGGTAATTCTGTAGCTTAGCTACACCAGCCTTTTTTGTTTCTCCGTCCGAATAGGCACTAACTAGGTCTGGGTTGTAAATGATGGAAATGAGACTAAAAATGCCCGCAAATGTTGATATTATCTGGGTTTTAAAAGGTATAAACACCTTCTTAATCACGAAATTTGCAGAATGGAACGGATCCTATACGTACCGCGATGTTGCCATATTGAAGAAATATAAGAATATCAACGAAAATCGCATTTCCACGCGTATCAGCTCTCCCTTTAATCCAGTATTTGTTCCCCTTCGAGTCGCTAGTGCCTACGACGCTGTGTATTGTTGTGGGGTCTTCGAAGTCATACATACGAATTTAATAATAACTATCTATTATATAGTAAAATATTTCAGAACTTTCACGTTTGCGCTCATTTTAGGTCCCATTTCTTTCATATATACCCAAAAAACGAGGGTCTGAAATAATTTTTTCATCAAAAACGTCTAAGCTAGAGGATTACCGAAAACAAAAATGGACGTTGGATTCGTAAAAGCAAAAAGCACAAATTTGCCCGAGATTGGAAAACTGACACAATGACGATTGGTGATTTTTTTGCCTTCGATCCCGAGTTGTGCTCTACCGAGGTATCAACTAGCCACAAAATTTAAACAAGCTAAACGTGGTTGTGGTAAATATTGTATAGAAACGTGTTGTTGATACACTGGTGTTTACCTGCATCTCCTGGTTCAACAAGGAACGAGAATTTGCTGCAAACTTCTTGACACTCCGGTGGCGGTAGCAAATGCCATATTTTTGACCCCTGCAGTTGAGCCTGCCACATCAGACGATTTATAAAATCATGCTGCAACAACAATATTATGTATATGAGCGCGATTCTGCATTTATTCAGAAACATATTTAAATGCAACCACAATCTCTCAAGTTTCGCAGGGGGCATTTCGTATCTTGAAAAGTGACATCATGTCTGTTTTTTGATATTATAAAGGTTTATTGTGACATTATGTAAATACTACCTAGTGTGCATGCTGAAATTTTGTCGTTTTTTAGGTTTTTTTACATAATACCCCTGCTGTGAATTGCAATGTGGGTCAAGGCTAGAAATACAATGTGATCTTACATGCAATGTTGCACCTTCATCATACCCCATGAAAATATAGTCAGTAGATGGATTTTCACTGTCTTCTGGCAAGAAATGTGGCTTTGGATAGTGCTTTCTCATCTCTTGTAATATGGCTGGGTCACAGTTTCCCCTATAATGATACTGCTATAATAACACCACAAAAACGAGGTATGTAAATTAAGTGACGAGACCGGCAACGTAGCGATCTGGCAAGACTGGAGGCGTCGGGCTTGGCGGGCAACATGTGATCCACCTTCAGTACAAGTTTGAACTCGTTCGAGTCAGTTGGCTGTCCGTAGCGATTTTTTTGTGCAACAGATATTATCAGGTTCTAGAAATGGGCACAGTGCAACAGAAACTCTTGCTAAACTTCAGCAGGCCTAATGGAGATAGTGTTTTGGTAAGAGTCCAGGTTTTTAGGTGGTTCAAGGCATTTTCAGAAGGGAGAAAGTCCAATATCGACAATTATAACATATGATCTTGTTTTTGGGCAGTAAAAACATTAGGTTATTCCAGTCTCAGAGTTCCAGCACTGCTATGAGGAGTGAAAGAACGGAAGTCATTTTGTATAAAATTGTAATTATATTCTAATAAAAAAACGTCTTCATCACTTAATTTACAGCTCTCTTATTTAAAACTATCTTTAATGTTTTCTATAAAAAGTTTACTAGTAATATTTTTGAGTGTCAAATTCAAATTGTTTATTTTTTTCTGTTGATGTTACAAAAAACATATAGGAATTATCGATAAAACTTAAAGCTATGGAGAAAATAACAGTAAAACAACAGCAAAATGGAATAAAACAGGTGACAAAATAAACAACTTAAAACATTAAAAATACCTACAAGAGAAAAATTCTTCAACACTGATCTATCAACACTCATTTTGCATTAAGCAATAAAAACGGATCTACATCTACATGATCAAGCTCAAAAAATATTGTTGGTGTACCACAAGGTAGTAAACTAGGTCCACTACTATTTATTTTATACACTAATGACATTGTAATATTTCAGATTATTGTAAAATTCAGATATTTGCAGATCATACATTAATATATATATATCAGATTAAAATATAGACATTGTTAAACTCAAAATCATAAACTGGTTAAATGTAAATAAACTAAAATTTAATGCTTCTAAAACAAAATGTATACAAAGAGGGAAATACCTAAATCAATATACTATCACAGATAAATGGTGAAATAATTAAAAATGTTGAATCATTTGCTTTTAAAGGGCTTTCCATAGTCTTAGAACATATTCTAAAAAATTGTTTATAATATATTTATTCTACAAAATTTACTATATTGTTTCTACTATCTTGTTCACTGAAAATGAAGCTGCATTCTTAAAATTACAAGTCCTGCAAAACAAAGCCACGAGAATAATATTGAATAAAAATAAGTCCAAAATAAAATCTATTTTACAAGAACTGCAGTGGTTGAATATAAAAAATTTCATATAACATTTAGTTCTTTTTATATTCAAAATAAAAAATCATTTTTTGCTACAACATTTAGAACACTACAATAGTAATAGCAAATCAATATTACAGAAAGGATTACTTGAGTTAAATAAACCAAATAATGATATTAAAGTCTACTTGTAATTTAAAGAAAATTAAAGGAATGTTTCATAGACAGTAAAAATTCTTAGAGGTGCAAATTTTATTTTTCTAAATATGTTACCACTATCCAAATTAACAGATATCCAGAATTGGAAAGTACATATAAACTCTACTGAATGTCCCAAGCTTTGTCTTTGAGGAAATAAGTAATGGGTGGCAGCCTTAGGATCATACACTGACACTTTTACTTCCCAAATGTACTGCAAGTTTCGCTAACAATATTTTTCTAAGGTCTAAAATGCTCTTTTCAAGTCAAGAAACACAGCAATAATATACTCATTGCCAATGACCAATCAAGTACAGACCAGAACAATACAGCTTGAATAGAACCTATTTTAAAACCAAGAAAAGGATTAAATAAGTCTGGAGCTATATTTACTTACCATCCCACATACCATGACTTCTCTTTAGGAACCTTAAGTGATCTTTGTTTGCTCATCGAGAGAACATCCCTCAAAGAAATGAAATCCGAATTGAAATGTAAGAATTGGCATCCCTCTTCAGCGCTTCGATTTTGTTGTTGCTCTATTTTTGCATACAGCTCTTGAAAGTATTTTAGGGTGAAGACGTGCATTGCTGGCCAGTGCAGGAAGGTACCTTTGATTAGTATCGGCTTCGATGTGTAGGCATACTTTGAAAATTCTTCCTGGCTGACGTTTGATAATACCAATGGGCTGGTTAGATTTTCGCAAAAATCGCAAGTGGCTATAGGTCTGGTGGCAGCCCAAATTATGTAGTTGTTGGGCAAAATGCATCTTATCCCGAGAACATAATTTATAGCGGTATTGACACATTGGAATTCGTATAAGACTGAAACGGACGTTATAAATACTGTGAATATGATGAAATACCGTTTAAAATTCGATTCTGCGATTTCGCTTTCCAGGTTTTCCAAAGTGAATCCTAGTTTCAAATAGTGTTTATTCAAGTCCTTCAGGCTCTTCTTGATTTCCAACTTTTTCGACTCGCTCATGTTTCTGCATCACATTTTTTGTTGTAGACGAATACGCGGAGGAAACAGGAAGCACTATTTCAATGAAATACAAAAGTAAACAAAAATACTGCTGGAACACCTTAGAAACGCCAAAATAGAAAAAAGTGAGGTTAGATTACGATTAGCAGCTGATTATCCAGTAATATCTCAAAAAAATTCACCATATTGACAAGTGACACAGAATTCTGACGGATCCGTCAACGCTAGGAAGACAGAGCCGTACTTTGTTGTGGTTTTTATATTTAAAAAATGCATCTTCACTGTGAACATTTGCTGAAGATGAAAAATATATTACGACGGCATAACTACCCAAAAACCAACCAAATAACAATGGATGCGTGAAAGCCTTTCGCATTTCATACTTGAATTAGTTGTTATGTCAACCTTACACTTCGCAAAACTTTTCAATGTAAAATTTTCTTTAAACTATAAGACAGTTATAATTTACATCTTATACTCGTACAGCTTAAGCATGTAGGATACGAACGAGATGATAATAGAATATAACAATAAACGTGAAAACCACAAACCCATCGAAGTACCACCCTGTAACATTTCATTTTTACTACAAGGGCAGTACGTAAACAATTCGATATGGGCAACAATGTCAGGATAATATTAAGGCCACTTACTTGCTGACGGAACGGCAACGAGTTATCTTCATTTGGCAAGCGATAAGGGCGATACGATCGGATTGTCTTAGCCAACATCTATTTATAGGAAAATGGCTTGAGTATTCAACCGACTCATAACATGCATTACCTTAGGATTACATTAATTAACCGCAGTGGTACCAATTCATCGTTATTTATTTTTGATTTATCATATACTCATCACCCCCCCTGGGACACACAGTCCTCCACTTAGGTAATTTTAAGCACACAGCAGCATATGCGATCAACATAGTTTTAAGCACACCCTATGTGATATCCAGGCGTATAGACAGATATCCTGAGTTTAACGATTGTTACTAAAAGCAGTCCAGGATCCAGGATATCACGTTGGCCAACGGCCGTTGTGTCAATACCCAAAGGCTCCGACATTACCTCTTAATCAGATATAACCGAGCAAAAAGACAAGCTTTAGAATAACAATCCCTACGCTACGCACATCCTGCCATGAGATACATTGAGATGCCAGCGATTACCAAGAGAAGATGGCTAAGCGGTTTCCCCTGATAGAGGAAACCGAGCAGCAATTAACATAACCACCTAAATCCAGCAATCGGTACCGAAAGTCCCATAACAACCCCCAGAGACGGGAGGCGTCACCCCTGTATATGCCACCTAATTTACCTATCCTTACCCGCAATTATCGAGTCCGTAAGCCAATGATAGAAATATGAATATATGATCCAAGCATCTTTATAAATATGGATATATGATCAGTGCCTCTTTATAATTATGGATATATAATCAAAGTATCTTTGTAAATATGAACATGCTCAAAGCATCTTTATAAATAGGGCTATACGATCAAGCTTCTTCATAAATATGGCTTAGGACATTGATGATCATGAATATAAAAGTGTTATAGCTATCGATCCATCCAGTACAGCAGAATAAAGGAAATACTCAGTGATTGCTCACCTTTCGGGTAACCAAAACACTACATCCAATAGCACATCAACACTGTAATAAAGTCCACAAAGCGCACTACTTGGTCTGAGAAGCGATCTCTTCCACGCACTTTTTTGTAATGCATTGCCAGCCACGCCCGTATCTTCAAGAAAGTTTATCCTAGGAACAAGTACCCAGAGAAGGAACGGAATGTATAACATAAACAGGCGTAAGGGCTGTCCGCTGAGTGACAGTTAGCAGCCTTGTGAACCTTTTGGAAAGATTTTGTGTGCTACATTACTTTTGTCAGCATTGAAATATTGTTTTTGTTAGTACATTTATGTCGGCGTTAAGTGGCAGAATAGCGCTACGGAAAAATTCGCCCCTAAGAAGACGATAATAATTATTTATTTTTTTTTTATTGAGAAAACACAAAAGCTGCATCAACCACGCAGGGTTATTAGCGGCTGGACGACAAGATTACAATGATAAGGTACATAGATTCATACAATACATAAGACATTAGATTAAATTGTAGGTATTGGATTCTTTGAGAAACTGTAGTGTTCGTTCGTAGTACGTGGTGAGGGCTTCCTTTATGGATTCTGGCATGCAAGATAATAATTATTATTATTACTATTTCACTGTGTTTGCGGCATTGAAATAAAACACGATAACTACATACCTATGACTATGTTTATTAAAAATACCGAACACAATTTTTGACGTACGATCATACCAAATATAGAGTTTGCTTAAACCTATCAGTCGAGTCCGGAATTTTGAAGATCGCGTACGGAGCCGTTAGTAGTAGTAGAGTCCGGATCTGTAGCTCAAGCCAGCTGGCGCGTAGTAATTGTTGTAGTTGTACGCGTACGGCAAGTATCCATAGCTGGAAGCAGCTGGAATTGTGGGGTAGCTGAGTCCTGCGCTGTATGCCAGCGGAATCCCAGACGCGTACAGGCTGATGGGGTCCGGTTTCGGAGATGGGGCTGCGAACACAACGGCCAACAAGGCAAACAATGTTACCTGCAAAAGAACAATACAATAATATATGTAATTATTTTTATTCCAAGACTACGCAGATAGCACAATCATATATTAAAAACGTTTTGTAAACGTCTTTTTGAGATATTAGAGACGTTGTACACAAGTACCATCACGATAAAATAACAGCTGAATATCTAGTAATACTTAAAAATTCCCCATATTGACAAGTGACACAATTCTGACGGATCCGTCAACGCCAGGTAGACAGAGCCGTATTTTGTTGTTTTTTGTATGCTACGACTTTTACTGTTTTCTTTTGTGTTTTCAAAGACTTTGAGGATAATTACGGGAAATCACCTCCACGCCCGCGTAATGATTAATTACTGTTAGCATGTACATGACATGATATAATTTAATAATAATATAATTCGACAGTGTACAGTGAATATAATGCAATATGTAACAGTATGTAAGTATAAAATATAAGATTCCACATACAATTAATTAATTCACCAGTCAGGAAGTTTCTTTTCTTCTCTCCCATTTTTGAAATCTAGCAAATTATACTAAGTGACATATAAATCCGTACACCCAGTTTAAATGGTTTAATTTTAATAAAAGTTGGTGAATGTATTTATCTTACTGTAAATATCAAGTGAAAAAAAATTTTCAGCCTTATCAGTTGGACATTCCGGTTTTTATACTGCTTTTTTTTAATTCACTAACGCTCTAAAAATGAATATTTCAGCCGCAGTAAAGAATCAACGTTGGCGGATTTGGGTTCTTGACATCCTTTACGATCGGTTACGATGCCTATAGTACGGAGACCTGTACGATTTCGTCAACTAGTGAGTTTGATAGGGGCCGTATAGTGGGACTTCGGGAAGCTGGACTTTCTTTTCGGGCAATTGCAGTTAGAGTGCAAAGAAGTGTAGACAGTGTGGTTAGGTGTTGTCAGGCATGGCTTCGAGAAGGCCGTACGCAAAGCGCAAGGGTGCAGACAAAGGTCACTCTGGGATCAGGAATGGAACAGTATTGTCTTTAGTGACGAGTCTCGATTTTGTTTAGGCATGCACGATGGTCGTGCCAGGGTTAGAAGGCGACGTGGTGAAAGGAGGAATCCACAGTTTTTTGTTGAAAGACATGTTCATCACACTGTTGGAGTTATGGTTTGGGGTGCTATAGCTTATGGTTCCAGAGATAATGCCCGACCACATGTTGCAAGAGTCACAATAGACTTCTTTCAACATAATGATGTCACATTGTTACCATGGCCACCAAGATCTCCCGACTTATCCCCAATTGAGCACGTGTGGGATATGATGGGTAGGAGATTGCTCAATTTGCAACGTCCTCCTCAGACTCTAGAAGCACTTCGAGAGGAGTTGGTGGTTGCCTGGAATTGGATACCACAGGAGGACATTGACCACCTTATCAGAAGCATGCCTAGGCGCGTTGGAGAATGCGTAGCACATCAGGGTGCATCCACACATTATTAAAGGTCAAAGGGCTTTAAAGCAGTGCAATCATTTTGAAATTTTTATCATTTACTTATTATGCTTCATTAAGTACTTATACAAAATTTTATTAAAATAAAACCATTTAAACTGGGTGTTCGGATTTATATGTCACTTAGTATCTGTGAATAGTAAACTACTGTTTCACGAGCATTATTTCAAAAATATGAAAAAAGATAAATTAATTCTATAGAGTTTCCCATAATCTTAGTATGTATTCAAAAAAAAAAAAAATGTGAATAACACTATAATTGCAAATGCAAAAATATTTTCAAAATTACAAGATCTACAAAATAGAGCCATGAGAAATCATTTCAAATTAAAACAAATATGCTAGGATTAAGTCTATGTAAGAAGAATGTAAAAATTTCATATGTTATTTAATTCCCTTTTCATAGTCTAATTAAAAAATCATTAATTACCACCACAATTAGAAGACCAGACAAAATTAGTCATTATCATAACTACGAAACTAGAGGCAGTATAGATTTTTATCTGCAAAATTGTAATAGTATGTATGTTGTATTCCAAAAGGCAGTATTTGAATTTAATAAATTGAATAGTGATATTAAACAGTGTTCGAATTTAAAAATGTCTAAGTGAAATTAAGAAATCACCTTATGGATTCAAAAAAATGTGTAAAGGAATAATTATACGAAACTGAGATTGTAGCAATAATGCGAAATGAATCTTCAACAGACAAAAAAAAGATGGCCGAATTACAACTTGAATATGTAGTTTCGTTTCTAGTCGTCCAGCATCAACTTCATTTTCTCTTATGCTCGTCATATTGGATTTTTGCACAGATGGATAGAGTTCTTAAATCTGATTCCAAAAATGTCAATTGTCAAACCTCAATTATTCCAAATAATAGAATTTCCTGGGTAGGCATTGAAATTATCATAAGTAGTCATTTGTTTCGTGTACGATACCAGACAGCAAACTGAGCATGGTTAACAGAGTTTGGAAGGCTGAGAAGGAGGGACATAAATCGAACAGTGAACAATGTACAAAGAAGAGCTTTGGCTACAAAATAACGGGCGACATTTTGAACATCTGCTATGATTTGCATATGCGTCCATATGAAGAAACAAAGCTCAAATAAAGTCAGGAATAAATAAAAATGGTTTCGGAATAAATCTAGTATTCGAAACAAATGATTGATAATTTCAGAGTCTACCTAGGAAGTTCTGTTTTTCTGAAATAACTAAATTTTAGCAATGTCAATGTAAAACGTATTATACATTTTCGGAATCAGAATTAAAAACTTTGTCCGCATGTGCAGAAATCCAGCATGGCACTTTTAAGAAAAAAATAAAGTTGATGCTGGACGACAAGAGACGAACAGTTGAAATTCTAAGTTTGCGACCTTGCAGAGGAGAAAATGTGAAATTTATTTTAAAATCGCACTACAAATAAAGCCAGGAAACGAAACGATTTTGGGAAAATTCAATTCCTTCCGTGTCCGGGAGAACTTTGAATTCCGAAATTTTGTCAGTTACTCAAATACGCAACTTGGCCCCCATTCAACCGACATCGTTATCTCTTACCGTTTCAGACATCCCCATGGTGAGGATCTAATTTGAAACGCCCGGTATACGACTATAACTTGTAACTAAGTTTCGTACAAGATTCAGATATAAAGCTTACCAGCTTGAACATTTTGGTGTGGTTTTTGTATCAAAACGAAATAACTGCGAAGCTTCTCACTAACTGCTTTCAAGACAAGCACTGTTTGCAAGATGCGATAACGCCTGTATATATAGCAAATAACTTCTTTGTGAGCAAATCCGGCTCAACTACAAGAAACCTAACTAAAATAAGTAAAAAGAGCCTCAAATTGCATCCCCGGCCTTCGCTCACACATTTTTGCGCTTCATCTAGATCTGGTTTGGCCGATGAACGCACGTCGAATAGTCCAGGAAAATCAGGCCGTACAAAAGTGTTTTTCGGCGGGGCTATCACGTATCTGGAAAAGTGACGTTTTGTCATTTTTTGACATTATATAGATTTTTTGTAGACATTATGTAGATGTAGATGTAGAGTGACCGTTGTCTGCACCACTCAAGGCGATTACGTCGGTGTTCTCGAGTTAAAGGGAGGACCCAGTGTGGCCGGTATGAAAACAAGCCAAAACTTCTCATTCGTCGGTAAACACTTCGCATGCCAATAGGTCTTCCGTGTTCTGCAAACCATTCATTTGCAATGGACCTGGTAGTGGAGAAACGGTCCCTTAAGGCCAATAATCTTAGGCAGCGATCTTCACGGTCTGTTGTTCTACGGCGGCGTCCAGTGCCCCTTGCTCTTTGCGTACGGCCTTCTCGAAGCCATGCCTGACAACACCTAACCACAGTGTCACTGCTCAACTGGTAAAAATGCTAAGAACACCCGAGTCGAACGGCACTCTCCCCACCGCTCTCGTCCGAATAGCTATTTAAAAAATATCCGTCCTTTGTGCCGGACCCTGTATATTACAAGTATCTGGTGCTACAGACGAGGATATTTATGCAACGTGAGAAAGTTATTACATTATTAACCTCTCTGCAGAAACGGAAGCTTATACTATAAACAACCCCCCGGACTCAGCTTATAAATATACTTCATGGGCAGCATATTCGGCAATACTTTTCTCCCAGAGCAAATATCATTGATTTTATACACATGCAGACCAATACACATAATCATCCAGATGCGATCTTGCTACTCAACCAACTTTTTTCTTTTACATCTTCTCAGAGATAAGAACTACAGACTACTCGGCTGTCTGCAACCAACAATGCATATCATATGGTCGAGTCATTTCTCCATAGATGGACGCTTTTGATCACACGCACACTAAAAACTAAAAACTACCTAGTCTGCAAGATGACATTTTGTCGTTTTTTTTTACTTTTAGGTTTGTTACTACTCTTTATACTCGTGAAATATGGTTCATACTCAGCTATCAGATAAATAAAGGTGAGGCTGTTATATATATATATATATATATATTACATATCTCCCCAAATTTCGACTCTTCACAACCATAAATAGAATCTGTGTTTTGGCCGATTCCACCAGTAAATTTCATTCCACTCAAAATCTAATAATTCTCTTCTCACGATTTATTAATAATTGTTAATTTAAATTCCCATTAATTAAAATATAGTTTATTCAACTGCCTCTGGTCGGTTTAACAATTTCTTACATAACATTCTGAAAATCACATCATCTGAAGTGATTTGGCAACGTTGGCACACGCCCACAATTCGTTCCATCTTTCAACACAGACATTGACAACCTTCGGCCTTCTGTCAAAGGGTTCACCTCACTCATTATTCCATGACCACCATTTTGTGCAATCATCAAGTGACTTCACGATGTAATGCTTTAATGTTTTTAAATAATTTTTAATCTGTTTTTAACTTGTTCTTGTCATATTTTATATAATTTTGACCATTGTACCATCTATCCAGCTCTCACCATGTTACTGGACGTTTCCCTCATCCTATACGAAAACAACAATTAGCATCATCCTCACATACTACTGTAAGTTGAGTCAATTTAAATTCATTTTACACTTTTGTTGCTACTGTTATCATTGTAATTGCAGCTCCTGATGATGATGGCAAAGTCCATTGAAAGCTAGAGAGAACTAAAAAAGTATAAAGAGTCCTCTTTGCTTAAATATTGTCGAAGTACCCAACAAAAGGCGGAAGCTTTAATTTTTCACCTATATATATATATATATATATAGTTATCCAATTTCACTGTATTAACACACGCTGTGGTCAGATCCAAGATATCTGCTTACTTCTATCAAATCTAGTTTGTATAGGTGCATGTATGTATGAGTTTTTTGTTTCGATGGGGGTAGCAGCGTATGAAGATGGACGAGAAGTAGTCATTCAGCATCGGTGGCTGACCATAGCCGTATCATTCGGGAACAAATAATTTAGGAGTCAGTTGAACTGTATTCAGTGTTAAAAAATTGCATTACACAGAAATGTACGAATTTTAAATGACAAAGCAAATAAATAACGACATTGTTATCACTGATCTCAAGGTTTTTCACTTCACTCGCGTTTTGTCATGCTTTGTTGGTTTATTAATATTATCCAATATTTTTGCTTCCAAATTGTATGGTATTTGTATTAGTCGGTAACGTTGGCAATAATAAATTGCAGGACCGTATTCAGGGCTGTTGTTCACATATCTAGATTATAGTTTTAAGTGACGAAAATGTGACGATAAAAAATGTTTATTAGAAAATTATTATAGTACATCTGGGATTTATTGATTACGATGTAAGTCAGTAGAACAGGCTGCGTTGTCCTTTTCAGAAGCTCTAATTTTACCTGTAAAAATAATATAGATACGTGCTTTTGGTTTATGTCCGTCAACAGTGTAACGTAATTAAATTACACGATGAGTATGTGCAGAACCTATCACAAAAATTAATAATATAGTTGTACATTTTACTTACATTTTGCTAATTTCTAACTTGTTAAAATTACGTGAATAATGTTCAGACATAGTTCAGGGAATCGAACCTCTATCAATTCGGTCATATACTGCCACACATTCTGAATTAACTGTATGCATGTTTCATTGCCCCGGTGTCTCAGCTTCTAAAAAGTAGAGAGGATTAATGTCGTCAAAAACTGTTTATCTTATTTTATTCTTACCTGACTTGAAATGTAGTCATGATCATTAGTAGCTGCTTGTAGCGTTTTTTTTATATGCAAAGAGTTAACAAGTACAAAGTGAGTCTGTAGCATACAAAAAGCCACAACCAAATACGGTTCTGTCTACCTGGCGTTGACGGATCTCTCAGTATTATGTGTCACTTGTCGAAATACCACTAGATAATCAGCTGTTGTACTACCGCGATGGATACTCGTACTGTAGTCGTTTCCGTCCATGATAACAGCAATTGCGCATTGAACTTACGAGATAGCCCCACACTTTTGACTTCACCATTGAGTTCAACCCATGTTTAACCTCCTATCTCTAGTCTTTGTGGCCTAGGTCAATGGCTTTACATACAGTTTTAGATAAAAATGAAAGCCTTAAAAGTCCCTGAAATCTATATGTGTTCAAAAGGCAAAACTTAAAACACCTTTAAGTATTGGACAAGGCTTGATTGATTTATAAAAAAAGTATTTCAGTGCGGACCTGTATTTGATCGTGCGGTCTTGGAGCACCGGCATGCCCTCCCCTGTGAGGTCTTAAGTCACCTGATTCACGAGCCCTTTGTACTACATTAACAAAGGCACGAGGGGTTGGTTGCACTCGATTGGGAAACCGATCCGCATAAATCCGTGATGCCGCAACAAACACCACTATTCAGTCACGCGTTACCGAGTGACACATTGTCTGGATACAACTGAATAAAATTGTAGTAAAAACATCGTGATAAGCCTTTCAAATGCTTTCGATTTTTTGTTTCCGATGCGATGAACCGATAAGGCGGATTATATCCGTTGTTTCCAAACACGAGCACATAATATTATTATTGAGACCGGGCGGTACTCAAACTTCTAAAGGGCTATAACTTTGTTACTTTAATTTTACCACAAAAATGTTAAAGGAAAAACACATTTCTTTTGATCAGATCTACTAACTGTTAAAATGAATGACTCAACTTCGAAGTCACCCTGTATATACAAAGGAAACCATGAGTTATTTAAAACACATTAGACACTTTACTCATCTTGCCCTGTTACGCCTATGATTTACATCGCGGCGAAGAAGAAAATAAAATTGGTAGCTTGATCTGCGATGAAAATAATTATTCTCCATTATCAACTTTTTCACATGAACGTGTATGTATTTTAATGAAGAGCGGTCATTCCAAACAAAACAAAAATAATTGTATTGTAGATGTTTTCGATGGAGTGGAAGAATATGATTATCGGTCAGGTTCGTGCAGATGTTTGTAATACCGCTTTTACATTGACGATAAATCCATGAATTGCTGCACGAGTTCATGGCCAAATTTCAAAAGTATAAAACAGGAATTTGATGAAGGTTTAATCTCATGGATTTCTTCACACAATTAGAATTTGTTCTAATTTTTGCCAAGTTGGACGTCAAATTCCATGCTGCCAAGCTTGTTTTTCTTTCCATTATATTGAACAACTTTTCAATTCAAGTATAGAAGCTTGATAGAACTACAGTATCCAACAGTTGGTTTTCGCTTGAGAACCACAAAACTAAAATGTTTCTAGCGAGAATTTGTTGTTTGGTTGGCAGCACTCTCTACTGTCAGATAGTACATGAATTTGTCCATTATGTGACCTTGAATAAAAATTCATCTGAATATTTCGTGAAGAAATTGTTGATATAAAACGTGTATAATACCTTTAAATATCAGAGTCCAGAGTAGCTGTGTAGTTTTATACTGCAGTCACAGAGTATTAATTATTCATTACAGACTAAAACGAGAAAACAATAACTTTTTACTTTCATTAGGAGTATTTTAGAAATAATTAAAGAAGAAAAAAACACTAGTGCAACCTAGAATGTGTACTCGTGAAAAAAGAATATGGCAAATTTGTAGTTTTTTTTCTGCAGGTTTTAGGTTTGCTGGTAGCTTTAAGGCATATATTTGGGAATTTCTTAATCGCTGTGAATATAGTGTGGATGTTTGTTCAGTTCCTGAACAACGAAAAATATTCAACTTTATGGATGTATGGATATCAAAAAACCTGAATGGTTTTGTGGGAATATCAATCTAAGGTGCCATAATGGTTCTGATGAACGGCAAGTAAATGAATGAATGTTTGGAAACGAGCAATATCTTTTGGTAGAGCCTGTCATCAAGTAGGTGCTTAATGGCTATCTGCAAGAGGTTTATAGGAAAAAACACCCAGTATCGCATATCAATTGAATTAAATAATATAAACATGAATAAAAAATCAACAATAGTAATTAAAACATGAATTTTAATAAAAAATCCAACATTTCTTTAAATATTGACTGAATTATATGTAATTTCTTAATATTCAATAAGCTGGTGACGTTTCAATGACAAGCTGTCATCTCATACTTTGACAGTATTTTGTTTTCAACATTTCATAGCTATTGGTTGTTAAAATTTGTTGATTGGAACTTGAAGCTCATTCGTTGTATTTCCGGTCTGTTACCCTATAGGTGGAGAATAATGGACTGTTGATAGTGAAATTGGCCCTTAGGGCCGTATCGTCAGTCGTTCCTACAATTGTAGGATGCCTTTAAGGCCTCCTTGATTGTCATACTCGTTTCTTTCCTTAGAAAATTTCTAGATTGCATCTGTTCCGTGTCAGCGTCAGGGCTCTCCCATTGAGAAGTTATGTTTTATTTTTAAATTGTAGGAAATTTCGGGCTGATAAAACATGATATAAATCAAAAGCCTGCACAATTTGATGCAAATAGATATTTGTGACATAACCTAAAAATAGAGCGCTGACACGGAAAATCAACCTTTATGGTCCCCTTGATTTTCACAGTTTTCTACTGTTCCGTGTCAGCGCTCTATTTTGAGGTTATGTCACAAATTTTCATTTAAATCAAATCTGTTTTATCAGTGTGAAATTTCCTGCAGTTCAAAAAGTAAACATAACTTCAGAATAGGACTGACGATGATACGGAACAGTAGAAATCTAGAAATACCCCCAACCTTTCTGAGGAGAGAAAAGACTATGGAAATCAAGGAAGAAGAACGATTGACGCTACGACCCTAACTGAATCCAGCAGAACAACAACCCCGAATACAAACGGGCTGACGACCCTTAAACTTTTCTCTAAACGAAATGCCAATAACAGACAGCGAAAAGAAGAACGTTATCAACGGTTTGAGTGAAGAGGTGTAATAGGGTTGCATAACTGACGTGTATAGCTTCCACAGTATATTCACATATTCATGCATCCGAGCCTACAAGCGTGACAACAATGGCGTTTTATCGAATACGGAGACAATTGGGCTCATCCAGACGTCTTTCATAAGTACAGGGCCGTATTTTAACACGAAACCTAACCCTTAGCATAGGCATCATCTTCATTTTTTTTTATAGTAGATACCTATAGATGCATTGAGATGAGGGAGAAATTCATATACATATGTATGTACTCGTAATTATATCGAACGCTGGTATCCAACAATTGTTCGGGTGGAATGAAAGAAATACAATTACAAGGCATATATATTACATGTGTTGTGTGTATCCATTGATTCACAATTATTAAACTTTTCGTATTATTGTCCAGGAGCGTACTCGATTGCGAGTTGCTTAAAGGTTTCTAGATCTTCACTAGTATAAGTAACCCTCGAAATAAAAACACCTGACTCAAATAAATTTAGTGTGCCTGGGGATAGTCGCTCCTGAAGATCAGCGAGTACATTGTCTAGATTAACATTGACCTGAGCCTGAGGTTGCAGAAGAACCAGATTTGCCAAATGCTGTAGACTATGATGACAGCAGTAGCGACGATCCTGAGTTTCTACCATCTACAAGTTCTTTTGGACGTCCACATTTGATTAAACAAAATGAACTGAATAATTTGATACGAGACTTAGATTTATCAATTTGACAAGCTGAATTACTAGGATCTAGATTACAAGAGTGGAACTTTTGGCTTCTAACACAAAAGTATCATTTTACTCAAATTTTGAAAACATTTGTTACTGTAACGACACAGAAACTTTGTCTGAAGGTGGTATTGTTACACAATGGCAACAAGTATCCATCAGTGCCAACTGTTTTAAAGGAAACATATGAAACTATGAAGTCATTACTAGATTTAATAAAATACGAAGATTTTACCTGGAAAGTATGTGATGATCACAAAGTTATAGCTATTTTACTTAGATTACAGGGCGAATTGAATAAATACTGTTGTTTTCTTTGTATGTGGGATAGCAGATCCACTGAAAAGCACTACACTAAAAAATTATAGCCTGAAAATATAATGTGAAATATGTACCATTAATAGATGCCAAAAATGTCATTTTACCACCGCTTCCCATAAAACTTGGCTTGATGAAGAATTTCGTCAAGGCGATAAATAAGGAGGGAGATGGTTTTCTATATTTAAAAACAGTATTTCCAAAGTTAAGTGACGCCAAACGCAAGGAAGGAATATTCGTGGGACCACAAATACGCACACTGATGAAAATCTCAAATTTCGACAAGGAACTATACTAAGTGACATATAAATCCGAACACCCAGTTTAAATGGTTTTATTTTAATAAAATTTTGTATAAGTACTTAATGAAGCATAATAAGTAAATGATAAAAATTTCAAAATAATTGGACTGCTTTAAAGCCCTTTGACCTTTAATAATGTGTGGATGCACCCTGATGTGCTACGCATTCTCCAACGCGCCTAGGCATGCTTCTGATCAGGTGGTCATTGTCCTCCTGTGGTATCTCATTCCAGGCAACCACCAACTCCTCTCGAAGTGCGTCTAGAGTCTGAGGAGGACGTTGCAAATTGAGCAATCTCCTACCCATCATGTGCTCAATTGGGGATAAGTCGGGAGATCTTGGTGGCCATGGTAACAATGTGACATCATTATGTTGAAAGAAGTCTATTGTGACTCTTGCAACATGTGGTCGGGCATTATCTTGTTGGAAAGTTGGATCCCAGAACTTTAAGGAGCTGCGACTCAAGGCCATACTCAACCTTGGTAGAAGGGCGGGGCCTGAGGTCTACTGAATGGAGGGGTGCATAAGAGCCCGTCTAGGTGGCTATGCGCCGGCTAAGCAGCGAAGACCTTCCAGAAAGCTCAGGACCACTCGAACCGAATACAGCTGATACAATGCTGGCCCTATATGCAGACGACACTGCTATAGCCGCCAAGCATCGACGACCCGAGATCATCCGTAGGAGACTACAGGATGAACTGGACCACATCCAGGACTGGTGCGTGAAATGGAAAATCCGCATCAACGTCCAGAAGACGCAGGCAATCTTCATTCAACGAAGAAGGATTGCAAGACCTCTCGAAGCATCCATCTTCGACGAAGACATCGAGTGGAGCGACAAAGTCAAATATCTGAGGATCGTATTTGACAGGTCCCTCACCTGGAAAGACCACATAGAAGCTGTCATCGCAAAGACCAGAGCATGGCTCAACTCTACTGGGTAGACACAGCCGGATGCCGCTAGCGACCAAGCTACGGCTGATCAAGGCCATCGCCAGACCTCAGCTCGCTTACGCCTCCGCGGTCTGGGGGTACGCTGCCTCCAGTTACCGCAAGCGACTTGCTGCTCTAGAGATGAAGCTACTCCGGATCGCTACCAGTGCACCATCCTACGTAAGAAACTCAACGTTGCGTAGAGACCTGCATTGGAACACCATTCACGAGTACATGAGGAAAAAATCGGAGAAGACCTTCCAGAAAGCTCAGGACCACCCGAACGAGCAGCTACGATTCCTCATGGACTACGATCCGGACGAGAGGCCTCGCAACCGCAGAACCAGATATCCTAGACCAAGGTCCCAGTTGGCACCCGTTAACTGGAACCTTGACTAGGAGACTAGGAGAACCCGCGGTTGCTCCCCCCCCCCCCACGGCGTGGATGCAGAGGACCAGGAACCACCGGGACCAGGACCCGCCGGGGCCAGGACCCATCAGGACCAGGACCAACCAGGACCAGGACCCGCCACGACCAGGACCCACCAGGACCAGGACCCTTCAGGACCAGGACCAGGAACAATATATAGGTAAGAGGACTTGAAACTCTTGTTTTTTTCGAAAACAAAAGTTTCAAGAGAATCTCGCAAACCCTTTATCGATGATCGCTTAGCGACATCGATAGAATGTGCGAGGTAAAGGGAACCAACCCGGCGTTCCCAGACACTGAAACACATGAGGAGACGTTGTAGCAGACCGCAGGTCACGCACAACACATGGCCTACCGAGAAGCTGATGAGTCGGTCCACGCGGAGGTTGGGGCTTAGTGGGTATTAGATGGTCTCCTCAAGACAACCTGGAGTCCCACACACGCCGTAGCTCGGGCTATGGTATGATGCATAAACGCATTCCCCCTCACAAAAAAAAAAACACTCGAACGAGCAGCTACGACTCCTCATGGACTACGATCCGGACGAGCGGCCTCGCAACCGCAGAGCCAAGTACCCTAGACCCAAGTCACAGTTAGCAGGCGCTAACTGGAACCTTGACTAGGAGTACTCGAGGTTGCTCCCCCCCCACGACGTGGAATGGAAGCAGAGGACGAGGACCAGGACGACCAGGATCAGAACCCATCAGGACCAGGACCCACCAGGACCAGGAACGACCAGGACCAGGGCCCATCAGGACCAGGACCCATCAGGACTAGGTAACAAACAAGTAGAGGACTTGAAACTCTTGATTTTTCAAGAGAACATAGCAAACCCTATATCGATGCTCGTTAACGACATCGATAGAACTGTGCGAGGTAAAGGGAACCAACCCGGCGTTCCCAGACACATGAGGAGACGTTGTAGCAGACCGCAGGTCACGCACAAAACATGGCCTTACCGAGAAGCTGATGAGTCGGGCCACGTGGAGGTTAGGGTTTAGTGGGTATCAGGTGGTCTCCTCAAGACAACCTGGAGTCCCACACACGCCGTAGCTCGGGCTATGGTATGGTGCCCGGTATGCCTCTAATTTCATAATTCATTCATTCAACGAACACGCAGTGCTACCAAGCCGAAAACCGCAAAATCACTATTTTATTTAAATTTGCATCAAGCTGAACCTATAGGCAACCAGACGTGCACAACTCTCTTATTTCCACGCCACATCAGTCCGCTTACAAATTGATCAGGGTTGCCAGCTCTGGTGATTTTTCACCAAATCAGGTGATTCTGCACTCGTTTGTATCCATTCCATATTTGTAAAACGACTGTATTTCATTAAATGTATCAGGAAGATTCGAAAGTCTTAAATATTAGTGGTTAAACTGATTTCGCCCAGAGAGGGGGGGTTAAAACCCCCCTGGATTCACGATTGACTCCATGCACATACCACTTTTTTATTTTGCGGTTCTTACATCAACGCAATCAGGTTCTTCGTAGAGCTGCATTGCATCCCTGAATACTATCCTGAACTCTAGCGTATGTGTAGGCTTACCAATCTGTGCCGACTAGCTACTCTTCTCATCAACCTACGAGAAATGTTTTCATTTTGCAAACGCTTCCGACACTTGGGACTTGAGACACGTATACGTATATATCTATGTTAATATCCCTCTTCCTACGTATGTCCATTTATTGTTCTTTATTCTTTATGTTGGCGCATAGATGGAAAATACAAATGTGTCCAAGCACGGTAATATTGCCCAGTAATTTTATAATTATTCCCGTTAGGCGTCATAGTATTCGGAGGATAACGGTGCAAAAGCAGATGCCGAAAAATGAACGTGACTTGATAAAAGCTTGTAAATGGTTACATGTTCTCAATGACGTACAGGATTAGATTATGTATAAAGTGAGTAATGAGTTTATATTACCCAACGGATACAGGACATACACATCAGCAAGAAATTTAGGCGTACTTTATGGTGAGAACCTGAAACGTATTCATCATGTAAATAACCTAAGCAAAAGTTGCTATGCAATTCTCAGATTGTTTTGTATGCAAATAAACAGCTACTTGGTTTTGGAGTCAAGATAATACTGTGCGAATATTTGGTGATATCTAAGCCCGCATACTACCTTTTAGTATATTTTCCTTTCTGGGACCGTAAACACCTGCTGTAGATTGACTCAGAATCTCAGAAAGTCCGACCGTATCAGTGGGGCTTTCTCAGAACTAGGATGGCTGCTGGTCCACCGGAAATGTGTAAATAAATAGATCTTGGTCTAAATTTATCAGTGTTAACCGGCATACCTATAAAATGACGGGTAAATGAAACAAGTTATATTACTTGAAATCAACTTCATTAAAATCAATATTTTTTTTACTTTCCTGCGGAGATTGTGGGCGTCGTTTCGTTAACTTCTTGATTCGGGGATATTACACCCCAAACACCAGTTTATGGAGTAGTACCCTTTTTATTTGGTACCTTACGTTTAGTTTTTTCGGTTTGGGTGCTACCCCGTCCATTTTCTTACAGGATTTTAACCGGCATTCCCACAGTTTTCTTTGTGATATTGCTGGAACCCACCCCTTCCCCTTGAGCAAAATCCGTTCCTTGCTCTCGTCTTTTACATGTATTACCGGCTGCGCATTCGGTATTGTATAGACTACCTAGGCAAAGTATGAAACATACATTACCTACACGTTTTAGGTATTGTATAGAATACCGGATTATACAGATTGCCGGTAACATATCAATATCATGCCACTTTAACTTTAAAGGAAGGTCCACAGTTATTTTTGCATCGTTTAATCAGAGTACAAATCCATTCATTGTCAAGAACGAAATGATTTATTGATGCCGGATAAAAATATGAGTATCAAACTGGTTTATCGCCCACCTTTTTGTCATTCCGATCACGTCTTAAATGTCCAACGTGCTTTTGTCTGAACACTTTCGGCGATACGACACGGATTCATATTGTTTTGTGAGCCGGCACGCCAAAATCTTGTGAGAATGCAGACGTTTCGTATTGTGGTGTTATGTGCAGTAAGTTATTTTTTGTTTTCAGTTGTATTACTCTTTACGAATGTCAAACTGTCTAGATCGACAACACGCAATAATAATAATAATAATAATAATGATAATGGTTTATCCAATTGAAAAATGTGTACAGGACACCAACGGGACCGACTGAAACTGTCCGTTCAAGAGGGATATCCGTATAAAAGAAATACAACAAAAATGGCGTTTTTAATGAAAACTGGTTAAAGAATCTGGGACCTTTAAAACGTATACAGGGTGTTTCAGATTATTTTTGCATAACTTTAAGATTCGATAGAACTTTTAAAATTAATGCATAAAGTCTATACAAACATGGGTCGAAAAATGCGTGGCTTCCGAAATACAGGGTGTTTGAATTTACTTTCTAAAATAGTTTTTCTTAAATATTTCGAACAATATTTGATGCATAACAGTGAAAATTGGTATACAAGGGTTTTTTGGTGCGACAAAACGAACCATGGGCATAGTTTTACTGTAGCCGCTAGAGGGCGCTCTCCACTGTACCTGTAGTGTATTAAAATGACCGAAAATTTTTTCTTAGTGCAATTTTTTGCTTTTTGAATAAAAAAACTGATTCCTCGCACTTTTTAACATAAAAAAGCTCTTTTGTGAATTTCCGTTATAGTTAGCCGTTTTTGAGATATATCGATTTTTAAGGTTCGATGCATTTTTAATAATTTATGGGAAAATAATATTTTTTTTTTCGATTTGGGCATTACAAGTAATTAAGATGATCGTTTAGAATTTCTAACTTCAAATAAACACAAAAAAACAAAATATTAATTTGTTTAATTTCCAATATTATTTTTAACAAATTAAATTAATTATTTACAACTAAAATGCTATTGGATAGTTAGGACAAGCATACAAAATCTAAAGTAGTTGCTCGAAATGTAAACCCAATTGTTCAATACACAATTCACATCTACGAATGATCGAACGTGGTATAGCATTATTCAAATAAGGCCTTATTTCATCACATGCATTCCTGATTCTGTCTATTAGCATATCTCTTGTGGTTACGGGAGTCTGGTACACTTTTTCTTTTAGAAATCCCCACACAAAAAAAATCTAATGGATTTAGGTCAGGGGATCGTGGAGGCCAGGCGACTGGTCCTCCAGGGCCGATCCATCTTTCTGGATAATTTTCGTCCAGCGAGTTTCTAACTATTCTCGAATAATGAGCTGGACAACCATCAAGCTGGAACCAGGCCAATCTTCTTAAATCTAACATAACATCATCCCACATATTTGCATGTTCAGCCTTTAAAAATTCCAAGAAGGTCGCAGCATTTAATCTTGCAGGCAAAAGGTAGGGAACATTTCTTTCCCAAACTGCACGCGGATTTTCATGCGACCAAATATGTTGATTATGAAAATTTACCACTTCACGTCTAGTGAAGCATGACTCATCGGTTCATAAAACGGTACTTAAAAACTCCCTATAATTATCAGTTCTATCAAGAATCCACTGACAAAATGTTCTCCGTCCCCTGGCTGTAGTCCTTGCACAAGTTGCAAATGGTAAGGACGTCTATGGTCATTTCTAAGAACACGGTGAACATGGCTTGCTGAAATTCCCAAGGCACCAGAAACTGTCCTAACACTTGTGGTCGGATCTCTATCAAACACGCGCAGAATCATTCGGGTAAATCTGTGCTGACTAACATTTATGTTTTGATACCTTTGGAGATTTCCAAAACCATTTTCAATTATTTGGCGATGCACCCTTACAAATACTGAGCGAGTTGGATGTCGTCTGTTTCTAAATCTTCGTGCGTATTCTCTGGCTGCTTCTGCTGCGTTTCCATTTACGAAGCCATACACAAAATGAATATCCGCTAACTCTTGATTGGAGAATAAAAATGGCATTTTTATAAAACTTACAAAAAAAAAACAGGTAAAAGAAACTAAATTTCGATGTTTTCACAATTGCAAAAAAACGTTTCAGGTTTCAACAGACAACAAAACTAACTGTCAACTAATTGACGTTTAACCTTATTCTGCTTTCACTTTCAAAAATATTTGCAGACTCAGCCTACTTCTAAAAATTATCGAGATACTGACTTTTTAACGTTATTTTATCATAAATAATTAAAAATGCATCGATCCTTAAAATCGAAATTTCTCAAAAACGGCTAACTATAACGAAAATTCACAAAAGAGCTTTTTTATGTTGAAAAGTACGAAGAATCAGTTTTTTTGTTCAAAAAGCAAAAAATTGCACTAAGAAATTTTTTTCGGTCATTTTAATACACTACAGGTACAGTAGAGATAGCCCTCTAGCGGCTATAGTAAAACTATGCCCATGACTTGTTTTGTCGTACCAAAAAACCTTTGTGTACCAATTTTCACTGTTATACATCAAATATTGTTCGAAATATTTAGAAAAAACTATTTTAGAAAGTAAATTTAAACACCCTGTATTTCGGAAGCCACGCATTTTTCGACCCATGTTTATATAGACTTTATGCATTAATTTTAAAAGTTCTGTCGAATCTTGAAGTTATGCAACAATAAACTGTATATAATTTTTTGTTCGAATAAACAAAAACGGTTTGTTACCATTTGGTTAAACAAAGTATGTAACACAAAACAATGAAAGAGAAAGTCACTTTGAGGATGTAAAAGTTCATACACTGCCGTTTTTGTTTCCTCCTTTTCTTTAAAATGGCGTCTTGAAATAGCATTTCTAATTTATAAAGAACCTCCAAAGACTCTGTATCTCCTTAATCTTCGACAGAACTTTTGAGTTAATTGGTCAAGGTAATAGCTTTACCATAGTTTGAAATAGATTCTGTGGGTACTGGAACCTCATCAACATCAGAATCTTTGGAAAGTTAGCTGCCTTGCTATAGTCCAACACCAGAATTGATGACAGTAGCAGAAGTCGTCGTGCGCCGCTGCTTTGACGCTGTACCTTTTGATTACAGCGACGTTTACCGACATTTCACGAAGAAGCGCCGCATTTTCGAAGGCCTCCGCGTAACAGCAGTGGCGTACGATGAGTTTTGCTACTGTCATCAATTTTGGTATTCTACTATAATGACTAGAAGTTTTTCTTTTTCACCCGCCATATTTACATAGTGCAAAATTGTAAACCTCCCTTTGGGATACTTACCGCCGACACATTTTGCTTCTTTAATGTGAGCGTTCTGACGGGTAGAGCCCTGTCTCACCAGCTTTATAGATGTCTCTCGGTGAATATCCCTCAATCAAAGATGGACATTTTTCCAAAAACAATGAAGCATCTTCAGCATTAACCGAAGCTCGTTCTCCCGAAATCGTTTTAAATCCTATATTGTGGCCAATTCTTATTTGTTTTTGCCAACCGGAAGAAGCACTGAACGTAGAATGTCCAGAGAATCGAGTATTTATTTTGCTTTGCATCGTATTAGCGGACCTGAAAAAAAAAATCAGTTTTTTGCATTTTTGTCACGACAAATCTATTGATTATAACCATTTTAGAACTGATTTGTAAAGAGAATCAGCGAGTTAATACAAAAAACCTTATCTGAAAAAACAATGTGCATACATACCTGTCAAAGGAGCTGCTATAAACCATTCATAACACAATTTGTTAATGTTGGTACCATCACCCGTCAAAAAGCTTCTATTTCATTCAAATCTCTTAAGAAGGACTTCTTTATGTTTAGTTACATCTGCAGCTTGTGTTTTTTCAATCTTCAAACGCTTGAATAACATCCTTACACTTAACTTCTTCTTATTGTGAACATCAACAATCTCAATATTTTTTAAGAGTCAGAATGTTTCTATCTGGAACCGTTTCTACAATGAATGTGTTACCCAATGTGTCTTTTCCGCATACACGTCAGACTAATACTGAAAATAAGAACGGTAAATATTGTACGGCTTTAGATTTTTTCCAATATACAGGGTGTCCGCAATGTTGGGGTTTTCCTTTTCAGAAACAACTACCCCAGAAATAACAAAGGTAATGTGTAGTGAAACGAGGGCGACCAAGTAAAAAAAATAAAGGAAAAAGTACTCACTCTCCAGTTGACGAGAAGGGCTAAGTACGTCTCTGCCCGAAATCATACCGATTCAACAGAAAATGAAATCAGCTGATGCGCTGGCAAAATGTTGCGTAAAAAGTCTAGGTATTGCATCCCGTCCAATCGATTTGGGAGAATAAATGGTCCAATGAGCATACCGTTCACCATGCCAGCCCAAACATTCGCCGAAAATGTTTGTTGAAAATGTGCCCGACGGACAGCGTGCGGATTTTCTACTGACCAAACATGAGTGTTGCGAAAGTTATTCATCTCATTACGCGTGAACGTAGATTCGTCTGTCACCAATATGCACTTCAAAAAGTCCGGATTATTGTCATGTTGATGCAACAACCACTCACAAAACCGCACTCTTGCTGGAATATCGTCAGGTTGAAGGGCTTGTCCACGTTGGACGTAAAACGGATACAGCCCCACTTCACGCAGCGTTTGCCACACTTTAGTTTTTGATACTTGCACTTCTCTAGCCACGTCTCTAGTGCTTGTTGAGGGATTCTCGTCTACGCGATTACCTCTACACGCGTGACCGTAACCGTCGGTTGAAGGTTGCATACTGACCTGACACACTGACCCCGACCCAGTTCTGTCGTCGGGTTGAGCCAGTGAACTTGTACCAGTCGGTGATGTCGCAGGTCGCGGCTACAGGACGGGATTCAGATATTTTTAATGTTGCAGAGCCCTTTATCTCGGTTCCCTTAAGACATTGGTGTATATGGTACTAAGAAAAATTGCTTATGTTTTCAAGATCTACACGTCGTGTAAAGGAAAACCCCAACTTTGCGGACACCCTGTATACCAGGAGAGTCAAAAATGGGGGTGCGACCTTTTCGTTGGGCCACGCTGTATAGTATTGCTGTATTATCACCAAACTATTTTACCCGTAGTTAATTTGATATGAATGAATATATCGCTCAAATAGATATTAAATAAAAGAGGGCCTAACGTATGATGCGCAGGGTAGAAAATGCGCTTTTCCAAAGATCACTGTTAATTTTCTAGTTTTAAAAAAATGAATGTGATTACATTTTTTTTATACATGTTTGATGACAGCTGATTATTTATCTAGTAATATCTCCAAATTCCCCAAATCGGCACAGGACACATAATTCTGACGGATCCGTCAACGCCAGTTATTCAGAGCCGTATTTTGTTTTGGTTTTTTGTACGCTACGGATTCATTTTGTACTCGCTGGCAGCTCTTTTATTCAGAAGAGTTTATTTGCATAAGTATCTCCGCTATATCTTCTATTTTAATCGAGTAACGCATAAATACATATATTTATTCCAGTGGTTGGTGGTGTTCTTGTCCGCTGTGGGAGTAGGAACGAGCAAGATCATCACTCTATATTCCCTGGTGCCACCCAGAGAGATCTACGCTCGAGAAATTGGCAACATAATTAGCGATGTTGGATACCTGGGCTCTGATCAAGCTTCGGAAACTATATCTTAGTGATGTAAATTACCTAAATGTCCTGTATTATAATTAGTTAAAAATAAAGCATGCTCAATTAAATCAGTATACTTTTACTTGGCGACGAAGTGTAACCGCGAAAAAAATTGAAAATGAGATATGTTTTTTGGATGCTATTTATATTATTTTAGTCACGTGCTTCCCAACAGATACAAGATCCAATCACGGAAAAACACTATGCAAGTGATGGAAAACAAATAGACACACATACAAAAAATAGTATCATGGATTGATGATACTAATAAATCCTACGTGTGTATACAGGGTGTTTCAGTTTATTGTTGCATAACTTTAAGCTTCGATAGAACTTTTAAAATTAATGCATAAAGTTTATATAAACATGGGTCGAAAAATGCGTGGCTTCCGAAATACAAGGTGTTTAAATTTACTTTTTAAAATAGTTTTTTTTTAAATATTTCGAACAATATTTGATGTATAACAGTGAACATTGGTGTACAAGGGTTTTTTGGTCCGACAAAACGAACCATGGGCATAGTTTTACTGTAGCCGCTAGAGGGCGCTCTCTACTGTACCTGTAGTGTATTAAAATGACCGAAAATTTTTTTTTGACGCAATTTTTTGCTTTTTGAATTAAAAAGCTGATTCTTCGCACTTTTCTGCATAAAAAAGCCCTCCTGTGAGTTTTCGTTATAGTTAGCCGTTTTTGAGATATTTCGATTTTTAAGGTTAGATGCATTTTTAATTATTTATGGGAAAATAATATTTTTTTTTACATTTTCGATTTGGGCATTACAAGTAATTAAGATGATCGTTTAGATTGTGTTTTTAAACACAGCAATGATTCCTAACTCCAAATAAACACAAAAAAACAGAATATTAATTTGTTTAATTTTCCAATATTATTTTTAACAAATTAAATTAATTATTTACAACTAAAATGCTATTGGATAGTTAGGAAAAACATACAAAATCTAAAGTAGTTGCTCGAAATGTAAACCCAAGTTCAATACACAATTCACATCTACGAATGATCGAACGTGGTATAGCATTATTCAAATAAGGCCTTATTTCATCACATGCATTCCTGATTCTGTCTCTTGTGGTTACGGGAGTCTGGTACACTTTTTCTTTTAGAAATTCCCACACAAAGAAATCTAATGGATTTAGGTCAGGGGATCGTTGAGGCCAGGCGACTGGTCCTCCACGGCCGATCCATCTTTCTGGCTAATTTTCGTCCAGTCAGTTTCTAACTATTGTCGAATAATGAGCTGGACAACCATCAAGCTGGAACCAGGCCAATCTTCTTAAATCTAACATAACATCATTCCACATATTTGCATGTTCAGCCTTTAAAAATTCCAAGAAGGTCGCAGAATTTAACCTTGCAGGCAAAAGGTAGGGTCCAAATAGTCGATTACGGTAGATACCAATCCACACGTTCACACTAAATTCATGCTGAAAATTTCTTTCCCGAACTGCATGCGGATTTTCATGCGACCAAATATGTTGATTAAGAAAATTTACCACTCCACGTCTAGTGAAGCATGACTCATCGGTCCATAAAACGTTACTTAAAAACTCCCTATTATTATCAGTTCTATCAAGAATCCACTGACAAAATGTGATTCTTCGTTCTCCGTCCCCTGACTGTAGTCCTTGCACAGGTTGAAAATGGTAAGGACGTCTATGGTCATTTCTAAGAACATGGTGAACATGGCTTGCTGAAATTCCCAAGGCACCAGAAACTCTCCTAACACTTGTGGTCGGATCTCTATCAAACTCACGCAGAATCATACGGGTAAATCTGCGCTGACGAACATTTATGTTTTGATCCCTTTGGAGATTTCCAAAACCATTTTCAATTATTTGGCGATGCACTCTTACAAATACTGAGCGAGTTGGATGTCGTCTGTTTGGAAATCTTCTTGCGTATTCTCTGGTTGCTTCTGCTGCGTTTCCATTTACAAAGCCATACACAAAATGAATATCCGCTAACTCTTGATTGGAGAATAAAAATGGCATTTTTATAGAACTTACAAAAAAAAACAGGTAAAAGAAACTAAATTTCGTGCAGTCACAATTGCGAAAAAACGTTTCAGGTTTCAACAGACAACAAAACTAACTGTCAACTAATTGACGTTTAACCTTATTCTGCTTTCAATTTCAAAAATATTTACAGGCACAGCCTTCTAAAAATTATCGAGATACTGACTTTTTAACGTTATTTTATCATAAATAATTAAAAATGCATCGAGCCTTAAAAATCGAAATATCTCAAAAACGGCTAACTATAACAAAAATTCACAAGAGAGCTTTTTTATGTTGAAAAGTGCGAAGAATCAGTTGTTTTATTCAAAAATCAAAAAATTGCACTAAGGAAAAATTTTCGGTCATTTTAATACACCACAGGTACAGTAGTGAGCGCCCTCTAGCGGCTTCAGTAAAACTATGCCCATGGTTCGTTTTGTCGTACCAAAAAACGCTTGTATACCAATTTTCACTGTTATACATCAAATATTGTTCGAAATATTTAAAAAAATACTATTTTAGAAAGTAAATTTGAACACCCTGTATTTCGGAAGCCACGTATTTTTCGACCCATGTTAATATAGACTTTATGCATTAATTTTAAAAGTTCTATCGAATCTTAAAGTTATGCAACAATAAACTGAAACACCCTGTATAATAATAATAATAGTAATCGAACACAATTTTTGATTCTGTATTTAGTTATGAATATAATACATTTATTCGTGTCACGATAAACTTCACATATTTAGTTAAAGTGAAGTATTTAAATGTTTAAAATTCTATCATAGCGTCCATATGAAAAAAAAGTTGGTGTTGTCCAAAGAAGAAACCGCGAATTAGAAATTTGAATACGCCAGCTTGCAGAGTAGGAAAAGTGTCAATGAAAACCTGCAATTTATATCGAATTCGCATCTCAAATAAGTGAGGAAAAAATAAAGATGAATTGACGAAATCTAGTACCTGTATGAGAAAAAATTACTATCTGATGATTTCAAGGCAATGTCAATGTCAATGTGCAATTTATTTTTAAATTCCACCACAACTAAAGTAAAAAAAACTAAAACGATTTTGGGAAAATCGTTTTTTCCGTCTCTCTCGGGAAGCACTTTGAGTTTCAAAACTTTCTAGGCAGCATTTTCTTAGCTACCTGAATACGCAACCTTGCCCTCATTTAAGCCACATCTTACTTACAGTTTCCGAGATACCACTGCTGAGGGTCGAATTTAAGACTACCTCAGACAAAATTACGTGAAAAATCATCGATGATCGAGATACCAAAAATGACATAGCATATGATTTCTCCCTGGTCGATCAATAATGAATAACCTTCTCCACTCTCTCAACGATTGGACTCAGTATCTGGACACAAAGACTCCTGTTGATATAATCTACTTAGATTTTTCTAGGGCTTTCGATCGCGTACCACATAGAAGGCTTCTGTTTAAGTTGGAATGTATGGGAATAAGAGGCGAGTTGTTACTGTGGATTAAGGCTTTTCTCACCGGGAGGACTTTCTCTGTGCGCGTCAGTGATAGCCAGTCTCACCTTCATCATGTAGCAAGTGGAGTTCCTCAAGGCTCTGTCTTGGGGCCAGTGCTGTTCCTTCTGTATACAAGTGACCTGCCCGCATTGATTTCCTCCGCATGTTCAGCTTATGCCGACGACACCAAGATTTACAATACTGTCGTAAATTCTGCTATGCTTCAACGAGATCTTGATATTGTTTGTCAATGGTCAGTCAGTTGGCTTTTACCCTTAAATCTAACTAAGTGTTGTGTCCTTCACCTCGGGAAGACAAATCCGCGATTTACATACAAGATCTCTGACCACAACATCGAAGCAGTTTCCAGCCACACTGATCTGGGCGTTGTAGTCAACGATCGTCTTTCCTGGTCAGAGCATATTCACCACGTTACATCAAAAGCCAAGAAACTTCTATACATGCTGGAGAGGTCTTTCAAAGGATCCGATGTCAACACTTGCGCCTACATTTACAAGGCATTCGTGAGGCCAATTCTTGAATTCGCTGGCCCGGTATGGGACACTGTGCTTCTGCGCGATAGAAATCTCGTCGAATCAGTACAGCGTCGGGCTACTCGTATCCCTTTTGGAGCACGAATACCAAGCTATGAAGATCGCCTTGAATTATTCAACGTGACCTCATTCTCTGAGCGAAGACTTCGTGGCGATATTATAGTTACGTTCAGGATACTTCATGGTTTGATGGGCACCAACCTCATGCATCTATACCGTCTGTCGCGCAGCAATCTACGCGGACACAGCTTCAAACTGCATAAGGAGCCATTTAAAACAACAGTCGGACAGTGGTCTCTTCCCAACCGCATATTCAACACCTGGAATAGTTTACCTGAAAGTGTGGTTGGTGCTACTTCAGTTAATAGCTTCAAAGTGCAGTATGATAGCTGGAGGAGTGCACAAACTTTATAGCTATGAACTGTCTTTTTTATTTTTTTCTATTTGATGTATTTGTGTTACGTGTCCGTACACTATATTTACTGCATGAGCTTATAGTACTGTGTACTCTGCTCATCTCAGTTATCATAATAATAATAATAATAATAATAATATAGCATGTTCCTTTTGAAATAACGAAGCTGAATGCCGATTCCGGCATATCGGGTGTCACTGAATGTCCGATTACATAACGCCGACAACAATGATTTCAGATCAGCAGATAACACATGCTTCATTGATATACACGGTGATTGTCAGTACTTTCAGCGCCGCGGCCTTGAGGACGGGACCGCCGTCAGAATGCAAAATGCCGAATTTGTTTTTTGAAGCGCATTTGTAGTAAGCACTTACCATTTTGAGCAATCCTTCTCAGTGCATACAGAACATCTAATTTTGCATCTACAAGACATTTCGAGATCGCCGTACCATCTGCATTACCTCACCGACGGAATACACAGGGTGTCCCAACGAAAATGGAAAGAGCAAACTAGAAGAGATATCAAAAATCTGTTTTTGTGGCAACTTTGATATGTTACTAGTGCATACTTCATAATCGTCTCAATATACAGGGTGTT